GGGGGTTTGCGGGGCCGAGGGCGAGGATGAGGGTGTGGGAGTGGTGGGTTGAGGAGGTGGTTTTGAGGGTGAAGATTGGGGTTGTGGGGGAGAGGGTTGGGTGGGTGGTGTAGGAGATGTCGGTGACGGTTGTGTGGTGGAGGGGGAGGGAGGAGAGGGCGTAGCGGGAGATGATGGTTTGGCAGTGGTTTGAGAAGAGGGTGGTGGAGGGGGTTTGGTAGTCTTTGCGGTCGCGTTCTTCGATGATGATGCTTGCTCGGGCGCTGTGGAGGGAGGAGTGTGTTAGAGGATTGTGGTGTTTTTCCCAAGAAAAAGAGAAAAAGGGGGGATGTGTATATGTGATATCGTCAAGACAGGACAGGGCAGGACTCACTTCCCGGACGCGCGCTTCTTCTTCTTCTGGTGCTTGCTCAGCTCCTTGCCGACGCAGCCGCGGATCTCGACGAGCTCGTGCTCGCGGCCGTGCTCGTAGGTGTAGGCGAGCATGCCGTCGCGATCGCCCGGGTCGACGTGGAAGAACATGGGGCTGCGCAGGTGCTTGATGTCGAACAGCCGGAACAGCCGGTTCCACTTGGCCATCCAGGTGCTGCCGGACCCGTCGAGCACGAGCGTCGAGTACTTGCGCTCCGTCCGGGGCGGCTCCGGCTTCGGCTTGCTGTCGGCGCCCGTCTTGCGGTTCTTGATCGTCATGTGCCGCGCGTGCCGCCGGATCCAGTTGTAGCGCTGGTGCTCGTCGTCGGTGAAGATGGCCGACGGCGTGTGTTCGCTGAGCCGGGCGGCGACTGCGAGTCCGCATGGCCCGGCGCCGACGATGATGATGTCATGTATGGTGGGTGGTGTTGAGTCCTCCATGTTTTGCCGTGATTGGGCGCGATGGCTCCGTGGAAAACGTTAAGAAGGAGAGAAAAGAGAGAGAGAATGAAAGAGAACTGGACAAAATCACGGATTGAATCCCCTCAACTCGCGACTCACTACTTAGTATGCATCTGTCGTGCTGATGTACTGCTAGTCGAGCACCGTGCTGGACAGGTACATTGATGAGACGTACATCGACATGGACCCGCCAAACTCGTCACTGTGGACTGTGCTACTCACATTCTCCATCGCAGGCCGCAGGTAACATGATTGCAAGAGATTTAAACCTCGCGTCTTACGTACCGTCCGTACGTACCGCACCGAACGGTGACTATAGTCTACACTGTGGGCTTGTTGTACCCACACAGGCCAGCTCCCGTGCTATCGTCAGCATGTCCGTCATGTCCTCTTGCAATAGTCTCGGCCATGCCGGACCTGGTATCCACAGAGAGCGACCTCGACGCCCATGCTCAAGAATCCTGCAATGCATATTCCCGCCGAGTCGCTTACCGTCGTCGCACCCAGACTGAACTCCCGGTCTTCGCGCGGCACGTTGTCGGTGATTTCTGCAAACGTATTCACATACACCAACCCACCCAGTAAGCCTTCCCAGAAGACGATTGCGAAAACGATCCAGACGGACGGGATGAAGTCCCAGATGGCGTGGGCCGTGAGCAGCAACAGATTCGCGACTTGCAGAAACGACGGGTAGTAGAGATGATGGACGCGCAAGAACGGTGTACTCGACCGTGACACGAAGACCCCGACTTGGTAGATGGCGTTGTAGGTGGGATAGAAGGAGCGGAACGCGCTGAAAGGAGATGACTTTAGGGGAAACAGGAGGGTCGGCGCCACACCTTGATTTATGGTATACTCAGCAATGTACACCAGCAGAAGTGGGAGCATGCTGGCGCATGTTAGATTCTGAAAGATAGTCCCGTCATAGCCACTTACTATGGAATGAATAGTCCCCGAGCACGCTTCAGATTCGACTTGAAGTTTGAGAGTATGTCTTCCGCCGCCTTGGAGCGCTGGCTCCTCGCACTGCTCCCACTAAGGGACATGAAGCTTCGACCAGAGGTCGACACTACACTATCGCTCAGCAGCCCTTGGCCTTCTCTTTCTCCGAATGTATCGTCAGCAGCGTCGTCGTCGGGGCCCTCCTCGACTCTTTTGTATCCGCCATCTTCTCCCTTCCACAGCTTCAAGGGGTCTCTTGGTAATAGTACGAAGAAGCTTGCTAGCATAATCACTGGCATAAAGGCGCTGACCAGTAGGGCTGTCTTCACGCTCCAGCCCCATGCATCCGTCGCCAGTGCATATAGTCCTGCGCCCACCAAGCCCGCTCCACCGGTCCCGCTGCCCCACGCAGCAAGTGAGAAGTGCCCATAGTAATGAGTCAGCCCCAGGAAACTCAGCTCCCCTCCTCCAGAACTTAGACTGGCGAGCACCACCCCAGACATCTTGATGCTGATTGTGGACGGTGATTGATCTTGTGGGCTCAGCGCAATCAGCAGCATTCCGACCGTGCTTAGTGCCACGAATATGAATATCCGGACTGGGTATGGTATGGAGTGAATATAGTATGGCGCCGTGAGTTTGGTCAGGAAGGACGGTATCACGTCGAACAGGAGGACCGCACCCTTGGGTGTGGATGTGCCGACGAGATCGAGCGCTGCGGTCAGGATGATCACATACAGCACATTGTTGATCAGGCCTGCAGAGTGTCAACAGCTTGACACGTACATACGAAACTAAGACTACACATACCGAAGAGCCAGAAGGCTGTCATGACCCGAGGGTCGGCGCCTTGGAAGACATTCCTTAGCTTGTCCTTGTACACAGCCCACGATGCAGCTGGCGAGAACGGCATTGGAAGGGTCATGGACGGTACGATATGGCAGGTTGCAGCGCTTTAGAATTTACCTCGTAATCACATAGCGAAGTGAAGTGTAGAATGGACGCGATCGCCTTGTCGTGAGTTCGGACGGTGCCTTGCACGATGGATGAATGTCATGTGCCGGTTGAGGTTCCAACTCATGGATGGATGGATCCACGGTCGTTTTACGGAGCAGTCTCCGAACGTCAGCCAGGCTCGATGCTGTGAACCTGTCAAATCCATGAGAAACAACATCATGCGCCCCAAGACGATACTGCTAGGCATATCAGGCCCTTCGTCGTCTGGTAAAACAACGCTCTCCCGCCTCGTTCGGACGATCCTCCCGTCCTCGTTCATTCTCCATCTTGATGACTTCTACTTGACCGACGCGGAAATCCCAATCCGCAACGGCGTGCAGGACTGGGACTGTATCGAGTCACTGGATCTGACAACGTTTGAAGACTCACTTCGGTACATCAAAGAACATGGCCAAAGCCCACCAGATCTCGTGAGCAAGGAAGATCAGAACGCTGTCGGTGAGAGTGGTGTCAGCGCCGAGGCTGTCGAGCAATGGAAGAGCGTCGTGCGCGAGAATGAGCAGTGGCAAAAGCTTCTTGGGCTAAATATAAGCTTGACAGGCAGTGGAGAGGTTCGAGTTGCCATCATTGACGGTTTTCTTTTGTACGCGGAAAGCATGCGAACGATACGCGAGCTGTTCGATGTGAAGCTTTTCTTACCAACGACTAAAGCTCTCACAAAGCGTCGCCGTGAAGCAAGACAAGGCTACGTCACCATAGAGGGATTCTGGGAGGATCCGCCTGGGTACGTAGACGACATTGTATGGCCCAACTACGTCCGCGATCATGAATTCCTATTCAGAAATGGTCTTGTCGAGGAAGAAGTAGACGAGGCTGTATGCGAGAAAGTACATATCTGTGCTATGCCTCGCGAATACGCTGAAGACATGGATGGCGCACTGACCTGGACGATGAATACACTGAAAGATGCGCTGTCGTCCCAGACCTGAACTTATATCAAGCACCAGTTCGAAAACATTGGCTGTGGCCGCTCGACGAGCCGATGCGGGCTTGTGCTCCAGTGTGTTTTCATGCAGCGTGCGACAGGCATCATTCTTGGCAACCCCTCACGAGGCTGCCAGAAACACTTGATACAACTCCTCTATCCCTCGACATAGTTCGATGAGAAATTACAAGCTGTATTCGAAATGCTACGATTTGTCGAATTTATTGTCTGAATACTGAATTGCCCAACGGAAAACGCTTTGCTCGTGAGCTTAATGGAGACTGTAGTCGCTCTCGGTCTTGCTGCGAACATATGTCAATTTGTAGAGTGCACAATCGCTGTCATCAAAGATGGCAAATCCATATACGACGGAGTCTCTGGCTTGACGAAAGAATACGACGAAGTCCAGAAAAGAGCAAGCAGGCTTGCTGAGGCTGGCGTTGCGTTCCGCAAGCTGAGAATTGCACAGCTTGGATGTCAGCAAGATGACAAGTTAATCGAGCTTACAGAAGATTCTATCGACGTAGCGAACGGATTATATCAAGAGTTCGAGAGGCTTAAAGGTAAAAGCACGAACAGGGTACTACAGGCCGCATTTGGCCTCGTGAAGAGCTACGGCGCGCGTGAAAGGATTGAGAAAAAGGTGCAACAATTGAAACTTATCCAACAAGATATCACTTCGCAAGGCATTACGGTAATGCTGTGAGTTAGGAGGTCTTTGTTCCTGGAGAACTCGACTGACCAGTGACGTCAATGCAGGTCTGACCTGGATCAGATAAAGCAGCAAATGAAAGACGACAAAGAACAGAGCCGACAGTTCCAGATACAGCAACAGAAAGGAGAGGCTTCCATATCTGAACAGATCTCTGTTCTTGCAGATTCGATGATTCGGTCCTTTAGCTCACAATCAACCGTTTCACAAAGTCCCCAACAAGTAATTGATCACATAAACACGCTGCAGGAGCACCATTCACGGTGGAAAAGAGACAAGGAGTTGCGCCAAAAGAGGTACGCAGCCCTCAGGTCTCTCCAGTTTCACGAAATGATGTCCCGAAAGGATGGTATCAAGAACGCGCATACCAAAGACGTTGACTGGAGGAAAAAGGAGTAAAGTCTCTTGCGCGACTGGTTGAAGCACGATGACGGTATCTTCTGGATATCAGGCATACCCGGCTCTGGAAAGAGTGTCTTGATGAAATCCCTCATAGATGGTCATCAGACAGAGGAGCATCTGCTGTCGTGGGCTGGGGGCGCGAGGCTTGTGATCGCCAGTCATTACTTTTGGGCAACAGGCCCTGCAATTCTGAAATCGGAGAATGGAATGCTACGATCTCTGTTATTCGAGATATTCCGTTCGTGTCCTGAACTCGTGGACAAGATGTGTCCAGCCAGTCTGCTCGAGTATCCCGGGGATAACGCCGCAGACTATCCTTGGTCCCTTATAGAGCTTCGGCAAAGTATACAGTCTATAAATCATCTGACAGGCCAGTATCGCTTTTGTTTCTTCATCGATGGGCTCGACGAATACGATGACGCCTCGGAGTGGTCAGACGAATCACGGAGGGTTGTTCCCACCAGTGTAAACGACATCATCGAAATCGTTAGATCCCTGACATGCTTGGCTGGAGTGAAAGTCTGCGTGTCAAGTAGACCATGGGTTGCATTCGATTCTGCATACGGACAACGACCCACGACCATGATCAGCCTCGAGGAGTTCAACTGGACGGAAATTCGCAAATATACAAAGGAGACAATCTTACCAATTGCGGAAAGCCTTCGGGATAATCCTTATAACAAGAAAGACTACTACGGGCTTCATAAAATCATAGAATATATTATGAGAGAATCGAAAGGCGCCTTCCTTTGGGTATATTTGGTCGTCAATAAGGTTGTGGTTGGTCTACGGCATAAAGATAGTATAGACCTCCTCACCAAGCGAGTCAAAAACTTCCCCTCGGACCTTCCAGGATTCTACAAGCATATGCTAGACAACATGGATCCGGACTATGCAGAAGAAGCTCGAAAGATCATTTCAGTCGCTCTCTATGCCTATTATACTGGATATGAACCTTTGCATGTGTTACAATACTCATATATATGGTCGCAGCTTGACACAACTGGCGACTTTGGGTTATCAATACCAACACCATATCGGTGCGAGTCTGGTATGGAAGAGCTTATTAAGCACGCCACTAATCAGTTCCTTTCACGCTGTCCCGACTTCTTCCATGTGAAACGACTGCAACATGATTTTCCACACGATATTGAAGTACGTTTTATCCATCGAACTGTCGCGGAATTTATACGTGAGGAAATGGTAATATCGAAGTCAGAAAGAAACATGGATACACACTTCGACGTATCTAGGTTTTTGGCGAACAGTTTTCTTGCTTGCGTCAAGACTATGTTAAATTCACCACTGACTCGCACATTGGCAATTCGCAATGTTCGGGGCCCCAGAGCTTGGCCTGGCGCAACCCGTCGACTAAAGCTTTTACCAGCTCGGTATCTGCCTATCATTCGAGCAGAGCTACATCTTTGGGAACAATTTACTTGCAAAGTAGTATTGTCTCAGTCGGAGGTGCTTTATAGTACAATAAATCAGAAACCGCTTATACACCATCCGCGAATTCGTCCCGCTCAAGATGATTTCTGGCAATGTCTCCTCGAGGAACGGCGGCGCATATTTGACCGTTATCGATTGGCCAAATTCGCATTGGCGAATGGAGGGACTTTCCACTGGTATGTTAAAGAAAGGGTTGCCAAGAATCGGAAGCTTCTGTATGAGATGCTGAACTTCAGGACTCCTGAAAGTCTCTCTGCTTTCCTATCAGTACAAGGCGTGAACGAGCCATTATTCAGCCAAGAACAATGGACAGTCTTTAACATCGGAGCAGCAGATGCATACGCCGCAGAAACACCATGGGGTCTATGGCTGAAGCGACTAAGCCAGTACTGTGTAATCTGCGCCAGAAAGGACCAAGACCTCGGACGAGTTGGAGTAGCGACTTCATTCATCGAAAGTGGTGCAGATATGAGTCTTCGTCAGTATTACGAATTTTCTGACTGGGCATCCGTAGAAAAATTTGACACCCCACCGGACATCGGCCAATCTGTCAACTGGAGAGGGCTCCACGGTTGGACCAGAATTTCGGTCGCGACAATACCTGCACAGGTATGTTCGATTGAGAAATTGAAGGTACGTCGGAGGTGTGCAGAGGAGATACATCTGAGGTGGGAAGGCGAGCTTTCACCCAGCGAGCTTTTGTTGTTCTACTTCAGGGACGCAACTCATCGCCGAGACATTAAGGAGGCAATCGAGCAGCAATCGAGAAGGCCGGGATTAAAGCGGAAGTCGGTCCACCAGCAGAGGCAGAGCACGAAACAGACACCATAAGCCTCCTCCCACCCAAAGACGACAACGTCTCTGTGTACGGCTCACAGCCATCACCAGCGCCAAAATCCCTACTAAGTCTCATCGACCCACTGAGATGGCTACGATGGTTCTAACCAGGCACACGCCAACTACCCCTGCCGCAAAACACCCACAAACAAGTCCACACCGTAACTAGGCAACAACAGATTTACGGGCGTTGGCGTGTACGCAAGAGGTACCTTCACACGGCGATATATATATATCTTGCCATGCTACATGTTTCTCCTCTCGCTCATCAGCTTCGCCCTGTTGTTTCCGCGTGAACTATGCAAACACGGGGGGGACTCGTGACGTCCGGTCCTAACTGTCGCTCTCGCTTGTTGTCCTGGACCTCTGGCGAGCTTTCTTTCTACCATCTCACCTGCACGACTTGGAGAACCTCGGGGATCGTTCCGAAAGGAAACCCGCTGTCTGTCTGTGTGACGCGCCTCTTGTCTTGTGTCTGTTCAAGCTCTGTTGATCTTGGAGCTTTGGCTCGGATAGGGGGATGGGGGTGTTGCTGTGGATGAGGGTATTCTTTGTGCTTATGCTTATCTCTTTGTACGTAGTTCTTCTATAGCTTGCATATAACTCCTATATATCTCATATACATATTCTATGTTCTTTAATACACCTTTTTCTAACGTGTCTATTGGTATATATATGATATTATCTAACGATTCTTATATCTCTATATCCCCCTACATTGGCCCTTTCATATCAATAATAGTCTTAGGTATCTGGTATACCGCGTATACAGCAATAGACATAGTAGTACACTATATAGATAGATAGATGGCTGCATAGAAATGTAGAGTATAAAGCGCAGGCTGTACATATATACATATACTGTCTCGTCGTATATGTTCGATACTCGTATTCCTACGGAATCATAAAAAGATACAACGTTTTGTCTAGCGCCCGCTAGCGCCCTCACCAAAACCACGACCAAAAAACCACCTTTTACCATATATTAATCCAACCACGACCTTAATCAAAAATCTGACCGACAATTCTGTAGAGAATGAAATTCCGTGTAATTCTATATACTTTTTACTATCTGCAGCTGCGTCGTCGCGGACGAGTAGGGTTTACAAGCCTCTGGTGTCGCGTTTGGTGGCAGGTTCAAAAATTCGACTTCGCCGTGGATTTTCCGGCGTGCCTTAGTGCCTTAAATTCAAGACTGCACGCAGTCTGCCGGCCGCAGGCCACCCTAGTATTATATATATACATATACTACACTCGAATAGCCTTTAGCTCCTTACCATTATCAACACTATATATCATGCTTATTCCCTCTTCAAAACACACCAAGACAAAGGACATTATAAGCTCCAAACAAACCCCCCATTAATTTTGAATTTTTTTCTTTTCTTTTCTAAAATTGCAAAATCTACGCGAGCTACATCCAAAGAGAATCTCACAACTAGATGACAGAGTTACTCGAGTACAGGAAGGATGTAGAATAGGTCATTAGAACAAATACATGGAAAAAGCGCGCCAAATTGGATTCTCCAAAAGATGTGTGATTGTTCGACGTTGCGTGTGTCGTGTCAGGCATGTTGTTGGGCGGCGGGTCTTAGGGTCGTTTTGTTTTATTTCGTGGCGATGTGGTGGTATAGATTTAGGGGTTTCGTCGGATTTGGTGTGGATGGATGTATGTATGTATGTATGTATGTATGTATGTATGTATGTATGTATGTATGTATGTATGTATGTATGTATGTATGTATGTATGTATGTATGTATGCATGTATATATGCACACGCGTATACAGACATGCACTATCATACGTCAACCACCCAGCTACCACCCTATAACCCTACACGATCATGTCCATCTCAAAAAAAGGTTGCTCCGGAATAAGTATATCGTCGAAGCCGGCCCAGCCAGCAGCTATAGACCAGCGCGTGCCCCAAGGGGACGGACTATAAAAAGCCGGTATATCGTCGAAGGTATGAGGGACAAAGGGACGGAGGACCAGCCATCTGCTGTAGCCCACCCCCAAGTATCCGACAAGTGAGCCCGAGAAGAATCGGCCGGAAGGCGAGACGAAGAGGGCATAGATGGCGAAAGCGAAGGAGCAAGACGAAGCATAAATCCAATCACAACCACCCCCCCGAGAACCCATGGATAAAGAGTGCGAATGCACCAACCCACCCCCTCAACCCCCAAAAAACCTCCTCTTCTTCACCACCCTCCCAAACCGACTCCTCAACACCCCATCCACCCCCTCCACCGGCGACGGCGTCTCCGGCGTCTCCGGCGCCGCCACCACCCCCGAGCCCGAACCCGAACCCGCCACACTCGGCGTCCTCGGCAGCGTATGCGGACACACCACCATCCCCTCCCGCGCCCCGCCCTCCGAACGAACCACAGCCCCCCTCCCCCTCCCCCTCTTCAGCCGCGTCCAGCGCCTCGCACGCGCCTTCGGCAGCGCCCTCCTCCTCTTCTTCCTGCCCAGCTGGGCCAGCGCCTCGGGGGACAAGTCGCGCGCGTACAACAGGGCCTGGCTCTCGATTGCGGAGCGGAAGACGGGTGCTAGGCCGCCTGTTTTCGGTCTTGCGGAGGCGGAACCGGATGCAGAGCCGGAGGCGGAGGAGGCCTCCTTTTTCTTCTCGGCCTTGGCGCGGGCGGCGAGCACGGCTTCGAGCTCGGCGGGGGGGGCGGGGGGAGGGGGGGGGGTGGTGGAGGGGGGGGGGGGGGGGGGGGGGGTCGAAGGCGGAAGGGAAGGGGTAGTTGTGGATTGGGAGGGTGGCGCGGGCGCGGAGGCGGGATTCGAGGTTGAGGTCGTGGAGGAGTTTGGTGTAGACGGCGTGGGGGAAGGTGATTGTTGGGACGGGGGGCATTGGTGGGTTGGTTGGTGGTGCGGAGATGGATAGGTCTCGTTTGTTTTTTGGGGGTGTAGGGAAGGGGGAGAATTGGGGATTGCTGGGTTGGGTATGTTAGTTTTGGGTTGGGTTGATGGGGTAGAATTTGGGGATTGCGGGATGGGGAGATGGGGGGTGAGGGTGGTGATGGGGTGGAGTTGGGCTTGGGGGGATGGAGGTGGTGTGGTTTACATGCTTTGCTTGTTGTGTATATGTGGTGGTGGATGCTGGGTGTGGAGTGTTTGGGGACTTACTTGTATTGTGACGCACGCTATGCGAAATTCAGATATGATGTAAGATGCGTGGGGATGTGTGTATACGACACAGGTGTAGCAGAGAAGTTAGGGGATGGGATCTCTCGGGGGGAGGAGGCTGTTTAAATATGTCGTGGTTTGCGAGCGCTCTGAAGGTTTGGAAGCGCGGTACGCTACGAGGATAGAGGAGGGAGAAAGCCATAGAACGAGGTTCCAAACTTCCTAGACGGGGAAACATGTATTTTTTTTTCTTATGTGGCTCATCCAAGGAACGGGTATATGGAAGAGTATAGCGTGAGGGATCGTAGTAGGATGTTGTCCTTGTATGTCTAGGCGCGCTGAAGGACGTTGAGTCCATGGAGTCCATAGTCAAACGGAGGAAACATGAGTCATAATAAGAATACAGCAAGTGAGTTACCGTAGAGTAGAGTCGATCCAAGTAGTTATTATCCTTGGTGTTGAGGCTGCTTGTGTTGTCGTCGCATACCAGTAGCATTCAAAGTGGGCTATCTGCATCCGGGAAAACATGTTGCCCGAAGAGGTATAGCGCTACGATGAAGCCCGCTACGCTACGCCCGTTCGGGCATAAGGCAGCCGCAGCTCCACCACATAAACCCGACTGCATCCCTTTGATTTTCCCGATACAGTCGTGTTCTAACCCGTACCCTGCACCGACCAGCAGCACTTTTCATCTATATGTATACCTGATCAATGGGGTTTCTATTGACTAGTACTACTCTACATTCTTAATATTGCATGATGCCTTTGAGAAATGCTCGGGGCACTGCCGAAGTTATACCGACGCGTCGTTGACTACGCCGCAGCTACTACCTAGTCTAGTACCTTATAAATCCATGGATAGATCTTTCTTAGCGGAAAAGCCCCATTTAAAGAGCCATTGCATGTACTAGTAGTATACCGCTTCGATCAGATGTCTGCACTCGCCCACGACGCGAGTCCTGTAGGAACAGACGCACAATCCGTGCCAGGCAGCGACCTTGATGCCCAGAAACCAGCCTCATCGACAGACGAGGGCCTCAAGAGCAACCAGACTTGTAGCTGTTTCCACTATGATCTCGACCCTGATGAAACCGACCGATCGAGCGAGTTCGATGATTCTAACTTGCCTCCAGTCGTCATATTGAACGAGACCCCCTGGCCCGAGCCCGCCAGTCCCTTGTCACCATCAGAGGAGCAGAAGTGGGAGCCACTATTTGGACTAAGTACAGACACAGGTCTGCCAAATCAGGGCATCAAGAATATGGCTGCAATCGTTGAGCTCTTGCGAGAAGCCGGGATCGTGTGTTGCATGTCGTACGAGCCCGCACTCAGGTACTACGGAGCTAAGCGACTTGTTTTCGTAAGTCATGTCATATAAAGTTGTCTTTGGGCTTCTTTGGGTTTTCCTGACCCCCCCGATAGGAATGGATTTTTTGCATCCCGACGGAGCATGTCGAGAGTGCCTCTCAGTTGATTCGAGAACGAACAAATGATTACGAGCCGTTTCGCCATCCAGATACCCAGCGTGTTTACAGCCTCGACCACTTTTTCCCTCGATTCAAAATTCGGGGACATAGCGTCTTTTTCACCTTCATGTCTTCACAGGCGCTCAACATCCCATGCACGCCCGAAAACGTCGAGTTCAGCCCGAATGGAATACCGTACCCTAAGCTACATGTATACACCCAGAGCCTCATCGACACATACAATGTGGTGGATCTTGTTGATCTAATTGACGGCATGGATCTCTCTATCGAATGGGGCAAGGCTCATCTCAATCTGGAGGGCCCGATCGATGTTGCCTGGGGCAGATGGACCGCGAATTTCGAGGCTGGCGGACAAGCCCCTCCTGACATGATCCCACGATGGTGCGCGGATCCACCTTCACGGCTTAGTATCTGGTTGAAATACGCGTCGGCGGAGAGGAAGTGGGCGAGTCGTGGGTTCAAGGCGCTTCCGAACGACGTCACGAGGTTTCGTAAACGTGGGCAGGGGGATCCGCGGCTGCGGCAGCGGGATTGGTGTTGAGCGATAGAGGTTTTCGCATATATATAGTACTAGACTTGCGTGGCTATCTGGCAAATGGTATATAGGGTTGTTGGGGTAGTAGTAGCAGTAGTCTGATGACGAAGAGAAAACTGCTCAAACATGTCTGGCCATGATGAACTCTAACTGGTATACAGTAGAACCTTGGCTATGGGATCACGTTGTACTTTACAGAAAGGAAAGATGTTCTTGGTGTTGGTTTGTGTCTGCTTGACGTCGTATAAAGAATAATAATTAGCATACAGTAAGTAGTAAGATAGGAAGCAAATGATTGGCTGGCAATTTTTAGAAGTGGACCCATGTGTTTTCCGCCTTAGCCGAAGTGTGTGAGATGTTGGTGCCTGATTTTGCGCGAGTCGCTTGCACGGGGAGGAGGGGGAGGGCAAAATGAGGCGCGGGTATAGTTTTTTGGGTTTTTGGGTTTTTGGGATTTTTTGATATTCGACAACATACTCGACAACAAACCTTTTTTGCTGACTCGCGCGACTGTGATTCGGACTGCTCCATCGGGATGATTTCTCTGAAGGAGTTTTGATGGAAGGTTGGCGATGAGGGCAGGATATGTATGACATGAGGTCGCATGGCCAGGACCGAGCGACTAAGACCAACAGGGGGATGAACTAGTGGGATGTGTTGTTGGATGCGCGGGTTGCAAGGGATATGGGGGGAAGGCGATGGTACAGTTAGAGAGGATGTGGTGAGATTAGGGCCGAAGTGGTGGTATGGTGCATCGGAGTATATTTTCGTATCTTTAATAGTTTAATAGTTTAGTAGTTTAATAGTGACTAGGTTACTAGGTAAACATGTATGTATGTAGATAATTCACACAGACACAACAGACAGCCACGTAAGGCACATAAGGCACATAAGACACGTAAGGCATGTAAGGCATAACATGTAAGGCACGTAAGGCACATCTCATCACTCTCTCTCTGTGCAGCCGGCGTCTAAAAGTTTGTGCAGTTTAGTCGCTACCAAACCTACCAATCTACTAATAACAACCTACTAATCACCTACCATTAATCCCCCCCCCCCCCCCCCCCCCCCAAAAAAAAACGTCTCTCTTCCTTGTCCCCCGCCAGCCAGCCCAGCGCAGCGCAGCGCGCGCATCCCAGAAGCCTGCAAGATGGCTGCATGTGCATCTATGCATGCATACCAAGGGAGGGAAAGGAGATGGTTGATTTATAGTAGCTTATTATTATGGCGCGCAGGGAGTCTGCTTCTGCGTAAAATATGCCATCGTCGCGCGACAGCCAATGATGCCTGTACAGACAACAAGAGAGCCCGACGCGAGGACAGGACAGGACAGGACAGGACAGGACAAGACAAGACAAGGCCAGCCAGCAGCCTACATAATACAGTGTGCGCGCGCGACAGACACCTCACAGTCAGTCAGTCAGTCATGGTGACGGGTGACGGTGACGGTGTTGTGGGTGACAGTGGTGACCGTGACAGTGACAGTGACGGTGACGGTGACAGTCAACCTTGAAATGGTCCATTTTGAGCGCAATATTATGCTGCCATTGCTACTCATGCTAGGAAGTACGGATCACTACTAATTACTACAGTAACTACCACTAATGACTGCTGCTGATGGCTTCACTGGCGATGAGGGGAATGTACAGTGTGCGTTGAGAGGTCGCCCGTAGATCGGACCGCTATTATCATGCATGTCCACCACCGTCCACCGTCTCCACCATCAATCCATGGTTTATTATCCATCAGTGCATCATCATCAGCATAATCATCATCACCAGCATCAGCATCAGCATCATCACCCCTCCTGCTCCTCCACGAAGCAAAGAGCGGTGTCATGCTAATATAGCACCCTGTTTAGTGCTTGTGCTTTTCCACTTGGACAGCGTGGCGCCTCTTCTCCCCACATGCTCACTTTGTGCCCACTTTAGCTGTTAATTCCTCCCTCTATCCCCCCCTCCCCCCCCCCTCCCCTAAATTCTTCCCGGGTACCCCATGCAGCCTTTTTGCTTGTGGTCGGTGGTAGGGCCGCTTTTTACCCTGCTTGGGACGGTCTGTGCTTCCTTTCCGTAGCTTGCAACTCTCTCTCTCTACTCGCCGTTTTGCCTCTGCTCACGTCCCACTGCCTCACTCTCCTCTCAATCTAAACACTCACTCTTGTCTCTTCCTATCCACTTTCGCCTCTACCGCAACACTCGCCCTAGCCATTAATCGTCCCTCGTCGTCGTTAGTTATCTGTCGTCAGGCCCCCTCGCCATGATCTTGACCCGCTGAAGCCTCAACCTACCACCACCCAGACCCGCCCACAACCTTCTGTGCAAATCCCTTCAGGATGGACTCTCGGCCGCCATATCAACCACGAGACGCGCGAGATCGTCCCTTCATTCACAACCCGAACCATCAACCGCCTCCTCCGCCTCCTACCCAACAGCCACCGCAGCAACAGCAGCAACAACAACAGCAACAGCCTCCTTACTCCTACGCGCCGCCTGCCTCACAACAAGCCGTACACGTGCCCTACGGTGCAGATCCTTACGCTCGAGAACAACGTCGCGATCCCTTCCTCCCTCAATCCGCACATCAAAGAAACGGTAGTTATGGAATATCTGGTGGCAATGGACCCATACCAGGCCCGCCTCCCGAGAAGTCGCCTGTAGATGGAGCTTGGTCTCATAGTGGTAAGATGAAACCTTCATTTCACATTCCGTAATAGCAGCATGTCTTTAAAAAGCCACCAATCGCTCGAGGCCCTATATTTTGTTCGATCGTGAACGCCGAGGTCTACAGCCAATTTAACACTGTGTGGACTCTATGTGGGAAAAACAGCGCAATATGAGCGATTTGAAGACTCGGATCAGGGCAGAAAAACACAATATATGGAAATATTCATGAAGTTTGGGCGCTTTTTTTTGGGCTTGAGAATTAAGAGACGGTGAAGAAGAGACGAAGCCTGCAGGTTGTTGAGCGGTGCAAGCCCTGCAGTGTGGAAATTCGGAATGAGCCCTCTTCAGCTCCATGCAAGACATCCCGAGCCTTCGCCATTTGTGTCTCTATTTTGCATAGCACATACGTGGAGAACGTGGCTAACGATATTTCTTCAGGCGCACAACCGCAACAGCACCACGCACCCGTACAACATCAACATCACCACCATCATCAATCTGCCGGTCCACCACCTCCACCGCCTCCACCAATGTCTGGCCCGAATCATCCCCAGAATATGCCTGCATATGCCCCAGAACATTCGAGACGCGGATCAATAGGAGCCGGGAGCCCACCTGCTGGATATTATCAACGTATGTCAGATAATCTTCAAAACGCCTCACATTGTGTTGTGAATCGGCTGACCTTCGCATAGCGCCACGAGACTCTCATCCTCCACCTCCACTCCCTCATGGCAATCGTAACATGCCACCGCCTTCACCACAGAAACAAAGTTCTGGAGGGCCATATCAGAGTCAACAACGTCCTCCAGATCCATTCACAAATCACAGAGAGCTTCCAAGTCTCGGGACCTCGTCCCATCGCCCGGGCAGTGCTCTATCCATATCGTCTCTAATTGGAGGAATGAATGACTCCAGATCGCAGCCTCAGCACTCGCCTCCACTCCAAGCAGCAGCGTCGCCCCCAACAAGGACAATGCAACCCCCTTCACCAAGAAGAGCTCCATCGACAGGTGCTAGGAACGAGTACGGCATGTATAACAGACCCCGGACACCTGAAAGATACCCATCCTCTTCCTCTGCAAGGCCATCTGAGCCACGAGGGTATGGTGCATCGTCTCCGACGAGGGCAAACTCGATGGCAAACAAGTCTCCAGATCACCAACGGCAAGGCTTCTCTGGCCAAGGACCTCCCGGTCAGTACAAACCGATGCAACATCAAGAACAGCGATATTATCCTGGCCACTCAATACCACCAAGGGATCCTGACATGGGTGGTGGACACGGAGGCCAAACTGTCCCACCGCGACCACTGAGTCAACCGTCGCAAGGTCCAGGTCCGGCGCACGAGAGGAAAGGTCTCTTCGAGCCTTCTGGTGGATATGGAAGACCTCCATATGGATACCCCCTCGACGAACGCAGGCACGAAGCTCCTCCACTACCTCGATCGGCCGTCTCCAACCAAGTCGATGAGCGCCAACGGGATAGACCTGTGACAGTACAACCTGTAACACACTCCGCTTATAGCCCTCCCAGGGAACAGGGTGGTCCTGGTCAGCAGCAGCCCGCGTACCCGGATTCGCGCTATCCATTGTATCGGCCTGGCATGGACGATGGTCGGAGAGAAGTCCCCCGGAGCGACGTGACGAGCGCGGCTCGACCTCCGTTTGGAGCACCATTGCAACATACCTCGCAACATCCGTCATTGAATCCCGAAGATCCTTCACGACCTCCACGTACACACACCGGGCCTCATCCACGCATGTCGGACCCTTTCAGCAACATGCCTACTACTTCAGATCCAATAGGAAGTGACCGACGACTCGTCGAACAGCTTGGCCATTCCGGCTCATCTAGTGCTCCACCATACCAGGCCCGTGGACCTCCTTTCGATCCCCAGAACCAAAGATCCGGTCACCTCGGCCCGGAAGCCAACCGAAGGACAGGCCGCGCTTCTCCACTACCACAAGCCGTACAGGGAGCTTCAGCCCAGCCTGTCGGGCCGGGCGGTCGGCCGGAGATCAAGAGCGAGTTTGGCAGGATGTTCTCGGGACTCGGTGGTGGACTAGGCAGTGCGCCCTCGAGGCACGGGACAGCCACACCTTCAAGGCGAAGTCCTTTGCCACAAAATGGAGGGGAATCTAGCTTCGGCGATGGCGAGGTTTCCATGGCACGAGCTGGTTCACATAGCGGAAGAAGGGCTAATAAGAGAGTGAAAGACGAAGACATGATGATGGCAGACAACCACAACGCGGATGGAAGATTAACTCCATCGATATCCCGTGCAGGCGGGAAGAGATCGAAACATCATCATCCGCCAGATCATCACCATCACCATCGCGCAGTGGGCCATCACCATCACCATGTCCACCACAAACCAGCCCATGAGCATGATGATGGCCAAGCGGCAGGTCAATTCAACACCATACGATTGGGTCCGAACGGGGCCCCAACAGATTCCACACCAGAAGCCACTCACCATCACCATCACCACCACATTGTACATCCGGGACATCACCACCACACTCCACGACCGATACCGCCCCCAGACAAGCTCCCAGAATCGATCTACAACATCACTGCTCTCCTCGCCGATGCATCAAAAGAACCAAGCGCTCATCTCGGATCACAAGTGTATGCACCGGTGCCAGTACCACCATCTGTCGAAACGCCGCTCGATGATAAATTCGGCTACGCGTCAATGCCGAACCCACTGCCTTCCACAATTCAGGGCAGAGTGAATTGTACATTTGACATCCGCATCCCTCGCTACTTCCTGACGCCGCTCCAGCGCGAACTGGTTGTGAAGCAACGTTGCGTGTGGGGACGAGACGTTTACCGCGATGATTCGGACCCTCTCGGCGCGGCAATTCACTCCGGCTGGATTCTTGGCGCGTGGGGCGACGCGGTGAGCGATGTCAGCATCCTAGATGACCGCTGTGCACGCGCCAGAGCGCCAGAGGACGTGGAACAGCGAATTTTGGCACGCCCGGCGGCACCTCTGATTCCACCGCCCGATGTCGACCTCATACTACGCATCCTCATACTCCCCCCGCTAGAGCGATATCCGTCGCACAATCAGTATGGCATCACAAGCCGCAAAGCGGGAAACAAATATGGCGGCATGAGCTACACAATCCAAGGGTTGCAATGGAAAGATGAGGGGCCTGGGTCTCGCGGACAAGACCGCACGCGAGAGGCTAAAAACAATCGCATGAGTGCAGCCCAGGCGTTGCTTGACATGTGTCTCTCCACGCGCACGCGGACGAATGACAGCCCTAGGAACGGTACAGCGGCGGTTACGGCGTGAGGGGCGGCAGGAATAAATATACAGGCCTATATGTATGATTGTTTCGGATGTCAAAAAAATTAGCGACGGCGCAAGTTCGGACTGTTGTATACGGTGGACCTTTGTAGAGTGCGATATAAGGTATAATGTGGCCACATGGAGATGTTTAGATCCAGGTCGGAAGGGCTAGTAAGATCGGACTAGGGAACGAACGCAAAGATATCCTTCAGGTGTTTTGGCATGACATTGTAACCACGATGTATGTAGTATTATTACCCTGAGTGTATGCACGCACCATGAGCAAGGCCTACTAAATTCCCTAGGCTCGAATCAAGTCAGGCAGATTAGTCGGGCAAGTCCAAGCGCATCCTTCGAGACAAGAAAGGTGCCCCCTCCACGTTTTGGCGTGGGGTGGGGAGATTGGGCACAGATGCGATCTCAGATGTTTGGAAATCAAAAGGATGACTACTGGCGCCCAAGAGGAGAAGAGGAAAGAGGAAGAAGACCGGCCAAGGCTGAAAGGTGTTTTTTTATCTATATTTCTTCTCATGGTGGTGTGTTTGTTTTCTTGACTGCTGCGCACTGCATCTATCCATCTATCCATCCCATCGTAATCCGGTACAGTTTGAGGGACGGACTGACCTGTCTGTCTTCCCACTACTATCATTCGTTCATTTCGACCTAGTTACCACCGATAAGGAAACGAGTCGAAAAGACTTAATTACATACATACGTACATGCGCCCCCGTTGTAATCGCATCAAGATCCTACGAAAGCCACCTGCCTGCCTGCCTGCCTGCCTGACGCATACCTTCTGCCTCCTCACGAGGCGAGCGATAGCGATAACGACTGCGAACGAACTGCTGGCGTGACGAAGCATCGACACAACGACACGACAACAACGGCTCACCGCATCTTCTCCTCTGACCTCAGGCTCACAACGAACGAGACCTAGGCGCGCGCATTGCCTTCCATCCTATCTATCCATTCTGAGCACCGTTCGTATCCGCGTGTGTGTGCGTGTGTGTGTGTGTGTGCATGCAGAATTTGCGACCGCTGCCGACATTCCTACGTACCTACGGCCTGCTTACATACTGCGGGTTCACGACTGGCTGGGCCGAGTGGTTAGTTTATCCTGCGTGATAAGAGAGAGAAGGAGGAGGACGAGGAGGAAGAAGAAGAAGAAGAAGAAGAGGCGCGAGACAGGATACAGGATACGATGGGACGTGAGCGCGCGGAGACGTATTCGATGGGAGCGATTGTAAGTTTTTGTGTGTTTTTTAATATTTTACTTGGGGTTGTGTTGTTGTGTTTGTTATGAAGAGGGGATGAGGGGGAGGGAGGGGCTGCTGGAACTGGAGCTGGAGCTGGAGCTGGAACTGGATGCCTGAGGCTGCAGGGCGCCCGGAGTGGAGTGGAGTGGAGTGGAGTCTGGACCTGCCCGTTGCTTTTGCTTCCAGATTCGGGCCCACGTGACCTTTGGTGTGTTTTGCTGCATGCTGCTGCATATAAACACAGAAGGAGCGTTCTGGCGGTGTTGTTGCAGATGAAAAGGGCAAGACAGAAACAGACAGCTGTTGTTGACCAACAGACAAGACAGCGCTGAACTGGGCAGGAGCAGCAGTCGGGAGTATCCGGAGCAGGGACCAATCCATACGATGCAGGCGCGGCAGAACACGCGACACCGCACAAACCCAACTTTCACCCACAATTACGCCACTCACAACTCTACACACGCTACACACGCTATTACACCACTTCTCTACACACACACACACTTACACGCCACTCACGCACCTTCGAAAGGACCACCAATCGAAAGCAATCTCAAGAGAAAACCACGCATCCGCCGCATGCAAAAGGAAGATTTTTGACATCTCCACTACTGCACGCACCGCTTCTTGTCTTGCTCGTCGCTCGGCCCATGTCGTCGGTCCCTTGTTTCTTGTCCCTGGTCTGTTGTCCCTTGTCGCTCGCCCCTCATCCCTCCTCGCTCGTCCCTGTGAAATTTCGGAATCAACTGCGGGTCCGGGCCAATTCATCCATCTAGTAGTGCTGCTGCTACTGCTTCCTGGTCCTCGGCAGTGGAAAGTGACTACTACTCGCTCATTCATCATCATTGTGCCCGCTTCAGCAACACGGAGACTTGATTCTCGCTTTCCACTTGAGCCTGTCGGGTATCTCTTCATCTCTACGACTTCCTCGCCAGCTCGCTCTCGCACCTCTGCCTCGTGCCTGACCTGCAACTCTGCTATCCTGCTCTGTCACTGCTGAATTCGCTCGAATCCTTCTCGAATCGTTACACCGAACGGCAAGCAGCTTCAATACGACAAGCCGCTGTTACGGTCGAACGGCTACCCTTCACCTTCACCCGAACGAACAATCGCGCTACGAGCTACTGTCCCATACAATTGTTAGCCTCTACGCTTCACGCACCACATTCACTCTGTTCTTGTTCACAAGGCACGTCACACCACACGCGTGTCTACCGCCTGGCCTCAAGCATCCTGTTCACTGTCGAAACGCAGGACTGTCACCCAGAAAGCCTCCATCAGACCTCGCGGGCCTGAGCACATTGTCGGCCGCCAATTTCCCATTCTTTTGATACAAAACCTCCAATTTGGCCCGGGCGCGGACTGTCCATCTAAATCTGTACCGGTCTATCTTGTCGAACACTACACTACATCCCGTTGGAGAAACTCAGATCTCTCTTTTTGCTCCCTTCAATCGAACTTGAGCCATGGAGACCACCGACGCCAACGGCGTGAACGGCACTCACCCTGTCCATAGCTTTTCCCCCAAATTGAGCTCTGTGCCTCAAGGAGATTTTATAAGACACAGTCGGAAAACTAATGGCTCTGGTGTACAGGCTGATGATACCCGGATATGTGTGGTTATGGTTGGACTCCCCGCGAGGGGTAAGAGTCTGATAGCCCAGAAGGGTGAGTGACTGCTACTATGACAATGTTATGCTTGCTGACATTCACCTCACAGCTGTCCGCTACCTTCATTGGCTGTCCATCAAGGCAAAGGTGTTCAATGTCGGTCAGTATCGCCGCACTGCAACGCCAAACCCCTCGGCCGAGTTCTTCGACACCTCAAACCCCGAAGGTGAGCGTCTTCGCCGTGCCGCTGCCGAAGCCGCTGTCGCAGACATGGTAAAGTGGTTCAAGGAGCGTCAAGGTCTGATTGCATTCCTCGATGCCACAAACTCGACCAAGGACCGCAGGAGGTGGATCCAGGAGCGATGCGACCAAGACAACATTGAGACTTTGTTCGTAGAGTCCAAGTGCGACGATGAAGATTTGATCATGAGCAACATCTTGGAAGTCAAGACCACATCGCCAGACTACGTTGGCCAGGATCCAGAAGTTGCGGCGCAGGATTTCAGAAACAGGATCCGCAATTACGAGAAGGTCTACCAGACAATCGACGAAGATGAGTCGGATTTGACCTATGTCAAGCTGATCAATGTGGGACACCAAGTCATCATCAACAGGATTCAAGATTACTTGCAGAGTCGTGTGGTGTACTATCTGATGAACCTGCACATCAAGCCGAGAAGCATTTGGTTGTCAAGAGTAAGCACATGTAAACATGTCCGCGCACGGGCCTGACTAACGCTTCCTAGCATGGCGAATCCAACTTCAACTTATCAGGCCAAATCGGCGGCGATGCAGACATATCCGAGCGCGGCGAGCTCTACGCGAGACGTTTACCCGAACTTGTCGCACAATCTGCGGGCGACACCAAACTCACCATCTGGACCTCTACCCTCAAACGCACAATCCAAACCGCGCGTTTCCTACCGTTTGAGAAACTCGAATGGAAGGCTCTCGATGAGCTTGACAGCGGTGTGTGCGACGGCATGACGTACGGCGAAATCGAAGAAAAGTATCCCGAAGACTTCAAAGCGCGTGATGACGACAAATACAACTACCGCTATCTCGGGGGCGAGTCGTACCGCGACGTTGTGATCCGACTAGAGCCCATTATCATGGAGCTTGAGCGAAGCGAAAACATCCTCATAGTCACCCACCAAGCCATTCTGCGCTGCATCTATGCATACTTTATGAATGTGCCCCAGGAGAGGAGTCCGTGGATGGAGGTGCCACTGCACACGCTGATAAAGCTCACGCCCAAGGCATACAAGACGGAGGAGGAGCGCATGCCAGCCAAGATCCCAGCCGTCAGCACGTTTCGCGAAAAGGGCAGCAGTGCGAAACACCAAGAAAAAGAAGAAGGCGGCGATTAAATGTTGACTTTTTCTCGCAGGCCTCTTGGACACGGATGATAATGATGATGATGCTGATGATGATGATTGTGGTCGTCTTGCAAAGGTCGACACGCCTCTTGCGAAAGTCGATACGCCACTGGCCAGCGACTGACTGCGACGATTTTTATGTGGATTTATGATGGAATGCACACGATCGAATTTTCAATGTGCCGGGCGTTTTGGGCCGGTATGGTTAAACGGGGGGAAACTACAAAAATATTGGGATATCATCTGCAAAGGGAGAAAGTCATCGGATTGCTTTGAGTGCATGTTCTGTGTGCATACCGGGCTGGGCGGGAACTGAATAGACCTGGGCTGGACTGGGCTGGACTGGGCTGGACTGGGCTGGACTGGGCTGGACTGGGCTGGACTGGGCTGGACTGGGCTGGACTGGGCTGGACTGGGCTGGACTGGGCTGGACTGGGCTGGACTGGGCTGGACTGGGCTGGACTGGGCTGGACTGGGCTGGACTGTCCGGACTGGAGTGGGGGTTCATTCTTGTTGTTTCGCATGAGCACACATGGTTATTCTGATAGAATAGGCATGGATTAGCATAGCGTACCGTACGGAGGAGAGACACACTTGTTCAGCAGGTTAACCGTCACGTCAGGCGGAGACGGGCCGGGGCAAGATTAGATTCTTTCTCAACTACAGTTTAGTCAGACAATTGCCCCACGTAAACGGGCGAATGCATGCTTTCTTGCTTTCTTGCTTCCTTCCTTGAGTCTCTCTTTCCTTCTCTGTTTCCTTCTCTGTTTCCTTCTCCCTTTCTCTCTCTCGTTCGTCCTCCTCTATGATGATGATGACTATGACTATGACTATGAACTGCATTCCATTCCATGCTTGACAATTAGGTAGGTAAGGTAGGAAGGTAGGTAGGTAAAGTACCCAAGCATTAAGCAATAAATAACCAACAGTTGACCGTTGAACGCTGAAACGCAAACGATGCGTCCTGGCATGTTGATTTGCGTGACGGGATGGAGAAGAAGAGAAAAGAAAGAAAAGGGGAAAAAAAAGAAAGGGGGGAGGGGGGAGGTAACACTTCTCCTTTCATCTCCCTCTATCCTTTTCTCCCTTTCCCTCTCTCTCTCTCTCTCTCTCTCTCCTTCCTTGTCTCCCTCGCTCCAAGCAAGAAACCAAGAAACCAAGAAGAAAAAAAAAGGAGGAAAGCAACGAAGAAATCAAAAAAAAATCACATAAGAAGATGGAACTACAAGCCAGCAGCATACATAAGCCCATACCCCAAACTGACCACAACGGCAAACGTGAGCAGCGAACTGGGCACGCCGCGCGTAATAAAGTGTTTGACCTGCAGGTAGCGCTGGCCCGTCTGGGGGTCTTCCATCATGATGGCGGCTATATTTGAGAACATTTGTATTAGCAATCTGTCTTGATGTTTCACATTGGGGCAAGGGTCCACTTACTCATGTTCGGAAAGCCACTTGTCGGCAGGCCCATGGCGGCGCTGCACATGAGCACGCTGGCCATGACGAGCAGACGCGGGTGCGGCTCGTCCATGTTCGCGCCGACCTCGGCGACGAGCGGGAGCACAATCAGGGCCGCAACGGTATGGCTGATGAAGGTAGCGACGACGAGGATGAGGGCGGCGAAGACGAGCATGACGGCGTAGAGGCCGAGGCCATCGGTGCGGTCGGTGATGGCGTTTGCAATGGCGTGCAGGAGGCCCGAGGAGTTTACGGCTTTGCCGAGGGCGAGGCCGCCGGCGGCGAGGATGATGATGGTCCAGAGGAAGTTGTTGAAGTCTTCCTTTGTGAGGATGCCGCTGCCGAAGAAGAGGATGATGGGGATGATGGCTACGACGCCCATGTCGCCGAAGACGCCTTCGAGCTGGTGCGACACGCACCAGAGTGCGATAGTGACGAGCGTGGTGATGCTGATGAACCATTGGATGCCGGTGAAGCGGTCTTTCATTGGCCGGATTGGCACGATGGTTGTGCCGCGGCCGGGCTGAAAGGTGAGGAGCAGGAGGACCCAGATTAGGAGGATGCTGGTGATGCAGACGGGGAGTGCGATGAAGAACCATGCGCCCCATCCGACGGGCGGCGACATGTTCTGTAGGGCAATCAGGTTTTGAGGGGACGCGATGGGGGATGCCATGCCGCCGATGTTGGACGCGAGGGCGATGCCTAGGAGGAGTGCTCTGGACATGTTGGAGTCGGAAGGGAGGTTGCGAAGGATGGGCTTGGAATGTTAATTATTTCTGAATGCACAGCTATGAAGAGAAGAAGCACGTACCTGGATGATGGAGAAGCAGAGGACAGGGGCGGCGACGTTGCTTATCCACATGCTGGCGAACATGGCGACGAACATGCTCGTCAGGAGAACTGTTCGTGGTCTTGTACCTGCTTTGCTCAGCACGAATGTTGCCATTCGCTTCGCGATGTTGAACTTTGACAGGGCAGCAGCGATTGTGAAGCCTCCAAGCAATAGCATTATGACTGGTGTCCACATTGCTGCAAAAACATAGGAGGCTGCCGGCTTGGCGTCTAGTCGCTTATAGGGCTTCTCATCTGACCGGACGACCTGCAGAACGACGGCGAGGAATGGTACTAGAAGCGACGTGACGAAGAGAGGAATAGCTTCCGTCGCCCAAAGTAAACTGACAAACACAACGAGTGCCAGACAGTTTTGCTGTTCTGGCTTCTCCATGATGGGTATCGTGAGGAGGACCACGAATATGGCGATGATGACGACAAGAGTGTAGAACGTCGAGCTGAGGAGCCAGCTTGGACAAGTATATCGACCAACCGGTGTCGAGATCTCCTTCATATCAAGATGTGCCTCATCTCCTTGCAGTCGTGCTTTTGACGGATCTGTATCTTGTCCGAGAATGGTCTGCCGTAGACCCATGTTGGCAGCCTGAGCTTTGCGCTCAATACCGATCATTTCTCTCCAGACCGTGTTGCGCTCCCAGACGACATGTTCTCGTAGATGTAATCTTAGCTCTCTCTTCGCAACTTCAACATCTCCCTGAGTAACAAGTCTTGCGTACGCTTCTTCGATCTTTATTAGTGTCTCTCCAAGCCGATCCATGGTCGACTGCTGGAAAGGGTACGCCGCGTCTACGTTTTGCTGGATATATGGTCGCTTCAAATTTCGGTCCAGAATCTTGTCGTACTTCTTCAGCACCTTGGTGAAACCGGTTTTGTTCAATTGTATGAAAGAACGAAGCTCACAGACGTTGACGTAGTGGCTCACTGTCCGCTTCTTGAGTGTGATGCCCGTGTCGTAGAGCGCTGACATGGCCTGATCTGCATAGTCGTCAAAGATCCGGCTGTCGCGACGTCTTGAAGAAGACATGTCTCCGGTAGAAACCCTGAGATCATCCATAGAGTCCATCGTGCCTCGGGACTTTGGCTTTTTCAAAGAGGTACCCTCATTTGCATCATCGTCGCTATCGTCGTCGTCTGCATCGTCGCGCCCCGACTTTTGACTCCATGTACTTGATCGTCTTACTTTGCCGAAGCCAGAGAAGCTCTTGAACATGCTCTGCTGTCGGGCTCGGTTCGATTTGCTCAGTAGTCGGCTCGAGCCTAGCCCTTCAGCATCTTCACTCTCCATGTCATCCTGCTCTTCCTCGTAGCTTTCCTCGTCTTGCAGTAAGCTGTCAACCTCGCCATAGATTTCCAGCTCTTTCAGCCTGTAGAAAGAACATATCTTTTCCAGTTCGTGGTCCAGATGGCTGGAGAAGATTTTGTCCGGGTCATCAATAGAGCCTACCTCCAACAAAGGCGAGGATTCTGCATCGTTCGTAGTGGCTCCACTCTTCTGGTGTATTTGCTTCTCAAGGGAGTAGATACTATAGGCGCGCAGCTCGTTAGTGGCGAGGCCCGTTGTACAGTCAATGGCTCAAGACTCACAGCTTCTTGAGGTTACTGTAGGCAATATAGTGGCTGCTCCAGTCCGGGACGGCATTGAACTGGATGCTATGCGAGAATTTCATCTCAGCCTCCTCAAGAAGCCTCTCTAGCTTCTCCCTCCTCTTGCGCTCTTGTAGGGCCTCTCTCGGACTGACAGCTAGCTTGCTGGAGGCCTTAGGGATAGGTTGGAGTTCGTAGGAACTGGAGAGACTGCCGTTTCGAAGAGAATGGTCAGCCAGAGCGGGCAGATACGATGTCCGCGGGGGAGAAGGTGTGGGGAGAAGGTGACAGCAAGCGGATAGGCAGAAGGTGTCATATGCACAGCGTAAAGCAACGTTAATTAGTGGTAAATAGCGGAGTTTGAATTCTCAGAGTGTGTGGCATCCAGTTCCACCTCGCTGCAAGAGAGGGCTGATGAGGCGTAACAGGCGTGTCGAGACTGGCAATTTGATTCGCTGCGTTATGCTGCACACACCACCCGTGCACAGGCAACAAGGGCTAAAAGTGCCCCCACGGATCATTGGGGTGCTGCGGCGGCCAACTGCGCTTTTACCAGTTCCTCGTCTCGTGTCATTCTCACTTACAACAACAACAACAACAACACGTATCGTATCTCTATCGATACTATCGCTGACACTCTACGAAACCTCTCGACAGCCAGAGCACCAGCATTAGCATCGATTGCTTGGCGGTCAAGCCTCAATCCCTGGAGAAACCCGTCAGATTGGTTCTACATGCCCGCCTGACCGCGTTCACCATGCATTCACTCATGCACGCAAAAACAGCCTTGTATTCTCGCCCAACGTCCACATATCACATCACGCGCACGCAAATACGGAGATATTGCAATCACCCTTGAGACAGCTTGGATTCTTCGTCGTGGCCCGCAACCGGACATCCACCATGACCCTCTTCTAAATACTGATAGCATACAAGCAGCCTCTTCATCTCAACCGTCTCCTGTACGCTCACATATCCGCATCCATCGACAGGTCTTCCACAGGTAGACACGTCTCTTACACGTAGGCACAGGAATAGCTCCCCAATTCATAGCCAGTGGCTGCTTTGACATTTGTGAAACCGGGGTACTCGACCGCGTTCGAGTCGGTAGGCGCGAAGCTTCTGCAAATACCGTTCCTTGGATCAATCAGCCTTTTACCATGCAATGGCTTCTCCGTGGCAATGTATTACCTGTATATGGTACATTTCCATCTCACATCAGGTCCAAATGAACGCAGCCATCTGATCTCCGGCGGAGCATTATTACACACGGAGTGATCGCTGCCCCCAAACAAATGCACGCAGGTACCTTGCCAGTCTGGCTCGGTGCAGGCATAGACCTAGGCTCTTATTAGCCATCGTACTCTCTACGGTGTGGCGTGTAGTCGACGTACATGCGATCCAGCCTGACTATCAGCTGCATCAGCAGTCCTGTTTCCCCCTTCCAAAATACTAGCGGGGATTGCGGTATCGTGAGGATAGGCTACAGACAGAGTGGGACAGGCAGTAAGGTAGGTGGATAGAACAAGGGAGATTGTGGAGATGAAACGCATGATGAAGACTATCAAGTAGCAGGTTACTTGCAATAGTGAGGCTAGAGGAAGAGCTCGGAGTGACCGGCAATTGTAAGAATGTTGTTGATTTGAGGCGATGGCGATGAGATGGTTGAGATGAATCGCACTCAATGAACTACTTATACTCACTCATGAGTCCCGGAGACGGTAATGGCACCTGCTGACACCCTCTTGAAGCAGGAACATCAAACACGCTTGCTTCGTACCTGTACCTACTACCGTCACTACTCTCCTCGACAATAGATGGCGATTGGGTTGACATGATTGCTTGGTTGCTTTCAATCAGTCACCGGTTTCTCGCTCGGACATCCTATATCTACATGGAGTAAAGTCTTGAAGATGAGTAGTACTGGTACAATACATATCTCTAAGCTTCGAACATAGGACATGCATAGTTTCCAAGTGGAGTTGTTCGTTATCCTCTCTGCATATGGATTTTGCTGTCCCTAGAGCATAGTAGAGGAAAGCTTTTGCTGCGGAGTAAGGAGAAGCCTCAATCGGGATCCTCCAGGTATCATCACAACGCCGTCATGAGTCCGAGAAACGACTGTAGTTGGTGAGGTCTGAAACTCGTCGCTGCTTCTGCCTCCAAACGATCCATACCTCTCACCTGCCTAGTCGCTGCTCCTGTCCAACCAAGCTACTATAGGACAGTACGTCCGTCCATGGTGGTGAGCGAGCCAAGCTCGTACGATGGAGCCGAGTACCTGTCGGACCCTTAAATAGCGTCTGCTTCTTGGTGCAGAGAGCCAGGCCTATGTCAACATTACATCAACGTCCCTTATAAACCACCATGAGGTGATGGAGAGACGAGGATGCCAACACCAACTGCACCGCATGATGCATCCAACAGTTCGCATTCTGCATATGGTAAGCAGTATAAATGCCCGTGTCTCCATATCCCCACGATCGACAATTCTCCACCAACGTGCATTAGGCTATTCTAGCCATGTACACCAATCATATCACAGCCTAAGGCAACAGGGCACGTGCGCGCAGACGTCAATGCACGTCTTCTGCTAGAAACCCCGCCCCCGCAGCGTCAAAAATTTGCCAATCACTTGCTGTTTAGACAGTTTCGTCTTGCTGTCTGCGCCACGCCTTGTCAAGTGAATTCCGTTGGGAAGCCAGACCTCGACCATGGCCTGCTGATCCTGTCGGGTCCTGGATAAAGTGCGTCTCCATCCCCGGCCAGAAACCATGTATGACTCGACCTCGTCGCCCTTGCTTTAAAACTATACACCGTCTCTCGGGGTGCTTCTACTTGAGCTGCCAAATATGACGGATCACCAGCATGCAATGTCAATTGAAGAGCAGGCCGACATTCTGGAACGAGTGACGAGCCTGGCGACCACTTTCAGCACTTGCGTCGAGGCGTTTGGCCTAGTTCATCCGGTGAGACAGAGCGACCGGCCACAGAAGCTCGCAATCACGAGATTAGGCATCGAGCAAAGTCGGCTGCTCATTTTCGGTGATGCTGTAGGCATATCATCGCCGCCGCGCTCCATAGCGACGCATATGATACCGTCGAGACCTGGCGCTTTAAACCCCGATCCAAACGAACCAGTCAATTTTGGGGAACGAGACGCTCGTCTTGATGACCCCGAGATACGGCAACAAGTCGAGAACACACTCAATGAAATCCTCGAGCGTCCGGTGTCGTTGTCGCGAGAAGATATGATGCAACAGTATGGGATGACCTCACCGAAGAAACCTGTGCCGTTTGAACCCCCACTCGACACCACCCGAATCGAAGCGTTCCGCGAGAAGTTTGGACTGCTGCATGATCTTGTTGGGCAATACATCGTTGCGAGACGAGGCCAATCCATGACCACCCAACACTGGTATGTTAACGACGTAGCGAAATTCGAATCCTTTGTTCAAATGGTACGGTCACAAGTCAACAAGCTTATCGCTTTATTTAACGTCGAAGAGTGTGTCGATCGTGGCATGAGCATCGACATCAAGGCACTAGGCTGGCACCCCGACATCAGCGGTCCGGTTGTGCGGCGAGATTGGGAGAAGCTCCGGCTCATCGCCGAAGCCTGTAAGGATGACTATCCACAGTACGTCAAAGCAACCGCCACGGCGCTTGAGTATCTCAATCGGACATGGCGAGAGGCCAATCAGGTCACACCAACGTTACCCCGGAAGAGTCCCACCATCACCATCACCAAAGAACCGCCGAACGGTACCGAGAAGAAAAAGCCTGGTCGTCCAGGCTGGCTCAAATCTCTCCTCGGCAAAAAGAACAAATCCGAAAGAGCGACGACCACGCTATCATCATCCAACGACTCCGAACATGGGCGCTCCAAATCAGTCGACATCTCGCCGTCTGAACCCTTCACTCTGCTCGAACGTACACGCTCAAAATCTCTCTCCGCAACATCGACGGACAAGCCCCTCCCCAACCCGCACACAGTGGAACATACATACCTATCATCCGACGCCTCTACCAGCGAAATCGCAAACCCGGGCGCAGCGTCAATCGCAGCCCTGTCAACGCAGGAGACCTCTTCACCACTCTCTACTCAAGAGCAACAACAACAACAACAACAACTCCCTTCCCCACCATCGCCCAAACCAATCCACACACCCACAAACACATTCACCAAAATCGATTCCCCACAAGCCTCCACCTCGCCAGACGGCGTCTTCCCAGCTCTGCTAGCCAAAGTCGACACGTACAACAGTATGATTGAGCGGCACGACCAGTACGCAGGCATAGGACGTGTCGAGACCAAGGATCAGCGGCACATTGCGCACGGCTGGCACAACTGACTTGAAAGTCTGTGTGTTTGTCTGTCTATCTATCTATCCTATCTAATCTAGGGAGGATTTGGGGGATGTGAAGTGTTCTACTACCCGATGGTGATTGATCGATTGATTGATAGATTGATCAACACAGCGTTTCTAGTGTAAGACTTTTCAAATGTATATCAGCAAAGTACCAAAACACAACGAAGAAAGAACGAGGCGCAAAGGCGCCGTGGGAGCGAGAGAGAAAGAAGTCGGCCTGTATTTTCCATACATACCCTTGTCGTTTAATCCATTCATCCACCCATCCACCCATCCACCCATCCACCCATCCACCCATCCAGCTCAGACGGACAGACGGCGATGTTAGAAGAGAGCAAGGATTAGTGTATTTCTTCTATTAATATATATCCAAAGTTCCTACCCATACATACCATATCGTACCATACCCACACCCAATCAAGCGCAGCACATCAACATTTAACTTACGTTCATGCCTGTCTCGCCAGTATTGTCAGTCGTGACGTCGATATCGATCTCTGGATTCGGGATGATGTGTGTGTGTGTGTGTGTGTGTGTGTGTGTGTGTGTGTGTGTATGTATACGTCCTACTTACTAACTAGACGACTGACATAGTATAGCCAGGTAGGAGTAGGTAGGGTAGGAGTAGGTAGGGTAGGAGTAGGTAGGGTAGGAGTAGGTACTCAGTAAAGTGATAACCAATCGAACTACTACGCATAACAACAGCATTATTATACTATACTGTATTCAGGTCGTTCACATATTCATGTATCCCATTTTCTATTACTTATCATCATGATCATCATTATCAAGAGCTATATATCCTATATCTCATATCTAGCCCAGCTCCAGACTACTATCCATCCATCCATCCATCCCATATACCCTTCCTCAATATACCCCTTCTTCTTCCTCCCCCCAAAGCTCCTCCTCCAAGCACCCTCCTCCAAGCTCAAAGCACATCCATCCAAGCACGTCCTCGGTCGCAAAGATGCCCTACTAGTAGTCCACGACGACTCAACCTCAACCAAAAAAAAGCCAGAATGCTACTTTATGCATGTATGCATGCATGCACGTTCTCAAAAAATACCAATACCAAATATCCAATACTTATATCGTACCCACGCCATTGCCATTGCCATTGCCATACCCACGCCATGCAAGCCATGCAAGCCATGCAAGCCATAAAACTCCCTCGCACCGCTTCTACGAATCCAGATAACAAGAAAGCAACGAAACGCAGAAATTGTAACACCCCCCAAAGCAAATAATATTTCATAGGTCATCATAACAAGGCTTCAACGAGCTGTATAAGATCCCCTTTTCCAGCCACAAATCCCCCAAAACTACCCCCTTAGTTACTACATACGTCATGCATACCGCGTACTACTACCACGATGCGCCAACGGCGGCGGCACAGGCCCGCTCCACGCCATATCACTACCATGATGAGGACTCGACGAGCCGATGTGCGCAGCACCAGCACCGGTATTACTACCCCCATGCGGCCGACCAGCGCTCCCTCCGCCCCTACTACGCCCGTAGAAGCCCGCCATACCAGCCGGCGGCAACACGGGCGGGGCAACAGGTATCAGCTTCCTCGACCGCCTCCTACGGCGACAACAGCCGATGATGCAGCTCAGGATGCCGAGGAGGAGGAGGCCGCCGACGCCGGCGCTCACGCCGATGACGAGCGACCTGTTGCGCTCGACCCAGCTGGAGATGCGGCCGCCGAGGGAGGAGCCGTCGCAGCGGCCGTTCTGGCAGCGGCCGCCGCCGCCGCAGTCGGTGCCGTCGAGGAAGTTTTGCTTGAGGCCGTAGCAGACGCCCGGGCCGAATTCGGGGGAGCCGCAGGAGATGCTGCAGGAGGAGTCGTCGCAGGCGTAGGTGTCGTTGCCCTGGGTGTAGGAGCCCATGACTGTTTTGCACTGCATGTCGCGCGATGTGCATTGGCCGGAGGTGCATTGGAGGTTGTTGGAGCAGGATGTGCCGTCTGGGGTCTGGACGTCCGTGGGGCAGGTGGCGGCGGTGCCGGAACATCTTTCTTCGGGATCGCATTCGCCGGTGGAGGCGCGGCAGACAGTTGAGGAGGAGGCGAGTTGGCAGGATGAGCAGCAGGGCTCGTTGGCGTCGTCACAGACAGCGTTGTTCCTGAAGCGGCAGGTTGCCCCGTCGCAGCAGGCGTTGTTGCCGCAGTTGTCGGCACCGCCACAGTCGCATTGCTCGTCGCCCTCGACGATGCCGTTGCCGCATTGCTGGCCGGTGACCAAGGTCACGTCGCGGTTGTTTGTGAAACAAGACGTCGAGACGGAGCGGCGACTAAAAGCTGAGCATATGTTGCCAATGGTGCATTGGGAGAAGGCCGAGATGCCGTTGGATGTGCTGGGGTTCATGATGAATTGTGCTTGGGCGTCACAATTGCTGGTGCTCTGAAGAGGACAGCATTGTTGGGCATTGACAGTTGTACCGTCGCTACAGGTTTGACTTGTGCAGTCATGAACTGCGCCAAATGTGTGGCCAGTTTCGTGGCTATCCGTGTTAGCATGATCACTCGATTCAGATGGCATAACGGAACTCACGCTATAATCTGCCATTCTGATCCTCCACCGCCAGTCCTGTATACAACATTGGCACCAGCAACAGTCTCGGCACTGTTTCCTCCATTCGCCTGCGAGCCCTGGATGCAAGCTTGTCCAAGCCAAGCAAGACCAACGGCAGAGTCGGTCGCACATGTCGAAAGTAGTGTCCAGTGAGAGTTGTTGTCAGACTGCTCACCGCGCCATTGCGAGAACAGATTCAGTCTCTGTTCAATGTTGATATTCTGCGAGCAAGGCACGTTCCAGGCAGGACTGCCCGAGGACGACGAACACGCTGGTGAGGAAGTTATGCTCTTGAGACCCAGAGTGATGTTGAAGGTCCTCTCATATATGTCCGATGCGGAATTCATGACGTCGATGATGTTGTCGCTGACGGCAGACGTATTCGAGTTGAACTCGGCGAGATAATTGCAGTCGTAGGCCACGCCTACCAGTGCAACTTGACGGGAGGACGGACAGCCAGTCGTCTGCCCAATGGTCGAGACAAGATTGACACCAGCAGAGTTACCCCCTGGGGTGCCATCTATCTGGCGCTTGCCCAGGAGTGAATCGATCGAGGCAGCCCAGAAGCTCTCATCGCGTCGCAACATCCGCGCATACACAGGATGCTCAGGCGCCGTATTGAACAGCAACGTATCCGCCCTGCAAGCCTTCTCCTGTCCGTCTCTCTTCAACTCCGAATGGCCCATGGAATGCGCCGAGATATCAGAATCGCGCCACAGCACCATATATTCATCCTCACTGTCCTCGATACTCGGGTCCAACTCATGCCTTGACGTCCTGTAGTTCGACGCAAGCTGGACATGATGCGAAACGTGGTTCACCGCAAACGATCCCGAGAACGTCGGATGGACACCATCCTTTTGCACATAGACTCGCGCCGAGCCAGCTCTTTCCCACTTCTCCGCCTGTGTCCACACCCACGCCGTGCCCTTGTACACTTTGTGATTCGAGCGCACCAACGGCTCCGAACGCTCGATCCCGTCGGAACCTATGACAGTTATCGTCGCTCCCTCTGCTATAATATCGTGATTGGGCTCGAGCGAGAGTTTGGCGTAGGTATTGAAGAAGTGGAAGGACAGGTCGAAGTGCGAGAGATGGTGTATACGGCCATTATTCGTGTGTATGGTGGCATTCTGCACGTTTGCAAGAGCTGTGATCGGATTTCGACTCGTCGACCTGGCAAAGACGTCTGTGGCGAAGGCGAGTGCAGTGGTGAGGAGTGGTAGTATCAACATCATATCCAGCGATGAATCAACTTCCCCGGGCTCCAGGACGAGGAGCGAACGCGATGCGAGCGTGGAAGATTCACAGCGAGCAGGGAGAAAGGCGTGTAGGTTAGGAGAAGTAATTAACGAAAGTAGAAGTTTGTGAATAGCATTGGCCGTAGAGGGAACAGGACGAAAAGAAAGTAAGCAAAGCCATGTAGTGGTATTAGTGGTGGTGGTGGTGGGTGTGCCAGGTGGTGGGTGTGTGGGAAGAAGGCTGTGCAGGCAGAGGCAGGCCCCTCTTCGTGCTCAGTGTCGAATCGTTCTCATCAAAAAAAGGATTTGCCGGGCGGCCGAATCTCAACTGAATCTCACTGAAATCAGCGGGCCCAGGCAGCCCAGACAGCCCCAGACAGGCCAAACAGGGCGGGGCGCATAGGGCATGGATTAGGGGGGACATGGATGATGGATTGGGCTGGGTGAGATGATTTTTGGGGGGGGTGTTGCATGCGGCGTACGCACCTTACCACCCACTGATTACCCACTACCCACCCACCACCCACTACCCCCCCAGCTACAATGCCGCCGCCGAACAAGGCTAGAAAAGTGCTGGGCGCAACGCGTCAAACTTGGCGTGCAGGTAGCCTTACTTCGACTCACTTTTCCAAGATTTTCGCCTCCGATTTGCCGCGCTATTACACGTCCTCACTCTGAAACGCATATCAAACCATTCCGTCACTGCGAGCGAGACTTCGACTGTTGTTAACATCAACCACCATTAAATTCATTGGTCTTCCTTTTTGCTTGCATTTGAGAATTTCTGTATACATTCGTGGTGCTGCTCAACACATCCTCGCCACCCTGTCTGGTGCTTGCTGATGGATGGTGGAGAACACACACACCACTGTACTGCGGTCTTGGACTGCATAACTACACCAATTATTACAGCCTTAGGATATCGCTATCGCGTAACTAACTAATAAACGCCCAGATACAATGCGCCACTGGCCTGTTCCTTGCGCCCGCAGCTTCTACTTCTTCTTCTCTGCCTGCACTATCTCGATGATCTTCTCCACAACGGATGGGTCGGATAACTGTGTCAGTCTGAGTCAGCCGCATCTTCAACTCCTGCAAAGCTTCATCTTGACTTACTGTTGTGATATCGCCAAGCTGGTCCTCCTCGCCCGCCAAAATCTTTCTTAGGATTCGGCGCATGATCTTGCCCGACCGTGTCTTGGGCAGGTCGGGAACGACATGAATGGCCTTGGGCGCGGCGAATGGGCCGATGGACTTGCGCACTTGTAGAACGAGGTCCTTCTTGGTCTGATCTGTGAGATCGTTGCCTTCTTTGATAGATACAAACGCGTTGATGGCTTGGCCAGTGAGTTCGTCGTTCACTCCCACAACGGCGGCCTCCCCGACAATGGCTGTCTTGCTTAGTTCCGTGTCTTATCTCCGGCTATATGGTTTATACTTACGGTGTTCAATGAGTGCAGCTTCAATCTCTGCCGTCGATAGACGATGCCCAGACACGTTGACGACATCGTCTACGCGGCCACGGATCCAGTAGTAGCCTTCGTGGTCACGACCCGCTCCATCCCCGGTGAACTTGCTTGGCATTAGTACATCCCAACTCGACATTCTGCTCTAGTCACTCACGTAGTAGCCCTTGTATACATTCAAGTATGTGTCCATGTAACGCTTGTGGGCGCCCCAGACCGTTCGGGCCATGCTTGGCCATGGCTGCTTGAATGCGAGCACACCTTCGACATCGTTTCCGTGTATCTCCTCGCCAGAGACAGGGTCAATAATCGCGGGCTCAATCCCGAAGAACGGAAGAGAGGCACTGCCAGGCTTGGTTGGAGTGATACCACCCAGAGGAGTGATGACGTGGGATCCGGTCTCTGTCTGCCAGTATGTCTAGAATGACATGTGAGTTGAAAGTCCTCCCTGGACGTGTGACAACGACTTACGTCTACTACGTGTGCGACCTTCTTCCCTACTGTGTCGTGGTACCATTTCCATACCTCAGCAGCAATCGGCTCACCGACTGACCCCAGAACACGGAGCTTCTTCATCTGTGCCTTGACGTGCTCATCACCTGCACGCTTGAGAAGTCGAAGAGCGGTAGGTGCAACGTAGAATTGCGTCACACCATGTTTCTCAACCACATTCCAGTAGCGAGAAAAGTCTGGGTATGCTGGTGTACCTTCGAACACAACGGTCGCGACACCGAGCACTAGCGGAGCGTAGACAACATACGTGTGGCCAGTGATCCAACCAACGTCACCACCACAGAAGAAGACGTCGTCGGGGTGAATATCGAACACGTACTTGCCAGTAGCAGCAGCTCCAAGCAAGTAGCCAGCTGTAGTGTGCATGACACCCTTTGGCTTGCCTGTCGAGCCAGAAGTGTACAAGAGGAACAACGGGTCCTCCGAGTTCATAGACTCAGGGGCAATGTAGTTGGGCCACTTCTCGACCTCCTCATGCCACCACAGGTCGCGACCCTTTGTCCATGGAACCTCTGTACCGGTACGCTTGTAGACAAGACATCCTCGGACGTCAGGACACTGCTTCAGCGCTTCGTCGACAATCTTCTTCGTGCCAATGACCTTTCCACCACGCTTGCCCTCATCCGTAGTGATAACGACCTTGGACTCGGCATCAATGATGCGGTCACGCAGTGAGTCGGACGAGAACCCAGCAAAGACAACAGAGTGCACAGCACCGATCCTCGTACAGGCGAGGAACGCAATGACGGCCTCGGGGATCATAGGTAGGTACAGAGCAACAGTGTCGCCCTTCTTGACGCCCATCTCTTTGAGGACAGCGGCTAGCCGACACACCTCACGGAGAAGCTCTCCGTATGTGATGGTGCGACCCTCGCCCTCCTCATCAGCCTCGTAGATGATGGCTGGCTTATCCGGATTCTTGAACGCATGACGATCGACGCAATTGTACGATGCATTCAGACGTCCCTCGAGGAACCATGCATTGTCGCCATTTTTGAAGCTACCGGAATGAACAGTCTGGAAGTCGCGCTCCCAGGTGAGCAGCTGGCGGGCTAAGTCACCCCAGAAGACATGGGGCTGCTCGATGGACTGTTTGTATAGTCTCTTGTAGTCGTCAAGATCCTTCAGATGGGTGGTTTTGTCCTTGGACGTGTGGTTGCTGGAGTAGTGTGTTAGTGAGGCCGGAGAAGGCTACGTCAAGGGCGTAGGTAGTGGACAAGTGAGCTCTAGCTGCCCCGCCAGCCCAAGAAAGAGGCGCGAGCTCGTCGTTGACCCCGCACTCGGCGAACAGCTGGGGCCCTCGATTCACGAGAGCTTGAGATCGTCGCGTGTGTCTGACGTCAAAGGAATGTGTAGATGTGTGGAAGGAAGGCTGGAAAGTGCTTCTTGAAGCGTGGAAGAGGAACAGGAGGAACTTACTCGAGATATCCCTTCGGAATTGGATACGTCTCTACCTGATGCGCTTCCTGCACAACAGCGCCCTCCGGGGCTTTCGGAGGCTGGATTGGACCCTCTGACATGGTGACTGTATATCAGTGTGGCCAATTGAACGATGGGCTGTGAGATACTGAAGAGTTGAGGTAAGGAGAATGGCCTGCAGGACAGCTGGGGGTCGAGCGGCTATTGTATGCCGGGCAAAGGGCAGCTTCTGCTCGCGCGTGTGGAACCGTATCGGTAACTCTGGATGTGCTAGGGTGACGGGCTATGCAGGTGCAATTTGAGTACTAGGGTGGGAGTGGAGCTCTTCAAGTGGCCAAGTGGTGTACTATATGGCAAAAAAACTGATGGTTGTGGAAGAGTAGTGAAGGTCAAGAGGTTCGGATAGTGAACAGAAGCAGTAGAGGAGCAACGTGAGCGGCCGGCGTGGTCTATATACAACACAGTGTAACTAAAGATGATGATGATGATGCAAGCCAGGCTCCCAGTCGCATTATGATGTGCATCCCGTCTTCCGTCCATACAAGCAAAACGTATCTCAGTCAGGTATAGGTAGGTAGTAGGTAATTAGTGTGGAATGGTTCCTCTACTCGTTTGTGGCCACGATCGTCACATTATGACTGGAAAACACGGCAATAGAACGTCAACGGAACAAACAATCGAAGCTCTTGAAAGTGAATCGACCGTGTTGGAGTGTCTCCTACTCCTCTCCTCCCTAGTACTAGCCGTGGGCATTGTATTAGTGTCCCTTTTGCCCGGCCAGCTGTATGTGGGGTAGTGACGCATCGCCAGGGCCCAGTCTGATGTAAGCCGAGACCTCTCTCTAGATGTGCTTTTTTCCCTTCGACCTGCCTTACCCTCGCCGTCGGCCCCTTTGTCCTTTTCTTTTCATCTGGTCCACAACATCCCAGCATCATTTGACTATCCTGTTTGCACCGACTACAACCCATGCTCCCTCGACACTACCATCCATCCTATGCCACCACCTTCTTCTCCATACCCACGTGTTGTTTGTCCCGACTAGTGGATTAAAAGTCCAACAGTATGTACCGCGCACCGAAAAGATGCTCTACTACTTGATATGGCCGGGTATATATATCTGATTCCGAGCCCTCAACGCCATTCGCCTTGGTCTCATGTCGATGCCGTGTAAGAAAGATCAAGTCGCTCAGAACATCGCCGCGTTGCCCCATCCTGAAAACTCCTGAATGCCATAATGCTCCAAATATGCCTGCCCTCTGCCTGTGAGCTTAACTCAGCCTCCTATTTCCCCTTTGTCCTTAACGCCTTTTATCGTGTCTGTGTCTGTGCTGTCACTACGCTCTCGTGTTGCATCGGTCTCGTCTGAGCTATTGACCTCGCTCCCTTTGCGAACCTGTTGTGCGACCCGCTCTGCTATCTTCTCGTCCAACATCTCTACCAGTCGGTTCGAGTATTGGTCCAGTAGTTTCGCCATCACACGCTCGTCCATTCCCCTACTCTGAATTGCCTTCTCACCGACTGCTCGTGCTGTCAGCGCCAGCTCTCTTTCAAGCTCTCGTACTTGCTCCGTCGTCAGATTGTCGGAACTGCTCCCTAGTTTCTTCCGGTATGCCCGCAATGTCCGGCAGACTTGCTCTGTGGAATTGCCAAGACTTCCAAATTCATACGTAGTCGGCATTGGTTTGGCTCTGGATCGTAGATCATTGGAAGAGCGACGCATTTTCGCTATTTTGGCAGCTTCAACCTTGCTTCGCGGACTTGGGGGAGACGGTGATCGATTTCGAAACGATCGACGCGTTGGAATCTCAGGTGTAGAGTAACCGCCTCTTAAGTTGGCCGAAGATGAAGGAGGGTCCAATCTTGGTGCTTGTGCGAGGCTAAATTTGGATGATTTCTTCCTCAATCGAGGGGAGCGACTTCCGGTTTGTGTTGGAGTTTGCGCGTCTTCCGTCGATGACCGCTGGAAACGCGCAAGCTCCGACTGGGACAACACTCTGCGAAGAGGAGGTCGACTGGATTTCTTGTCCTTCTCCACGGGGCTGAGCCCCATAAGGTCCATTGACTTCGTCAGCTCTTGAAGTTGTTGCTGCCGACGGTCAAGGTCCCAGATAAAGATGGTACCATCGGCAGCGACAGTCACAAGTGATTTTTGTTCCATATCCGTCTCCTCTCCTTCACTGGTAGAAACTAGGGTAATTCCGGTGATTCCTTCAGTATGACCCCAGTCACGTTTTATCAATGATCCACTCTCATTGTATAGGCGCACAGATTTGTCCGTACTGGAAATACCCCCTGTCAAGGTCGCTCCTCGTCTGGGCACAGTCACGAGACCAGATAAAGCTACAGCATCTCCACCCTCAGTATCTGTGGCTCTGAAAGACGTGATGACCTGACCAGTCTCAATATCATACTGATGAACTTGCCGATCGATGGTCGAAACGATTATAGCATCATCCTGATTAGGGTCCAGAATAATTGACAAAGGGGTGGCTTTCAGCGTGATTGTCCGCAATATGACAAAAGCGGTCAAAAGTCGATGGCCTTCTTGCAACGAGACCTTCTCCCTCACCACAATTGTTCGATCGGATGAACTTGATATAAGCCTTGTACCATTCTTAGAAAATAGAAGAGAAGTAACAGCACCAACATGTTCATCCATAGTCTGCAGTAATTCCCATGTACCTTCTCTTTGCTCAAAGACTTGTAGAGTTCGATCGCGACTTGAGCAACCGACGAGTGCATTGCTCTCCTCGTGAATTGTGACATCAGTGACCTCTGCGGCATGAGCCTTGCAGGTAAATACTGTCTTCTTCGTTTTGCCGTCGACAATCCTGAGTAAACCAACTTTGTCACCACAGGCGAAGAAATCGGCGTTACGGGAGGCACGCACGACTTTGAGCTCGTTACGATCATCTTCGACATCATCGGGTTGTGTCAACTCGACCTTCATATCTCCTTTGCAGTAACCGCCTTGATCCCAAAATAGAACAGCCCCATCTGCCGACCAGGTGAAGAATGAGGCGTCAAATTTATTGGGTAGTGGGAGCGCGTCAACCCCTAATACAGCGTCGCTATGAGCTGGTAGCTGCCGAATCACCTCCACGGAACTTCCATCGTCTGTTGGTAGTCTCAACAGCTTGATATGGTGTTCAGAGTCCACCGAGACCAAGCAAGACTTCAAAGATGTTATGGCTTCAATGTGGCATGTATCGCTTGCAAGGGCAGCATCCTCTGTCGCGTCAACCGGGCCGGGGGATTGCGGGGGAGTACGAGTTGCGAGCAGATCGTCGACCCTGAGTATCTTTAAAGTGCCTTGAGCACCTGTAAGGTGTAGCCTGCCGTCATCAGACACAGTTGAACAATTTACACCAAACCCGGCATCTGCGATTTTGAAAAGGCGTTGCGCGCCTTCTGTGTCATCGAGAAGGCAAATATCTCCCCGGGACGTACAGATGACAGCCTTCGATGCACTAATGGGAATGACACTCGTGAAAGTACATTCGAGTAGAGGTCCAAGAAGGCAATTTCTGCCCTGAAGAGTCTTGTTCATAGACCCTGGGACAGAATTGCCAAAATCGCTCATGCGTGACTTCGTTGGCGAGAAGACTTGTACCTCTTCCGTACGCCATACTTTCACATGTCGAGTGCCGATACTATGCTTCTTAGAACCAACGTACTTTCTTGCAACACGAATAGCACTTACGTTATCAGATTTTGGCCAAGCCAGGCAATGCGTGTAATGTTGCTCGTGCATTTGTTACTCGCATAGAAGACCGTGGACCCATTTCTTGGGTTCACATTCCAGATGTAAAGAAATCCATCATTAGCTGCACCTAAACTAGCAAGGAGTTGTGAATCGGGGCTGAATGCAACACATCGTACGCCAAATGTATGATCGTATATAGACGTCAAGGGATAATCGGAAGGTGCGTCCAGCGCCGTAGAGAATATAAGAACTCTGGGTTTATTCCCCGTCTAGATAAAGTCAGCATACAGGACTGTATGCTAGAACAGCCATAGCTTACCTCGCCCACAGCCAAGTATTTGCCATCCGGGCTGAAGGAGACACATGTGGCGGTCTTGACCCGATCGCGAGCCGTCCATGACTTTCCGCCGGCAGCATCTCCCCACTCAGCCGTAGGAGATCCCAAAGATAATCCGATTCCCGATTCTCTTATCGAAGCTGGAGTCCGTATGCGACTATCATTCGGATTCTGGTTGGGTGTGGAAGGACCATAGGCGGAGGTCGCCGTGTTGATGGGAGCTGTGGTCGGTCGTGCTCGGAAGAAGCGTTGAGAAACTTGGTACTTTTCGTCGACTGTCGCGATGACAGCTGCTGCGCCAGCGGTGAACGCGAAAGAGTTGCTGTTGGGAAGTCCGTCGAAAGAGTTTGGGGAAGCAACGGTGGTGCCAATAACTTGTCGGAGGGAAAGTGTGGAATCATTACGATTGGATTTGATCGGAGATTTGGCAGACGTGCCTTTGGCAAAAGGTGAATTCGAGGGTGTAAGCTTCAGAGCGAATGCAGGGCTCATCAGCCGGGAGTTGGGTACGGGCGTGACCGACATGTCCAGTTATGCCGAATAGAAATTTGCTGATAGAGAGCGAGTGACATCTCAGGTAAACATGCTAGGCAAGCAGTCATAAGGAGATAAACGAATGGCAGCAATGCGAAGGAGCGTTGCGAAGGTCGAGGTTGCAGTGAAGGAGCGGAAGATAGAAGCGAGTTCGTATGTGCGATCGAAGGAGTAGGAGTTTCGACGGGTGAATTCTCCGATTATCTGAGGCTGGCACTGGACCGCGCGCCCATCACATTTGATCGGCGTGATAGGGGCGGTAGTGTGATGATTGCAATTTTTGCCGGGCGCAACACAACACTACGCATGGGGTAATTGAGAGCTGAATACGTCCGAAGTCGTTCCTTTTGATTGGAGCCGAGACTGAAATGAAACAGCGACGTTCTTCACCGTATATTGTCAGGGTCAGGTTCAATTGAGGTTACGATGCAATGATGGTAATAGATACGAAGAGGTCTGAAGAGAATTGTTGTGAAAACGCGGGCAGCAGCTACGAAGCGACGGGTGGTACGAGCGCCTTGCATAATAAACAGATTGTGCAGTGTGCACAATGTGAGCCTGGGGTTGCTGCCTGATGTCTTAAGGTATCCATACCTTGGAATAACCCTAGACTGCAAATCAGAATACATGGCCCATCGGCCCGTGCCTCTTTCGAAGCTAACTCGCCACTACATCAAACAAAACATCTCTTTGTTTACTTGGCCATTATGACAAACACCGGAGATAGTCCGCTCTCAATCACTGGCTCCATTGTCGGCATCGTCGCATTGGTGCTGTCCGTTTCTACCATCATTCAGGCTGTCTACATCTATGCCAGTGCTTATCGGGCTGCACCCGCCGAGCTGAAGAGATACACCTCTTCCGTCTCCAACACCATGGATGAGCGTTCTTACAGACTCAGGAGTGGGCATATCCCAGGTCCAATCAACCTAGCCTTGGGTGGTAACGCCAAATACGATAATGCTCGGTGGACTGAGATGTTGGAGGAGTACTACGAAGCTCACCTAGAGCTTGAGGACGAGCTCCATAAGATCAAACATAGAGGCCGAAATATAGACTCTCTGATCAATTGGAACCGCATTCTGTGGCTGTTCCGGAAGAAGGACTTGGATGAGTCTGTCCAACGCGTGGAGACATTGAGATCTCGAAAGATGGCTGTCTGTCTGAATGCGTTGCTTGCGTATGCTTTACAAACACCTTTGACTTCCATGTTAGCGCTGATAAAATTTCATGATCAGAGATGTATCGAGTATGAAAGAAACCCTGAATCGTATTGAAGCTAGAATACCACAGGGTCCACTTCGCCTCCCCGTCGCACGACCTCCAGAGGAACCCGAGCACGACTCTCTGGCAAGACCATTGAACCTGTATGCAAGCTCGGTGCTGGGAGAGTCTGTGACTGATATAGTTCGAACATCACTCGATTCCAGATGACTGCCGGGAAATTCTACATCGGTTGAACGTCACTCATGGGAACTGAGCATGGCCTAAAGTCCTTGTCTAGCTCACTCGTGCACAAAAGCTTTGCCGTCTGCTACCACTACCCTCCCTATCCTCTTCAACACGTTTCTCCATTCATTCTCTCGGTACCGGTCCCACGCGTCTAGGCCTTCTCTCGCCTCGATGCTCAACGTTTCGTATCCAGTCTTGATGACGCCTTGCACTTCCTTTGGGCTGAGATGACCCTTCTTGCTGCCTTTCTCCTCCAACAGTGTCTTGTAGTGCGCGCTCACTCCAATCAATGTGTTCATGCTCTCGTTCTTGTCTAGACTATACGCGTCTCGAAATTCAGTGAGCTTCTCCCCGAGTTCCACAAGCTTGTAAAATAGGTCGTCGTACGCAGCTGGGTCCGGAAGGAAGGCCTCTCCTGATGCCAAGGAGAGTGCAATGATCGTTGTCAATAACGAAACGACGTCCGATGAGTATGGCAGCGAGCGAACATCGTCGGCATAAATAGTAAGAAAGCGGATGAAGGATAGTAACGATCTCCATAGCTCCGACCAGTGGTAAGTCAACCGCGTGCGTGTACGAGATAAGTGTGAGATGATTCGAAGTAAGACTCCTAGGCATAGTGTGTAGAATTGTACGTCGAGACGTCGTCGCAAATTATGGTTAACACCGTCCATAACGATATCAAGTATGGTAGATACCACTATCCGATCGCCTCTAATAACAGGAAGATACGGTGGCCGTTGGCGACATAGTCGTACGGCAGTCTTGCTATCATCCCCACATAATCGCTTCATCAGTCCAGGATCCTCTATCAGTATCTGTATGGTGAAGAGACTGAGGTACGTATACGCAGAAGCGCGAGCTGTACGGTGTGCGTGTTGAAAAAGATAAGATGTTAGGGAGAGGAAAGAGCTAAGCGGTGATGCTGAAGTAGGACTTGCCGGACTAGATGTCACGAGGTTAAAGCAGAAGAGCTTATTGGCGTTGGCAAAGTCGTAAGTGGACAGGAGAATACCGGCTTCTGGGTCGGGTCTAGTGAACTTTAGTAGGAGATTCATAAAATCGTGAGGTCTTCGCCTACAGAGCCATAAATAAATCTTTAGCCTCTTCGGCTGATGGCGTTGGTGTTGTTGCTCGTGAGCCAGGCGCAAGGGCTCCTAGCCCAATCATATGGAGGGTGCTCCCTATACCCCAGCCTTCGGGAAGGTCCTCTTGTACCGCGATATACCGGTCTCTTGTCGAGGCACATGTAGAGCCTACACAAAGGACAACCTTCTTGATTGCCTGATCATTGACAAAGTCGTCTAATCGCAATCTGTAAGGGTTCTGAAACTCAAACTTGTTGTAGTTTGCGAGGAGACCAAGAAGTAGGAACGGAGAGACAATATGGCTGCTATCATCCGCGTCGAGTGCGCACTTCCCAATCATTTTAGCTTGAGCATAAAGGGGAGGGAGAGTCAGACTCACTTTCATGATAGCAGGGAATAGGTCTCTATGAGTGAAATAGCTGATAAGCCCGGTTCCCCATGCTCCACTAGTCATTGCCAATGCAGTCTGCACAGCTTTTTGTCTGACTTCCATACTCCTGCCATTTCGTATTATGCTTTCCAGAACTCCAACAAATTCCATCAAAACTTTGTCGGCATCGTTGAGGCCTGCTAGCACACTGATGATGTCAGAGGATGGATTGGTGTATCGTTTGCTTAGCACGGCGCCTAGGAATACTGTCAAGGTCTGGTTCGTAAGTTGACCCGGCTATGTAAGGTATTGCTTGGAATGTCGGAGAGAAAGATGCGCGTGTGCGTGGTGTTGCCGCAGCTGAAATTTAGGCTTACATCGAGTGCTATTTCGTCCGAAGGACTCCTACTTGCTTTGGCGGTACTAATTGCTCGCCGGAACAGGTTTTGAGACTGCGTCTGTTGCAGAAATCAGCGATGACTCTTGGCCAGATTTACCGATTGTGAAATCAGTATTGTGTAATGTACATACTTGCAACTGAAGTAAATGTTCTGCTCGCAAGTCGCCTAAAATGCGCTTGAGATATGCAGACTCCGGCCGGTGGAGAAAGAACTCCTGCCAGAATCCCTCAGAATCTTCGAAGTCTTCTACATCGTCTATGAACAACTGCTCGTAGAGCTGCACGACTTTCGGCGTGAAATTATCAGGCCGGGTATCCTGCACGAGGGGGGACGGCTCCATGGCGATGAGAGTAAATGCGGATGTCTAGACGTACATCGATAGAAAGACCATGCATAGTAGGGCGGTGCCCAAAGATCCAGTAGAAGGATATTATAGATTTCCGAGTACTCAGACATTGCGCGTCTACTTACGGGCAACCCAATCCGTTAAGGATCGGCCGGCTGCGCGTGGCTGGAGGATGTGGCTGTGGCACGGACCTTCGCGAGTTTTGAGATCAAGACCATCAATTACTGTAATCTGGCTGATGCTCTCGCGGCGGTTACTATATGCTAATCCCCCTGCTATCCTCTAGACGACCTTACTGAACTAGCTGAGAGATCCAATCCAAGGCTCGTCCACTTTGTTGATGGCCACTTTCTCTTGGTCGCTCAAATGCTTATAGTATATCCCGACAGCGATACCACCAACTATAATAAGTAAAATCAGGATTCCACTTAACCATTTCACGAAACGAATTGGTAAACACATGACAGTCCGTCTTCCTCTACGCTCTGCGCGACGTTCCTCTTCCTCGGCGTATTCGGCGCTTCGAACATAGGATCCACGCGATTTGACGGAATCTTGACGACTAAATACCCTGCCGTTGAAAATTGAAAGTGAGGATGCGTATATCCTTGACACTGTCCGTCTCGGCACTGCATCGGCGGTCTCTTTGGTGCTGGGCGAGTGGATATATATGGAAAATGGCTTCGATGCACTCCCCTCTTCAGCAATCGGCGCAAAGTCAAAAACTGCAGTTCCGGGGACAATGTTTGGACTCGGCGTGGGAGTTTGAAATATCTCTTCAGAACTCACGTATGGGACTTTGCATTCACTTGCCGACGTAGACTGGGAATAAACACTGACGCTTCGTGGCTCGCTTCTCTGGCTGTTGTTTGGGCGCAGGGCGGATGCGCCAGATCTACTCCGATTACGTCGTACATAGGGATCTCTTCCCCAGTACTGCATATGTGCCGCTCTAGGAATAACTCTTGGGCCATGCGGTCGTTGACGCATAGGTGGCGAAGCGAATGTAGGAATTGTTGGTGAGGTCGGAGACGCAGCTGACCCTCGTAGCGCCCTGCTCTTGTCAGTATGCGACAGCATGGACTGTCTTACCACTATGCGAGACGTCTGCCCTAACTTACTCTTCATCGTATGTGCTACCCCACGAACGCATGATCACCGTGACTCAAGAGCGATTGTACGCGTCTTGAAACCTCCCTCGATTTGGTCGGGTTCGCTTCGATTATACGGTTTGCCAACCAGAACCTGAGTCGCTTCTACTCCCTCGACGTCCTTTGGATGCTGAAGTAAGGAGGTTTCGGACGCAATGGCTAAGAAAAGTCAAAACACCCCAGGCAACAAGGGAGACTACGGGCATCGTCTAGGCTCGCTGAGTGATTTTAATAGAGGAAGACGGTAACTACCTGGAACTGTATTGAAATTTGGCGTTGCTCCACAACAAGAGCAGAGACATAATAAACATACCCCGGAATCGCGTGGATGCGACCTTTACCATGGCCATTGGCTACAGCCTATGATATACCAGCTACTAGTCTCTGGTTGAGAACCAGAAATTGGCCGCAAGCAACCTTGAGTATTGGTTGAGACGCGGACTCTTTCAATGCTAGCCAACACCAGCGATCGCTCCACGCACTCCCAAACACAGAAGTCATAGGGGGTAATCTAGACGTGAGACAGCAGTCTCATTTGCAACAATACTACTTGCTCGATAAGATCACAAGCCCAGAAGCTTGCCTTGTAAGATCCGGTTGAGCAATAGGGCAACGCATCCGGCACGGTCCGCCGTACCTGCATATGTGGTTAGGGCTGAGGCAATAATCCCCGAATGGCACTAGCTAGGCTTGTGACAAGAGAGCTTCTCGCACGTTCAGATATGGTTTTTAGGTCGGTATTGCATTCGGATGTGAATGTGAATATGAATGATCTAGCATGTCCCCCAATACTGTTGCCGTCAGTCAACTTTGCGGTTTGTTGCCGCAGCATACGTCTCTACTAGGACAAAAGGAACATTGCTATGTATAATCGCTCGTTCTTATTGGCTTCTAGAAAGTTTTACAAGTACGTTGGCGTGGAGATATTTCAATTCAGGGAAAAACTTCAGCGCATGCATGATAGGTACCTGGTATTTACGAATCCCTAATCTCTAGAATCGAAGCTCAAAAATCAGGTACGTCGAGACTGCTTAAGGTATTAGTATCGACTCTTCTCCCCTACGTTGAGCTACTGACTATGCGAATATCTGCAACGACCTTCGTCCATTATTCCGCTGTCAATACAAAGGGTTTTGAGCAAGCGAAAGGATCGACATAGGACTGAGGACGGATCTGCTCCACACAGCTCGCGTGTACGAATTTGGTCATCTCCTTGAATCTCATTGTTTCTGTACGCATATCTCGTAAAATTTATTGCTGTCTGGGCTCTCAATAGGCCTTCGTTGACCATCCCGGTATTCTGCCTTGCTCGTAATAAACGAACGGCGATATAAATTTCTGCGACACCATATGTGCGTACATGTAAGCTAACACTCTCAGATATCAGGGAACCCTCAATATCTCTTGATCTCCGACGAACCGTATCGGAACCTTCATGAATAAACCTTACAATCACACTTAGTTTCCTGGCCCATTTTGTCGCCTCGGACTGGTAGGTTCACGACACTCTCGTTCAACATCGCGGATATCCTAGTGCATCGCAGCCTCTAGCAACTTATCATTCGGAAGTGTGTCAACACACTCAGCAGCTTTACAATTGTACGGTCGCACATGTGCGAAATGTACTGATTGTCAAACAAGGTCAAGGGATTGAAATACTTGTTTGACGCCAAAAGGATACAGCAACATGCGCATGCAAGTCACGACAGGAGTTGAAATCGATGTTTACGACCTGCACGCCGATGTAGGGTGGGACATTCGGGTCCCATGCTAGGCTCTCTACTAGTCGGTCGCAGGAGCAGCGATGAGGACTTGGTTGCCCGGCGCTCAAACATCCATCAAGCCGCCTCCGCCGTCAGTGTCTTCTCCGTTGCTCCCAGTTGTAATCTCCGACAACACCAGCAGTCGCTACATCGACAGACCCAGGTCACCCGTAGCTTAGCCACGGTCAATGGGCTGACCGATCCATAGGTCAAGCTGATCAAGGACAGAATCTCGCATGTGCTAGGGTTAGTGACTTTTCATATGGTAATCCAGCAAGATCGCTGTTGTGACGATCCGATTCTGACGAACTATAAAAGAATGGTCAGGCGTGAGGCAAAGAAGGAGGGCGATAAGGTAATACTTGAGCCGTCTGTGCTTATAAAAGGGTCATAACCCTGTTTGCTTACAAAATGATGAATCTAGCTTGAGTATACCTAGAGAATATGTCAGATGTACTGCCAAATGTGGTAGCGTAGCTAATTCTTATATTAGTACGAATTTAGTGAGTATGTAATTAGCAAATCCCTGTCGCCACGTAGCGTCCTTAGTGCACTGGAGCCATCCATTCAGCAGTTCGAGGATTAGACGAGCCAACCAATGAGAACCCTGACAAACCGCCCCTGCAAGACTGATGTGCCGTGCGCCTCATAAAGCAACCACATCGCATGTTTCGACATGTAATTACTTCTAGACACTTTACGAGCTGACCCAAGTCTTCTCTCTGGCGCAGTCTGCAGCACATACGAGACTGGTCCTGACCGTGTCGCACACGTCAAGTAGCGCCACAATAATGACTATGGGAAGTATAATGCAGAGGGATAAGGGGGACAGCACGGAATCAGATAGCGGGAACTTCGTCAGGAAGAGACGCTATGCGACTCGAGTAAGGACAGGGTGTGGTACATGCAGAAGTTCGTTTAATCCTCCGTTGCTGACCTATAGAGCGAATGCTGAATGTAGTAATAGTACGACGAGTGAAATGTGATGAAGGTCGGCCACATTGCATGAATTGTTCCAGCACAGGCCGCATATGTGAGGGATATACAGCGCCTGCCTCGTGGGGCAAGCAAGGTAGCAAGTCCGGAACGAAGGATAAGGTAGCAAACAAGAAGGACTCTTGCCTTAGGGATACGGCAACTGTACCAGGTGGCCCAACAAAGACGACTAAACTTATGATCGCACGTGCTTCTAACCCGAAACTTAACCTCGAACACCAACCTGGCTATTTTGGCTTGTGTTGTCTACCAGGGCAGACCCCTGAGAGGTTGATGGACGCTCTGTCTCGACTGGAGAATCATACGCGATTTCTGGAGGCTACTCGGACGCTTTTCAACGAGTCTATCTATTCGCCGCTTGGTCACTGCTACAATGCCGTTGTGCGTACAGATCAGAATCTATTGCTCAATTCAATCTCGTTGTATTCCGATGCCACAATCGCCGCCAGTCGGGGTACGGTCTTGAAGGAAGACTCGAAGACACTGGCGAGTATCATGCACGGCGTCTCACATTCCCTTGCCGGGCAGGTCCCGATTTACAAGCTATATCGGATGATGGCTCTCGTAAATTCGATGTGTCTCTACGAAGTAAGACGAGCTATATCGTCATGTCAAACCGTACAGCTAACTCTCTGGCAGATTGTCCAAGGAGGTACCCGGCTTGCAGTACACTTCAGTGGTCTAGCACGCATGGTCGAGGTCGCTGGTGGCATCGCAAATATCGACTTTGGACACCTTCCACGAACACTTGAGGCTACAGACCTCATAACTTCCATCTATCTAGGGACGCTTCCCCTCTACGCTCCTGTCTCATTTCCCAACCTAGAACACCAGAAATCAGGTGGTGACAGAGCGGAACACTCGAGACCATTCCTGTTGACATCGCCCTTGTATATTTGTGAAGCTTTCGCCCTAGCACATAAGTACAATGGTAATATATCGGAGACATCCGTGCAGATTATGCAGGATGCGTTCAATCTGTTCAAGATTCGCGTCAAGTCAATGGAAAGAGTTACAGAAGCATCACCTATTACACTAAATGCGGATACGTCCACTTCCGATACATATTACGCCGACCTCCAGACCGCACTAAAATCAGACATGATATCCACGAAATCTGCCCAACACTTTGTCAACGAGACTATCCGGCAAGCTGCTATCATCTGGTGGCGAGCTGTTGCACGATTCACTCCTTTCGACGCTCCTGGAAATGATGTGAATTTGATAGCTATCTACAATTCTATGTCCTGGATACCACTAGAAGCGTGGACTGGATTGCCATTCGTCTATCTATGGATGTAAGGAAATAACGACTGACAATCCCGCAACTGCGCACTAACACTTGTTTAGTATTCTGATCGCTTGCTCAGCCTCGACGAGGCATCAGAGGGCTCGTAGATTCTTCTTCGCCGAGATGTCCCGGTCGTCACTGTGCTTTGGTACAAGCTGTCTTTCACTGTTCGCACGTTAGTCCAAGATATCTCATCTCTGCTTCTCATTATGTACACTAATACCCGAGTTAGCAATCACGAACAACTTTCTGTGGTTCAGTGAACAGATTCGAATTCAGCAAAAACGCTCCAGCGCTGCGGCCGGATGCCCTAACCCTTCAAAATCAGTGTCAACTACAAGAGCTCGTTGATAAAAATAGAGAACTGTAGAGAAATTACTCGCAAGCTCCCAACTTCTATCACTAGCCAGAGTGCCCCCGGAGTTCGTGTGAGAGCATGTACAACATCCATTAGACCAAAGGTCGCCTACCGACTTGCCCATTCAACATCAACACTGAATAGAAACATCCTATACACTGGCGTGTGAGACTTCCTGCTCCTGAATGAGGACTCGACAGAACAAAACAGGGCCAGTTCGGATCACCCAAGACCCAAGAGCAGGCCAGGAGAAGCAACGACAGCTCAACAGTGTGCTGTAGCGAGGATAGCGAGGTCATGAATGACATCAAATGTTGATGAAGCCAGGAATTCACATAGAAGCATTTTAGAATTGCCATCATTATTAAAGCTGCCATTCTGGAACTATAGCCCGGATTCGAGACGTGTCCCTTTCGAGTTGCGTATAATCAACCCTAGATGACTCGCAATCTGAAGGGCTAGCCAAGGCAGTCTAGGCCCTGTTGGCCACGATGTAGCTTCGATGTTAGGTAATGGATAATAGCATAGTCAAAAGCAAACGTCCACACACCTCCTGATTTCTGAAGATCCCTGTATGTAAATCACATGAAACTCCAATAAACCCCTAGGCTTTCGTGATATACGTGCTGTGAAAGAACTAAGTAAGCAAGAAAACAAAAGGTAGCATGGCGACTATAGTGCAGGAGCATTTCTCATTTCTAGTATCGAAGCTTGGCACAAGGTATTACTACTAATTGATAGCTTTTGTCTCATCTACTATTTCTACTATTCATAAGCAAAAGGGGTATCATAAGCTGCTTAGACAATAGAAAGAAACATCGTTGCGTTGTAATGGCTAGGTACGGGAATAAACATATAGTCCCTGTAAGCTTCGCTGCGCAGTGATGGCTATGGAAAGTATTGGACATATGAATTCAGGAAGTATTGTTGTGTGAAGATGGGTATGCAAGATGTTTAATAGCTAAAGCCAAAGAACATGAAACTCGCAATGAAATATATCCACAATGGCCGTGGACCTTTAAGAGGGCTACTCACGGCTCATACTCGTCCAACTTTGGCTCTGTATCTACGGACTCCTCACGTTCTGGCGTGGGAGTAGACAGCAAGCGTACGCCATACCTGTGCAGCTGCAAGTCCCACACACGCTGCCACCTCATATTCCTCCTGGCTCTGGACCGCACGTTTCTCGCGTCCTGCAATTCTTACTGGTACGTCAGTGGGATATCAGTCTTCCCTGTACGGAAGCGATATGACTCGCGCACCAGACATTCGTTGACATCGCAATGACTTGCCCATCCGGGATCGTACCGCGAGATCGAGTCCTTAAGTCCTTCCACGACCCAGCGATAGACCTACAGCAACCACGGTGCGGCCTTATCATAGATGGAAAGAGTAAAATCCTTGCACTTTCCTGTAAACATTATTGTTCTCGCTATGATACTATACATTGATGAGGTCGTCTCCGATACCAACCCGAATTGTACAGTCAGGAGAGCGAAGTGCTGGAGCAAGGATGATTAGTTCTATGAAGCTTCTAGATTTGTCAGAGTACATTCAAGAGACGTACGTATAAGGTAGAACAACAGCGTGTCCTGCTCGAACCTCGATGACTAGGTTACATGACTGACGATTCGTTTCGGGAGGACTCTGACTCTTGCCCATTTTTCAATGCTGATGATGTTTCTCGTGTTACTCGCACGATTATGGATAATATGACTCTGGCGGGACTGCTCGGAGTACAATATTCCTTCTATGGAAGTATGTTTGTAAGGCGCCACTAGACTGGAGTATCAAGGTACAAGACAATCAACAATGTCGCAACTAAGCAGATAGACCCGAACGAACCACATGAAACCATGGATACGTAACTGTTGACCTACGGAGACTCCGTTTCGACACGAAGCGCGCCCATGGTGCTATGCCATACGAGGAAAGAGGTCATTTCAGATTCTGGCCTTCTGGAGGAGGAATACCTCCATACTATCCCGTGATTCATCTTTCGACTCTTGAGTGCCTAAACTCCCGTTGTGGCGTCCATGTATCTGAATTGGAGTGGGCAGGCGTCTAGTTCTGGCGTGGAAAAAAACATCGACGTACATCACAATATGGGTCTATCAGACGTTAGCGGGTGTTCTCACAAAAGTCATCTCGTTTGAGACTAAAATATCATGCCTCATTTCGATCTCCGGCGTTTTCATGCACTGTCATCAGCTGTCATGCTCCTCTCGAGCACTCCTCGGCAGCTCCAAGTCCACAATCCATGGAGCCTGAGCAGGACGATACATCAGGTTCATTATCGACGCATTGACGAGCAATGTATCTTCTCCCCTCTCTCTACTTAATGGACCTCCATTCCGATCGTCTCTCTGGGCCTCGCCGCTAACATCAACAAACTGCAGATCCTGCTTGCTGCCAACACGTCGTTCACCAACACGCGTACTCTTCTGAACAAAGTCTTCCGCATCTTCCGTAGCTTCCTCTAGTCCACTCCCGGCCGTCAACTCTGCATTCACCTTCTCAACATCCCATGTGATGCGCTCCGCTCCCGACCCTTCATGAATATGTCCACAACAAAACAGCCTTGGTCGCGCACGGGCCGCTGCACGCAATAAGTGAGGGCAACCAGCATGCGTCCTCTGGAAAGTCATATCACGATGACCTCTTGGTGGCCCATGCGTCATTAGGATATCAACCTCTGGCCACGATGGAATCGGATGCTCCACGATCGATGTCGCACCCGGCGATGATAGTGCAGCTGGGTTCCACCTGTCTTCACCGCGTTGATAGTCGAAAGCCCAATCACAAAAGACAGGCTGGTACGGTGACGCATAGATGGTGAAATTTGCGCCGTTACTGAGGTTGAAGCGGTACAGACCTTCGTCGAGGTATCGTATGCCTTTCTTTTGGGTCTCATCGCAGGTCCACATCGCCTTCGCGGACTCAACAGTATGATTCCACCATCGATGGGTGTATTGCATATTATCGTCAGAAAGCATCTTGTATCGAATACCATTCGGCCCACGGTACTTGTCGTCGAGGCTGACGTCATGATTTCCTGCAATCACAAGCTTGAGCTCAGCGTCGCACTGATTGAGCATGTCGATTGTTGTCTTGTATTCTTCTAGCTCTCCTCTAATAGTTAAGTCGCCGCAGTGGAGCAGGATATCTGCTCTGGGTAGCGGGTATTTGAAGGGATATGGGGAAGAGGCATCGCCGAGCGAAGCAGTATGCGTGTCGGAAATAATGAGGATGCGAGTCTTGACCGTTGACGATGTCATTTTGACGGTCACGTTGTCGATGGTATTGAAGATATCATGGAGAACGTCGCTGTTTAAGAGTCATTGTTGGCGCCGACATTGGAATTAAAGCTGCAGGGATCATGAGTGCTAATCCCAAACTGGGTGTCGCGCCAAGAATGTGGAGTAGATATGGTGGTGAGATACGTCAGCAAATCTTTGATGGAGATTGCACTCGCTTTGGTGACAATGAACAGCATAAGGATTCTGAGAAATATCCATATTGCCTATTCTGAAGAGAATTGGGTGAAGGTTCTGATGATTAGCCATTATGACACGCATGAGTCCGACCACGGCTAGGGCGGCTGAGCGAATATTTCCTTTCCTTGATTGAATATGCACTTTGAGAGGCATATATATAGGATAGAGGCGGGCGTAGCTTGTCTAAGAGGACGTCTTGCACCGGAGCGACACCACATTTGAGATGTTACCAGGGGTTTTCGGTCCCATTTCGTGACCACCTAAAGACAACCCACTAATAATACAATCACAGCCTCGATTCTTTCGTCTGAAACAGCTACACATAAGCCGCGGAATAGATTCCTCCTATATGTTCCAGCCGCATTGATCCAGTACCGCTAGATTCAGTGGGCTGATACCGTGGGTATATAAATTCGGATTCTTTCAGCATCCTTTGCGGGAAAACAAGAAACGATAGGGAAGATTGGTGTACAGAATGTAAATACACGCAGCCAAGGTGAATCGAGAAAACTCAACAGATGTTGCGTAAAGGTCACAATATGTACAAAGAGACGAGAAAAGGAAGGGAGGAAGTAAGGCACTGAGAAACGAGTGAGTCTTAGATAAGACGGCCCGAAATTGCACAAAAGGGCGGTTTTGTACGGAACGAGCAACACTATTCTCTTATCGTCCCTTCAGGCCGCACATTAGTCTTACTGAGCTTTTTCCCCACACCTAGGTTGAGAGCACTCAATCTCTTCTTGACGCTGCCCATCCTGCTTGTTTTGCCGTCGCTCTTGTCCGTATTCGTCGAGCGGATCGTCTCGGCTCCGTGATTGATGCTTCCGTCCCGGTCGACGCTCGCGCTTCGCTGGCTGTATGCGGTGGTACTGAGCGTCCTGCTGAGGTCCGAGTCGCTGGGCTGGGTGCTTGCACCGTGGCTTCTAATCGGAGATCGTGGTTCGCGCATTGAGTTGCGAGGAGCACGTTCTTCTGACTCCTGGATTGCACTGGTGACAGCTTGGTTTTCTCCGGAAGTGCGCTTTAGAAACGTGAGACTCAGCCGGGACTTTTCATTGCGTTTGTGGCGCTTCTCCGAGAGGGCAAAGGGGGACCCGTTTGACTGGCTAGGACCGTTTGTCATAAGCATTGGGTGGTCGGGGGTCACTACACGATCATGGGTCTGTTTCTGTGTAATTGGGATTGGTCTGGTCAGCCAGGATGTGGTCACTTCTGTGGCGTTAATGTCCATGACAGGAGGTGCTACAGGAGCCAATTGTTCGAGTTCCGGGGCAAAAGTTATCTCGAACCCTGAGACACGGTAAGTGAATGCATCTCAGATCGTAGGGGCCCAGATTCCTACTTACGTTGTGTGAGCTCTGCGCGGGTGGCTTGATAGGCGCCACGCGAGAATACACCCAAACAGCGCTTGATTACCAATGCATGATCGATCAATGCAACCCTGAGAGCATTTTCCAAAACTCCAAAAGCTCGCTCTTCGCCTTCATCATTTACAAGCTCGTGGGATTGTGGTAACAGTTCGCGGTACAAAGCCACGCTGGCGTCGGTCGATGTATCTATAGATGATGTGATGCTTTCGGCAAGCAGGGTGAAAGCAGCATCTTCCCCGTTAGTAACCCGTTTCTCTAAAGCATAAAGTTCAGATGTCTTGCGCGTCGTCCTTTCTAGTGCTGTTTCGAACGGTGGAAGGGTGATGATGTCTGTAGTAACGATCTCACTGCGACGGAGAATGGTAGGGAATGTCTCTGCCGTTGTGTATACCGTCTTCTCAGCTATTTGTTCGCGGACAGACTCACCACCTAGACGGCGAGAGGCGGTGGTGAAGTTCTTCGGTCGTGAAAGAAGGAAATAATCACGGATTGGTTGGGAAACCTTGGCACGCTGATAGATAGGATGGACGAGGTCTTTCTGTGGAGTTACAGCATAGACCTGAAGGTATTGACCTTCCACGTCCTCTTGTTCGCTTCCTATTGGAAGAATTTGAGCCGAAGGGTGTTGTGATTGCATACGATCGGTGAATGAAACCAGTCGATCGGTAGAAGAACCCTCGAAGATGTAGTCCTTGTCACGCAAACCAATAGGCCAGCCAAGACCTTTGTATACGACACGAAAATACCGAGCATTCGGTCTCTCGCCTTTACTGATGGCCTCATAAATAGTTGCCATTGCTCTTTGAGACCGAGCCAACTTTGCGAAGTCGAACATGTTGTGCTCATATTGATAGGCCAATTCGATGTACGTGCCCAAAGCATTATCCCACGATTGTCCGTCTTCATAGTACTTGATCATTTGAAAATAGATGGCTTCCTTACGTTCAAAGGCAGTTTGCAAAGGGAAGTCCGGTGCTGAGCAAGCCTCGATTGTGACTGTAGGATCCCATTGATATAGATCGGCATGCAGACGGAGCGCCAGGCCGGCCTCCGTATAATTGCCAGCTTCGGCCTGCAGTCGAGCCAGTTGATGAACATATGCGACATAAATGTCTTCCTTCTGCATGTCTTTCAAGAACTCCATTAAATGGAGGGTGTCCATGATGTGGAAGACCTCCCCGGTGGCATCTGTGCTGTGGACGGCAACAAGCAGGTCCAGGAGTTCATCGATAGTGCTGATGATGCCTTTGATCGCAACAAACAGCTCGTCGTCATCGGGACTGTCGGCAAGTGATTCGAACAGATCAATGAGCTCGCCTATGAAGGTCTTCTGCAGCATGCTCTCAGTCATGGGCTTGGACTTGAACAAGCGATCGAGGCAGTCAATCATCTCTGCTTGAATGAGAGCGAGGTCTTGGCTCAAACACCATTCACTAATGATCATGGTGTGAAGTATATCGATCGCAACTCGCCGCAGGCCTTCGTGAACACTTAGGCAAAGTTCGACGATCGGCGGGATGAGACCAGGGACATATTGAACCTGGTAACCACCCATCCTGGCTAAATTATACTCTCGGCGATCCTCTGGCGACGTCTCCCATCCTATAGCTGTCCACGATCGACGTAACAGATTTGCACCAAGTTCACGCACATCGCCTGCAATTTTCCAAACAGCACGCCGCTTCTGCTCTGGGAATGCTTCCAAGGCAAGGGCGTTACTACCGACTAGTTGCAGGAGAGTGTCGAAGAACGATCGCCATAACTCAGTACTGAACTGGTCAGCGTCATCTGGCTCAGGTAGGAAAGATTCTATCAATATATGCGCGATTTTTTCCAACGTCCTCATAGTTGATTTGTGGTGGTAGATATGTGTGCTCATCCACGACATAGGGAATGCTTCTCCATTCATGATGGCCATATGTACTTGTAAGCAGGAAATCAAGAAGTCGCCCACACGAGTTTGCGGCCAGTCCTGGGAAACGATCGTCGGTCGTGAAGATAAAGCTGCAAGCACTGCCGAGATCTCAACTAGAGTCTCCTCGAGCTCAAATTTAGCGTTGGTGGGGCGAAGAGGAAATGGATAGGAGGATGGGAACAAAAGTGAGAGAGATGATTTCTCGAATCGAGGAATTTTTTGGATAGCCATAAAAGAGTCGACGAGTTTGTGCATATACTCTGGAACCTCCGAGTCTAGCTCTTCGACGTGAGACGCCACGATGGAGGAGCACAACCGAACCTGCTCTTTCCATTGATCAGTGACTGGATTCGTGAAGCCCCAGTAAGGTTCCAGCCATTTTGACGTGTATTGCAGCAATGTCGGTCGGATGTCTTCGTGTTTCAAAACATCGCTTTGAAGGAAGTTATAGACCATGACGAGCTTGTAAAGAATCAGTTTGCCCTGAACATCTGCACATTTCTCGGTGAAGTCTGTCACAATCTGGAGAACCTCATGGTGCGTCATTGTCGGGTAGAACTCTGGTATCCATGTGTGGAAGTATTGTACGACCAGTGTCTTAGTCCCTACGAGAATGGGTGCGGAGTTGGTCATAAGGACGCCTAGTGACTTCAGAATCTTTTGCAAATCCTTGGTGAACGTTGGCTCGCGACTAGTGATACCAATGCCAGCCTCTTTTGCTTTTTGTTGCTTACGAGCATTCATGATGAATTTGAAGATGTGTCCGCCAACTTTCAACGTCGCTCTCAGCTTTCGTGATATGTCAGTGTTCGTCGGATTGTCGACCAAACGTGTAAAGCTGCGAAGCAGACAGGAAGTTGCGAAAGGATAGTTGAAGCGCTTCTCTGCGTAATCATCGACCAGAGGACCTAGGTTGAACCGTCGATCATGAACAATGCTGAGCATGACCACTAGGGCGTTGAAGACCAGATCCTCGTACTCGTCGTTTCCAGCGTAGTCCACGACAATCTCAAAAAGTGCATCGAATACGTCAGGTAACAGTTTGACGATCTCAATTTCTGGCACGAAAGCAAAACGTTTCAGTAATTCTGCGAGGTCACTGGCAGACTGCTCTTTCCACTTAAGTAGACCGATCAAACTGGGATCCTGAGAGTATTTGGTGCTACAGAGAAAGGTGGAGAGTTTGACAGATGCCATGGCTCCTGTTACCGATTCGTCTTTGCGTTGCTTAGAATTCCAAGGCAAGCCAAGATACGCGCCTCTACCGGAAATCATGCCTGAAGTAAACTCGTCGTATTTGTATAGCGCGAGTGAGTGATCACCATCACGAATAAAGGCATCTTGTTGCCAGAGTGGCATCCAACAGAGCGCAAATGGGAAGTGTGGTGCATCCGCAATGCTCATAACTAAGTGACAGCCAGGAACATCTTCAGGCTTGATGGCTAATCTTACTGTCAGATTCCATTTGTCGCCCTTTTCGACAGCGGTCGTTCGCCATGCGGTGTGGCCAGAGCTGTTGCTCGAGGGAAATATACAATTGTCAATGCGCTCTCCAGTAGCTCTACGAACTTCAATGGTGAGTTGTAGGTTTGCAAGAGATGTCTGCTGCGCCAGTGGGACAGTCCCATGTTTTGGGTGCGATAGAAATGAGTTTCGAGATAGGAACGGCTCAGAAACCGTCAGATATATATCGCTGCGCGCTTTTCGTGGTGCTCCTGACCAGCCAATCTTGGGCGTCCAGTTCATATTATGCATCAAAGTTGGTGTCTTTTCGATGAGAGCTTCAGCGTCAGGATTTTCGAACGGGTTTAGGGCTATTTGCAGCGAGTTGACAGCATGCAGTCGCTTGTATCGCCCGGAACTGTTCGGAAATAATTCAGGGATTATCTCGCTCTGCTGATAATCAGACTCTGCCACCTCGTCAAATTCACCTGCGCTAGACCATAGTGAAAGATCCCAATCCATCTCAGTCTTCGATTTCATGATGTCATCTACACGACAGACGCCAACTGCGACGGTTCGTTTTGCAGACTTGCCGCTGGGTGTTCCATTCATTCGAGACCCTGGGCGCGTGTCTCCGGACGTCCTGCTGTGACTAGCTGTTCGCTGATGCTCGGGGCTTGTGATGCTATCCTGCTCTCGTTTTCGGGCTCCGAACATCATACTCCGCCGACCTCCCTTTGCGCTGAAGCTTCCGGCTTGAGACGGCCGCTCGTGAAGACTCGATATGCTCTCGCGAGGTCCCGAAAGTGATCCGTTGCGAGTAGCTGTGTCTCTGAAAGGCTCGTGTTCCAATACCTTCACCACAAGATATAGACTTGATCCAGCTCCCGCACCTTCCCCAAAGTCCACAGGAGTCAAGTCGGCGAAAAGTGCTCTCAGACGCTCCGTTGGAGATGAGACCATGGTTCCGTCTCTTACGATAAGATCAATGGAGTAGACTTCAGAGATAGGCCGCGGTGCCGACCCGGGGGTCTTGACACAAAGGTAAACATTGAGTTGCGTGGAGTAGTCTGATATATTTATCTTTGCCGATTTGACGTGCACAAACAAGTGGTGAAGGGTGTGTTCGTCTACAGGCTGGGTCGGTTGTTCTTCTAGCAGACTCATGATAGATTGTAGTTGCGTGACTTCTATTGCGGAGTCTTCCGCGGTCAGCATACGCCCGCGTTCGTGTGGACTCCGCACAATCACATCCCCCGAAAGGAGTTTGTTTCCTCGCACCAAGTCCCAGACTGTCCTTTCGCGGAGGTCGCGCAACTCTTGCTGGGTCAGAACTTTATGCAACAATTGTCTTCTTGCTGTGTCCAAACGGTCTACCAAAGCGGAAGTCTTATCCAATTCAGTGTATGTTCTAGATAGGAGTAGCTCGTGTAGCTTGGTCGAATGCCATTCGCGGAGGCATGATGCAATTTCGTCCACAAGGGGCTCCTGAATTGAGGTAGGATTTTCATCGCCAATCTTGAGCATTGGAACGGGCGCTAGTGGTCTTTGAAAGGAGGAATCGCGGGGTCGAGGAGATGCTGGTGGCAGTGGTATGAGGGCCTGTTGCATTTGGTCCGGATTGTTGGTCCAGGTTTGCGACCCAAGACGCATGCCTGTAGATTGCCTCGCGCTGCCATGTGGAGATGTTCGGGATCTGGTCTCGGTTCCTTCAAGATGACCTTCGTCTGGTGTACACGTGCCATTGGCACTCTGATCTGCCCGAGCGGTGTTGTGTTCAAATCGTAGGGCTCCAGTGGCGGGAGGATCATGATACTGGCTTATTCGCGAGGTCAAACGCTTATCCCCAAGAACCTCACGAACTTCGACGCAGCATTTCGGGAATATTCCAGAAAAGACGCGTGCCTCCAACGTCTGACCTTTGACTGTCGTCAAACCTGCCAGAAGCGATGGCGGCGCGACGAGATAGCCACGGTACCAGCTGCCATCTTCTCCGCCCAGCTCTATTATGTATAGTTCATCGCCAATCTCAAGCGGTAGGTCGGCCGTCGACGTCGGCTGGAAAGGATACGTGCAGATTGCAAAGGCAATCCGGGGGAGAGGGCGCCAGCCGGGCATGCCTCTTGTCGAGTCGCGCGGTCACGGCCAGCTGGGACTCCGATTCATACCGAGGTGAACACCCGTGGAGGAGCAGTCGAAGAACAGTAAGCGGCGAAGCGTGTAGAGGAGATGGGACGTGCTTCAACAGCAAGCAGGCGTAAAAACGAGGTCGCCGTGTGAAGAGGATATGAATAAGAGTCTTGATGCCCCTTAAGGCTTAAGGGCCCCGGGAGATGGAGATAGATTTTCTGAGGAGCGCGAGCAACTCTGCGATTGGCTGGCACGAGGCGTTCGCGAAACTCTAAAAGCTCGGTAACGGCCCGCCAGAGAGTAATCGGGTGGACTCAGGACAGTCACTTGAAGGATATTACCTGCTATAATATCATTGATACCATACTTATCATATCTTCATTAATGAAGTGGGTCCTAAATCTTTATTTCTTGCCTAAAGAGAGAATGAATAGATGCTTTGATTCAAATTAAGCACTAAATTTACGGCACGGGAAAGTTTAGTATCTAGCTGGTTGATTAGAATGTATAGTTGCACCCCCATCAGAGAACGAAAAGTCTGTGATCCTGTCCTAGCATGCGCCTGTACGCGTCTGCGCCGTGCTCGATTACCGAGTTGCATCCATCACGATGCACTGGCATTCAAGGTTTATGTCACTGCTTGAGTTTTGTGGAGACTATTGTCGGCGCAAAAAGCTTGTGTATATTTAATCGACCACCCAGTCATCTATCGCTAACAATTATATTAATACAAGAAAATATATACCTCAAACGGTCTTCTGCATAGACCCATGTCTATAGTTTGCTCGGCTCGAACTGTGTGGAGAATGGATAGTTAACGTAGCCATCCGGCGATCTAGCATTGTAAAATTTCTTCCTGTCGTACGGCTCGAGCTCAATTCCATGGCGAATTCGAAATGGTAGGTCTGGATTTGAGATATACAGCCGGCCAAATACAATTACAGCGTTAAGATCCTTATAATCCTCGTCGGCTGCGCGTAAGGCGGTATCTGGTCTATACCCGCCTGCTACCAGGAGCGGTTTGTCCCCCCAGGTCTTAGTTAGGAAATCGAGCTTGCGAAAGTTCTCAACATCTGCATTGCCAGAGATTCGACTTTCCACTGCATGAAGGTAAGCCAGGTCCAGCTTCTTTAAGCCCTCTACCAGGCAAGAGAACTGTGGGATTGGGTCCTTCATAAGCATGCCCTGAAATCTGCTGAACGGAGAAATGCGGTAGCCCACGCGATCAGACCCGATTGCGTCGACTGCAGCTTTGGCAACTGCCAGTCCGAATCTCGAGCGCTTCTCTACACTTCCACCCCAGCCATCGGTTCGCTTGTTGACATTGTCTTGTGTAAACTGATCAGGGAGGTAGCCTGTAGTCCCCGTCAGTAATGACAGGTCCGGACACGATAGCGAGCGTCTAACCATTCGCGCCATGTATTTCCACGCCATCAAAACCAGCCTCCACACAGTTCTTGGCAGCCTGCCCGTAGTCTGCAATGAACTCTTGGATTTCTTTCTCTGAAAGCTCTACCGGCAGTGTGCCACTGGTGTCTTGCTTACCGGGTAGCTTGGTTACCTGCGGCATGGGCGTAGCAGAGCTGCTCACGGGCTTTAGTCCAAACTCTTTTCTCAGTATATCCTCAAGTGCAGCTCTTCCCAGGGCCCATAGTTGACAGTATATGAAGCTTCCCTTTGCATGCACGGCGTCTGTGACTTCTTTCCATGCAACTATCTGCTCTTTAGACCATAGACCAGGGACTGATCGAAATCCGCTAGCTCGAGGCGAGATGAAAGCACCCTCAGTTATTAGAAGCGTCCCTGGAGTGCTTGCACGCTGGGCATAGTACTCTTTAACGAAGGGAAGAGGGACATGATTACCGTCAGCACGGTATCGTGTGAGTGGCGCGAGCGCGATTCGATGCGATACGGTGATGCGGCCAATTTTAAGCGGTTTGAATAGGTTGCTGGTACCTGGCGACGTGGAGCTTTCCATTCTTTCGAGTTCTCAGAAGAGGTCCGCCTCATCGCACCGCACGCTAGCGATATACGACGAGGTGGCCGCCATCTTATCAGGGATCCGCAATGATTGTTAATCTAATTAATACAAGTAATTACTGATTAGTAGAGTCATTACATATCCAATCAATCTTAGTCACCAACTTACCGCACCCGGACCCCTGGTGGGCCCGTGGACACTTCGCCACGCTAAATCCCATAATAACTTCAATAACACCTATGAATTAGGTATTCATAGATGGAATATCACTGCATCACCTCGTCTGAGCAATTATGCCTCGATATATCCGTCTCGCTTTTGACGCAAAGAGACTTGCGCGCTATAGCTGTCCCATCGCATGGTTCTTCAGTCTCATGGTTCTTCAGGCTTTGGACTTCTGAGAATGCCTCTAAATTTGATATCAACGAATCGTGGAGCTGTGTGGAGCTATGCACCGTACTAGTAGCAAACGCTAGGTCATGGCGATGGCTATCTAGTATCCAGGCATCCACACTATGGATCCGATCACTAGAAAAAGTGGCCTGAAATGTAGACCCCTCTCCCCCAGCCATCATACAGTACCTCAATCCCTTCCCCCTGTCACCTCTTGTCTTACTTACCTTTCAAACAGTGCCTCAAAGAACTAACAAAGGATTTAGTCTTGACATTGTTTCGAACAGAAGAATCTCCCGTTAGCTTTGTTCGAGTACATGGAGTATCCCAACTTCGTCATTGTCATATACATTGTACCGCTCATGACGACTATATAGTTCACTGCAGGGCCTGCTCGCCTCCATCGGGTCCATCAGTCCGTACCATACACGATATTATCGTATTAATTCGACTTTGACTTATCATCTACGATCCTCCAAATATCTTTGTTTACTTTGATCTTGAACAGTGAAAATGTCGCGCCGACGACCCGCCGAGCTGAAGCTATCAAATACTGACACCGGTTGCCCTGTGTCACCGCTCTCTATGAATGAGAGGTCGGCTCGCGGTCGTATAATGTCCCCGGTATCTCCATATGCACAGAGCTGCACCATTGCGCGGCAACCTCATGTTAAATGTCGAAAATCTGATACCAATCCCGCTCCACCTAAACAAGGTGTCACTCAACATCAGAAATTTCCTCCACCTCCCATGTACTGTTTGAAAGAATCTTCTGATCACCGGCTTGACTCGAAGAGAGAGTCTTATGGCGAAACAACATGCGCTTACACCAAGAAACCTCAGATCGAAGAGCAACGACACAAGAAGGGATTATGCTCAGAAAGTTGCATCATACTATAGGCTATCCGTACGAACAAATCTATTAAATCGCGTCTGGAATGAGATGTATCGACCCGCCGGCGGGTATAAAACTTGCTAATAGGTATAATCTAACGACGATTAAGTATTTAGTCATCGAAGTCCTCACATAACAACACAACATCCTCCACCCCCATTCTTTTTCTCCTCCTTCACCAACGGACCACCCACAGAGGTTCCCGATCTCACCAAGACCGGCTTCGCCACCTTTTCGGATGTCACTTCCACCAACGGTCCCCTCGCATTCGCAGCCAGCCACTCGGCTCTTCCTCTCGTTCCTCCCCTACCCCTCAATCTCTCATCCAGCGTTCCCTCTCCACCAGGACCTTGCTTCAACGGAAACAGCCCTTTATAAACCGGTACTTTCGCGTTACGTCCTGAGTTCGGCGGCGGCTGCCAGCGATCCTTCATCTTGTAGCCATGCCCTTCGTGGAACCTGGATTGTGCGAAAGTCCTACGTTCGGTGGGGTCGTCATGGGTGTAGGGTGTTTGCGGGCGGGGTGGGGGTTCCAGTGGGGAAACAGGGGATGGAGGGCGACGAGGCATAGCGTGGATACGTGAGGTGCTTGGTATCAATGCGGTGTGCGTGTTTATCTGTTATCTGTGTTTCTGCAGTTGCAGTCGGGTTTTGTGCGTTTAGTAGGAGAGAACACGAAGAAAATGATGCTTGATGGTTGCTCTTATGTATGTGTGTGTGTGCGTTGGAGCTCCTGGTGCCATTGTGACAGTCACATTGAATGACAGTGAGCCACGGATAGATGATAATCGGGCACTGTGAAGTTCTAAAGGCTTTGAGATGTAAATATGTTTTTGTCTTGTCATGTGAAATCAACCAGACTCAAAAGATCTTTTGGTCGATACCTTTAGCAACTTGTTCGTCTACAGGGCTTTGTCTTCTGAAAGAGACCGTAGACTTGCGCATGGTTGTGCTACAATGTCTGCTCCGTCACAGATAGATCACGTACTTCGTGGGAGCCTTGGAAGCGCCTCCGGAGAGTGTGAAGGTTGATACTTAGTGAATTACAGGCTCATACAAGGTCGTTGTCTGCAGGTCTATAGTCAGTGAGCGACCAGGATGGTGTTGGTGAAGGTGAGAGGTGACAGTACGAACCACACAGTGGTGATCAAAGACTATATAGCAATCAGCACGTTTACTGAGCATGATCGAGCGCTATTCGTCCCATGGCACATTCAAATGTTTTGAACCTCCCCAAAGCCTTAGACACTTCTTCGGCGACATTGTCAAGCGACTGCCTTAGCTAAAGCTAAAAAATATTAGAATTACTAGATGGATTCTAGGAGTCCATACCCCTTGCAGTGTTATCTCGCGTAACAGGGAGTCATGATTTCAAAGCGAGGTTACTGCAGCCAGCCGAATCAGTGTCCCCTGGCCCGCCACTAGTAGAAGCCGGCGGCCATAAAGCAATCTCATCAATAAGCACCTACACCTGAGTTGCTTACTATACATTGATGAGATGCAGTCTATAGTGCTCTCATGCTTTCCCATTGGATGAATTGTCTCTAAACCAACTATTTTTGTACATATGCTAAAGCCTCAGATGATGAGGTGAATAATCCGATAAGAAGTCTGACATTGACTAGTTATTGACACCTCCTCATGCACGCCTACAAGTGAACTCTATATAAGAGTAAGCTCAATGTGCCGATGTTTTCAAGAACACATCTTGTCTCTCGTGGTCATTTATTAACACTACAATTCCTCATAGCAAACAATTAAGACGTATCGGTCGGTTGAATATGATGTTGAGCTATTCAGTAGCTGCTGGACTCATCGCCAGTGCTGTTGCAGTTCCATTATCTCCAGATCACCATTCTGGACGTCTCGAAACCATATACCAATTCCCTAACCACACGTGGCTAGAATCTATAGCTGTACGAAACAACGAGAACATACTCACTGGTGCCAATATCAATCTGAAAGGGCTATACAACATAGATCCTTCCCTTCCACAGGAATCGAAAGCCAGACTTATATACCAGTCAGATCGATCTTCGACCTTTGGCATCACGGAACTGGGGTCGGACATATTCGCATTCACCGTTGGAGACTTCAATTTCACCGACGTAACATCCACACCTGGGACATGGGATGTCTATCTTGCCGATCTTAGAAATTTCAATACTCGCACTGGTCAAGGGGCAAAGATTGAAAGAGCTGCTCATGTTCACGATGCCGCAGTACTCAACGGATTGGCCACGCTTGACGCTGGGAGGGGTATTATACTAGCATCTGACTCCCTCAAAGGAGTTATCTGGAAAATTGATACCAAAAGCGGCGCCGCAGAGATCTTCTTGGATGATCCTGCCTTGAAACCCGTTCAGGATGGAACGTCTCTACTCCTTGGCATCAACGGTCTCAAGGTCCAGAACACTGATATCTACTTTACGAATAGCTTTCAGCAACTCTATGGTCGTGTCAAACTTGACAGGAAAGGGGAAATCGTCGGAGAGGTAGAGATACTGGCTCAAGGCTTTTTTGCCGATGATCTGGATGTCGACGCTCACGGTGATGCTTATATTGGAACAAACATTGGGAACTCTATCATACAAGTAACACCAGATGGCCGGGAACGTGTGGTTGTAGGCGCACAGAACTCCACGGAAGTCTACGGTCCTACTTCTGTGGCAATTTCGGACCACAACCCGGGCGCTCTGTATATAGCTACCTCGGGTGGTTTTGCGGCTCCTTTGGGTGAATTTATCGAGGGTGGAAAAGTTCTCTCATATGATTTGAGGCCCCAAAACGGTCATCTAGGAAAGTAGATATGCATTTAATTGTTCTGTAGAGATCAACCAATAACCCAAATGCAAGAGTGAACGAACGCCGTCTACATATGCATCACATGCCTCCTATACATGATAAGATGATGAATTAGACCGTTGAATTCAGGAGTATTCGTGGTCGGAATGGTACTTTTCGCACATCACCAAGCTTAACCTTACACCTTATGTGCAGCCATGCGTCTGGTTTTGGTTTTTGGGATGCAAGCAACGCTCGCTGGCCTTCATCTAAGCGTTGACATCGTACACCACGGCCCATGGACTGTAGCGTCTTGGGATCAATAGCACCTCCAACTCTCCGAAACGGGAACTGGAATTTGTACTGACATGCGTCATTAATGACCCTAGGATCAATTTTCCAGGCAATTGCTTGAGAATCAATTTGATGTATGACCCCCGCCTACCGAGAAGCTTAGTACTGTAACCCTAGTAGATTATGATGCATAACTTACCTGTCCATTTTCCTGCTTAGGGCAACGATAGTATTCCATACATCCTCCAAACAGTCCCATTTCAAGTACTCGTCCAGATTCTCCAATGTCCGGTAATTGTCTGTATCCTGGAATAATCATATCCTTGGGCGTATCCTTTCTACCACCACCGATACTGGTGATCAGGAGATGTGCGCCGCATTCATGGACGACCATCGTTGCGAATGCAAACTGGAAGTCCCTGAACCGCTGGTCTTTGCCATTCCGGGCGGCTGCTACCATATCGTATACTCTCTGAGTCAAACATCAGAATATCTCCGGAATCGAAAGCACTGATACATACAGATGCGTTGAAATGAATTCCACCTCGTTCATTGCTCAGAAAAAATTCTTTGACAGACCCATGCCACGTCCCTCTGGGGTGGTATCCCATGATATCAACGTCGGCAATGTGACCATCGACAAGGACAGTAGGGAACTTAAGTATGAGATTATCGATGAACCAATCGACGTATTGAGATGCAGCAGCTTTGTCTTTGTTGAAGAAGCTGGTGCCCGGTGGAGCATTGGCCTCGGAATCTAGGGCAATCTTAGTCAGGGCTCTCCTTCCATCGCCGTGAGACATCATAGCACAGCCAATGTTGATGGCCGACGCGATATAGGTATAGATCTCAGTGTTTGGCCCATGGTGAGAATGATTGAAGCTTCCAGGCTTGCGCTCCTCGATGCTGAACTTTCGGTGTGACATGGTTGCTCCTGACTTTTTGGAACAATGGAAGGACGTTGAAGAGAAGAACAATGCTAATTTCCCCTTCTTTATGGAACACAAGAGAGTTTTATGGGTGATGGGGAATGAGGAATCAACATGGAGCTGCCATTTCAGTGTACTTGTACCTGCCTTCTGCTAGACATACATCCAGCTTCATTGAGGCGTAGTGTGACAACTCTATTTCAGTACTTCGAAGAGCCCGCATACCTGGTCACCTCAGGTCGGTTATCTGGATGAGGTGTCGTTCTTTTCCGTCTTGCTAGTCTGCGCCTTCACCCAATTGCACAATTGAATAGCTGGTGATGATACAGGGGGTCTCCCAGGTAGCTACGTACCTAGCCTATCACAATGACTGTTGTTAGATACCGAAGTGTTCTATTGGAAAAGGCAGGCACGATCCTCTTGGATTAGTCGCGCGCTTCGGGCCGTTGGCCGGCCGGAGCACCCGTCCGTAACTTTTTCAGCGCAACTCTTGGCACGTGTCGCGCGCGCAACACATACATTTTCTCTTATTCTACCTTTTCTCTAATAACTCTAGAATTAAGACTCTAGGAGGTTTTTTAATTATATCTAAATATACTTCTATATAGTCTCTTACTTTCTATTAAAAAAATTTAAGAAAAAAAGAATATATTAATTAGTTATTCTAAGAAAAGCTCTATAATTATATTTTTAAAGTATATAGGAGGGGTAACTTCTAAAGTACTAAGGTATATAGTAAAGATAGAGAGAAAATAGAGATTTTCTCTACTATCTATCTCTTTTAGATTCTTTAGTCTTTAAAAGAACTTAATAACTATTCTTAAGAGATAAATAGAAGTATATAGGATCTTTTAATATCTTCTAGAGTCTTAAATCTAGAGCTATTTAGGAAAATATAAGGTTCTAAGAATTAGAGGTACCGGTAAAAAAACGTGTGTGTTGCGCGCGCGACACGTGCCAAGAGTTGCGCTGAAAAAGTTACGGACGGACGGGTCGCGGGCGCCTACTCAAGGTGGCACAGTCGCCGCCCGTTCTCTTCCTACCTTACCATCCCTCATTCCTTATTACTTTCCACTATCTATGTGAATCTTGATATTGTGCTGAGTTACCCCAATCAAAGGAATCACTTCCAATCTCAGAAATACTCGCAAAAACATATCAATAATGCGTGCGCGGCAAGAACCTTCAGCTGTTGTATACGAGACTTACGACTTCCGAGAGGTCTCTAAAACGACTATCTCAGACCTCTCTCAACACCATCGGGCGGCGGTGGAAAACGCTTTACAGAATATCCTCAATACGGAGCGAGCTTTTGAAACATTTGCCCAAGTTGTCGATGGTCTTCCAACTAGGAGCACAGCTGAGCAGTATCACGACTACGGACGTTCATCCATGTATTTGAACGGCTTAACAAATGAGCCAAGCACAGAAGCCAAACAGATCGTTCAAACTTACAGAGAGACTCTCGACCCGTATATTCTTGAGTTCAATGTACCTGTGAGTTATGCCTCAAAGTGCTCATTCACTCTTTGATGTTTTTATCCAGGTGATACAAGCGTACCAGAACGCGGACTTTGGTTCTCGAGACTTCAACATCCGCCTTTTGGAGTTGCTTGCAGTTGCATGTCATCAATTAGCTGCGTTGATTTTCCAGAGTGCGGATGGCGGCTTAAAGAAGTACCCGTACGGCCACAATTACGAAGCCCCTGCTTCACAGCCCACGGAGCCTGCTGTAGACTTGAGTTTTCTTGGACCCATCAAACCACAGGCGCCTGATGACCACGACGATGATGCCTCCGAACCGGATTTGTTTCCTTTTATCGCGAACGAGTATGTCGATAGACCTCCAACGGAGCTTTACCACGGATACTACCAGGATCATGACCAGTATCCACGAGGCGTTGCTGATATCGTTGGCTACTGGGCAGAAACACGCCTCTTCGGAGGTGTAATCTTGTTTGACCGCGGTGCTTCTGAATCTGAGGTATTATAACCGCAGCCAGTGTAGGATGTATTGGTGCAGCTAACATGCGAGCAGGCTATTGACGTCTTTTTCCACCCCGATTACTTCCAGGGTGTTGGCAACATTTACCAGGTGTCAGATACACAACTTCAAAATCTTATGGCTTTCGCACTCGAGCATGAGCCTACTAGTGAAAGCCCACGTTTCAGCCATGAATGGGGGCTGCGCAAGTTCAAAAGTTGGACTTCAATGCAAGCCAACGTGTTCAGGGACCGCTATGAAAGGAAAATCCCCGTTGATGCAAACCACGGCTGCGTGCTCAGGCTAGATGACGAGGACACCGCAATATACCTCGAAAACTTCAGGAGAGGCACGGCCAATGCACACTCTGATTGAATAGGATCATAATATCATGAGTTCTCAAATATTACGATTCTGCGTTCTTCGAAGTAGAGATGTCGTATTCAATGGAGGCTTCCGGATGATCCTGCGCTTTTCAATAAACCCATTAGTACATATCAAATAGAAGCAAACGTCCCTGTCCATGGGCGCATTTTGAGTCGTGGAATAGCCATCAGCATGGATCGGCAGCCGAATTTAGGGCTTCCTTGACCATGCGAAGACTAAATTTGAAGTCTTTTGTAAACTCTTGATAAGGCGAGTTACTAGATTCACAAGTCTCAAGCTTCAGTTGAACTGGGTCCAGAAGGGCAAGAGGTTACACAAGATCTACCCAGAAAGATGTTGTCGCGCATATTTCTACGCGCTATCTAGAAATCGAGGCACGAAAGGGCTCAGATTCATCATCCAATATACAGAGAGCATCTTTCTGACTTTCCTAACCCCTCGACCGTTACCAGAAGCCCCTCAGCCATCGCTGTGTGGGTCATCCCGGCACGATGGCGCGTCTGGTGAATCTCTCTTATGGTAAAGAGAGATTCTGGTCAGTTCAGACACACCTACTTGTACAGAAAGACTTCGGCCGAAAAGCGACAATCCTGTAGAGTATCAAGACTACATAATTCTTCTGGACTGGCTCGTCTAGATTACAAAGGAGGCGAAGTCTAGCATAAAAACCTGTCCACTCGGCTTGTTGTCGTCACTCTGGCCTCGATAAATGCTACGGTCGATGCGAGTCTTGAAGCGCTGTTCGACCTCTGCAATTATAAGAACATTATGAGACATTAAGGGATGGTGTCGTGCAACACAGCTCCGGTGAAGGTTAACGGAAGCAGACCTCAAAACGCTTCAAAAACCCGACTCATTCTTGACAGAAAGTCATTCTCTATGCTTATGAAGTAAATACTGGCAAGACGGAGGTTTATACTGGCAGCTGTCTTTGTGAGTGGCTTGTAGTATGGCCTTTGACCGATCTCAGTAATGGATAGACGACTAAGGCATCCATACAGCGTCAGAGCGGTCCTTGAAACTGGGTATATTGATCATTACGCACGTTACATTGCCTTCTCACTAACTACAGTAAATTCAAGCAATGACACAGCTCAAACTTCAACCGCATCTAGCCATCAATCAAGAGACGATGATGCCGTTGTATCAGACCTACGTTCATCTCCAACCACTTATACACTGGACCTAATACAACTACGTCAGCGGGCTGTAAGGAAATGGAAATGAATTTAGGAAACCTACTGTGACTTCCTGCCGCTCCTATGAACCCAAATACCTAGAAACAAACTAATGAGGAAGAAGATGGCAGCCAGGAAGCTGAAGGCCTGCCAAGCTTTCGCTCTACCACACACGCTGCGTAACCTTCTCAAGTCACAGCCTCTGTCTGAATCATTGATGGGCTCGAAGTAGTGGGCCGAGACACCGAAAGCAGCAAACCACAGGATTGATAGTATGCCGTCCACGACCCATAGGCTGAAAGTCGCCTTGAATGGAATAAGTAAAACCAGGCTGGCAAGTGTTCCAAGAGCGCTGACGGCGAGGACGTAGTAGATCCACTCCCAGGAATCAGGAAGTCTCGAGTAGCCATTGTCGTTGTACAAGCTGACCTCATAAGCTACAATGCCCATGACAATCACAGAAGAAATGAATTGTAGAACCCGAAGGGCGAATGAGAGGATCCGTGAGATGACCATGATGAAGATTCAGGGATCTGCAGAAGTTCTTGTGGTGCTTGGAGGGTTTGTTTATATATCCAAAGTCCAATGAGGCTTGTAGGATCTTTCTGGTGGGACATGAACAGGCAGGCTTCCGTCTTTATACACGCCTGTCCCACCGCCATGCCTCTAGAGTCTACATGCTTTGCTGTTTGAGGTTTCGAGATCGAGTATAATTTTCGTCATTCGAACACTTCTGCCAACAACACGCCTTATTAGTCGTGCTCGGCCTTGCGATCTGCACCACGTCTCGCTTTCTCCACCAGTACTTTTGCTTCGATTCGTGGTGTTTGTGGAGATCAACCAACGGTATGACGTAGGTCAAGCCTTCAGCCACAATGCAGCCAAGAACCAAGGAAAGCGCCAGACCATTTTGGTATTACTGTTGAACTATGGAACGTACACTTATCTACTTTCTCACATCATGCGAGCTGTGCCAGCACATCCTTTCTCTCGGCAGTCTCGTGATTGTCTTCATTCGTCTCTCGTGAGGCTGTGAAATGGCTTAGCGAATGACGTACGCAGCACTGCAAGCTTGCATGCATGAATGATTATCGTATGGATGAATTAAGCGTGGCGAAGATGCAGCTTACACTCTATATGCCTTCTCCTTGCTGTTAAAAGACTAGAGACAAATTAATTGGAGGCTACGCGCCTGATTAGGGCAGTATGGGCTGACACAATACCCAGCTTGGATATACCTATGTTTTAACCCGCTAGCTAGTCTTGATCGTACGACGTGTTATCATAACATCAGCCAATTCAACATACGCGCTCAGGGATCCCCCATGGAAAGGAGATCTCTCGTCAACCCAATATGGGAGTCACAGCAATAATGCCATAAACCGTGTTTGAATAACGTTGTATCACTTCGCCGTAACATCGAGGACTGATGCTATATACGATAAACATTGATAGGGACTCCAACAAAGTAAGCAATATAATGCCACTGCCTATTGTTTAGAAAGGTGTGCCCAATAATAACTCCTGTAACTAATAGCATCAATAGTGCTCAGAGCTCGTTCCCTTCGGCCATCCATTGCCCAAACCGGACTAGTACCATATGTGCTCTAGCCAATACCCGTCGTTTCATCTCCTACCTATATTGGTATGAACGCAGCGAGTGGAGACTTCTTGGGGAGATTTACTACTTGTCAAGTTAGCCACCAACTCCGAGGCTAGAATTCGTGTGCCTTTGTCACTCGTGCTTCTTCCATGATTCGAGCACCGCCGTAGCCCTAGATTCTCAATCCAAATTCCCACCACAGCTTATGATTCTAGCATCTATGCTACATCTGATAGTATACTCTCGAGCATCTTCTAGACTTGGAAACGGGTTTACGACCCAGCTTTGTGTACTCCGGGAACATCTCGGACTAAGTACTGCTTGGTACACATATTGCAAGGGCGAATATGAGCGGCAGGGGTCGATGCATCGGGTATCATAGGGCAAGCGACAGGGAAAATAGATCGGGAGACATGCATGATATGTTCTTACTAGTCTAGAAGCGTAAGTATAAGAAATTTATCGGTAGGAGAGGAACAATCTGCGACTTTAGTACATGCTTGGGTTGTAAAGAGTAATGGATGGTTACTGGGTCGTGATTACGGCGTCTTCTACGCATACATTATCATACATATCTAGCGGATAGTTTTTCTTCATCCCACTCGTCAGCAGCTGCTCATCTGTATGTACATTGATCGTTGACCAGTGAACTGGTCATTTTTTGTCTTTTTGATGCTCTCTTGCAATCTCTTCTACTTTAGCGCGATTCCCAGTCGCAACCTCAATCTCTTGTTTTTCTTGCTTGAGTTCTTGCTGACTCTTGATGTCTTTTTCGACTTGCTCAACCGCACGCTCAATTTCGACTTCCATCTCGGGAAGCTTGAAACGCTCCGCGATTAACTTCCCATTCCACTTTTGCAACACCATAACATCCTCTGCGTCGTTATTTGTTTGCTTTTGCACAAGCTCAGAGACAGACGTGATCTGTTCTGCAGTGGGATAGGGCGAATCACGGGATATCTGGCGTGTTGGATACATAAGCCCGGCGGTATAAACCTGGTCTAGATCGGAGGAGGGAGTTTTGCTGAACAGTGTCTTTTCAAGAAGGAATTGTATATGCTTGGATCCAGCGAGTGCTACGTGGCGTCAGCGCCGGGCAAATCCGTTTCCAAGTTTGACGAACCTTTCCAGTGCGAATATGCGCGAAACGCTAAGTAAAAGAAAGGAATATTCGGTATTCTGTCACGTCAGTAACCGTCCTGCACGGGGCTATATATGTCGTAATACTCACATAGGAACAAGTGCGAAAGGAGAAACGATAGGCATTCCAATGATACACCATGTTAGACGCTTCTTATGTAGGGCTTGTCTTTCGGTCGCCAGTTTCTGCAAAACGCTTTCAATCTTACTGTCGGCAAGGTACTTCCCAGGGAACAAGATCTCAACTTTCTCCTTGCCGGCCAACAAGACCTCTTTACGCTTATCGTTCAATGATGGTACTGTTTTGAGTCCCCATTCCTGGTATGGTATCCTTCTCAAGATCTTGTTCCCCTGAACCGTTACTGTCTTTTGCCATCCTCCCTTCAAGAAAGGCTTGGGCTCAGAGTTTTCCCACTTCGCCCATGTCTCATTAGCTTTGTTCGTGATCCGATCAACGTATGATTGTTTCGCAACAGCTTCGACGGTGGCCTTCGCTTGGGTGCGCTCGCAGTAGAGGAGAGTGTGGCGGGTCGAGATAGGCAACAGGAAGAGGCGCATCGCGACGAAAGGCGCGTTTCGCTGTGTGCGGGAGTAGATGTCTTCTTTCGTATATCTCAACACATGTTGTCGCACAATTGAGCTTCAGCCAAGAAGCTTGAAGGGATGTCCAGTAAGATGCGCTGAGGTCTATGAGCAAGGTAGAGGGCGGCGCAAAGGTTAGCGGAGGAGGCTCTACTGCTGCAGTGCGCTGCGTCATTCTGCACTGGAAAGCTTGGCTGGAGGCTGGCCAACAGGTAATTACCTAGCTACTGCTACTCTACTGGAGTGGTGGGCTGGCCAGGCCCAGTGCCCAATGCCGGGTGCCGATCCATCACTCACAAGCCACTCATCTCCCAACTCCCTTCAACGTGCGCACGACCTGCATTTCCTAGATCCTAGATTCATCACTACTTTTCCCCTCAACACCACTCTTTCGTCGCCATCGAGCTTACTCCGCTCTCTTCCAGATCGCTCACTTCGCTTCTTATATATTCCCTGGTGGATTAATCCCTCGCAACTCTGGATCCCACAGCATGCGGTGCTTGTCTCGTTGACGTCCATTTTATCCCTACTGGAACTCAGTGACATCTGCTCACGAGACCTCACGCGGCCACAGCAGGCCTCTTACTGCCTACAAATACACTTTCGCTTTGTCGTATTTCTAATCCATGGCTACACATGAGTTCAATGAGAAGAAGAACAACCTATTAAGCCCTACTACAACCTACGATGACAATTCCCCCAATCGACCTCAGTCTGGAACCTCCTCGAACGAGAAACAAACGTCCTCAGCTACAAGACGATCGTGCTCCAGATCAGTCTCTTCGCGCGCGCATACTACAGAGTCGGCAGTCAGTGCGACAGCGGAAAATAGAGAGCGACAACGGGCTGTACGCACATTGCCACGTAGGCTTTTAGTTGTTGGAAGTAGCGATATATCACTGACATATGTACAGCATGGGTTCTCTCGATAGGCGATGATGAAGATGAAGATTATCTCAAACCACCAGGCTCATCGCGAGCACCGTGCACACCTCCGTCCGTCCGTCCAGCGTCACATCACTACACACCGCAGCCGAAAGAGCATGCAGCCAAGGGCAGAGCCTTCGATCACGAAAGAGAGGGCGTGCCCGTAACAATAACAACCCCGGTAGCAGATCATGCCTCAAAATGGACGAATTTTATACAAGCCTCGACTTACGGTGGCCATCCGCGCGAGAAAGGAGAAGTCATGACAGGACCATGGATGCAACAAAATATGCCCGATCTTGAGGCCCCCTGGGTCGGGGAAGATCAGCCTCTTCTAGCGCCCGAGAAAGGCTTCTGGTTGTTCAACCCTAGACGACGAAAGGAGCTGCTCAACAAAGCTTATGAAAGATTGATGAAAGATCCTCTTGTCCCAGCGTTACTGCGCTTGTGGATCATCGTCAATTCCGCGATCGCGCTCGGCTTGTCAGGCTCCATCTTCCATCGTACCGTCCTGAAACCATACGATCAAGGCTGTCCTCGCGGTTCGTCGACTTACATGGCAGTGATCGTGGATGTTCTTGCCATTCCATATACGCTGTACATCACGTGGGACGAATATATAAACAAACCCCTCGGTCTACGCCCACACGGCGCGAAGATGCGACTGCTTTTCATGGATCTGATTTTCATCGTCTTCGACTCTGCAAATCTCAGTGTTGCGTTCGAGTCGTTGACGGACCCTCGGTGGTTCTGTCAGGATTTGGACGACGTACCTAGTCGAGTTAATCCAAACCAAACCTGCCTGCGCGACGATAACATTTGTGATCGGCAGGTTGCTTTGACGGTTATACTGCTACTTGCTTTACTGGCGTGGCTTGCTACATTTACGGTCAGCACGCTGCGAGTTATGGATCGAGCTATGGCGAAACAGGAACCTCAAAAGTGACGTCAATGATCGTTACACGTTGTGGAGTTCCATTCTTCGCATCTGCGTTATTTCTACTTAAGTTTGATTTTGTCTCAGCAATGTTTTACTGTACGGCGTTGGATAAGAGTCAGACACGGATCTGCGCGCTGTGGGCGGCTTTATGAGCACATCAATATCTCCTGTCTGCATTTACGCGCCGTCTATTATACCCGATACATCACCTTAGGCCTGCATTATGCTGCCTCTTTCCTAGATATGCGAATATCCAAGCACATCAGACGATCATATCATCGCATTTCGATTCCCGTCCGTTTCATTCACCTTGACCGTCCCATACTACTGCACAGACATGTTCCATGACACAACGTACCCCTTGACTATCCCAAGCTCCAGACCACTACCCGTTCTCATAATTTCATAATATCACCCACATGTCGCCGACACTCAAAGCTTACACATCCCCTTGTTCCTTAAGCACCACTCCATCTGCACCATCCCACTGCTCACCCCCTTTCCCACCAACCGCTCCCTCATCTCCGCCAACCTCCTCGTCACACCCTCATCTACACTCCTTCCACCGCCCCTCCACAACACCTCCGCCGCCGCACTCACTCGCGGCCATAGCATCCCATCCAGGCTAATTGCATCCGTCATCTCGCCCCACAAATGCACTTCACCGCCTAACACCAGCTTCTCCTGCTCCGCACTCAGCGTGATATTTGCGAGGGGATCATACGTGTATATATGCCGCCAGTTCTTGTATGGCGAGCAGTAATCTGGAAAAGGAGGACTCGTGAGGTGGCTTGTCGGCGGAGGCGAGCCCGGAAGGCCGGGCATGGGGTGGATCGGGTCGAGGAAGACGCCCATGCCGCAGTCGAGATACCAGTGAGTATTCGCGCCGAAAAGCACCGCGTGGCCTCGTGAGGTGATGTCAGCAATGATAGCACTACTGCGCCATGTTTGGATGATTGTGTTGGAAGGAAGCGTGAGGTTCCAGTCCAGCACCATTTCCTCCCAGAGAATAGGGCGCAGCGAATGTTTCTTTGCCATGGACAGGATATGGTCTGTAAATTTCTGTACGAGGGGTTTTAGGATTGTGGGGTCTGAGGATTTGACCGTGTCGTCGAGCTCGTATGCTGCGCGGTTGAGTTCGTCGCCTCCGAAGTGGAAATGTTTGCTGTAAAAGGCGCTGCGAGGGAGGATGTCATTGAAGAGCTTGGTTAGAAACGTGTATACAGCTGGGGAATCCAGTTTTAGCTGGCCAGAAGGCGGCTCGGCGGCGTACTTAGTCCAGGGATCTTGTGTAGCTGCGGTGATGAGGTTTGGATGTGAGGCTGCTATGCTTGTTGTATGGCCTGGGACGTCAATTTCGAGGTATACTTCGACGCCGTGTATGCGTCCGTATCGCTGGACGTCTGCTAAGTCTTCTGCTGTCCAAACTTGATCTGGCTCATAAGCCCCCTTTTCCGCAAGGGAAGGAATGCTAGGGATAACTAAGGGCCAAGACTGGGCGTCTGTGGCATGGATGTGCAGGCGATTCATCTTATTGAACGATAGAGCTGAAATGACGCGTTTTGCGTCTGAAGGAGCAATGAAGTTGCGTGAGATATCGAGGTTGAGACCACGGTGAGAGTACATGGGGCTGTCAGTGATAGAGATTGGGGCGAGGACGGTGTATATATGACCATGAGAAGATGTATAAAACAGTTGCTCCAGTGTTGAAAGGGCATATAATCCACCATTAGTAGACGCAGTTACGATTTTGGCGGTGCCTTCAGGTGAGAGGAAGAGCTGGTAGCCTTCGCCTGCTGCAGAGCCGTCCTGGACACGCTTGGCGTAGGATGCTTTGCTCTCGATGATGAGCTCTACTCGGGTAAGTGGACGAGACGAGACTTCAGGTTGTAGGCCCAGCTCATACTCCACGAACCCGTCTCGGGTGAAAAACTTGCGCGGTATGAATCCCGCGTTCAGAACGTTTCCTCGAAAACGTTCGAATGCAGCCTTCAGGATAGTCTCCGGCTGGTCGGCGATCCACTCCTCGCTCTTCCCCTGTGCTTTTGCTCTTCAGACATATGTCAGTCTCATGTTGGCATCATACTAATTGATCTATACTAACAATATGCTCTGTATACCTTCCTGAGCCCATCTCAATCCAATGCTCCCGGTCACCTGATTTACAACATCCAATTCAATATCAGCCGATAGTCGAATGAACGTAGAACCTGTTGTAACAGATCTTGGCTCAGGCCATATTGCATTAACTGTAACAGCTAGAGAACCGACAATGACTGATAGCAAACGCATGTCGAAGCCGAAGTCTGTGATATCAGATGATGTATGGAAAGAGGGAAAACTAAAGCTGGCGGATTCGAGTGATTTCCGGAATGGTCAAAGCGTCATAACACAGATCACGTGGACTGGTAGAGTCGTCCACCCCTGCACATATGGCATGACAATGTGCGAATTACTATTTGTAGACTATAATCGCTACAAGAGCACCTAGACTTCCCACGACTTATTCAGTAGTCTCAAGCAGCTGGAGCTAATCCTTGTATACAAGCAAAAACGCCACGCATGCATCGTGATCCCCTCAAGCTGCACCAGCCTAGAACACAAAGAAAGGAAACCCCTTAGTCGTGTGCCACTAATTATGGGGAACGGTAAGCCCTTCTGGAGCGAGCATGCCATGCCTCATAGACCACTTGCAAGACGAAACCACCATCACCTCTTTCTGGCCAAGGTACCATCAATGTTTATGCCAGATATCCTAGCTCGTCCCCTTCTAATCTCTCCAGGTATTCCTTTTCTAGCAAGATATCTATACATTTCTTGATATCTTGGACCTTGGGCGAGAATCGAGACTTGATCTGCTGGATAGTCTCTGACACAAGCATCTGATGCTTCATCTTCTTCCTCGATTTCATGATCCGGACTATCGCAGACTGCATGAGAAGTTTACGGTCTTCCTCAATCGTCTTGTGTGTGTCTTCAGATTCTTGTTTCTGTTCAGCCTTGATCGCAAGATTGAGGTTGATCTTTAGCTTCTTGTTCTTGAAACCTGGATTAAATGTGTATGTAGTCCCTGGCTCAGCTTTCGCATTATCCTGCGACGGAAGAATAACCTTAGCCTTTACCATGATATCGATACTTGGTTTCAGAGTCTCTTTCTGTAGCTTCGTAGCTTGTTCCATTTCCTCGTATGTAACTGTATCAGAGTCGTTGAACAAGAGGAGGATAGCCATCTGGTAAGTCGAGACCTGGAACATATACGTAGCTTTCTTGCCGCCAGTATTATAGGTGGCTCGTACGTCACCTTTGCATAATTGCCATAGCCATGTGAGTTTGCGGCCCGAATGCTTATTACTGTAGAATTTGGCAAATCGCTCGTAGGTCTTCACAATCGTCTGCGGAGGGGCGAACGGTGTCGTCGGAGCCGTCAGAGGCCAGAACCCGGTACCCAGGATCGAGTAGGTCGCATCAACAGCTAGCTTTCTATCCTCCTCTCCAAGTAGCTTCATTTGCCAGTCTTTGTATGACGAGTTTAGATCTTTCGAGATCTGCATATCCTGAAACATGCGCTGAAGTTTGTTGGTGTACTCAAACCCGCATGCTTCCTTTAGCTTACTGATCATGCTAGTTTCGGCATCATCAGAAGCCGATGAAGTCTGAACAAGACGTTTCGCAAGCATACGCGAGTAGAATTTCTGGAACACATCTTTGTCCTCAATATACTTGAAGACAGTCATAATCTGCGTGAGCAGATTCTCCATGTCATCCTCTTCTGTCATCTTGGCATTTGACCGCTTCAGCAAGCCATCGGTGTACTTGGCGAGTAGCTCGGGTGATTTCGTAGACCCGGTTTTGCAAACCCGGTTGCGGTTCACGAACTCGCGGCAGGCGTTGTCGAGGGATCTGACAAACTCGGATTCGCCATTAAACGCCTTATTAACCAAGTCCTGGTATTGAGTGTGTACCTCCAATAGAGCGGCGACGTAGACGGCTGGCTCTAAGTTTTCTCCATCCTGTGAAACTCTATCGACAGCAGCAAGACCCTTTTTGCGAACGTGGTTCTCAAATCTACCTCGTAATGGATCCAGTCCTTCGGGGATCCTGGCGAGAAGCTTGTACATTCTTGCAAGATCGTCCTGTCTGTCGTTGTCAAGCAAGATTTGAAATTCCTCGCGTAGAGCCAGCGAATGATCAGCGATGAGGACCTTCTCTGAAGTACGCATCAAAGGTGTCATGATTTCGTTCAGAAGATAGAGACCCACCCGCTCCTTCTCTTCATCTAGACGAATCTCAGCTTTCTTCATGTATTCCACGACAGAATTCTCGGCAAGAAACTCTTTGGATTCTTTCTGGTAATACGCCGCTGTGGCTTCCAAGAATGGCTTCTCGAAATACTCCTTGTACACATCAAGAGTTGATTTATTGCTGTCAGACTCATCCAAACCGAGAGATACGAAGGAGTCTACGACAGACTTGATTTGCGAGCGCTCGATAGTCTCACCATTGCGTTCTTTCTCCACCAACTTCAAGACTGAAGCCATCACCGACTTTTGCGTGCCCAGAAACATATCCTCTTTCCATCTCACCAGGTGCAAGGTGTAGATATCATAGATGTTCTTCTTGCCCTCGTCCATCTCCCGCTTGACCCAGTGACGATTAAGGTATCGGAAAAGATGGTTGTTATATGTGCCTGCTGTCGTGTATCGATTCCATTCTTTGATATAGAAGGCGAGTAATGCTTCGTCTACGTGAGCTTTCGAGGCCTGTTGCACGCCCCCAAGGTGGGCCTTGAGATATTCGATGAGATGGTTGTAGAGATCTTCACCGAGGAGGTGCGCTACCAACTCAAAAAGTTAACTTGGCTAGTCTCATGGTCAGTAGTAGGAATGTCAAGATAACATACCTCCTCCTCTAGTGTTGTTATTGAATCCACCTGTACCAACGGCTTTCTGGGCAGTACAGAAGTTATGAATAGCTGTGTATAAGCCCATATAAGTCTTCATTTCCATTCCTTCCCGCAGGTTTTCCATGATTCTCGAGACTCCGGTCTCAAGGAAGTTCCAGCTACAGCGAGTCAGCACTTGGCTCTTAGCTTTCGGTATGTGAGTTACACGTACGTCCCATCAACATCATCTTTGTTGGGCATAGGCGGCATCGTGCCTTGATGGCGTGAGGTAGTCATGATGTCGTCGCTCGTGTGCGCGACTGTGCGCGAATGTCCTAGTGGGGGAGAATAAAAGAGTCTGTAGTTTATGGCTTAGCCGGCGAGGATCTGCGCTTTTACCCAGGCTTAGTCGGTGATCTTGAGCTTCTCTGTAGGTTTCGTCGAAGGCTGTTTGTATACTTGGTGCGCGGAATGGAAAGGAAGGTGAGTGTGGCGGCGGGGAATCCGTTATGCGGAGGGAACGAAAGCGCTGGCTGTGAAAGAGAGCGCTGCGTGGTCGTGGTTGAGGAACCGAACCACGGAAGAGTTAGAAGATAGGTGACCACCGCCGAAGATTTTGTTCAGGCACCAGGAAGGATGATGGGCCAGTTGTGAGAAAGGTTGCAATGATGTAGAGCTTACCTTGACTAACATCATCTGTGCTTTCCCGCCTTGCCCGCGATCTGACGCGCGCATCAGGCAGCAAGAGCGCCACTTTGAGGGTGGTCAGCCACTTGACCGTTGTGCAGCGTCACGTGCGAAGCACGAATGTACTCACAAGATGTTTTTGGTTTGTTTCGTCTGTCCACCTTCTGATCAGTTTTTATGAATCTGCATCCACGATAGCGGCTCCATCAATCCGGAAGAAAGAAATATAGCAACAACCCAACATAACCACTGAATATACCATGAAATTTCGTTTCTCCCAGACGAGTTTTAAAACGACTTCTTCATTCGACCTTTGCCCTGAAGTCATCCTGTTCCACGCGCCTCCATCTTTCGTATGATCGATTTCATCTTAGGCATCAATAGCTAGAGTCCATCAAACCCGCAAGACCGGCCCCTCATCCCCAAAGACCGGGTCCCTCTCGAACCACCCCAGCCCCCTGATCCCATCCACCTTCTCCTCCTCACCCTCTTTCCCATAACACATATCCCATACTTTTGCATCGCTGGGGTAACTCCCAACCATCTGAAACCCGCCATCCAAATCCTTCATTAACCGATGACCCACACCCGCCGGCACGACAACTACATCGCCCTTCTGAACGACCGGCTCCACGCGTCCGGGATTGTCCTCGCCACCGAAACACAGCTTCGCTTTGCCATGTACTATGCACAGTACTTCGTGGGTTGTGCTGTGGTAGTGTGTTTGTGAGTACATTGTGTAGCGCCATTGTGGTGCTACAACGGTGATGCGGGTGAGGTGTGCTTCGATGGCGGAGGCGGATGCATTTTGGAAGCAGGAATGGTAAATCAAAACTGGTTTGTGTTGGATGGATGTGTTTGGAATGAGGTTGTGTGCGGGAATCTGGTGGGTTGAGACACGTAGGGAGGTGAGCGGTGTGACGGCGGCTTTGGTGGTGGCCATGCTGGCGTTCTGCTATAGCCAACGTCCGTAGAGAGGGATTACTGCCGTTGAAAAGATATTTCGCGTTAAGCACTACACAGACTTATTGTTTTTCACTTTTCGTGCTGTAGAGGTGCTTCCATGAGATCATCTTGTCGATGAACAAGGGTCTCGTGCTCAGATCTTCGTAGATCCGTTGGCATCTCGTTACAACTTCGCCAGCACTTCAAATCGCTCGTACGAATCTTTCAGAACGAATCAAATGAGTGGATAAAGCATGTTGAATATGGGTCATGTGTTAGCTATCGATGAGTTCACTTCATCTCCGGTAAGAAGATTTCTAGCGGAACATATACTCGCCATGAACATGGCGAATATTTCCGCTCGGTATATTTTTTCAGTTTCACTTCCTGCTGATACTCCAATAACTAGTCTGAATGCGCTTTCGACCAAATAGTTCAAATCGACAAGGTCGGACTAAAAACATCACCCACTGAAGCCTCTTGACCATTCATGTCTTAGAGCCGTCAGTCCAAATAACATCCATACTTTACACCAAATGCATACGCCAAAAAAGAATCCGCATTCAACAGCGCCTGATCACTTGGCAATGCCAGCGAACCGTTCGGTCCGTATGCATAATCACCCGTCGCCGGCTTATATATTTCCTCATTATGGCTCATTTCATGTAGCAAAATCCCTGCACGTGAATCATAACCCCGACAAGTATCTGGCATCACAGGATAGTCGTAAAACACGGGACAGAAGAACAAGTTGCCGCCAGGATTTGTTGCATACGCTGCGATGGACGACCTGTTGGTGCAGTAGTTCATACCATAGGGCTCAACGCAGTGCAGATAGGGTGTGGTGCCGATGGTCAAAACGGCTGAGGCCATGGCGTCGAAACGTGCGGCTACATGTTCACGGGCGGTTGTGTTGGTCGTTTTGAAGAAGAATTCGAATTGATCGGCTGGGCCTGAGCGTGCTGCGCTCGCAGCATGACTGGCTAACAGCGATGCTTCTTTTATGGTTATGTTGGTGAATTTGGCGGATTGTTCGGGATCAGAGCAGTCGATCATTGATGCTCTTTCTGACGATTGACTTGCGAAGTCGCGAAAACTTTGAGCCGCTCGAGTACCGTTGATTTCGATTGCAAGCTTGTTGCTGCTATACGGAACACTTGCGCCGCTGAGCGAAGTTGAGTCTGGGGTGCCGAGAAGGAAAAGGCCTTTGGTGAAGACGGTGTAATTGCCTCCAATGCTCAAGTCATGCACTTCTGCTGGATCAATGGTAATCTCTATAGTCTCCCCGGGATACAGAGAAGTGAAATCGCTCATTCTCAATCTGTCTATCGCTGGATAGAGATGGTAACCGTTGAAGTCGACTTTGACATCTAGCAATAGTCAGAACTTATATTCGAGACTATCATCGATCGAAACTTTACCACCAGAGAATACCATCAGCTTTTCGACATATCCATCGTCATCGAGAAGATTATCAAAACCTAGAAGGCTTAGAGTTTCCGCGCCGTTATTGGCGATAGTCGCCTTAATTCCTGACGCTGCATCTTGACTCAATGAGACATCCACCGGCTGGTAGATTGAGCTAATGGTGGATATGGTCATAACTCCTTAGGAAGATACTTCAAAGCAAAGAAGGCTTTTCATTGCATATATGTTATGGAATCACGACGAGGTTGGGCGTCTCGTTGGGGAGGGCTGGGGATATAACCAACCTTCGAAGAATATCATTCTACAGCCACTTCAGACTACTGTCTTACCTCTGAAACTCGAATTACATGGTACCTGAGTAGATATAGTTGATGATGGCTTTGCTTCCTATGGCTATTCACTTCTTGATCGAAATGTGCATACACGGGGTTGTGAGTTTAGTGCCCACGATTTTCAAACATCGGTAAAGTAGCTCTTAGTCCCACAGTACATATCACTACTGAACAATTAATAAAATTAAAACAGTGGAGTATCCTGTTAAACACCAACAAAAGCACTCTGAAGAGCGGGAACAGCGTTCTTTACTAAGATGTGAATGGTACTGAAAATTGGAGAACGACCCCTTTCTTCGCAGATATTCTTCGAGGCCACCGTCCCCTAGACACTACTCACACCATCGACTCTCCGCCCCTTACTCTTCCTTACTAGCAATTTCAATAAGGATATCCACTAACTCATCCGGAGCGCTAGCATTGGGGCAATGTCCAGTCTCAATCTCGTACAAGTCAGGTTTGGTCCCCGTCCTATCGGCAATCTTCTGGTAGTACGTCGAACTCAACTCGGGAACGACGATCATATCCTTCGTGCATCTCAGATAAGACACTGGCGCGTGATCATAACCCAAGGAAGATACTGCGCCTTGATAAGAGATATCAGAGTGCGGTTGCATACCTTGAGCCCATTCAAGAGCTTTGGTGAACGCAAGTGGGTTGTATGTGTTTCTTGCGCTGGCTGCCGGGTCAATGTTTATGAGGCGATCGTCCTAGATAATAGGTGAGTGTGTTAACGTCGTATACTTTCATCGAGGGTGATGTACCACGAGTTTCAGGAAGGCCGGCAATTGTGTCCCAAACAAGCCACGCACACTCTCTCCTAGGCCTGGGATAATGGCATTCACATATACTAGCCTCTTAACGCCACCCGATTTCCCGTCACTCTTTCGCTCCTTGGCGCTAACACCTTTGACGCTTTGCGTTCCCGGGACACCACCGTAAGAATGCATCACCAAGATAGTATGCTTGCCTTCATTAGCAAGAGCCTGAGTGACACTACTGATAGCGGCCGCATCGTCGAACATTGTGGCTGCCGGCCCGGGACGAAAACCAACAGAAGGCGTGGCAACGATTGTTGCATCGAAATGTCGAGCGCGCAGAAGGTCGACGACGTGCTGATACTGAGCCACGGGAGATAGGGCTCCAGGGACAAAGACAAAGGTAGGGTGACTCGAATTCCCCATGGCGAAACTGGATCGTGCTAACGTTGGAGAGAAGAAGTGAAGCAAAAACAAGTTTAATATCAAAAGTTGTCTACTCATGATATTGTAATAGTACTTCATTGAGGTTATGTGAAGGGATGGCTTTCACCACCAAACCATTTATATAAGTTGTCTCTAGTCTGATAGTTTTTAAGATATGGTGCTGGCTGATTATGAATCTGGTGTTAAACATTGACTCAATTGGTATCGGCCAGAGCATCAGAATTTAGCGTGGACGTCAGAATTTAGGGCTCCACAGCCCGCGCTATTAGTGGATTCGGGTAGATGAACCCAGGAAGACTTGAGTTTTCCTGATAGAGGTATGATCGACGAGCTAGTTTGATCTCGAAAATACCAGGTTCCTTGCCGTGGAGAAGTCGTTACGCAGCGTACCAAGTATAGCTTCTTGAAGTTCTCTCCGCAGCATGCTACCATAATCCGATCAGAGGTAGTGTCTTCAGACATGGAATCAGGATTGATTGCCACCGGTATTGCCATTCAAGACAAGGTCCAAATAAATTCTAGAACTCAAATGAGATATCCGTGCTTGTATCTTTGCCAAGTTTCAGCCCGGGGGTGAGGCAATACCACCCTGATAAGCTGACGCAAAATCCATAGACGAGATCTGGCTGGTTATTTGGGCAATTTCTCGGTTGAGATCCTCAATATTCTGTCCAAGAGCAGCAGCCTCGTCAAATCGACGATGCTTCTTAACATCAGCAAGCATTTCCTGTACAAAGAACTTCTGCTCCTCGAGAACAATCAGCCGCTCTCGAAGATCTTTCTCCTCTGCTTCCATTGCGGACACACTGCTTCCACTAATGACGCTGCTTGATTCAGTCTCATTGAACATTATCGCTGCTAAGGCACCGTTAGGAGGTCTGTTGAGTGACCGATTGTCTATGCTTTGGGTATGATTATTCTTCAGAAGTTTGGGCAACGATTTGAGCGACAACATATGAAGGCTAAGGAAGTTGTATGCTTGCTGATATACAGCTCTCTGGAGACGTTGTTGCGTCGAGGAATTGCTGGGAAGATCTCGTATACGTTTTGCGGCAGTGTCGTATTGTGTAAACGCTAGAGTCAGCCTTTTCCGTACCTTGGCAGCTTCTTGAAGCTGATCAAGAGTGGGCTGCTTAGAATTGTCTTGGAGCATGAGTAATAGTTTCTGAAATCGGGGCAGAAGGAGTCGAATGCCTCTCTCGAACTGCTGGAGATTCTCAAAAGCGCGTTGATCTGCAGGCTTCTTGGTAAGGTCTCGTGCGTAGTCGCTTCTGCTGAAAAGTGTATGTTTGCAATCTTGACACATCCGCACATCAACGCCGACTGGAACACCCGGCTTCTCTGATGCTGCATTGGCTATTTGAAACGTCAGCAAAGGGATCCCTGGTCTGTTTGCTCGATACTTACACGCATGGATGTTTAGACCTATTTCAGACGAACAGGCCGTTTGAGCATCTCCGCAAACAACCTTGCCACAAAGTCTGCAATGGTGGCGCCTGAAGGTATAATTGGTGAACTCTTGCTGACAATATGGACACCTTGACACGGTTGAATCATCCTGCCATTCGATGATGGACTGCTCTAGAGCACGCTTCTGCTGTGCTTTCGCATTTGTCAAGGCTGCCAAAGACCCCAATGACCATCTGTTATTTGCCGGAGTTAGATGTTCCGGCGAGGGAGGATTAGCGAGTAATTGAGTCAACTTCGTCAAGCGCTTTTCAAGTCGACTAGTCTCCAATGTTGATCGATTGATGTTTCGCTGTCTAATCCTCCTAAAGACATCGGTGTGGTCTCTTTCGAGGCCATGGTGATCATTGTAGCCCTCGCGAGAAACATAGCAAGTTTCGCAACAACGACACCACACTCCTCGTACGGGCTCATGCTGTGCTGATCTGCTAAGCCGTATCTGAAACATTGTGTGCTCTTCGCAGTACAATAGACCGCACTTCCGGCAGTTGACCCTGCCATTCATGTTGCCCAGTCTCTTTTCACAACTGGGTTCTGAACAGGAATCATCGTAGCCCGGTCTCTGCCAGTGCGATTTGGTGATGAATTCTTCCGGATCAGGGGGTATAACTGGATCCGGTGTGGGAGTGTGGCTTGACGTATGACTTGATTGAGATGGAGGTGTAGGGTTCGTATTCGATTCGAAGACGTCGAGGCCTTTGAGCTTCTGATTCAGTACCGCGAGAGGCTGAAACTTCTTTGCTTTGACCATCTGGGTCTTGAACCATGTTTTGACCTCGTCTTGTTCCACCTCTTCCAGAGCTTGATGTTCCGCGTCGAGATGCCTGCCTCATGTTAGGGAAGAAAGAATGATCCGAACCTAGGAAAGGTCGCACCTGTTTAATTGAAGCAGAGTAACCTGTTGAGAGAATTAGTACACATTCTTCATTCTATTGGTTTCCTCCGAATTTGACACACCATGTCCTCATTGCATATGGGACAAACGAGCCTGGAGCTTGCAGCCGCGGCTGCAGCATGATTTGGGTTCTCGAGGGACACATTTGAAGTAATATCTTGTGCAAAGGTTGGAGTTGGAGATATGGACGTCTGGGAGCTTAGGGATAGAGAGCTCTCTGAAGGCGAAAGCAGGCTCGCGTTGCGTTTGTGGTGATTTGGAGGGATGGGAGACACAGCTGGTGATAGGGACTTGCCGCTTCCCAGTATACGGCCTCCGCCCAACGCCCTGGTTGGGCGGCTCGACATAGCGTATGAGTCCGATCAGAGAACCGCAGCGTCAGAAGCTGCGGTCAGTGGTTGAAGAATAACGGCATCTCAGCAAACGTCCAGCTTCTCTGAGGTCACTTCACGTAGTCGTACAGTTGGTATGAAGCCTGAAGGCCTGGTTAGGTATACCCATTCACACGGCAGACGTAAGCGTAGACCAGACCTCCACCCACTCGTGAACGCCCCACAGCGTAAGATTGACTACTAGTCCCACGAGGCACAAGTCCCAAAATGCAGTGCTGTATTAACTATTATCCGTCACTTATGCAGTTAAGGAACATGTCCGTCGCTACCTACGATAAAACATCTATCTATGCAATTTTGTTCGAGCTCAACTATATTTGTGGTTTATGATTACACCGTGCAAGACGAAGAGTCTCTTTAATTGCCCGCAACCGGTTCGTTCTGGCCACTCCCTAGCCACTCCCGCCTATAGTGTGGCGCTGATCGTCATGCCTTTCACCAGGTTCCACTGCAATGTCTGGTATTCCCGCATGCGATGCTTCCTTCAACCATATCTCCATGCAAGCTCATTCTCGTTGAGCTTTCATGATGGGCGCAAAATATCCGCCCATTCAGGGCGGTGGGTCACTCATATTGGCATGGCAGATTAAAGGAAGACGAGTTCTCATCGTGGGAGGCGGAGAGGTAGGCCAGTGTCATGGGCTTCAGTGATAGGATCGTCGGGTGCTGATGTAACATCACAGGTCGCAGCAGGACGCATAGTCAATGTATTGAATGCTGACGCTAAAGTGATCGTCGTGGCTCCATTCGATGGCCTCAATGACGAAGTCGCATATCGTGTCGCGCAAGGCCAGGTCGAGCACGTCAATCGCAAATTCGAGCCATCTGATCTTGATAACATAGACATGGTACTGACTGCTGTCGATGATCCGGAGGCCTCATCCCAGATATACAGGCTTTGTAAAGAGAGACGGATCGCTGCGAACATCGCCGATGTGCCTCCTGAATGCGATTTCTATTTTGGAAGTGTTCACCGGGATGGCCCCCTTCAAATAATGGTCAGCACCAACGGCAATGGCCCACGACTAGCGAATATAGTCAGAAGACAGATTGCGAAGAATTTACCAGACAACATCGGCGCCGCAATCACAAAAGTTGGCCAACTTAGGAGGAAATTGAGAAAGATCGCCCCGGAGGAGGAGGAAGGCCCGAAACGAATGAAGTGGATGTCGAAAGTATGCGACTCGTGGAGCCTCGAAGATCTTGTCGATATGGAAGAGAAAGACATGGAGGCATTGCTTGGATATTACCATCCGAATGCAGTGCCAAGTCTCGATAATCTGCGACTCGGCGAAGAACCTGGGATCTACCAATTCGATGGGTCTTTCGGATGGATGTAAGCGCTATGAAATATGTTGTCTCTAAACACTAGTCATTGGAAGCAATCTGCTGCAAATTGCTGTGTGTTCTACTGCGTATGGACGTTTACCAAGAGTGGTAGTATACCAATGCTACAAAATCAGTCTTGTAGTCGGGTACCCTGAGTCCGGCCATAATACTGCGTACGACAATGCCCACGTGCGAACATCACTTTCACCGACCGCTGGTTCACTTAGAACATGTTATGGCGTCATACCCCTGCGATTTTCCCTGAACGTCCCGCCGTAGCCTGAGAACCGTTTCCGCAACCCATTCCCACTCGGTTTGTTTTTACCACCTAGCTCTGCCATCCTTCAACCAAGCTCTTAACAACCTTCATCACATGATCAACCGGACTTGAACGATGGCATCCAGCGAAGCTTCAGACAACATTCACCTAGTCGTAACGGCGCCTAACAAAACACGTACGGAGAAATTGGCATCCGAGGACTTGCCTCTAGATCAGACTATCATGGATACTACGGAGCCACTTACGGAGACGATGGCATCCGAAGTGCCGTCTATGGAAAGTTTAGCATTCAATACATCACAAATGGACATAGATCCGCGATACATATACACAAACGATTTCGAAGCCCTAGCAAAGGCTGATGGCGAGTTCGAAGAGATGATGAGCGCAAATGAGAGACGACGAATTGACTTCACCAATCCTGTTCAAGTAGGGTACGCTAGATGCGGTCGAAAACCTCCTATCTCATTCATCGCAACTGCTTATACTGCTAGTTAAGACAAGTCACCAGGAGCCTATTAAAGGCAGATTTCAAGCTGGAACTAGATCTTCCTCCTGATCGCTTGTGCCCTCCGGTAAGTCCACGCTCACATCCCAATCATACACTGTTGCTAACGAATCTCTGCCCAGGTTATGGTTCGGTATGTTTTCGCATATGTCGCCTTGCATGACTCTGCCCTGGCTGTCTTTCGGATAGAGCTTGCTAACTTTCCTTCTTGGAGCTACGAGTACGTGCGTTGGATCCAGCAGCTGTTAGACTCGACCGATCAATCTCTCTCTGGCGTATACGACCGGTCACGGCCCGTGAAAGGCCTAGACATGTGAGTACCGTGTCTTCAAGGGCATATCACGGCTTTCTTGCCACATCTTTCTAACTGTCTTTTTGCTTAGTGGGGTCGGAGCAAGTAACATATACTCTCTTCTGGCCTTGCGAAGTCGGCCTTCATGGTATATGTACGGGACCGACATTGATGAAACCAGCTTGGAGTGGGCGAAGAAGAATACGGAGATTAATAGTCTCACACCCAAGACGCGTCTGATACTCACAAAGCGAGCGGATGCCTTGATTCCACTTCGTGACTTAGGTACTCTCAGCCTCGACTTTGTCATGTGCAACCCTCCGTTCTTTGATAGCTTCGAACAACGGGAAGAGTCTGCGAGCGGCGAATACAAAGATAGTGCGTCTAAGAGTGCTTGTTCCGGATCGGACTGCGAGATGATCACCCCAGGCGGCGACTTCGGTTTCGTTTGTGACATACTAGAGCTCAGCCTGAAGCTCCGAACCAAAGTACAATGGTACTCAAGTATGTTTGGCTTCAGAGAGAGTATGGAAAAAGTAGCCGCCAAACTCAAGCCGCTCGGCATAACAAACTACGCCGTAGCTACTTTGCGAACGACCGGCAAGACCAGACGCTGGTGCCTCGCCTGGAGCTTCCACGACCTGCGTCCTGCAGATGTAAGTGTTACCGATCGAAGTCTATCATTTTGAGTAAGTACTAATTAAGCCCAGGACGTTGTGCGGCACGAAATTGACGCCTTCCCACACATCCCCTTTCCAACGGCCTTCAAGATTCGCATTGAAGACAACAGGATCCACACGACGAAGACCAAGGTCTCCGTCATGATGACGGAGCTAGATGTCCAATGGACATGGAAGACGTTCGTGCCTGTGACAGGCGTCGGCCTGTCACACGGCAACGTGTGGTCGCGGTTCTACCGCAGGGAGAAGAAGCGTCGTGCTGCTGCTGGGATCAGCACCACCCCGGTTCCGTCCTCCCCAGAGGAGGCGGAATTTGCCTTCAAGATCACCGTCGAGAGGGACGGGGTGGTGGTGGCCTGGCTGAAGGGCAATGACCAGACGCTCTACGAGAGTTTCTGTGGTGTGATCAAGCGTGGACTCGTCGAGCAGAGATAGAAATATACCAATACTGCGTGGCTTCACTGTCGCGATATGTTCCACATAAATGCCCTTGGCGCCGTTACCACTGCATGAACGACGTGATATATGGGCTATCCAACGGAGCTTTCGGCCGTTCTACTCCACAGTCGCTTGAGTGATAGCGTTATCAGACTTGTACAAAGCTTTAATTCGAACCAATCAAATCGAGAGAGCCTGCTATTGCAGCATTCGGTCAGTCAATATCGCTAATAACCAACTTTATCTATTTAGCAAATCGACTTAGCGATTCTGGGTGTGGTTAGTTCCGGATTCTGTGGTATGTTGCTATTATTACTATGTATACTGTGTCTAGAACTGAATTTTGCCACCGAGTGGATCACGGCTGTACTTCCTCTGAAGCACCGAATGTACAGCATACAACATATTGGCAGAACACACCACAACCGCGATAGCCACGTCGGAGTCACTGTTCAAGTATCAGATCAATTTCGACGCAATGGTGTGGTGTTCAACTTCAGCGTCTGATACACCATGCTGATCGCCCAAGCCGCCATCCTCATGCGTGGCCGCAGGAGCCACTTTTCGGCACCGGCAGCTAAGCAAGAAGCCATAATAACCACTCCTGTTTCATGACGATTCGCGGCACATCGCGTCACCCATTCACGCCACTGCAGGATGTCACTCCTTTTAGAAGCACGACCAAGATCAGCAACCTCGCTGCCGCTCCACATGTTACCATCATAAAGCCCCCAGAAGCAATTTAGACATGGCTATTTTAGGGCCCACGAATATTATTCCGCACACCGAAATCGTTTTTGCGTCAGGCTGGACAAGACGACGCGCATAAGCGTTGCCTGGGGTATTAGTAGAATAGATCCATGAACAACAGCAAGCCAAGGCGCGCGAAACACTCCGCATGATGCCTGTGCCTGCAATCCATCCTCCATGTCCAGGTACCCGCACGATGGCGCAAAGGCTAAAGCGCGATGTACAAACTGGAAACGGGACAAGGCTGCGGTTGGGACTTGGAGCAGACGTGCACGATGCGCGGGCCTCTTTTCTCTGGCTGCCAGGTGGTATATTCACGCTCGAGGTCGTGCAACTTGTGGACCTGCCCTGACTCCCACGTTCTGATCCTACGTCCTACCTACGACCATGGCTGGTACGTTTGAGTATTCGAACTTCAGTTTGGTTGTGCCAGAGGAGCCTGGAGTTCCAAATGTGCTGGCACTGCTGCCGCCGTGTGCTGTGAGTATCTGGATTGCGCTTTTGTCTGGCGGTTTACTGACCATGCTGGCATGCAGCGTACATGTAGCTTGGCTCAGCTCGAACTTTTCCGTTGTTTGGGCACGGATTGGGAATGTATCTGTTACCAAAATGCCAAAGACGATCTCTTCATGCACTTCAACTATTGCTTCGATGGGTCCTGCCCAATTCAGGACGTCTATGGTAACATTCTTCTCTTCGTGAGACTCCATTACACTGCTGACGTCTTCCAGCCGGAAATCGAGTCTTGTATGGCTCGTGTGGCATCGAGGTTCCTCCCAGCTCGGGACAGCTGTTGGTAGTGAGTGCTGTTCTTGGATCTATCGCTGTCCTCGCATTATTGTTGCGCTTCATGAGTCGGATGCGAGTGTTTGGGATCCGATGGGGCATAGATGACTGGATCAGTCTCCTTGTCTTGGTGAGTGCGCCAGACAAGCTTATTGCCATTTGTCTAATGCGAATGATCACTCAGCCCCTCGCTATACTTTTCATTATTCTTCAATTCGTCCGTGAGTCAGAGCTTTGGGGCTTCACTAGACAAATGCTTACTGTACGCAGTCGTCCACTACGGGCTCGGGAAAGATATCTGGACGCTTGACAACAAAACCATTATAGAAGTAGGAAAGGTAGGCCGGATAGGAGCATTCCTGCACACTCAATCTCTGATATCTTACAGTATTTTCTTATCGATGAGCTTGCGTATCTGACCCTCACGATCGCTACGAAAATCAGCATTCTGTGCTTCTATCTCCGCATTTTCCATTCCAGGAATGTCCGAATCGCGATTTTTGGCTTGATTGGGCTGTTAGTAGCTACTCTCATTGGATTCTTTTTCAGTTTTCTCTTCCAATGTCGCCCTGTGCAGGACGCATGGGAACTTTACGGAAGTACCGATCCTAAAGTCGTCGCACACTGTGACGTTGACGCCTGGGTAAGTTCGACATGACAATGAGGGCACCGAGTAGAGCTGATGCTAACCATCTAATAGGCAGTCATCATGGCCTTTGGCTTTTGCAATGTTGTCCTAGACCTTGTCATTATGGTAAGTCCCAATACATGTTATAGAACTCTCAGCTCATTTTTCTTAGGCGTTCCCGGTTCCAATCCTGGTAGGTGTTTGAATACTCTGACGACCGCTCGTTGCTTACTTGACGAAAGGTTAAACTTAAAATGGGCAAGCGGAAGAAGGCAAGAGTGATTGCCTTGTCATCTGTAGGAGTATGGTAATACTTCTCCTGTACCCTTAGATACTTCCATCCATGCTTACGAGGTCTAGCATCACGATTATAGCGATTATTCGGCTCGTGTACTCCTTATCGCCTAAGAATGGAGCGCAAGTAAACTTTACGCGTAAGGCTCCGACTCCGGCCACAGTTTTTGTGAAGTGAACACAAACTAATGCAATCGCAGGAGCGTATACCAATATATGTTTTTGGTCAGTAGTTGAGGTCAACGCCAGCATAATCTGCGCTTGTTTGCCGCAAATCGACATTCTATGCCGAAAGGCTCTGGGTTACTATCGGAAATGCCCTCCTACAACGACGGACACAGACTACGAAATGAAATGCTTCGCCTCCACGAATATCACACTGAATCGACTTTCGCATGCGACACATCCTGATTCTATCTCGTTTAGTAGACATGACGTTCAACTGCTTGAGAAGCATGACTCTTGGTCTGTTTCGAGGTCACCAGTCCTGTCAATAGCGAGTCCCAGCAGTTCTCACGTAAAAGCTCCCTCAGGGTTGACTTGTATCGAATGCAAGGCTCGACTGTTAGAAGGGCGGCGAGATGACGTATAGGATGAGAGTTGTTAGCTATATAGATAAATGTATATACATTTCCAACACATTATAATGTGCATTCACTACCATTGACATGTTCAGCTCGTTTCTGCAATCCTCTGAGCCGCAGTTGACCAGCTTCAGTCATGCTATGCACACATACATCATCATCAAAACACCATCAAACCCACGATCAGACTCCGTGCGCCATGGCATCTGTTGACAGCACATCCTAGCTATGGAGCTATCCTTCCCGCTTCCTCTCGCGCTCGAGTCAGTACATCGATCTCAGAGTCCAGCATGCCAGGGATGCGTGCCAGGGATCTCGCAGCTTTCGACATGTTCACATCCCCTCCTTAACATCCTGGTCCCACGCCGTTTGAGCCCAAGCACCGTGTGCGTGAGTTACGTACAGAACCTCTATTCAATTAATCAAGAAAGAAGAAAAAAAATGCGCTTTTTTTTATTCAGTCCTCAGATCTCAGTATTGACCCACCACGAAAATTCCTCACAATCCTTCGCCTAGAGCTTTTCGACGACGGTGATCCGCACTCGCCGCCCTCGGCCGGGGCTATCTCCTGCCTGTACTTACAGGCGCAAAGGCCCGATTCGAGATCCCTGAGGCTCAAGCGTGCATGAGTCAGTCATGCATGGATATGTGATGTTCGTGTCATGGGCATTTCAACCCCATTTCATCTCCATCAAGAACACTTTCTCAACGCACACCGTCCGTCCGTCATTGCTCTTCTTCCTAATTCCCCTAATAACTAACCCTATTTTACCTCCCGCCAAATCCGGACGCCGAATTAGGCTGTTCGAAAAGCTAGCGCTCTTCGGAATCTCCGGCTTCACGCTAACTAAATCAGTCAGCTGCTATGCATCATCTGCCGCGCACTCTTGCTCGCTCTCGTGTTTCCCCTGACGACGTCGGGTCACTCGTTCGTTTCATTCGTTTGCGAGCTGAGCTGAGCGTTGCTGGAGACCATCTATCTAACCACGACCAGATACCCACTTCCGGAGGCACGAAAATCCGATATCTTACCCTGCTCGAGGAATTTTGAATGGTGCTCATTTTGCAATGGATGCCTACATCACCGGGGGATACACACCCTCTCTCCTTCCCCACACATACAACATACCCATGTCACATATCCCCAATCTGCCCCCACCCTCTAACTCTCAGCGCACGTGCTCTTCTAAATCTCCACATCCTGTGATGTCTGGGATGTCTTGGTAAGTTTTTTCTGGGGAGGAAACAAAAGTAGCCGTAATTTCGGTTGCAAGCTCCCCTAAACTTTCTCCCTGTGGCATGATCTTCAGTCACGTTTGTTATTAACGAGACAGATGCAGAACGGAAGATGGAAGGGACGCATGCTTAAATCATGCATGAGTCAGCCGACTGATTTCTTCGGTTGTCACGGTAGTGATTGTGGTGAAAGAGTGGAAGGCTAGATTTGAAGCAAGGTAAAATCTGGACATCTACGAGCGAGAGAAGTGTGATATGAACAATTGAAACTTTATATGATAATATCAGAAAGTTTGACCGAGAAGCCTAAGTGGGCACCAATGTATGAAAGACAACGCAAAGAAACAAGTGTACTGATGTATGTAAAGAATCATTTCTATCATACTGGTACTACACAAACAGCATATACCAAGGTGAAGAATCCACAAAAGTCTACGATTGATACCATCGATCTTGCTGCCTTCCGGGCTCATACTTTCAAGGCTGGCGGCTTGAAAAGGTCGCCAGTGGTGACGGTACCGTTCTCAATCTTCTTGTTCACATATGCCTGCTTAGGCTCCGCCTCACTCCACCAGAAGTTGATATACTTACGGCCATCTTTGCAGGCCTCCCTGTCAACTTCATTGTCCTTGAATTCAGAGTCGCAGAAGGCGTTCATCACAAAGGTGCAGCTCCCATGCGCCCCTTCCGTGACGTTCGCCACCTGGTTATCACAGTGTCGGTGGTGCGTAGGCTGGAACTTTTTCTTGAAGGGGTGCACCCTTGCAACTTCTAGCCTGTCGTCTCCCAGAAGATCCTCTCCAGTAAAGCCCTCGTACTTGACAGTTTCGTCCTGGTCGTGTTGGGCATGGCAGAAGTCTTGCATGTCGTCTGATGCCCAGAGTCGAGTCCTATTAAGGAACGGCTTGACTTCATCGAACTTGTCTGGGTAGCCCAGACCCGTTGCTGGGTCGAATTCGCCCTGGATACATGGATAGTTTTTACTGTCCAGGGAGCCGATAGACGATATGCTAGCACCAGAAGGATCCTTGGCAATAGGCATTGCAATGAGTCCCATGGGAAGAGTGTCCGTGTTTCCGATCTCCACTAGATAGTCTGCAAGACCTTTCGTATCGTTGAAAAGATAAGACACTTTAAGCTCTTGATCGGCGTCAACGTTTCCAAAAGCTTCATACCAGTTCAAAGACCCCCGGATGACTTCCTGTATTGGTTTCAGCGTTTGCATTTCGATTATCATGGCATAAACAAACCTCCTTTGTGAGTCCACCATAGTGATCAGCCTCCCCGGTAAGGTTCATCCAACCAGCCGGGAGTCCAAGATTGCCATCTTTCTTCTGTGTTTCCTCGTAAGATGGATCGATCCAATAGATCCAGAAGGACTTTTCTGGGCGATCTGGAAGGTATACGCGAGCATCCAGGGTCCCTCTGTTATCCAACAGACACCCCATTGATGCATCAGCCATGACAACATAGACCCTCTCCAAGGTCCAGACTGTGAGATGTTAGACGGCTATCGAAATCGCAAGGATAGGATGACTCACAGTAGTGGAGAGCAATGGCAGAGTAAGCCTTGTCCAGGTGTAGCCGGAAATCCTCCAAGCGAGCGTTCATCGGCTCTAACCACATTCTTTTCGAATTAGCCATTAATTCAATTGAACCTGGTAAGGCTACTCACCCAGTCTCGAAGACCGTAGCCAGATGGTAGATGACATTTGCGTCTTCGCCATCATCTTGACCTACAGCGTATCCAGCAAGAATTCCCGCAAGGTCGTCCCGAGCAAAATTCATTTGTTCGTCCCGGGCCTTCCTCAACGATGCAATCAGAGGTATCTCCTCATCTTCAAGATAATCACTGTTAATCTGTTAGCTGCTGTTCAAAAATGGTACAAACATGCCATACTCTGCCTCTATATCTATTTGACTGGCCATGAAGCCAAGACCTACGCCTATGGCAGCGAAAATGGTCGAAAAAATAGCCAAGGCAACAGTAAATGGATTTCTCTTCAGAACCTGAGGTTCCCATACTCGATGCTTCAGAGATTTTGCGAGCTCTGTATAGAACTTGCCAAATTTGTCAGGGGCCACCCGAGTTGTCTCGTTGGCACCTATCCGGGTCACCCAATAGTCATCCGAGTCGTCCCCGGAAGAGGCTCTGGCTTGAACATTTGGTTTGGGTGCCAATTGGCCCTTTTGGCCCTTCCACAAGCCGGGTCCCGAGGATCCTATTGCCATAACCCCGCTGATCTGAAGGAAGATCTGGGAAATTACTTGGATCTGCAACTGCCGAGCTCTGTTTTCTGCAGCAATTCTGTTCAGCTTCTGTTGGACCTCGTTCTGATGCGTCATCTCAGGGAGAAGGGCCACGGCATCGCTCTTCATTTCCTCAATCTTTGTATACATCAGATGCATCATTTGTCTAGCGACATTGTTGTAATTCGCTATCTGCGAACTGATCATCGATTCCATCTCTCTCACCTCCTTTGTAAGGTTTTGATTGAGGTGGGTGCAGTCAGGAATCTGTCGCACTGTTAGCTGACAGCTCAATTGCGACGTCCCTGGATGTGTAGATCCTCCTAGTTGGCCATATCACGCCCAAGCGAGTAAAACTGTCTCTTGCTATTCTGGCTGCCCTTTTCAACAGTTGTCAAGAAGACAGGAATGGGCTCGCTCGCGATTGGCCATACAGTTCTTAGGGTACTTGCAGACGGGGAGTCACTTACCACACAAAGACCACTGCCATCACATACCCCGATGTTAGACTCTGGCTCATTAGGGAACAAGTCCCGAAGGTAGTCTGTAGAGAGCACCCCGTCGGGGCGTTCTTGACCGTACATAACCATCTTATTGAAGAGGTATTCTGTCCCATTCAATTCCAACCACCGCTGAGGCGAATGCCTCACAGGGAAATCGCATTGTGAAGAATTGCTCTCCAGCTGTTCGACCGCTGTCCTCACCACATTGCCCTTGGCTGGTGTGGTCTCGGCGGTTGGTCTGGTTGACCCGTTTGCGTCGGCAGGCCCAGTCGGATTCAATTGAGGTGGCCGATGAGGGCTGACTTGCAGTGCGGCGACTGCTTGAAAGCACAGGAACTGCACAAGCACACGGAGGAGGACCGCCAGGCGGGTTTGGACAAATTTCGTGGTACGGACCATGGTGGCGAGATAATGGTGTAGCCAACGAAGAGGATTCGAAAGAGTATAGGAAGGATGGTGAGTAGTCAACGAAGAAGAGTTGATAGATTATAGGGGATATTGGGAGTAGTCAATGAAGATGAGTTGAGAGAGTGTAGGGATTGTGAGTAGAAATCGAGGACCAGGACGCAGTATAAATACAAAAATGGATAGCAGGAGGCGGGACTCTGAGGACGTACTTCCCCTATTCGCATGATAATGCACACCAACACCAGCCTCTTCTTTCCAGACGAATGTATCAAATGACTCATTTCCACAGCTCTTTTGGTCGTTGCTGGTTAACGAGACCAGATTCTTGAGTACAGTCGCCTCGGTGGCAGGAGTAACAATCGTAGGCGCCATCGTCTGCAATGGAACTCTCTCAAAAGTGCCAGCCCCATTAGATTAGCCTCAAGACAAGGAACTACGATATGATCTTACACTTCAGACCGTATCACGTAGAATTGAATATACAATTACTCGACAAGAAATCCGAAATGAATACATCGTTCACAGGGTCTACCATGCAGATCATATCGCAGGGGTCAGCACGTTTGCCATGTGTTACTAGAGGCACCTCAAACGAAATGTTCGGCCTTCGTCTGATGGTACCGTTCCGAACAATCTGCGTGGTATAACATCACTGGAACCTAGCATTAGAGCATTCCCAGCCTACCCAATAGTGTGTACCGGTGTTACCACGATACTTTGACAGATTGGTATAAATAATCAGTAGCCGAAGCGGGTACCGAATACTCAATGTAAAAAGCATTACCTAAAATTCTGCTGCGAGAGAATCGATGATATTTGCGAAGTATTATGTAGTCTCAGCGCTGATGCACGCCTTGAACGCCTTTGTATGTATCCTTCATCGGAACTTTGAAACAATGACCGCTACAATCAATAAAACAAGAACGGTAATGATCGCTATCGTGATTATCCTATTCGTAGCCATCCTGTGGAGCTGTCAGTCAAGTGATGCAGTCACACGACTATAGTTGAGGAACGCATTACCTACGAGCCATCCCTCTCAGAGTCTTAATGCTCCTATCTGTATAACCTTCGCTCTCGTCCAGAACCGTTCTTGTGTGCTCGATTTGTGATCGCTGTACGTGAAGGTCTGCCAGGGTGTTTCTTCCAATGTCTTCCGTCTCTAGCGCAATGCGCTGGCTGTCTCTTAAACGTCCGCTGCTTCGCTCCAGACGCTCTGTGCCCGATAGAAGCTGCTGCCTTTGCTCGAGCTGATCATCCGTAGTTGGATTGTCGGTATATCGGGATCCAAACAGTGCCCGGCGGTCGTCAGTGAAGGATTTGAGCTTGCGCTTTGCTGCGTCGACGTCGCTTCGGTATCCGCGCAGCCGTTGGGCGACTTTTGACTTCATAGGACCAGGTAGCTCTGCTCTCTCCAAATCCATCTGGGCGATCTAAAAGCGTTGTATGTTAGTCATTGGTGTATCTAGTTCTAGCAGAGCCAACTGACCAGTTCAGCGGCCTCTTCGAGGGCACGCTCGGCTTGAGTGACGGCTGCTTTGCGAGGCTCGCCGGCCAGCTCGGGGATCTCTTCGAGCTTCTGGTTTATATCGGCTTGAACCAGCTTCAAGTCGCCTTCATAGCCACTCAAGCGCTCCGAGCCAATTTCCGAATCAAGGATGTTAGACATTGTGAGAGGGGAGTTGGTGATGGGTGTCTAATCGTTGTTCGTAGTCGTGTATGCTGTGCTGTATATGCGGCACTTTGGAAGGTAAGGCCAGACTTATTGACGACTGCGTAAGTGCTCGGAATGATGTGCGGCAAGGGAGGAAGGGTATTAGTTGTTGCCTTGATAGATGACGAATCCAGGGCCAGAGATGCGATGTTGTGTATTCCTCATGATGCAGCACGGCCAAGCCGCGGCGTCTGACGATCATCACGTGCCCTAGCCCGGACCTCTGACAGACTTATGTAATCATCTCAGACCACTTGAAGCCTGAGGTACTGCAGTCTGTGTAGGTCTTCCCGGCATGAAGTATCAGACTCTGCGCCGAATCATTCATTCATAGTCGACTTTACGCCTCCCAGTGCTCTCAGAGCTCGTAGACCGCGATTCTACGTTAGCTGGGATAGAGATACTAGACCGAGTAAGGTAATTAGTCCAGGAACGAAAGCGAGTCCAGGTTTAGCGCCATGTCGCCCGCCGTCATCGACTCCATGCCTGTCAACAACCAGCATCCATCTGGGTATACATGAAGATACCTCAGTCAACATAACAGACACTGTATGCTGTCTTCTCGATCACCAATGTCACGCAAGCGAATAGCCATTGTCGGCAGCGGCGTCTCTGGTCTCGGGGCTCTTTGGACGTTGAAGAATACGGATCATGAAGTCCATCTTTACGAATCTGAGTCCCGTCTTGGAGGGCACACCAACACGGCAATCTATAAAGGCAAATCTGGGGATATACCAGTAGACACTGGTTTCATTGTCATGAATACAGCAACTTATCGTCCGTACCATCCAACACACCTGGTATCTATGTTCAACGTTCGACTAAACCCAATGCAGCCAATTTGATAGCTTTTCTGAAGCATTTGAAGATTGATACTGTGCCTACTGAGATGACGTTCGGTATCTCACGCGACCAAGGCGCATTCGAATGGGCCGGCACCTCTCTAGATGCCATATTCGCCCAACGTGAGAACATCCTCAAGCCCTCCATGTGGCGTATGATCTTCGACATCGTGCGCTTCAACCAGTCCTCCCTAGACCTCCTCACCAACTCGACCGTATCTCCAGACCTGACCATTGGTGAATATCTCGACCGCGAAGGCTACTCAGCTTCATTCCGTGACGACTACCTCATTCCCATGACAGCCTGTGTCTGGAGCACCGGCCCAGACAAATGCGCCCTCGAATTTCCGGCCGTCACACTGATCCGCTTTCTTTGGAATCACCACCTACTCAGCACCATCACCACGCGACCCTCCTGGCTCACCATCCCGGGCGGCTCAAAGCGCTATATCGACACCGTCTTGCGCGACTTCCCGCCTGACCACGTTCATCTCTCCTCGCCCGTGACCTCCCTTCACAACACCCCATCCGGCAGCGTCCTCCTCACCCTCGCCTCCGGCGCTCAGCAGGAATATGACAACGTCCTCCTAGCAACTCACGGCAACCAAGCCCACGCCATTGTCCATTCCAGCGCCACGCCCACGGAAAACACCATCCTATCTGCCTTCGCAACAACACCCAACACCGCATATCTGCATTCAGACCTCACCCTGATGCCCACGCGCCGCAACACATGGGCCGCCTGGAACTACCTCACCACCACCCCCTCCCCCAAATCTCTCCCTGACAACCCTGCCCACGCCCCCGCAGGCGCCCTCTCCAAGGTCTCCCTCACCTACAACATGAACATCTTGCAACACATCCCAGCCTCCCACGGCGACATCCTCGTCACGCTAAACCCGCCACATCCGCCCGCACCCGCACTCACACAGGCAACATACGAATACGCGCATCCGCTCTACAACCCAGCCATGGTCGCCGCACAGGAGCGCCTGGCCGAGATACAGGGTACGCGTGGTGTGTGGTACGCCGGGGCGTGGACGGGATATGGCTTCCACGAGGATGGATTTACAAGCGGGTTGCGGGCGGGCGTGGCTATGGGTGGTCGGGTTGCGTGGGAGGGCGGTAGGGTGGTCGACAGCAAGTACTCGCGAGGCCAGAAGCCGGTAAGGACTTGGACGGATCATGTGCTCAGGATCGTGCTGGAGGCGATCCAGATTTTGATTGTATTGGTCGTTGGTATGGGGCGGGCGCGGGCGGTTGGGAAGATGGACAAGGCTGCATAGGGCTATGTCGGGCTGCGTAGGGCTGCGTGGTTTGTGAGCGCGCGAATACAGGGGTACTATCCTTTTTGGAACGATGGCAAAGAGATAGTGTATGGATGGATTAGACCGACCACAGACAGGATTCTTAGGTGCACAGGCCACAGCAGAGAGTAGACAATAAATACCGCCACCGCCACACCCTAACAATCATAACATCGTCTCCATGCTACTCGACAACGGGAACAACTAAGCCTGGCTCTTCTAAGTCATTGGATGAACTCTATGATAATATGGTACATATCTTATCAACTTATTTAGATGGAGCTTGTACAAGTCCGAATTCGTTTCTCCCTCACAATGTCCAGCCTGCCAACCACATTCAAACCTTCACGATCACATACTACACATTCCCATCTCCGCCCCTTCCGCCCTCCTATGAGCCTGCCTCCATCCCAGCCTCACCCGCATCACCACGTCCTATTCCTCTTCACTAGCTTCCCAGCCCGACGCGGTTCCCGCACACCCGCCGCATGCCAAAGCCTCGATCCCCGCCTCGACGTATCCCCATACACGCCCTCTTTCTGCTCCCAAGGCTCCATGAGCCCAAAGCTATCCGCGCGGACGGCTGGAACGGCTGGGCCGGTCGCTGGGAAGTTTGCGGGTCGAGGAGGCGGGGCAAAAGAGCGCTGGGATGCGTGACGCTGGGGGTGTGTAGGATGGGAGGCGAGAGGGTTTGGTAAGGAGTTGGGAAGTATGCGCGTGCGGCTGCTGCTGGTGCTGGTGCTGGTGCTAAGCTGTGATGTCGTTGGAATGCGTATGAGGGGATCGGCTAAAGGCCATGATCGAGTGTATAGTGAAGTGTCGGTGCTTATCACAGTTGAGCCTGAGAGGGTGCTTAAAAATGAAGCGCCGTCTACGTCCTGTGAGCGATCTTTGGGCGAGAGTATCATGTCCTCTATTTCACACTCCGAGGGCGCAATTGGCGACAATGTAATCTCCAGACAGAGAGATTTCCGATGAGAACTCGGGAGAAGCGGGGCATCCTGTGACCGCCTGACTTGCAGGAACTCTGGAGAGATCGGAGGGAAGCTGGGTATCGAACAGAGGCGAGGACATTTGGTTTTGGCGGCTCCAACGACGGCTGGTGCCATCGAACTGTACCGAAATCCTTGCACAGCAGATTTGGACGGTTGTGATGCTGACTTTAGCCGCCGGGATCGATAATGAATCAAGTTGCGAAATCTTCTTATGATGTTCATGATACAAATTGTTGATGCCAAAACACTCAAGCCTGTGGTTACTTATCGAAATGTGGCAAATCCTGATGCCAATGTTGTTGCATCACAGTCGTGATATACTCTAGCATAAACAACGTCTCCACCGAACAGTGATAAATCTCCGCATTGTCATATTTGTTTCGGTGACTTTCTGTAGAACAATGGCGAATCTTTATCGCAGAGGGAAGAAATATCACTAATGCACGCCCTCCAATAGCTGTGGCGCTCCGTGCTCGTTCATTTCGGTTCCAGAACGCAGTCGTTTTGTCTTGTACCGGCAACATGGCTCTCCACAAAGACATACTTTATCCAGTCCTCCCCAATATCGATCGGTATAGTCGACAGTGACTTCTTCTCCGACTGCAATGCCTTTGCTGACAAGGACCACGCGAACAGTGTCCATCCAAGCGAATTGCTGGAATTGGGCGTTGGGATTACATGAGTGGTTAACGAAGCGTGTATAGTTTCCGTATCGTTTCTGATATATCTGGAAGATACGATTTGTACTGGGTGAGGTAGCGGTCATGACGTCCGTATTCGCGAGGGAATGCGTGAGCAAGCCCGTAAACTCTCCAATTGACGTGCCTCGCTCAAAAGGCTGAAAGATCATTAGTTACATACAATTCCATCATTGTTCTTGGATGTAGACTCACCACAAGCGCTACAAGACCATTGTTCTTGCCATTGTGTGTTCTCATGACTTGTACTGGTACTGGATTTCGTTTTGAACTTCCGAATAGATTCGGAAAACAATGGCAGTCGTTATCCTTTGGATTGTCAGACTGGCTCCCAGTGCACGTACGGCAGATGTGTTTGTTTGGCGCCCCTGGGTTCGTGGGTGCAAGCCACCGAGGGTCTTCGCAACCCCAGGCTGTCTCATCTACAATGGACTCGTCAATATGCTCAAATGTGAATTGAGGGTCCCACTGTAGATACGTAGCTCTTAGAGGGATCGGGTCGTCGCCACTCTCGAAAACTACCCAGTCATGTTGGTGGCCCTCGTATATGTGGTCTGAACGCTCCCCAATAATGGATAGAAGGTGCCGCCAATGAGGATGCAATGTATCGGCTGCAACCTCGAATCGACTTCGTAGATTTCGAAGACGCTGCATCGCCTCCTTGTCGAACCCTACGCGATACTTGCAGAACCGATATAATCCCATACCTGAGAATACCAAAGCAGCCCATCCGCCAGCCTCCTTGACTTCTTGATATCCGCGCCAGATCGCCCTTGACATGTCAGGAAAACCGTCGAGGATATGCGGTTACTTACGTCTTGTTTCGAAGCTCTTTCTCGGTCCAGCCAAAATGTTGACAGGCTTCCATGATTGCAGCTTTACGATGTTTGTTGATTGAGATTTCAGGCGTGGCACACGCGAGCGCTTCTACCCTCGCGTCGAAATGCTCCATCCATCGAGTCTGCACAATGAGTTCGACTGACCTACAAGCACGACTCGCTTGAGTAACTTTGCGACAAAATACACTCATCTGAGAGAAAGTGTCATTCGCTGCTACTAAGTGGGAGGGGATGCCGTTTGCGAATTCTGCACCATTGTCAGTATCAAAAAAGATCAAGATCGGAAAAAGAAATTGGATAAGCAAGTTATCTAAATCACGATTCCTCCTGCAGGATTTTGATGTAGCTCAGACGTAGAAATTCGAGTGTCTCGGATCCGTCTATTTTATCCTCTATACCGAGCTCATGTGCCACTACTCTCACGGCTGCACGGCCACGCCTCTACTAAACCCACATCGTTCACAACTGCGGTACCTAGACAAGAGACAAAGGACAGAGTGAACCTACCAATAGATCCATTTTTTGGTTGGTCAAGGGATAGCCGATATGAGTCGAGCTGTATGGTGTGTTAAGAGGTGCATACTACAGATTTTGGCACGACAAGACTTGCAATGGAGTGAGGATCCAAGTTGATACTTCCATGAAGCTGTTCCCAGATCCCTATGACCAATTTGTCCAAACTTGATGGCTGCATACATTGAGTTTCCGGACGGATCTTACGCCGTTTGGGAAAGGTATGATAGTCTAAGGCCAGCTGTCTCTGGGAATCTTCCACAGGATCGTTTTGAGTAAGCGACTTCAGAGCTGGAGCAAGTCGAAGACCTCCTGTAGGTTTCCTTGAAATCGGCTGCACTTTGTCTTCATCGCGGCGGACTGATGGTAGTGGTCGCAGATGCTTCGATCCGTATCTACGTTCATGCCCTGGTGACGATGACGAGATCACTTCTGACTGTTCTGACGTCAATGGTTGTTGCCGGTCGGAAACGTCGTGTGTTCCGTCAGTCAAAACTGTTTGAGTTGATGGGGGTTTTGGGGTCAAGGAACTTCGCACATGAGACAAATCAAGTATTCTCTGGAAGATTGTTAGGTCAGATACAGGTGCTGCAACTTCTCACTGACCGAGCCTAGGTGGTGAGATATGACAGGCTGTTCGGCAGTGGCATCTTGGCCGTCTTGGAGAAAAGCCTCCACTCGAAGGACGGGTTTTGCTATGCCATTGGCGACATGCTCTGATGACAACCGTGCGAAGAATTCTTGTATAGCTTGATTGATGGACTCGGACAGTCCTACGACCTCCGACATGATGCATACGAACCACTAAAAATCCATAGCCTAATCAGAGGATCAAGCATACCATACGAGACAAACAAATAAATATGGACGACACGGGATCAGCGTGATTACTGTCCGTGTTCTGACCTCTTGTGAGAGTCTCTTTGCAGCAATGGCACGTAATGCAATGAAATGCAAAATGATGACCAAAAGAGAAATGTCGATGTTGGGAGAAAACCCGAGCCCTGACGAAACATAGCCGGCGGGCCGCTCGGACCATGTGGTGTGAAGAATTCAATGATTTCATAAGTGGCTTGGCATTTGCCTCTCTACGAAACGCCATTTCTCAATTTGTTGCATTCATTACAAGTTTCACTATGTACATGCAACATGGTTATCTCATGCTTCATGAGATCTGATCGCCTACAGCATGTGCAAATATATCCATCAAACAGACCATATATGGAGAGCATACACAGCAGACCAACCAGTTCGAGCGGCAGATTGACTCGTACCCGATCTGCTCGGGCAGAAATAGACGATTATAGTACAAGAACCGCGATCATCAGTTCTCCACTACAACATCTGATTGGCGATTGACACAGCATCCTCTATTAGCCACTGAGGTTCAGCCACTACGCCGGGAGCAAAAGAGCACCACCCAGTTGTTTGAGACGCCACGACCCTCGTCATGGTATCATTGGCCAGAGTAAACGGTAGTTCTCCCATAAATAAAGCCTAGGATGTCCGCATAAGAACGAACCAGAGTCAATTTATACACACTGAACTGAGCCATCTCACATCTAGTACTTGTCCTCTTTCTCTACCCGATTTGGTAGACTTGCTTGCACGCGTACACAATGGAGCACAGCAGCTCGGGTACTATAGAGTTGAAGAAATCAGATGGCACGGAAGAAAGGAGTCATCGTTCACCACCAGCTCACTATACCTTCGATGGCGTAAGAGGATGGCGTCGCTACAGGTGGCTGCGGCCAGGCTGGGGCATGTATCACGACGTCAAGCGTCGTTTGCCTTATTACTGGACCGATATCACAGATGCCTGGTCATATAGAGCTGTTGCAGCAACTATTCGCATGTACTTCGTCAAGTACGTCTATTCCTTAATTGTGACATTGGTATCATTAACCATATAACAGTCTGTTGCCCGCCCTGGCATATCTCCTGGACATGCAACGACGGACTGGTGGCTTTTATGGAGTAAATGAAGCACTGTTCGCATCTGCTTTGGCTGCCGTCGTGTTCAGCATTCTCGGTGCTCAGCCGATCACGATTGTCGGCATCACAGGCCTGATATCACTCTTTAACTACACTACCTACGATATCATCAGCTTGCATGATGTTCGCATATATCCGCAATTCATGGCCTGGATGGGGATTTGGGCTGCCATATTCCACTGGATCGCGGCTTTCTTCAACACCTGTGACTATATGCGCTATGTGACGGACTTCAGCAGCGAGTCATTTGGACTATACGTCGGCATCATCTACGTTAGTAAGTTCTGCCACAAGACTACTTTTATGATACACTGATCGCTGAGTCGCAACTAGTAAAAGGAGTCGAGGAACTAGCCAACGAGTTCTCCGTCAACAGCTACGAATCCGGCTATCTAGGGTGCATAATCGCAATCCTCTACTTTGGTACTGTCTTTGGCATTGAAAAGTTCGGCGTGGGTCTCTTCATGAACCCATCAGTCCGACGATTCGTCGGCGACTACTCCTACGTCGTATGTGCGATCTTTCTCTTTACTTCAGGAACACATTATCATCATCATCTCCATCTACTAACAACAATTGTCCCATCAGTTCGGCTCAATCTTCTGGACCGGCTTCGCACACTTTCCCGGCCGCGTCAACGCAACACACGTCTCCTATGTCCCCATCACAAAAGCATTCTACCCCTCCATTCCACGTGCCTGGATCATCGATTTCTGGACCCTCGACGTAAAATGGGTCTTCGTCGCCATGCCTTTTGGGTTCCTCCTCATGTTGCTCTTCTACTACGATCATGTACGTCCCAGTCCATCCCTATTCCGTAACCCCTAATATCCAAACCCCCATGTATGCTACAACCCCTGACCAATACAAGAACGTATCCTCCATCACCGCTCAAGCCCGCCACTACCCCCTCCTCAAACCTGGTGGCTTCCACTGGGACTTCTTCCTGCTCGGCTGCACCACACTCGTGTCCGCAATTCTCGGACTTCCCATGCCCAATGGCCTCGTGCCCCAGGCCCCGGTGCACACCGACTCGCTCACATACTACACGACTAACGTGCGCGCGCTGCGGCCCATCACCGGTGCATTATCGCGCATCCCCACCACGAAGCGGAACGAGCGGGACGGACAGAGCGACGAGAGGGATCCTGCCGCAAACAACAACACCACCGCAGACGTATACGCAGACGCAGATGCAGAAACAATCTACGAACCCATCGTGCGCGCCACACACGTCCTCGAGCAACGTATCACCCATCTCGCAATGGGCATCCTGCTGATTATCACAATGACACACCCACTCCTAGTTGTGCTGCACACAATGCCGACGGCGCTCTTCGGCGGCGTGTTCATCCACGTCGGACTATCGTCGCTGCTATCCAACGGCATCGTGCTGAAGTGGAAGTACCTGCTTACCGAACGCCGCATGGTTTCGGCGAATGACCCGTTGAAGAAAGTAGGGAATCGGAAGGTTTTACTGTGGACGGCGATCCAGTTTGGGGTAGTGGCGGCCTGTGTTGCTATCAGTCAGACGATTGCCGCGATTGGGTTTCCCGTGTTGATTATTGCGCTGATACCCTTGCGCACGGCGTGGGTGCCACGGTGGTTTTCGAGGAAGGAGTTGGCAGTGCTGGATGCGTTGACAGCAAACAGTGAGGTTGTGCTTGCTAGTCTAGGGGGTGCACCACCAGATTTTGCGAGTGGACAGGGGGAGGAGTGAGTGGTATCTGGTATAAGATTTGCTGCGATAAGATAGTTCACGGGCACCAAATGAAAATAAGAGTAATGACAGTCTATTGGTCTATACCAAATGAATGTGAATACAGAGGCCAGTTGAATATGGCTATAGAGCTCTTTCCCTGATGGAACAATGACCTTGTAAAATCCCTTTCTATCCAAAAATGAAAGCCCAAGAAAGAATAGTAGCATTAGCAGAGGCGCGCTACCATCCCCGAGTACAATTTCATGAAAGTAGCTTTTCTTCTCGAGTCAAAGAGATGAGCTGAAACCTTATGCTGGTTTGATCTCAGATGTAGATCATGGCTCTTTCGACTCCTTTAGCAATTGTGACGTTGTTCGAAGATTCCACCATAGAGACGGAGTTGTTGCCTGTATGTGAATCGCTAGTAACACTTTTAGAATCTGGATCGAAAAGTCCACTCAAATAGCGTCTTGCTCTCTCGCACAAGACATCAGCGTAGTAAACTGGCGGAGGGATGCTGACGGCTTTCGTAGCCCGTCCAAAGAGGTAGCACATCTTGTGCGACAACTCCTGTACGAAGTCTCCTAAATTGGAGCAACCAACGAGTGAAGGTAACGCACGAAAGATTTCGTCGTAGATTACAACGTAATGTGCAGGTCGTGCTGTGCCCTGAAGCGCGCTATGGGCCTGCAAATAGAAGTCACAGATCCGAGCCTCGGTGACTCCGCGATCGACGACAGTACCATTGGATGTATTACCGCTTCTGTCTGCTGTCTCCTTGCTTGTAGCATAGAATCGCACGTTGTGTCGTTTTCCGACTATCACGATAGATATTCGAGGCTTACTCACTTTGGTAGTCGGGGCGGGATAAAGATCTGCGCAAGCCTTTCGCAACAGTGGAAGCTCTTCATTGAGCACAATACTATACTGGCCCTCAGAAACACCATCGCGATACACAAGTATGTTTTCCGGGAGTTCGTCGTGGAGATCTTTCCAGAGTTCAATGCGCGATTTGAGCATCACGTCTAGCCCTGTCACCTTTTCTTGCCTGGACAGCTGAGCTCTTAGCACGCCTGGCCACTGTCCCAAGAACGGGTCCACTGAAGCCACCATGGCAGCAACACTAGGAGCGTTTTCGGATGATCCAGGAGAAGGATGTGTAACGTCGATACCGACTACCATAGTCTTCCCTTGCGAAATCAGTGGCAGGTCCGCAGGAGCCAGATCGTGATTACGTCCACCCAACTTAGCGTTCACCTTCATAGCGATGTTTGCGAAGAACTGGCCGTTGGCTCGTTGGAACTTCTTGTCTACCACGCAAACGTTGAGAACACCTGCTTGGATATCGCAGGCCCATTTGACGCGATTATACAGCGCTGTGTTGTCTCTTTCCGGCAGGATTACCAGAATGAGCATTGGAGGTTTCAGATTAGGGTCGTGCATAAAAGTCTTGATGGCGTTGTCAATTATGGTCTCGTACTGCGCGCTCTTTACATTGACTGTCAGACCTCCGGTATAGTCTGCAACTCTCATCCCAAGTTCCCGGAGTTTGGCTTGGAAGGCTGTAAGTTGCCTGTCAAACTCACCATTTCCCCAGATGTCGCGTCCGTACTCTATCTTAAGGTAAGTCCAGCTAGGAAGATTTGCTGCCTGTACGAATTTGACCGCTTGCAAGTTCCAGCTACCAAATAATGGCTTGAGCTTTCTATCGAGATACATGATGTTTGGTGCGTTCAGTACACGCCCAGAGACTGATATCAATTTCGGATCTACTTTCAGACCGAACTCTCTCTGCGAACTATGATTAGCTATGACTGAAAGGTGAGAGTATCAACATACCCAGAGAGGGTTCACTGAGTGGAGTCCTAGAACCCGAGGTCCGTCTTTCGTGATAGAGTGGGCATTCTGCCTGGGCTTTCGCACAGCAAATCTGATCATTTGCTGAGTTTGACTCGGACTAAGCTTTGATGGCGCTGCTTGTCCTGCCCTGACGTAGCATACTTCCACCGGTAAGTACGTAGGGTTCTCTTTGGACTTGACGTTGATCAACGGCAAGCTAGGATCGATCTTGACATCTGGGTAATCTTTTCCTAATGTATTAGAATGTGATGAAACGCGGGCTGGGAGGTTTTATACGTACGTCTCCGAAAGTAGTCGAATACAGTCCCATATGTCCCTGCAGTTGTGACCGCAGCACCTCCCGTAGACTTTATTGGAGCACCTGGAGATGTGAAGAAGACCTGTACCTCTTTGGCACCCGCACCGAATCTTGGAACTTTGGGCGGATATTTGAGACTCTTTCCGTCATCTTTATTCGCAAATGCCTGAACGACTCTAATCCTTGGTGTGCCATAGTGCGTCGCGTGGACGGACAGCCTTCTGATAAACAGCTGCAGACCACGTAGATCCCACCCGTTCACCTTTGTGTAATCCTTCATGAGGTCATCAAGGCGTTTTGAAAGATAAAATGCAAGATTTTTGACTTGAACATTTACCAGGATGCGAGCTGTGGCTGTGCGTACGCTAAGACAGAATCCACGGATTGCTTCAAGGCCTGCGCCCAGATTCATCCTATCTATAGCTCTCAGGTCGAAGTGTCGATTCTGTCCAATGCTCACAACTGATGAAGTTGCCTTTGGGAAATGGCCAACTAATATGTTAAGAGCTGAGATCATTTCATCCTTAGACTCAAGCATGAGACCAGCTTGTGAAGAGGTCAGATAGTCGACCAAAGATGCCAAACGGAAGCTTCCGGTTGCCGACAACTTTATGTTATACTGTGGTGCATTTGTCTGAGCGTTGTCCTCGCCGTCCGCTCGATATATGACAGTGAACTGGTTTTGCGCTAGGTCGAGCTCATGACAGCATATCAGATTTGACACGAAGTCGGTCGCGATACTGTTGATCTGAGTTTCGAAGTGATCTTGAAGTAGAAGGCTGATGATACGCTTGACTTTCTTTCCGGTCGGGACTCTATCGCCAGACTCTGGCGAAAGACTAACGGCATAGCGGTGCAGCATTACGTCCGGTTTCGTAACTAGCTCCATGAAATTTGCCCACAGAGTGACCTGTTTACCTTTGGTACCGAAACAAGGGCGCGTTGGGTTCTCGTCACTGAAAAGCTTGACCATTTTCAGCATAAGGTCTACGCTGTCCTCGACCTTCTCTACTTCCACGTTCTTTCTCGGTCCGCCATCTTGACTAGGAGATCATAGGTCAGAGACTGAGCGAGTGTGTCCATGAAATCTTACCAGTATATGTCAACGCCACCACCGCCTCTTGCTCCACCAGCTCGTCCACGGTGCGATATACCAGCCATTGTTGCTTGCAACTGCTTTCTATCTCGTTCAGACTTGAAAGAGATAGCAGATTAAGACTCGGATAGGTCGTGAAGAGAGGCACCAACGACGTCTTGTAATGAGCGTATTGTGAAGGTATATAGCTTGCTGTCCAGTGCTACAAGTTTCCAAGTTTGATTATATTGGTAGATGTTGTCGTAAGAGTTGAACAGATCGCTGCTACAGTGAGATGCTGTGTAAATGTCAGGTTGTAACTCGGTATAAAAAAGAAAGGAACAGCAACCGGTAGGAGGCAGGTCCGGCGGCAGGTCCGACCTTCTTGGGTCAGTTGTGATAACCTCTGGAAGTTGGTCTCGGGCGATACAGTACGAGGAGGTGCAGACGAAGGAGCGATTCGTGATGCGACGGGCAAGACGCAAGAGTTCCTAGGCTCATGTGTATTCATGTACTTAAAGACTGTAAGTACAGGCATATGCGATCTCTGGTATGCCTTATTTCGGAGCCCACTCCGGAATAATGATTATACCCAATCAGTCATGCGGTGAAGCAAAGACACAAGAAACTTGGGTTCGGCGAGCCATTGATCGTGACCCTTTCATCGGTAGCTTGGGCCTACTCAGCTGAGTCTGGCTATAAAGAGAGTTACTCAGGCTGTTAGAGGACCTAGTCTTAAAAAAAGTGTCTAAAGTACTCTCAGGGATAGATCCGTGCTAGGCGGTAGACAAAAAGTGTGAGGATATGAGAGGCAGAATAAACATGACCAAATTGTTTAGTGTGGAATCTGGGAACGTACTTATACATAGATAGTCCACAGAGACAGACTACAGGCCTGTAAACCATCTATCATACTGCGAAGTGATTATGTGGTTATGATGGTGGGAATCGCAGATATTCCTATGTGAGTTTGACAGACAGTTTGATGCACTTGACAAAGACAAACTGTGATCCAAGAAATCTCATTGTCAAGCTAGCTCATTGTCAAGCGAGCTCGAGCTACAGTATATCGCGATGTTTGAATCATAAATTGGTGATGTATTTACAGTCCCAAGACCCCAGACATCACAAGGAGAACCGCAAACATCGACACATTGGTGTCATACTTCAGCGATCCAGCAGCTCCTGTGTCAGTCGGTGAATTGGACCCTGTGGGAGTGCCCTGGTAAGAATTAGTAATACGCTGCGATTAATGCAATCACGACTTACTCCATCAGTATTAGGCGTTGGTGTGGGAGGAGCATTGGGTTCAGACAATGAAAATGTACTTGATGGCCCAGCGCCCTCGAAACCAGAAGGGCTAGGAGTCGCGTCGTCTTGACACTGCTTTGCTAGTCCGCTCACACCATTGCCGTAGATGTACCAAATATTATACGTGTTGGCACAGTCAAGACAGCTCTGGAGGTTGGACTGATACTCAGCATTATCGCAGTATTCGCCACCGCCGCGGCCAATCGTGAGGACACCACCTGGAAAATGTGTCAGTAACAACGCCGGAGAAGATGAAGAAATACCGTCGCACCGCAGGCTGCATGGCAATTGTACGCTGGAGTTCCTGGCTCTTGACGCTTCAATAAAGCATCTGTATCCAAGAGACTTGCTGTGTTTGGGACGGCAAACAGCACTGTCAGGATGATTGTTGTTGTTGGAATCTTCATACTGACACTGTGCCTGGCCAAGTGAGACTGGAAAGGCAACGTATTTAAATATTGAGGCATTTGTATTCGGAGGAAGCGGCTATCGTACAGCAACGCCACAATAGCTATGGGTCCAGTAACAACCGTTCCAGAAGGTAGCAAGCTCGGAATTGGTCAAATATTGAAAAGCCAACTCTCTTCAGACGCCCCCTACCGTCATTTCGACTGCTCGGTAAACTAGTTCTAGTGAAGCGAGGAGTCCACAGAGTGCCATCGCTGCTCCCTCGGAAGTTATGATCCCTGAAATCCATCTTATCACCGTGGAGGTCTATGAGTTCTAACCTGATTTGGAGGGCAAGGCTTGAAAATCTTGTCATATCACACGTCTGTCCGGCTCAAGCACCTCGACCCCTCTTTCCAAAGCATGCTGGAGACAGGGTTCAACTCGGACTCAGCGATCCTGTACCCCCAAGCTATCGCTTTGTTTGCAAGGGAATGGTCTGATGCCAAGCCCGCCGAGATGTTGCCGAGACAATGTTTGCAAAATTTGAACATATCTGATCCCTTATTCGTGCGATAGTACAAGGACGAAAAACGCCAAGCATTTGTGTAGCTAGCAGCATCAGCAACATCAAATTGTGACACATCTAATCTGATCAGATAAGATTCCCCGCACGCTGTTGCTTCCGCTAGAAATGCAGCCAGTAACGTCTGGCTCTGTCTTGTTTCGGCATACGTTGGAGACCACCCGGCGTGATGCGGCACACGTTGCTGGTACGACTGTTCATGATAGATAAGGAGTCGCTTGGACCCTTGATGGACAGCATGCGGGATCTGTCATTATCAAGGCGGACCGGCACTTGCGGAACTATTCTCAATAACCACCATGATGCAGTGTTCATCGATGTTGGCTCTATGTTTGACCATTTCACTGTCATGGATGGTGGTCGCCCAGGTCACTTCGCCGAACCAAGCCGCCGCTGCAATGCTCTGGCCGCCAGATAGGCGATGGGGAGCAGCCGTGGACAACACGGAGCCATGCGGTTCGGCGCAAAGCGTTTGGAATCGAACGGATTTCCCGCTGAGTGAGTAGAGAACATCGAAGAGAATCTGTACGGAGGGAGCCATATGTTGATACCCTACAGCAAATGGACGGATTGCAATGGCAATGCAGGACGACGCATACAACGTTACTATATCGATATCGTACCTCGCCAGTAAGTACTGCCAAATTACGTCCGTTGCTTGTGACTAAGATCATTGTAGATCCGACCGCAAACAATGACTTCGAAGAGGTTCTCAATCCTGAGCGCGACTCCGAACTCACAGAATTTGATCCCGGCCATCAATGTTTCGACGTGCCTGATGCGCCGTCTGGGACTGTCGCGGGACAGTCGGCAACGATCCAGTTGAATTATATCTCCGATTTCGATAATGATGGTAACAAGACCTTTTATGCTTGTTCCGATGTCACGTACGTTGCGGTTCAGAGCTTTAATGCTACGAGACTAAGCGGTGTATGCTTCGATACCGACTTCGATCCTGGTGATCCTTTAGTGCATCCGAGCATTACTGCTAGCCCTACCACTCTTCCCAGTGCGGAACAGAGTGATAAAAAGAGTGGACTTTCTGGGGGCGCAATCGCAGGTATTGTTGTTGGTGTCGTTGTCGGAGGTGGAGCACTCCTGATTGGAGCTTTCCTCTTGTACAGGAGGCGGGGGCAAAGGATGAGGAGGGACGAGGCTGTCAATGTCAGGATGAATGAGTTGACAAGTCCAACAAAAAGGCTAGATGAGTCGGGTTCAGAAAGGCAGGTTTAGAAAGGCAGGCTTGATAAGACAATTTGAGTCGTGAGGAATTTATCAGGTGTAGCTGATTCGAAAGAGCTAAGAAAGGTTTTCCGATCGATTGATTAGCCTGCGACTATGTCATCTCCATCTGTCGTGCGTGATGCGTGTCGCACGGTGCCATTCATAGATCTATCACGAATCCGGAAGCGTCCTTACAAAGAATGCCAAGTAGAGTTCATCAATGTAGTCATTGTCGCAAGTATCAGTGACACTGCTGGTCGACGATCAGATACGGAAAATGGGTAGAGTTCCGGTCCAGGGTGTTAGGGTGACCGGGCGAAGCTGTTTGTCCCGAGTATGGTGAGATGGTTCCAAGACTTTACTAGTCCCCAGCTTGTGGGAGCGAAACAAGATTCCTGGATGTGACTAGAGGTTAAATACACACATATGTCATGTTTGACTTACTGACATGTATTACGCTGCATGATGCTCCTGCTCTTTCGTCATAGTAGTGTATCTGATGCGGAAAGACATGAAGTGGAGAACGGTTTGATGGCTGAAAATACTCTGAGGTGCATCAGATATCGTGCAGGTATTTGCGAATGCTGTCGGTATGCACATGGGACTCGAAGTTCACGTTGGAGTGTCGTGAACAGTACAGAAGCGTGCGGAACTTAGCCATGCGTACGCCACGATCCCGTAGCTCTGATGTTGCATATAACAAGGGTTGGCGAAGACTCCATGGTAAGATTCAATGATGCGGGCGCACAATGAGATGACGTTATGTTCTTCGCGTCAATAACAATCCTAGGGTTATAACTAAACCTTGAGACATAGTGATCTACCCTGGAGCATTTATGCGTGACCATGACAGGCATGCTAAAAACTCTGCTTAGACGAACGCACACCTAGCCGTCGGGAAGAACAAAGTGAGGCACACAAGTTTAGGCTGCAACACTCTCGTGGCTTGGTTACTTTAAGTGGCAGCTGAGTTGACTTCTACAGGGCTACAGTTAGTCCTATGATCTAGATGGGAAGCGGAAAGGGACAACAGCAGTGAGATCCTCTTACATGGTGCGCTGGAGGCGAAAATGCCAGGGACAAGCCAGAGTGTCAGCTTGCACGCTGTGTTAAATGTAGAACACCAATGGTGCTGTGTGTTGTTGGAGTGAACGCTCCAAGGGGGAGGCGTAGCGGCTGATGGAATGAGGTTGTCATATCGGGTGGTGGCTTACTATCTGGATTGAATGATAATGAATTACTGCCTAAGGCCTCAACTACAGCATCTCCCGAGTCCCTACCGCTCTTCAGCCTCATTTCCGCCAACACATCACCCTCTGTCCACTATCTGTCAGTATCATGATTCTTCGAAACCATCCCCTTCTTGTCCTTCCCGAGGCTTCCCACATGGTTCTTTGTAAACACGCATCTCCTGCGTGTCGAATGGTGGATACGCTACAAGTCCTGCTGCGAGCCGAGAAGCACTCCCGTGTGGAGCCAGACAGATGTACTCTTCGCAGAAATAATTTCGTCATTCGTCTCAAGACTAGAGTCTGATCGCTAAAAAAATGCGCAATAAAATACACTGCGGTCTCAGGAATCTTACTTTCCGGTTCAGAGCTCGACACGTCATTCTATGCGCATTAGATGACCGGGGAATTTAGTAGGGTTCTCCGCAAAATGTATCAATACGGACACAGTCACGGTCAAGGGACCTAGGGTAGAATCCGGGGGAGGGGGGCATATATCCCTCAGTTACCGAGATGGCTTACATACCTGATACCAATGCCCCTAGATTCGAGCGCTTTATGCCGCCGTTGACGCCCTCAAGACGGCTGACCATTACACTTTGATTCCTTTTTGCGGCTGTAGCGATCAAGGGTAGCAAACACACTACCCTACACCGAGGTTAATGCTAAATCGGAGACTCGCAGAAGCTGGGCAAAAGGCAAGCGCTCACTGTAAATGTAGTCAATGTTCTATATCTCTAGCCTGGACAAACGTCTGACATACTCTCGAGTATGTCTCTATTGCCTACAGGGCAGATAAATGCACCTATTGACCCCAGGAAGGCTCGGACAGCATACCAAATCTCTCGTAAACCCAGCTTGTTGTTGGATGAGAGTGGCCTTCGCTAACCCTGGTTTTACCACTAGACTTGGACAGATCTACCAGATAATTGACAGATAGGTATATCAGTTTTGGTAGCAGAGCACCCACGGGCGCGGCCTAGTTGATGACGACAAAGGTAGAAGATAATAGCAACCCAAAGCAATGGTACATCGATGAACTAGAGCCAAGATACCCATCCTGGACTCTGAGACAAAGTTTGCAGGAGTTTTCGAACGCACAAGATGCAGAATCTAATAGTACGCTCTGGACCTTCCTGCAGGTGATCTTTGCTCCCGGGAGCGGCCCTTCGTTCCCGTCGGCAGACGCGGTGCTTACAAGCCCGACGATGGCTCGTCATACGAGGCTCCAAATCGTGACAAGCATTACAAGTGACATGCGTGTGTGATTGGTTTCGATAAATGTGGCTTGACACAATAGCACTTGCTTGCCGCCGACCTAAGACGGATGGAGGAATAGTCCAAATACGCCTCATGAGCGTTCTCATGATCATCAGTGGGATCTGAGGAAGCTGGACCTATCATCAAAATTGCCATATGCAGCCACCATGCGACGACGTTCGTCAACTGACATTGGATGCATCTGTGCCGCCATTATCGTGGCGTTCGTTCTCGTGGAATGGTACTGCTAGTCTGGACCAGTCATGATATGATTCCATACTTCAGTATGACAATAAGGCTTACCTTTCTTTGGTCATTACCCAAACTCGACCGTCTCCCGCCATGTATATCAAAGTGTCTGTGAGTGAACTGAGAGGGGCTATATCGTTCATGTTAGTCCATCTAGTTTACGAAGATTGAACTTGAGGAAATCTGTGAAATCATGTTATCGCTGTGCACGAGAAGCAAGTAGGATATGTTTAGAACGAGTCCGATCACAGGCATTGGACTCCTTCAGTCGCCCCAGTCCCTTCTGACATGGATAGCCACTGATCGACAAAACAGTCCGCGGAATAGGAGCTCATACCTCACAGAGTGATTACCTGTTTAGACCAGGGAGGCTCGATGCGTTGCTTCCTTGACTTGCTCCTCCTTTAGACGCCTATATCTCGTGTATGCAGCTTGATGACAAGAACCGAGTGCAGTGTTTGACCAACGGCAGCCACATTTCATCAACATAGACGACATATTGGAAGACATCAGGAAATCTGCAGTGTCCACCGACGTCAATCACGAAGAAGTGCGCGATGTCAAGATTTGTATGAGAGCAAGAAGTCTATAAGAAGCCGTCTCTTCCCACTCAGTACAGTTCTTCATCCAGCAATCAAATAGTATCTTCTAACCAGCACTTTCCAACACTATCACTCTCGAGCCCCAAAGCCTCAAAAATCAACCGCAAACATGCAGTTCTCCATCATCGCCGCCTCCCTCTTCGCCTCTATGGCCGCTGCTCTTCCAACCAACGAGCCAACCACCACTCCGACCCAGTGCTCCAACGGCGGCACTGTCTACTGCTGTACTCAGGACCCAGCCAAGATCGCTCTCCTCGATCTCAAGATCCTGACCTGCACCGTGAACAATGTCCTGGGCAACTGCAACAACCAGGTCTGCTGCGTCAATGCTGGCTCTGGCGTAAGTTTTTCCCAAGATCAATTCATCTTCTCTTCACGATCTAACATCACTCTACAGTCCCAGACTTGCTCCACTACTAGCGGTGTCAATATTGCCATCCCTGTCACCATCGGACCCCTCATCTAAGTTCGTGCACCGCTATTGTTATGGAGGGATAGGAAGCATGAACACGCAATAACAGTCAACACAAACACTCATTGTCATCTTGGCGTTCCTGTTTGGATTGGATAGGTACCTCCTGTTTTAGTTTCGTCGATACGGTAGTAGCCAATTGGTAGTCCAAATCAAATTCTGTTCGCATCTTATCAAAACATAAATTCTTCCGCCCTGCGCCACTCAAGTGCTGTAAATGTGCTTTCCCATTTTGAACCTCGGTGTTCTCGATTCTGTCGACTACACATTAGGCTATGCCTGTTTTGCTCGTCGCTCATGCGCATTGCTGCAGGGAACAAGTGAGATGAGGAGCCAGCCAGTCGGAGCAGTCCCGTTTGAGTAAAACTAATAAATTGCAGGCGGTCCCCTGCTTTCTGGGGCAAACTTCATTCACTACAAGCCATGGCCCATACTAAATCTACTCTAATGTTAGACTGCAATTCCAAAATTGAAATGCAGGATCTTTCTGCTTGCACATACACACACGTACACCTCACCTCGACTGCTTTCTTCGTGCCCCAGCAACGATGAAACTAATATCTGGCCTTGTAAGTGCGTTCCGCATTCTATATTTGCCCTCGACTCTACAGAGGTTTGTTTTCGGACAAGATACGTGTGACATTCGACACACCGTCATAGTTTCGAGTAACAACACATTATGATTTATTAGCCAGTCAAGTCGAATGCATACCCCGATCCCTCCTAATATTCATAATGCCCCTGCTGCCGCGTCTCATTCAAATCTCTAAACTCACCCCTAATACTCTCAATCCCATGCTTTCGAACCAACTCCACAATCTCAACCACACGAGGCGCAATAACCTCCTCATCGAAGCCGAAATACTTATACGCCACTGCACCAGGCAGACTGTGTCCGAAGCGATGCATCGAATACCCCGCATCCGCATACCTCTCCCAGCCCTGCGGACTATACGCCTCGATAACGACGCGCGGCAGTTTGCTGTCCCAGGCAAGTACTTTGCGGCGGTAGTCAACAGGTTGCTTGTCGAAGACGCGCTGGCACGGGAAGCTGACGACGCGGGCCTTGATGTTGTATTTGGCCGCGAGCACGCGGCGCGTGTCGACGGCGAACTTCATCTCGGCGCCAACGCCGATAAGGGTGACGTCAGCGGCCGGTTCGTCGATGAAGACATAGGCGCCCCGTTGCACGCCGTCGCGCGAAGAGTGTTGTGGGTATTGTGGGAGGACTTGGCGTGAGAGGGAGATCATAGACGGGGTGTTTTTGGCGTTGAGAGCGGTGATGAATGCACCGGCGGTCTCTTCGCTATCGGCGGGGCGAATGTATAGGAGATTGGGCATAGCGCGGTAGAGGTTTGCGAGCTCGACAGGTTGGTGAGTGGGACCGTCTTCACCGGTGCCGATGGAGTCGTGCGTTGCAATGTGGATTTGCTGGAGTCGTTGGAGGGCGCCCATGCGGATTCCGGGCGCGGCGTAGATATAAAACATGAAGAAGCTAGACGTGGCGGGGAGAATGGTGCCTTTGCTGAATGCCGCGAGCCCGTTTGAGATGGAAGCCATGGCGTGTTCGCGGATACCCCAGTGGATGTAGCGGCCGGTGTAGTCGCCGTTGATGCCACAGCCAGTCTTGAGATCGGGGTGCTGGAAGTCGACTTTGCCTTTCCAGATCATATTGACAGATGGACTTAAGTCTGCAGTCCCTACCATCATATTCTGGAGGCCACTCGCAAGCGGATTGCATACAGCGCCGGCTGATTTGCGTGATGCTGTTGGCGCAGTTGGAAAGTCTTCCTTCTTGGGGATGAGTTGAGTCCAGTCAGCAGTCATGCGACCCTCAACTCTGGCTTGGAATTCTTCGTATACGTCCGGATACTTTGTGGCGTACTCCTTGACCATTGCGTTCCAGTCTTCTTCTAGTTTGATACCACGAGGCTTCACTTCCCGGAAGAACTCATAGGTTTCGTCTGATATAATGAAGTGTGCATCGGCATCCATACCAAAGCATCTTTTGATGTTGCCAACGTCTTCGGCACCAAAATTGACACCATGAGCCAGCGCGTCGCCAGCTCGTCTACTCCCGATGCCGATGATCGTGCGGATATTGATGAAAGTAGGTTTCTCGGTGCTTGCGCGTGCCTTGATAAGAGCTTCGGCGATACCGTATACATCAAAACATCCGTCTTCGATGTCGATAACGTCGAAACCACAAGCTTCCATTTTCTTGTTTACGTCCTCTGTATTACATAAATCGACCGTACCATCGCATGTGATCTGATTGTTGTCGTAGATCAAGACCAGATTGTTCAACTTCCAATGCCCAGCAAGCTGGATCGCTTCAAGAGCCACGCCTTCCTGTAGACAAGCATCTCCAAGTATGCAGAAAGTAGTGTTGTTGACGACTGGGTAACTAGGCCTATTGTACCTAGCACCAAGGTGCTTTGTGGCCATAGCAAGTCCTACAGCATTTGCAACACCCTGGCCAAGAGGTCCTGTCGTAACCTCAATACCCTCATGCTCGATTTCGGGATGTCCAGGACAGAAAGAATCGTAATGGTCAGAATGGTAAGTTTTTAGCTGCTCCCAGGTCATGTTCTTGTAGCCTAGAAGATGCAAGAAAGTGTACTGGAACAGGCATGTATGCCCATTTGACAACAAAAAGCGATCTCTATTGAAGAACTGTGCATTTGATGGAGAAAACTTCATAGTGTACTTGAACAGAGCAAGGCCAATTGCTGCCATCCCCATGGCACTCCTGCTACAAGTCAGTGAACTTTCTCATGCTATTGTTATGTATCAAATATACCCGGGATGACCACCATTGAACTGTTCGCAAAGGTCTGCAATCAGGACCCTGAAAGTGGCAAGGACTCTTTCGATCTTGTCTCCGTCTTTGAGCTTTAGATTCCCCATCTTTTCAAAACATTTGGCTGGAGTCTTGATAGTCAAATGCTCTATCGTCTGTACAGGTGTTACTGATGGCGCCATGGCCATTAAATGCTGAGGATGTGAGGTTAATCAATTTGATTGAACTTGTAAAGCAGAGGGGGATATTAATAACAGTAGTTGTATATGACTTGAAAGAAAATGAGAAGAAGGCTCATGTACTTGTGGCGACTCATCGCGTATACATGAACAGGATCTCGTACTAGGATCTTCAGTCCGATATCCGAAGTGTGAGGCTTTCTCCATGACTATCTACCTATTATCTACCATTCGCAGTTTGCGGAGTGGTAACGGATTACCTATTTAGGTAAGTCCGAAAGGCTTCGGGAAAGTTTGCCGAAGTCCCACCATAGTCCCGGTGAGCTTCTTCCTCTCCATGAGTCACTAGAAGGTGGACAAGAGATAAGTTGCAACTGCCACTCCAAAGCAACGGAGAATCGTATGCATTGAGAGTGCGATTCTTGCTCTGCATTGGAACAGAAAACCAATTAATTGGAAGTATGTAAGTGGGAATGTTATGTGTGTGCCAGACTTACAACAGAAGTAGCCAAATGACGTAATGTCAAACACCGACAGTGGTCCCAATCATGTCGCGCTCGCGCATCTACGCATGCGAGACGAATAAAGTGGAACAAAGCCTAATTAACCGATTATCAAATAGAACAATCCCAGCGGCAAAGTTGATGCCTGAGGCTTGGAAGGCACTGTCTGTTATCCAGTGATCTATTCCGCGTATAAGGGTTTCGTTCGAACTACTGGTCCACGGGTATTGACACGATGCAGCCATAGAGTTCATAAAACGACTAAACGGTCCATAAGCAGCGCGAATATTTGCCTCCGCATCTCGATCTCGTTCCTTTTATTTGAAATTCCTATGAGTCCCGTAATTTGTGACATGACTTCATAGTCGGGAGTATTGCTCGGAATCGTCGACGCCAGCAACAGACTCGTTGTTTACGAGTCACAGACATTAACACGAACGTCAGCGGACCTGGTGATAAATCTGCGTTTCAGCTGATCCAAAGGGCATATCTATGCTGATCGGGTACTGTTGTAGATGACTGGAATTATCTTACTGCCTTTGTATTCAGGTCGGCTGTTTACCTTTCAATCACCGGATATTCTGGATCGCCTGAGGTTTTCTCAAAAAGACGGTTTGATCCTTTGCCATACGTTTTTGCAGGTTGAGAGAAAGGATATGAAGTCGGGCTGCATTGGTTCAGAGAACGTGACATGTGTGCGATTTGAAATGTGCTGGACGAGATTGTCGTCGGTCAATAGTCAAGTGGAAGAAATCGTGCACGAGAATATTGTGCTTGGAAGTATTAATAAGAGCTTACAAAAGCCGAAGTTCGGCCTAGACCAGAACACGATAAGCGAAATTTTATGCAAGGAGGCCGTTGTTTCCTTGCATGCAGGGATTGGCTTTTGCATCCATCAATTTGTACTCCAATCATCACTGTATGGGCCTGAACAAGGTCCACTTCTAGCTATGTAGCTTGCATTTGGATGTGTTGGCCATCCATGCCGCAAACTAAAAAAAATATGCTACTCTCAACATATATGAGACTGACAGGAATAGTTCTTATGGCCTGAAATCTGGCTCCTCTGAAGAGTCAAAGAGAAACTGAGATGACTATTCTCATCGGCCGACCGCTCACTCGAGCAATCACTGCCACAGCAGCTGCCGGTTTTCTGTTGTGAGAGCGACGCTGTTGAAGCGATAACTAGTTAATGGCTAAGCCAATGTCTAGGTTCGGGTACGACCAGGGTGTTTTGAGTGGCCTCTTAACCGGCGATGCTTTCACGAGGACGTTTCCAGAGATTGATACTCGCGCGGGTGCGGGCGGAAGTGCCACGCTCCAAGGCACGGTTGTAGCCGTTTACAACATTGTAGGCCATGGACCATTAGATTTGGTATTATATTTCAAGCTGAACCTATGAGTAGGGTTGTTTTGTCGGAGCCCTTGTATGTATGGTCGTGGGAGAACGACTCGGACGAAGGAAATGCATTATGATGGGATGTGTTATTATGACGGCAGGCGCCGTGGTCGAAGTCACATCCCGGAAGCTTGCACAGTTGATGACAGGCCTTGTTGTCGCGGGCTTCGGCAATGGATTCAATACCAGTACCATCCGTAAGTGACGCAAAAATAATGGACTATCACGCTGACTGAAGTAGCTGTCTGGCTCTCGGAGCTTGCCAATTTCAACAAAAGAGGCCAAGGTATTGCCGTCACCAGTGTTATCAACATTTTTGGTGTTATGGTGGCTTATTGGGTCGATTACGGTATGAGCTTCGTGCCGAGCGATGCGCAATTCCGATTTCCACTTTCGTTGCAAATTCTGTTTGCTCTGATAACGCTCGCTGGTATCTCAGTGCTTCCAGAATCCCCAAGATGGGTAAGTTTTGTGACTGTACAGACCTTGGGAAGCTGACCATGTGTAGCTCATAGCGCATGGTCGCAGTGCAGAGGCTCGGCATATTTTGTGGGCTGTAGAGAAGAACGCCCGCTCAATGACCGAACAAGATGAATCCATCACTGCCAAAGTCGAGGAGATCCATCTTACCGTCGAAGAGGAGCGAAAGGCGTCCAAGAGCGGTAGTTACATCTCCATGCTCCATAATGGGCCACAAAGATTTCTCTATCGTACAATGCTCGGAGTCGGAGGTCATTTCATTCAGCAATTTGCTGGTATCAACTTGATCAGTTGGTAAGTCACCAAGCCGCAACATATATCAAGGCCGGTTTCTCAACGGCGCAGGTATATTCCTGTCATCTTCCAGCAGTCGGTGGGGCTTTCGCGAAACACTTCATTGCTGCTATCTGGTTTCAACGGTCTGGCGTACTGCCTGTGTGCGATCATCCCGATCCCGATTATAGATCGTGTTGGCCGGAGGAAGCTTATGCTCTTCGCTTTGGTTGGTCAAGGAGCTTGCATGGCAGTACTGTCGGGGACAGTCGCAGATGGTGGGAAAGCAGCTGGTATTGTCTCGATCGTCATGCTGTTCTTGTTCAACTTTTTCTTCGCGATAGGCTGCTCCAGCATTCCATGGCTATGTAAGTCTCCCATCCACGTACTGCCACCCCGAAACTAAAGTACTGTAGGGCCTGCGGAATACTCTCCTCTCGCAATTCGCACGCGGGTGGCCTCACTCTGTACAGCAGCCAGCTGGTTATTCACTTTCCTGATCGTTGAAGTCATGCCGATCAGCATTAAGAACATTGGTTGGCGGACTTATCTGTATTTCTGCATCTTCAACTTTATCTCCATTCCATTCGTCTATTTCTTCTACCCGGAGACGCAGAATCTGTCGCTTGAACAGATTGACCGACTCTTCACCGGCGACAAGATCGCGATGCGGTGGACACCTGAGATGGATGTTGATGGGCTTGGGAGTTCAGATGATAATCCTGATAGACTGAATGTAGGGTCCATGTTAGATAAAGCCTGTGCGCCTTGAAGACGATTTTAAACCGAAAGGTTCATGTTGTTTATCGACATTTGTTCCTGTTGATGATGCCAATTAGTTACCCCTTTTCTATCCTGGTGCAAATTAGCCTGCAACTAATTACGCAGCACTATGGGGAGCCCAAGTCAGGGGAAACTCGCCTGGCGTGCGCCCCACGTAGCTGCCCACAGCCCATCTGACGCGCCAATCCAACGATCCAACGCGCCCACCTGCGCAAACTAATTAATTAATCATTAGTCGGACACGTCTTCCACATCCCGGACTTGACCCTAACATCGTCGTTCATAACTACACTGTCGCATACGTTCACGCATCATACTATACCGTCCTCCTCGCGCAGGTTGGCACTTTTGCTATGCCATTATCTTCCTTTTCAATATTTAGTCGTCGGCGGCCTCTCGTTCGAATCATCCTTCTTGTCGTCGTCCTCTATGCAGCCTTCACAGCTCGCCGCCAGTACCTTTTCGAAAAGTATCTCGACACCCTGTACATTACCTTCGACGACTTTCCACCCGAATATGTTACGGCTCTGAACGAGTCGGTTGCGACAAAGAATGACAAGCCCGTGGCTTACGATAATAAGCTCTTTGGAGAACCCAAGATTCCAAAGATTATTCATTTTATCTGGTATAAGAATCTATACGAGAGTCATAAGGAGGTCACCGAGATCCCATCGATTGGCTCTCACGCCCCAGAGCTTTGCAAGAAACACAATCCTGACTTCGAGATAAGGATATGGGGCAAAGAGGAGGGAAGAAAATTCATTGAGAAGAACTACAACTGGTTCATACCCACCTATGATGGCTATGCGCATCCCATCCAGCGCGTTGATGCGCTGAAGTATTTTGTGCTCCTCCATTTTGGAGGAGTGTACATGGACCTCGACATCGCCTGTCGAAGGCCACTGGATCCGTTACTCCAGTTCCCGGCCTGGTTCCCTGAAGCTTCACCTCTTGGCGTGAACAATGATCTCATGGCCAGCGCGCCTGGCCACCCAGTCATGGAGCGTATGGCTTACGGGCTCAAAACGCACAACTGGAATTACATATTTCCTTATCTTACCATCTTCTGGACTACTGGTCCTCAATTTACAAGCGACATTTTACGCGAGTGGTTCCAAGCATACCGCGGGAAGCACCATGTGATGGGCTCGGACAAGAAGAATGCTGGTAAGCTATCTGTTATTCACGAATATGGGTGCCACTAATGCTAACGTCTTAGATCCTGGTCATTTCTTCATCCTCCCACAGATCTTCTATTCAGAAGAATACACGTTTTTCGGACACTCACCGGGTGGCACCTGGCACGGTGGCGACGTCGCCGTTGTGTTGTGGTTCGTCGCCCATCCCTACGTTTTCTTCGCCATTCTTGGTTCAGTACTTACAACCTGTTTCTGCGTCATGAGGAAGAGACGCGGTATGCACTCTATCCGTTCGAAAGAGGACGATATGTTGGATCGTGTCTGATGTGCATGGGCGCGAAGCAGCAAAGCATTGGCTACAGCATTTTTGGCGGCGTCTTGGGTACAGATTTTTGGTCTTCTTGATTATGACCAGCCTTGAGCAGGCTCTGAGGCTTCATTTCTATCTGAAGTGGCTTTGGTTGATATATCCACAACAAGAAAGAAGCTTTTGGTGCAATATAGGATTCTTCTCCTTGGTGGACTTTCTACTAGCTTTCTTCCATTTGTTAAAAGACCACTGTTCGAACCACAGACCCTTTATGTCCCTCCTCCTTCTCCCTCCTCAGCCGGTCGCCTGTACAACCAATGGGTCCACTTGACTCCTCTTCTCTCCTCTACGAATAATTCGCCATCCACCTCATCCCTGACATTCCTTGGCGGCCCCAGATCCCTCATCAACGCCGCTGCAGCCGCCTTCAAATCACTCTCCTCGCCCTCCGTCAGCTCTCTGCGAATATCCCCCTCCACACGGTACTTGGCCCTCTTGAACCCACACTTCTCCATCACCCGCACACTCCCAACATTCTGCTCCACCACATCCGCCCGCAACGCCGTCCGCTCCGGCTGCCGCACAAACAGCTCGCTCATCACGGCTTGCAGAGCCTCCGTCATCAGCCCCTTACCCCGCAGCGCGGGCGCAAGGCGATATGTGAGCTCGCTCGACTCACCGCTGTGCAGACCAACAAGCCCAACAATCTCCGACGGGCAAGAGAGCAGGCGGATGGTGAAGACGAAGCTGCGCGGCGACGTGGTCATGCGCGTTATTGTCGATGCGGTCGTCGACAGCGTGCTGAACACTGGTGCGGCCGGCTTGTCATCGCTGTAGAGCGCGTGGATCTGCGGCGCGTCGTCCGCAGTGAGGAAGCTGAGATGTAGGCGGGCCGTGTCGATGGCGGCGCGGGAGGGGCTTGTGGTGAGGGTGTCTGCCATGGAGAGAAATAGGGCTTGGAGACCAGCTTCGCGCAGAAGGGAGTAGAGAGTGTTTGGCCAATGGTGCTGATATGCAGGTTTTGACTGCAGCTTTTGTTTGCTATCGGCGTGCGCTCATGGCAGGTGTGGTGTCTCTCGTATTGTATACTGCGAATTAGACTCTGAGCTTTCCACATCTCGGACCACTCCACTTGGACCACCGAGCTTGGAGGGGCTACATGACGTCAAGCCACCGCGTGATCAGAATGAGACTTCTTACAGAGTGGGACAGGACAATGCCTTGATAATCTAACAGCAGTACATAGCTGCAATACATAGCAGCGTTAAGTGTGAGTTGCGTCTATATCGCAGTATGCATCATTGTGGTGTGCATACCTACAGAGCTGCCTGTATGACACCGGTACGCTCCATGTCCAGCATGCATTTCCGCCAGAAGATTTCCACTAACTTGGGAGCAATCGACTCAAGGGTCGGTCCATCGACGCCTTTCGACCCTGAGCTATCCGATCTTAAAGATCCAATCCAATCCGCTACGCAGATTGCCTACTGTAGACATCTTTGGCGTAAGAGGTAACTCACGTGCAGACGCGTTTTTAGCGCGACTCTCTGTTCATCCACGCAACGTCTTGTGTTGACGATATCTGGATCGCAACAGTAACCCCTCAACGCCACGAACATACAATCGTCTCATATATCTACGCAGGGTATGAATAGTTGCGTAGAGAGAGAGAGGAGGGTTGACAGGGAGCTGAGTTTCGCCGCGGCTTTGGATGGACGATTTGCTGTGGATTGATAATGCTGCTCTCAGCTTCTAAATTTGCCTGTCTGCACACGATTGCACTTCTTGATGGAAACAGCAATGTTTCTTGCTTTGCAATCTCTTACTCTTTTCGTAGTCTTTTCCCATTCGTTTGTCGAGTGTCTGCTTTACTTTCATTGAGCTCTCCTATCCGTTCATCGAGTCTCTTCTATCCGTGCGTTGAGTCTCCCACTCGCTCATTGGGCTCTTGTATTCATTCATTGAGTCTCTGAGCGGTCCGATCAACGAGTCCCAATACCATATCTAAAAGAAAAGGCAGTCTACAAGCCAAAAATTCCAAAATCAAGAGAATGGCAAAAATGACAAAAAAGTCAAAAGGCTCACTTCCACAGGCTCGAACCATGGATCTGCGCCTCTGCTCCCCTGCAGATACTTAGCTCCTTCATCTGGTGCTTTGCGTCAGCGGTAGGTCGTGTAATTTTACCACTAGACTATGCTCCCGCTGGGGTTATGAGAACCGTACCTGTTAAACCCATTATATACCCTTCGTACAGCGAAAACGTGTAAATCAATCATGTGGCAGCGCTACGCTAGTCGCACAGCTGCCTACCGCTGTCCTGGGTTTCTCATGGGCTGTACAATTCCTAATTGGAAGAAAAAGCACGGCATCCTACAATACTATATACTGGAACGCGACAGCCTCTCGCTCGGGCGCTTCAAGGATGCAAGAGGCAGCTATTTAATGCCTCATCTTTGGTACATTAAACAAAGGCTGGGGAGATCTGCTGCGCTTATCGGGTCTGGTCTTCATATTTCTCTTGCCAGCCACCGACAAGCAGTAGATGCGTGAGTCTCGGAAAATCTCGAAGTGCTTCGCATGTGGACTGATAATTCTACTGCATAAAGTGCCTTCACTGTGCGAGCATGAATTAATATCGATGGCATCTACTAGCTACGTATCTTACTTCACGTTGCTGTAGCCTGTGACAGGCACAGACGGTCAAAAGCCGTACAAACACCGGCGCCGAACCCGAAACCGATTATACCTTACACACTGCATGATCATCGGATTACAGACAACTCACAACGTCTTAAGCGAGTTACATTTGTTTTTCATTTCAGCAATCAACCTGCGCGTCGGTCCGATCCCGATCTAGCCTCACAGGCTTACTGCTTCAAAACACCTCTTTGTCATCCCTAAGAGGCAACAAGGAGCCATGATTGATAATCGCGGATCCTCGGTTGCTCAAATTCCGTTCAATTTCAGGGCGAGAATAGCGATGTCAGCGACACTGGATGATACCGGACTATGCTTTCGTTGCGTTTTCTCGGCCAATGGTCTACAAGATCGTCGTAACTGGTTACGATGTATTACCGGAACATCAACTGTTCAGCATCAATATATCAGATACCAGGCGGCGGAGCCTCAGTATATAAAGGCTCACCAGGTCAGCCATGAAATCCCATCCTCAGCTCAATCAACTGCGATCAGCTACCTACCAGACACCAACGCAACCTCGAATCAATCACTACTTTGTATTTCTTAGGGAAATCATACAGATCGATCTTGACACGATACAACAGGCGTCATGAAAACCTCCACGCTCCAATATACGATGCCAGCTGGCCTACACGCCATTCCCCTGACACAGCTCGACCTCCGACCAGACTCTGAGATTGATGAGCATCTCTTGAACCCTCCCCAGGTTTCATCTGAGAAGAATGTCTGGTTCTACTGGCACGCAGGTTACGGCAATCTGTATCCCTACGCGAAGCGTAACATTCGCACTTGGCACCGACGTCTCGCACCTCTAGGATGGACTGTGCGAGTTGTCGACGTCTGCGAATCGCCACGCGGTGCAGGCCATATCTCGAACTTCCTCGATACCTCCGACCGAAGTCTCTTCCCCCACGCCTTCTACAAGGACACCATTGATGGGGAGTTCAGAGGCCAGCTTACATCTGACTTGACGCGATTCCCTCTGCTTCTCGTACATGGTGGTATCTATGCGGATGTATCATACCTGCAGATCGGCGACGTAGACGCGCTTTGGAACACTACGGTCATGAACCCAAATTACCCATTGACTTCTTGTGTTACAACTTCGGTGGGCCCGACGAAGTGCGTATGTTGTTCAATTATTTCATGGCTAGCCGTCCAGGTAATCTGTTCTTAGAACGTTGTAATCAACTACTCTTGGAACTGTGGGCCTCGGACGGTGGGCGTACAAACTCCCATGGTCTGCTCAGGCATCCTTTGATGAGAGAAGCACCTGAGCTTCGCCTACCAAAAGGTCCTGGGCTGGAAATTATGGACGGGATGGGCAAGTTCGAGGAATTGCGAGAAAAACTGAGTGACTATGGGATTCAAATGCTTGTCATGTCACTGGTCATCGGGCTCGTCGACCCAGAAACCAATTGGGATGGGCCTGGATATGCACACAAACAAATGTTCGCCATGGATTTCAGCGAGGACACAGCACTGATCGAGATCATGACTGGATTCGACGGGCCCAAGGCTTTCCGTCTTATGTCACTGCCGCTACCGAAAGAGGGGGAGTCGGAGAGTCCTGACCAAGTCGAGGCGAGGACATTGGTTGAGAATGTCCTGAGACGCAGTTTCGCGGTGAAGATGGCTCATGGACCATTCCAGAATATCATTGGCAAAACACTGGGCATATTATGGAAGGAGAATACTGGCAGTGATGATGTGCTGGGGACGTATGCCCATTGGTTGCGACATGGTATGTTGTACTGGACGCAGGATACCCTGCCGACAGCACCTGATTACGGGCTGAGGAAGCCTTTCAAGACGGGACCTTTGTTGGGGGTGACTGGAGAGGAACTGAATTCTGCGCCGCACAGCGTCATGGACTCTCCCCATACGAGGGTTGATGCTGAGTCAGTCCTCGTTTAGATCGGTCGACCGTGAGTGAGGGATGCTGTGCCGTTCACTTCACGTGTCCCCACATGTTAGATGCAACTCTGCTTGCTGTATTGCTACTGCACTTACCTAAGCTGACCGGACAATAAATTCAAGTGTCAGATTTAAAAGTGATAATATCCATACTAAGACATAGCCCCCACCCAAAGTGGATGCCTTCTTCCTGTCATCCTTCCCCTTCGAACAAAACTCCTGATCTTACAACATACCATTTCACGCCTACGTTCGATTTCCAGCATCCTCTTATCATCTGTGAACTCAATTTATCTGCTCAGGAACTCGTTCATCTACAATGTTTTCTCTCGCGCTCTACCTTCCCCAATCAGCGTCTCCACCCTCACCTCCCTTCAATTCGAATACAGATTTCGAATTACAAACATACAGCGTGTCTACAGCACATAGTCCCCGCTCCTCACGCGACCACCCTCGGTCAGGTGTCGCTGGTGAGCGTTATGAAATTTTCGACGTGCCGTGTGCCGGTGCGCATGGGCTACGGTTTCCGGAACCAGCACATGTCGATGTGCGGTATGGCTTGACGACGCGAGACGATACGCAGAAGCGCTATTCTGGAGCACTTCGTGGCACTTCTATACAGCATCGTGTTCTGCGAGAACATGCACAATCTCGACAAGGCCTCGCTACTGAGGAAAGACACTTGCAGCCAAAAAAACATGGTGCTCCAAACAACTCACATCGCCACAAGCATACATCCTCGAAAGTCACGGTGATTGGTGAACCTTTCCATGTCGTCGAGGGAGTAAAGGCTGTTTCTGTGATCGAAGTCAAGGAGCTCTCCCACCAGATAGAAAAAGAACTGCTTACGGGTCCAGGACCCGATCACCTCCAAGGAACAGAACATCGCAAATCTCCGGTTCACTAACTGCCTGCACGAGGCGCTCTTGTCGGGGTGAGCACTTTGAGATAGTGGTATTCTGGCGTATGATACACATGGAATTCGAAGAGAGCTGTTCGTCTTGTTCAGGGGCGTCATCGTATAAATACTATCGCTACTAGGAGGGCGGTGTGACACTGCTGCCACGGCTTCCAGAGGAGCCATTTCATGCGACATGCGAATAGTTGTAACAATAGTCGCCTGGGTGGAATCTGCTTTACAGTACAACTCGACACACAATGACGTGGACACCTAAGGGGACAAACATCACATCTGTGACGCCTGGTGTGTCTTACGAACTACGAAATCGGCGCTCGGGAGAGCAGCAAGCCTTCATACAAGGCATGAAATCACACGAAATATGGATATGAGTGTCAGGTGTATTATAAAGGTTTCCATTCCAACATCACTTTACGGTGGCTGTGATGTGATGTAACGTGTACTGTATTGTGACGTTCAAATTTAAGGCTATGCACACACACGATCGCTTTGTTGTCTCTCATTCATCACTGAAACGCAGGTTTCTAATAGCCATGGACTGCTTGCCCACCTCCGTACCACAATGGATCTATTCAAGTGACACAAGTGCCATAGTGGCTTTCACCGTCAATGCAATGAAACGCTCAGGTCTGCCAACTCAGCAACACAACGCAACCCTTATTTTATCCATAAGCTAAAGAGGCAGACTTACAATCACCTCACAGCACCACAAATCGACCACACATCAATGCGTCATACTCATAACCACACACTCAGATACTCAAACACGCATTATGGACATCCCCATCCTCACAACGACTCACTTCCCACGTACTCTCTGCCCTAACACACAATGTCCGTTCCCCCTCCCCCACAGCCCCCATTTCCCAGGTCAAGTCCCCGAGATCTACACTCCGCCTGCTCAGCACGCACCCCCCTCCCACAAAGAACCACAGACCCACACCTCTCCTCAAATCACTCCTCAAACCAATCATCAAGCCCAGGACCAAGAACAAGACCAAGCACACAGCCACAGCGACACACCCCCTGACATATCTTCACCCCCACCATCCCCTTCAGCTACCCTTTTCTTAGTCTACCTATGCTGCTCCTGCGAAATGCCTAATGCAAATCACAACATTACACCAACACCAACAACACCACCACCATCGACGACACAAACACGACACAGACTCCGCATAAGGACTAGATGCACATATTGCGAACATCCATTCGCCAGGTGCAGGGCTTGTTGCGCGAGTCCGGTGCTGTGTACGAGGGATGAGTTCGAGGCCTTGCTGAGGGCGGATGAGCGACTAAGGGATGAGGTGCGGAGGAGGCTCTCGGGGTTGGGGAGGAGTAAGTGAATAGACGATGGGCATGTGGTGAGTTGCTCGAAGCTGGTGTTGGTTGTTATGCTCATCATGCATGTTGGGAGGACGGGAATCTAGCGAGGGGAATGTATGGGCATGCATGAACATAAGCATGACCATTGCAGAGGTTGCAGATAGTGAATAGCATGGGCACAAGCATTGAAGAGCCAGTGGACGAATGAAGTTTCAACTGTGTATACATGTAACAACACAACAACCCCTTCATAGCAACAACCACAACACTCACAACAAAGCCTGGCACGAAGTCCCACATACATCCCATGTACGCATGTTCCACGTACGTCCATGTAAGCATCATACACTGCATGCATGTACGTACATCCGCCAAACCCAACATGCATATACGACCCCCAGCCCAACCCGCCTGCAGTCCCACAAATACGCATAGCCTAAATTCCAGATCCCCATTCCCTTCCTTCCATCAAAGCTTCCATCAACGCTTCCATTTCATTCAGCCGTCCATCTAGCCGTCCATCCGTCCACCGATCCGCCCCCACACTTGACTCAACCAACGAACCCACCTGCACCAACCAACGAACTGGTTCTCTTCAAGCCATCTCCGGGCGCGCCAAGATGCGGATTTTACTCATGATCTACTAATTCTGTTTCTGAGGTTACATGCGTACTTGGCCGTGTTGGGTAAATGGAGGGGAGCAGGGGCGGGTCGCCTAAGCAAGTGGAGTGGTCTTGTCGAGAAAGGATATATATTATTTTTATTCTATCTTGTGTGGTTGTTTTTGTCCTTTTGGAGTTGGCCCAAGTAACTAGGGCTTTGTGATTTTCTTTTTTGTAAATACTCTTTATATATGTCATTGTTGTCTCAAGGTAGGGAAGGGTCAGTGTAAGGGACGACAGAGCCGTTGCATCGGAACCTCCGGGGGCGTGACTAAGGGGAAGGTGGGGCAGAGGCCGACATAACATGTGAGTAAGTGTAGGAACCACGGCGTCCAAGACGAAGACAATGCTTGGAACTGGGGGCCGATGACATGAGTAAGCCAAGATCATGATTTCATATCCAATTACCAGATACGGAACAGATACGTAAGCTCTACGCACGAAGAAAAAAAAGTAAAAAGGTCCTTTCGCTCGTTCAGCATTCAGACCTTCCAACTGCCAGTCCTGCTGCGGAAGAAGTTGTCCGGGTCGACGAGTTCTTGCACTTTCTTTGCGAACGCGCGCTTCTCCGGCTTGATGCGGCCCCAATAGTCCTGGCCCTGGTTACCGTCGTTGGCGAAAAGGGGGAGGTGAGGAATGCTGGGCAGCGAGCCGTTTTTGATGAACCCGTCGATGAGGGCCTTTTGGCCGGTGTACAGCGTCTTCATGGCGTCTTGCACGCGCTTGTCGTCCCAGTCGAAGGGGAGGTTGATGTACGACAAGTTCATCTCGAAGACGATGTAGTCATAATTCTCGTCCATGTCGAGGAGGTCGCCGCCCTTCTCCTTTGCAATGCGGAGCTGACGCTTTGGTACGGGCTGGTATGCGATCGAGGCGATGATTCCGGCCGTCGCGAAAAGAGTCTTGGCCGTCTTGCGCCAGAAGTTGATGTAGCTGTCGAGGACGTAAACATCGGTTTTGGCGGGCAGAGGCGTGGTCTCAGTGCCCATCTCGTAGCTGAAGCCACGGATAGCTGCAAAGTTGTTCGCCTCGAGGTATGATGCGTATGACTGCTTCTTTGCGGTGTTGGCAATCGGTCCAATGTCGAGAAATTGTTTGAAGGCATCACCAGGATCCTGGCCGTCGTAGAACACAAACATCAGCCAGGCCTCGACGAGATCGAGAGGCATGACCGTCGTGGATATGATGGCAGCTTTGGGGTGGTCATCGTAATTCTCGGTAAAGTCACGAATGGCAGCGAGGATCTGCGATTGCTTGTCGGGCGTGAAGATGAAGTAGCCGGCCCAGATCTATTATGGTCGATCAGTATAAGGAGTCAAGCCAATGCATGCGCCATACCTCGTTGTCAATAGGGTACGCCTGGAGCAGGAAGGACGTGACGATGCCAAAATTGTTTCCACCACCATGCATGGCGTCGAACAAGTCTTTATTATGGTCCTTGGAAGCTTTGGCGATGGTACCGTTGGCAAGCACCACCTCATATTCAAGAACATTGCTCATTGCCCAACCATTCTGAGCACTCAAGAAGCTCAGTCCACCTGCGAACGTTAGTAATGAACAGATGATAAGCAATATGTTCAAGACAGCCTACCATATAGCATGAGACCCCCGACACCAACGTCACCAATACGGCCACCGACAGGAGTATATCCACTACCATCCAGAGCTTTTGCAACGTCTACCCATCGATTGCCCGGACCGACACGAACCGTCTGGGAAGCGGCATCGAGATTCACCTCGTTGAGTTTCCGAGTCGAGATCAAGGGTGACCCATCGATGCTTGCGAAGTACTTGTTGGGGCTATGGCCGCCAGACTTGATCGCAAACTTCTCGGTGTTTCCATTTGCCCGCAGAGTCTTGACAATCGTCGACACCTCCTCAGCAGTTGTGGGCGAGAGAATACACGAGGGCTTGAGGGCACTGCAGGCCGTTGACCAGTATTCGAAGTTCTCAGTCAGGTAGTCGGTAGACAACGGATGGTCGAGTTCAATGGCGGTGGTGTCCTGTATCGTCCGGCACGTATCAGACACCACAACAGATGCGATGGAGGCAAGAGCCGTGAGACCGAAGATGAGCTTCTTGGTCATGTCTGTCGAAAGGATGGGCAGAATTCCACACCACGGTCATGGTCAAGTCTAGGGGCATGCAGGTCCGTTATATACAACCCGATCGGACGCGACTCCATAGTGTGAGTCCAGAGCCAATGTAGCAAAGAAGTGGAAGAGTTGAACTATTTTGGGCAAAGATCGTCTACAAGGAGTGCCTCCGAGTGCTGGAAGGTCAAAATTAGGGATACCCGTAACCCGTATAGAAATCCGTATCGGGCGGAGGCAAAATTGCGGGATCCACCCCCCTAATGATCCTCAGCTGACACTGATACCTGCCAAACTACTCACTGACCACCGCCGGGTTCTGTGGGAATGGCACGATGTTCAGCAATTCCCGAGTGAAACATGTCTTTGATTGGATCGTGACAGACTGCTTGGGCGTGGCCTGGGTGGAGATAGACTGGGGGCGTTCGCGTGGAAAAGTATGTGGCGTATGTTGTCTCTTTCATGTGCAACCACCGGGCGCGCGATATCCTGTCTCCTCGGCATCCATCATACTTGTCTTGAATGCAAAGTCAAAAGTGGCGGTGGTCCGGAGTCGTCGGTTTCACGTCCGTGATTGAGTTATGTTGATTGGGGGATGTGGATTGTACGGGAGGGCGAGTGCATCGGGAAGGGAAAAGTGCTTGTTAGCGTGTTGATGTGCCTCGCTTACAGGATTCACTACAGCAATTGCAGACACCGGCCCCACTATGGGAGTTCAGTCTTTGCCGGCGCGGTAATCAGGCATAATGCCCACTTAACAAGCTTCACGAATTGCTCCTTTAGCATTAGCCCTGTCCACGGCTTGTTCGTTCTCGTACTTAGGCTTATACTTGTGTCCACTTGCTACTAGCTTCTTTCCACGATCCGGCCCTTTGTAGCGCTACGTCTCGTTGACTCGCTGGATTCCCTCAAGCGTCGCAAGATTTTACCCCTAAAGTCGAAAGACATTAACAGCCTCGTAGCGAAGGCTTGGATTTGGGGAATGTTTACATGTAGTCTGATGAGACTTGTTCGTCTTCCTCACACCGCGCGTCTTCGTGGATGATAAGCCTTGTTTATATCCTTGCTGTGATCAAGCAAGCCTCTGACGGGCCTAATATCTATCCCAGCATGAGGTGCTATAAAATGCCAAGCACAACAAATCAGAGGATCTCCCAAGTAGGTCTAATTCCAGAAAATCAGGAAGTGGCCGTGGGTTGAAGACGATCGTTACCACGGTAAAAGACCAATACATTGTAGACGTGTTCGAGCACTGATATTACAAGATAGTCGTAAGCGACGTGACGGGCCATTGATAGTTGACTATTAGCCACTAATATGGGTATGTACATGCTGAGAGCCCCATGTCTCCAAAAGGCACCAACCAATGCCGCTACTCATTTGGCAATGGTTTGGGTTGTCTGTGGTGTGATTGCAGAAGCAATAAAGGAGGACACTATAAAGGTCCAAGGCGAAGAGAATAATATGTTTCGCTAATAGCATGGGATGTGGGTGGCTCAGGATCTCTCCGACGATGGTCGTTCGGAAGCGCGGTGTTGTCGCTGTCGTCTGAAGCAGGCACTACAGCAGGTTTAGTGTCAAGAACGCATCAGAGAGTTACTCTGTGGTGGTGGACCTACAATTCTCCTTTGGTACCTTCTTTTAACCGTTTCAAGATGGCTCGCAGTTCTGGGAGTTCATCCTGCAATCGACGCCGCGCTTCATTATCTGTGCGCTCATCCAACACAACATAGATCGCACTCTGCGTCTCCGATGCTTTACTAGTCGTATAGTTGCCCAGCGTCTGCGCCATGAGTTCTATATCCAAGGTCGCCTGCATAAGTGCCGCAAGGGAATACTTCGGCCGCTTCTTAAAAGATTCTATTAGAGACAATGATATTTGCTCAAGTAAGTACTTGAGAATCTGGCCTACGAGCGTCGAGGCTGTTGTCGACACATCCGTGTGAACGATGACTAATGCCAAAAGGACATCGTAAACATATGGCTTAGCATCTTTCAGATGCTGAGTCGTTGGTGGTGCCCAGTCAGGTGATCCGATGCCGTCCTCGATTATTCTTGACAAGTTCTCGGATATCGGCTTCGTATACGCACTGAAAAGACGGCTGTCTATTTGTTCAACAACGTCGCGAATCTGCTTTGACTCGTCCGAGAGCTTTACCGAAAAATTCGACTCGAATTGTGCGATCAGTTGCGGGACCACATCGTTCCGAAGCGATTGAAGATTGCTCAAAGTTAGAAGCATGCGGATGTTCTGCTACTAGTTAGCGATATTTGCTGAATGGCTCGGATATGACCAACCCGGTTTGTAGCATCGATGTTGCTGATACTAAGCCCTGCATCCGATGTACCACGAGAGGGTATGACAATCGAATCACCATCTCCATTCACTAATGCATCATTCTTTCTCAAGTTCTCTGCGTTTTCTACCATGCCGCTCAAAGCTTTGTAGAGACTTGCTGTGAACTGTTGTCGAATTTGCTGCAATAGCTTCGCTGGAGGAGGTACAACCACGTCCGGAGAGTCAGACTTGTTTGCGGCCTCGGTGATATAGGTGATTTTCTGTAGGTTTCCAAGTATCACACTCTCTAGCGCCATAAAGCGATTTGGCATGTTAGTGAGGTCTCGGCGATCGGGAGATCTTGTCCAATCCTCAAGCATTCGACAGTTCTCCGAATCGTTGTTCCATGCCGCGCAGATAGCGCGTACAGAGTGCTCTCGCACAGCCCCTATTAGAAGCTTCAATTCATCCGATGATCGGCCACGCATAAGGCTAAGGCCAGCGATCTCACTAGCAGCTGTGCCAACTAGAACTAGAATCTTACTCAAATAATACACACCACCCGGAGCGTTGGCATGAGGTGGCCAGAAGGCAAATTGCTCCCACGACTCACCGTTCCGAGGAGATGGAGGCGGTATATCACTTGGGTCGAATTTGAATCGGGTGCCGCTTCGCGGAGACAAAGCACTTGTAGGCGAGAGTGCACTTGGTGGAGCCGAGAAGGGTGTGTTTGGCGTCGTCGGAATAGGTGAAAACAGCATCGAGACATCGTCGATAGGAGGTTCCGAAAAAAAGGTTGTGACATGTTGCCGCAGAATGCCAATGATTTCCTGTGTTCCTTTCTGTAATTGACGTATGCCGTCAGATGATAAAAGATGGTATTTTTGGCTACTTCCGTTCGGACCAAGGGGGAGTTTACGTTGTGCCTTTCCATCGATGAATGACTGCACAATATCCCAGTACTCGATAATCTCGCCCAAGACGCCGCCGTGCGGCGAAAGCAAGTCATTCATAACGGAATAAACATAGTCCCAGAATTCGAGGACCTTGACAGAATCTATCTTGATCGTCGTACCAGGCTTATCCAGTGAACCAGCTGAACGTAAGTAGGACGCCATCTGTTGCAATGAAGGCTTCGCACTATTGCCCAGCTTACGCCGCAGAATCTCTATCTCCACCGTTGATCGCTCGGTGGTCCTCGTAATCTTGTTTTTGAGATAGTCAAAGCGACTCAGGAGCCAGACCCAAATTGGATTTTCTTCCACACCAAGCTCTAGTAGAACAGAAATAAGCTCCATATACTCGTCCGGGCGATCTTCTTCGGTGTCTCCTGGCTGTCTCGACGAATGTGTTCCAGATAGCCTCTTCCAAACATCGCGTTTGAATGAAGCCATCTGCTCGTCGATGTCTGACCACATGCGAGCAGCGACAACAATTTGATGTATCTCAGAATCACTCAAGCTCTTCTGTCCCCGACTTTCTGCCATTTTCCGCGCTTCCTCTGCGAATTTGCGCGCCTTCTTGTATTCTTCCACAAGCATCTCGTTGTCCTTTCGCCTGATGCAATCTCTTATGCTCGACCCGAGCTCGAACACATCGCGATGCTTTTCAATGGTTGAGAGAACGGCTCTGAGTGTTCCCTCCTTTTCCTGGCCTCCTAAGGCGGGACCCCACACTTCTTCCGCCTTCACTGCAACTTCTGCAAGAGGTGTCTTGATACCGGCTACCCCGTATTCGCTTTCCTTGGTCAATGCGTTTTTCTTCTTGTCGGTGGAACTTGTCTGGCTGAAGCCAGATGTGGAGACGTTGCTGACCTGTCGCAGATGGCCAGATTTGCTGGTATGCCTTGAATGGGGACGTCTTGGTGAGGGCGGGTCATTATCACGACCCTGAGTGCGCATTTCTTCGTATACATTGTCAATGGTTGCTTTGGCCTTCACGAACCGTTCAAAGTTTGATTCCACCAAAACCTTCAGTGAGGCGGACTTCTTCTCTATAGACCGCGACAGAAAGTCTAGTCCTTGTAGTAGGGATTCTGTGGACGCAGTATTGTGCACCTGGGACAGAAACAAGGTCGGTGAGAATGATGTCGAGGATAGTAGGAATCTGTTTCGGAGCTTAGGGTCGTCTTCCACTGCCAGCCCGCGTTGCTTGAGGATCTGGACGACGCTTGGAGCAGCTCCAAGTGGATCGGGCTCATCTCTCTGGACCAAGTTCTCTACACCATCTTTACTTCTTTCCGCACCAGGCACACTGACTCGATTGCTTCCACTCCTGTCCAGGACAGAATACCGCGATTTCGAACGTCTCGCCGGATGCTTCGCCGCTTGCGGCTTCACAGGTGCTTCGTCATCATCAGAGCTAAAGTCCTTGTCTTCCGGCCAGGTATCAGGATACAGTGTCTTGAGGTTGTAGTGGGCGAGGAGGGTGCGGTCGAGATCCGCCATGTTAGTCTCCGAGACACAGTGTTAACTTAGGAGCCCAATTCGAGGGAGCGAGATGCCATCGACAGGCTTTTGAGGTATCGAGATCTGAGCCGATTGGTGACTCAGCTGAGAGTCGACTATGGACCTCCAACAATTAGTATATCGCGGTGGAGCTGAAGCTTGAAGTAGTCAGGACGTCTTTGGGCCTCGTCTCCGACTGGTACTTAGCGTCTCGGAGCGATTGCGCTAATGGCAAGACAGCCGCCTTTCCTTGCCGCATCAGTCCCCAACTCAAAGCTTTGCAAGAACCCTTCCACCCTCCACCTCACACCTTTCTCTCACCACGACTAATTGCTGCGAAGGGCTGTAGCGGTATCTGAAGCTGTCATCATGATATCCACTCGTTCTTTCGTTGCGCCTATGCGCCAATGCCTTCGACAGGCTCGCGCAACTCCCATTCGGAGCCCAGCGTTGGTCCAGGTATGCGGCACTTTGTAGCACCCAGAGACAGAGCGCGACGAGATTTCTCTGTGGGACCTAGATACTGATATACACCTTGTAGACTCAATCCAGGTCATATGCTGTTCCTTCGGAGAGCAGAGTCGCTCAATTCAACGGAACAAAGGGCAACGATGTACGAGACACCAACAAGCTTCGAACAGTCAATCCGAACGCATATATCTGACCGTACGGCTTTTTAGGGTAAATACACCGTCAGTCTAATCGAGGGAGACGGCATTGGACCAGAGATTTCACAATCTGTAAAAGATATCTTCGACGCCGCAGGAGTAGGTGAATTGGTTTCGCAACGCTTGTCCTGCGACTTACAAGACGACAGGCACCGATCAAATGGGAATCTGTGGACGTCACGCCGCGACTGAAGGACGGTAAGACTGTGATTCCGGACGAGGCCATCGAGAGCATCACGAAGAACTTTGTCGCACTCAAGGGACCCCTCGCAACACCCATTGGCAAGGGCCACGTCTCGCTCAACCTTACCCTCCGCCGCACTTTCAACCTCTTCGCAAACGTTCGTCCTTGCAAGTCTATTGCCGGCTACAAGACCCCCTACGACGGCGTTGACACTGTCCTGATTCGTGAGAATACCGAGGGAGAGTACTCTGGTATTGAGCACGTCGTAGTCGACGGTGTTGTGCAAAGTATCAAGCTTATCACTCGAGAGGCCTCTGAGCGTGTCCTCCGGTTTGCCTTCCAGCATGCCGAGGAGATTGGCCGGACAAAGGTACGCGCCGTCCACAAGGCCACCATCATGAAGATGTCCGACGGTCTATTCCTCAACACCGCGCGCGAGATCTCCAAGGAGTTCCCCAACATTGAATTCGACGCGGAGCTTCTAGACAACACATGCTTGAAGATGGTCACCGACCCGACGCCTTACAACGACAAGGTCTTGGTCATGCCTAACCTGTACGGAGACATTCTGTCCGACATGTGCGCTGGTCTGATCGGTGGCCTCGGTCTTACTCCCTCCGGTAACATTGGCGACGAGTGCTCCATCTTCGAAGCCGTCCACGGCTCGGCTCCTGATATCGCTGGCAAGCAGCTTGCCAACCCTACCGCTCTGCTCCTGTCCAGTATCATGATGCTTCAGCACATGGGTCTCCACGAACACGCCAACAAGATCCGCGATGCGATCTTCAAGGTCCTTGCCGAGGGCAAGACCATCACGGGTGATCTCGGCGGCTCAGCAAAGACGTTCCAGTATGCGGATGCAGTCATCAAGGCTCTATAGGCTCTTTCTTCTCCTTCAAACTCGGATTCTCCTTGGCTTCTTAAACATAACGCGCGCATATGGCAGTAGACGAACGAACGAACGGAAGGAACGGAGGGGTATGATGGGAATGATGCATCTTGTTGATATGTACTGCGTGGCCTCTTAAATAAAGACTGTACTATACCTGGCACGGAGTGTTTCCCCCTCCAACCCAGGCCTAGACCTTTAGCGATGAATACATATACATATATATACATACACCTACTCGTACACGTTTCTGCTCCACACACCTACTCCCACAACTACACAAGCTCAAAAGACCGATCCAGCCAATTCCCCCCTGAATCCTCGCCGACACGACTATTCCTCTCCCGCCTAAACACCGGCTTCAGCCAAGTTCTCTGATCATCCTTACCCGGAAACGCCGCGGCAATCGCCCCGACAGTCTGCGGATCAAACACCGCATTCCGCGCAATCATCTGCTCAATCGCCCACCTGCAGCGCGGATCCCCGGCCTCGGCCGTCTTGCGGACCAAGAAGCGCCAGGTGCCCGGGCGAGGCTCCCAGTCGCGGCTGAGCATCTCGTCGAAGTAGCTGAAGGCGGCATCCCAGGTGTCGGGGCTGTGCAGGTGGACGAGCACGAGGCGGTCGTAGGTGAGCAGGTTGGGCTGGAGACCGTTGTCGATCATATACTGCGCGAGATAGGTGGCGATCTCGCGGCGGGTATTGCGGACGCAGCCGCGGAGGAGGATGTTGATGGTTGAGGTCTCGGGCTTGCCGCCGGTGCAGATGTCGGGGAGGAGGGACCAGAAGTGCATTGCGTCTTCGAAGCGGTTGAGTTGCACGGTTGCTTCGATGATGACGTCCATTGCGGGGACGGGGATGGGGGCGCCGCGGAGCTGGATGCGGCGGAGGCAGTCGATTGCTTGGTTGGGGCGGGCGGAGTTGGAGATGAGGTATCGGTAGAGGGTGCGGGTGCAGGAGGCGTCGATGTAGACGTGGGCGTCGGTCATGATGCTGAGGACGGACAGGGCGGTTTCGAGGTCGTGGGCGGCGAGGTAGGCATCGATGAGAAGCTCGTAGTGGGAGCGGTCGAGGACGACGTTGCGGGCGGAGAGGAGGCGGAAGACGTCCGTGGCGAGCTCGACGTCGCCGGCGCGCGAGGCGGTCATGAGGACGTTGAGGCAGATGCCGGTTGGGGGCACCATGTATGCGGGCTCGACGCGCTTGCGCCAGACGTATTTGACGGCGTCGTAGTGGCTTTGGGAGCTGGCGGAGTCGAGGAGGTGCTGCCACATGTTTGCGGAGATGGGGTAGGTGCTGCTGTTCTCGCGCAGTTGGAGGATGTGGAGGGCTTCTGTGATGTTGTTCGGGGTGCATTCGGCCATTATGTAGTAGAGCATGTCGTGCAGCCACGGCTCGACTGGGGTGCCGCCGTCGACCATGGCCTCCATTCTGTCCATGGCCAGTTCGAATTGCCTGTCCTTGATCAAGCTCGCTATGACACTGTGTTGCCCGAACTCGGACAGTACGTACCATTTCGAGTCCATGTGTTCGAGCATAAGTGTAAGGAGATTGTAGTCTGGATGCACCGACAGCACCTAGTTGTTAGGTTGTCAGCATCATATGTCTCCAAGGTAGGCAATCTTTCATAGACGTACTTCCAACACATAATGGCATATTTCTTCGTCGAGTTCAATGCCCTCGTCTTGCATCTCAGTGATGATCTCTGCCAGCATAGCCGCACCTCCTCTTGTTGCACTTGAGCATGCCCGTATCATAGCACTATACAGCTGTCGGTTGGGTTTTTCTCGACATGTGACCACAAGATGCTCGACGATGTACCAGACAAGTCCCGGATCCGAACGTGCGGCCTCCTTCGCCAGAAGTTCGTAGAGAGCTGGAACATCTGCCGAGTCGTCCTTTGGTATGATTTCCAGGAGCAATCTTTTCTGTACTAGTGGTGTATGTTTCGGGGGAAAATACCACTTGGGCGCAATACCATGGTAAGTACCAGTGGTCCGTGGACTTGAGTAATCGGACCCGATCCTGCGAAAAACCAGGTGCTGCGACTGAGAGGGTTTTTCATTATGGATGCGAGAATCGTCGTCGGACGCAGTTGAGAAAGTTACTCGGTAGAACGAAAGGATGCGTTTACGACTGGGTATCCGCGGGCGCGTTGCGGAGAATCGAGGGTAAGCTGGGCACAGACACTGCCATAATCCATCAGCTATGAATGCGCGCGCGGCCATGGTGAGGCACGACGCGACCAGGAACGAATATGCGTGTTCGAGATAGAAGATGGAAGTTGACAAAACTCCGTCCGGTGTTTTTCCGCGCCGTGGTGGAAGCTAGCGGAGCGGAGAGCGGAATATCGGACCATCCTTGGACGTTTATGATGGAATGAAACAAATCCCCTCCTGCTGCCACCACACCATCTGATTTGATGCATTGGTGTATCACTGCTGTATAGAGCAGGACTAAGTTGTTCACATTGTTCTCATTGACATGTCATCATCATATACGTATCATCAAACTACGGGGGTATACGGGGCTGGGCCAGTGATCATTCATCTACGGCGCATGGCTTTTGGAAAGCCAGGTTGATCCTATTTCTGTACCCGCGTTTGGCGACCGCTTTCCTTGGGCAAGGATATCATTTACCCTGTTCCATCCAAGGTGACTACACCATGGTGTAGTCCTCCATAGGTCTTGTCGCACGCGTTTTCTTAACCAGGACAAGGGCCATGTACAGCGACTGCACCTTCCGTCTTATTTTATTGATGGGACTGACATTTGACATTCAAATGCTCAAGCTCCTCGACCCCGGCCTCTTCCTCCACGGCCACCTCGGCCCATCCCTCGTCCACGATCTCCCCGGTCTCCGTGACCACCACGATGACCAGCTCCTCCGCGAGTTGAGCGTTGCGCTTGCTCGGCAGCTTGTATTTTCTTCAGATCGTCCATGATTGAGTCCTCCACTCGCAGGAACTTGATCTAGCCGCAGATCAGCGTACGAAATCCAGGAATGGTGGAACTAGATACCGTGTTTCCTCTAACATAAGCTTCTGGTAGCCTGAAAAACGTCTCTCCATCTTTGCTTGTCGACACGACTTCTTTCAGAGTCAAGTTCATCCATGTGTCGCATGCTTCCAGGTGGCCTGTGAGCGACTCGCCATCTTTGAGCTCGACTAGCACTGAGCGACCCTTTGCGGCGTTGAGGAGACCGAGCGGAAGCTGTGGTGGAGAGAGGTTAGCGTTGGCCAGTTGAGATGCAGGACAGCCATACCATGCTGAGGAAGCTAGAGTGTGCGATTCCAAAAGTGGGCGACGAGCGTTTGAGTGGTGAGCTGGTGAGCCGGTGCGCGTAATTGACGTTCAGGCAATGTACTGTATCTAACTGTGATTATTACAATAAGACCCCAGCTACAGTGTATTGCGGTGGCGGATGAACGTCGGCGGATCTCCAGCGCCGCAAGAATACTTACTTACTTAGTACTGTACTGTACCTGACTGTACCTTTGGGGGGAGGTATTTAGCGTGTCGGGGGCGGCTGTTTGGCGTGTTGGAGCCCCGAAGAGCCCTAAAAAGTCCGAAAACAGCTGCCCGGACTGCCCAGAGGCCCCCAAACTCCAGCTGGTTTTGGGGGCTGTTACTGTTACTACTACTACTGGTTACTGCTGCTGCTGCTGCGCCACGCCACGCGTTCTCAATTATTGCTGCCTGGATGCTATCTGGAGACACTTTGTCACTTACTCTCGTCTCTATCTCCACTCTACTTGTCACCTCAGGCGCTCTGGCTACTGGGGACATTCTGGGAGACACGATAGTACTCCGTTTCTTGGTTCTATTCGTTTTGTTCATTCGTTTGCGCGAGCTATGCGTTTCTCCGTAGCATGTCTCGTGGCTCTTCCAGCTGTCATCTATGCAACTGTCATCCCAACTTCTCCAGACTCGCAGAACCACCACGTACACTCGAACGGCCCTGCACGGCCAGAAATAATCAATCTTGGTATATACTTGCCTGATCTTTTGCACTTGAGAGTTTTGGCTATGCTCACACAAACTCAGAGCTTACACACAACCATCCAAAGGCGCTCTTTAAGGTCCCGTGCAATGGAGGCTGTCTTGGCATTGAGGATGAGGATGACGACGCTCTGGTGCGTAATATACACATATATATTCACCATGTCAGGCAGCAACATTTTTGACCTTCTAACATCTTTTAGCTTTTTGACTTTCAAGCATTCCCTTCCAAAGAGCCGTGTGGTGTGGCCAACGTCACTGTCAACGGCCATTCCCTTACCCAGGCCTGGAACGGGACTCACGCTCTTGGAGCCGGCTCTGTTCATTCGTTTCCACTGTCATCCTTGACACCACGCCACGAATTGGGTCTCTCCTGGCATTCATCTTGCGTAAATGAATCAATAGCAAACCCACATCGAGCAGCAACTGCGCAGGTCATTACAGTTCTTCTTCAGAGCATAGATGGGAAATCGATAGAACAATCTTCAGGCTTCACAATCTCGTTCAAGCCTCTCTTTCCCCTTGAGCTCTTACGTCTCTCCTCGACTCCTGACTTCGCAGCCACCGAACCACAATACGCACAGTATTGGAGAGATCCACCGGCCCATCTCCGTCTGACCTCACGGCCTTCTCCTGATCTACCAAGCTCTGAGAATGAGGAGAACCCTTCGTCAGCAACTAACACTGACCCTGTCCAAGAGCTGAGGCGTCTTGAAGCCGAAGCACTCCGTATCAACGAGCTAATCGAGCAGCAAAAGTCATTGATCCAGGCACTCAGACAGGACGAATCCAATACGTCTGTTGATGCTCCAACATGTCTTGGCATCAAATGCACACTGAACAACATTGTCAGCAAGGCCAAAGACGCGCTAGAGGACATCTACATGTCTATCCGCATCGCGCCCTTCCAGGGAATCAGGCCACATCAAGTAGCGTTTGAGGACCATAAGCCATCTAGCGAACTCTTACCGTCCCCCACAACTGACAATACTCATCATCCTTCATCTACGAGATCACTCACCTCAGCTGACTTGCTGACCTCTACATCCTCAACTCATTCCGCCGATGACGGGCAGGAGTGGGTTCCTCTTCTAGGCGATACCCCATCAGACGCGTCAGGTAGTTCCAACATCGACCCTTTGTCCATAACCCTCAAGATCGTCGGGGCCGTCACAGGCCTGACATGTATCTACATATGCTTCCGTCGAAGCCGCTGTTGCAACCCACGCGCTCAAGCCGAACGTCGCGCAGAACAGGAGGAACGCGCCACCCAACGCGCCTACCGCAGAGCCGCCCGCAAGCACCGTTTCCAACAATGGTGGGCAGCCTGGACCGGCCGCCAGCGAGATCACCAGCGCATCACCGACTACGAAGAAAAGCGATCTCTGATCCGACAACAGGAGGTCATCCTTGAGTCCGCCATGCAGGACGAGATTAGAATGCTACGCGCCGCGCACGATGCAGTAAACTCCATCTTTCATACCACCACCCGCGCCTCCCGCCATTCCCCTCACGCAACCTCATCCGCCGTCCCCATCTTCCCCCACTCGACACGCCATAACATCACTCCTTTCGAACGTCCATATTACCACGATTCAGAAGAGCCCTGGCACCGCGCCCCAAGGAGCCGCACCGACAGTCTCCCAGACTACAGAAGCGACGCCGGCAGCTCACAGGTCATCACCGAGCCCCCCGCCTACTCCGACGACGAAGGCGATCTCATCACGAACGGCTTCAGCGGTTACAGACCGCGGAGCGGCACTCTTGGCAGCGACGATAGCACCAGCTTGCCGTCGTCTCCTACTGCGCGCGAGCATCACCACCGACGCTGGACGCCCGGGAGTAGCGTTGTGTCGACGAGTCCGCGGCCGAGTCAGGAGACGATGCGGTATCTTTGAGCTTGGTTGAGGTTTGCGTTTTGAGAATCATATAAGCGTCTGGTGTTTTGGGGAACTGGAAGTCGCGTCGTTTCGCTTTGGTTAGCTATTTACAGGGGAGGGGGGTAAGACATATTATCACTTGTGCGGATCTATAAACCTGGCGTTTTCTTCTCTTTTGGGTGGGACGGGGAGTTGCAAGGCAGGGGCGATCTGAGCGGATAACATGTATGTAATATGTCAGAAGACGAGAGTGCATGGGAAAAAACGCTCCGTAGTTTTGGTGTTTTTTTGGTTTTGGTTTGGCGTTTGTCTACGATGCCAGCTTTCTTTGGCTGGGTTGGCTGCTTTCTCGGTCTTGTTGGTGGGTGTATGCATGTATGCATGTATGTATGTATATGTGTATGTATATGTATACATTCACGCGGACGCAGAGGTAATATATATCATATTATCACATAGCATGGCATAGCATGTCTTGTCAGCAGGCGCATTGACATATATGCTACACATATTCGACACGTCTTTCTCTATAAGAAAAAACAAAAGAACAAGATATTAGCTGCAACAACGTGTTTCACACAATCTTGTTGCCACGGTCCTGGTACATGCATACATACATACACACTGAGCGAGGAATCCCATGTCTGTATATAGATACATATTCCTACGGAATCATAAAAAGATACAACGTTTTGTCTAGCGCCCGCTAGCGCCCTCACCAAAACCACGACGAAAAAACCACCTTTTGCGACATATTAAATTAACTAGGGCCTAATTCAAAAATCTGGTCCCTAGTTTTATAGCCCTGCCTGCGACGAGTATTTTCATATACTTTTTACCCTCTGCAGGGCTATACTCACGGACGAGATAGGTTTACAAGCCTCTGGTGTCGCGTTTGGTGGCAGGTTCAAGAGTTGAAAATTCGTATGTCTTGGCGTGGAGTATTAATCTTCCGGCGTGCCTAAGGCCCTTTTTTTTTTCTCTCTTCTATCCTCTTCCCCTATTCTCTTCCTCTATATATCTACTATGCCGCCGCAAACAAAGAGAAAGAATACAAATATTCAAAAGTTACAGCAACATGTATTACTATCTCTACCAGCCTCCTTACAAAGTACCAGCTCTACGACAGACCAGGATACTCTACACCAATTTCCACTTATATCCTCCCAAGTCCCTTTATTACGGCAGCATTCACGCCAACTTCTTCCCTCCAGTCCTCTACAACATCGAACTATTATCCCCTTTACACCCCGTCCTCCGCGACAGTCGTATCTTAAGAGCCAGAGCCGCCAACGTCGTCGCCGACTCCATAATGCCTTCCAATCATCACCCTACCACATCGCAAGCAATCCAAATACCCCCCAAACAACCCCATACCACGCTAATAGCCTTCCATATACACCACGGCGCACTCTCTTTGGCGTACACCCAGCCAGACCTCAATCTATTCAAAAGCCAATTCAATTCAATCTGCGACAGTCCCGGACAATAGGTAGTTCTATAGGTAGATTAGCAAGTATTACGATAGATGAATACCCACCAGACGACGTGTTTAGAACTCCTTCTATACCACAGTCAGGACTAACGCTCGCCCTACGACAGCCACCTTTAGTCGTAGAGGAAGACTCCTCCCTAGACCCCCTACAGCAGACACCACGAAGTCGTTCGCGCAGAGAGAGTCGAATCGTCGCAATGCAGGAATCGCCGTCTCGACGACGGATACCGCCTATCCCTTACCAGCAGTCGCGTTATGACCAGGACTCTTCCTTAGATGCTCTCCAGCAAACACCACAAAGTCGTTCCCAGGTAGAGTATATCGTAAGGCCAGCGTCGCCGTCTCAGCAACGTGTACTCCGTACCCTACGCCAACGGTTACGTCGTAATCAGGAGTCTTCCTTAGACTCCCTCCAGCAGATACCGCAACCTCAATCCCAGGTATACCAAATGCCTATGCGTCAGCGTCGCGAAGTGGTGAATAATCGAGTACTATACTATACGACAGGTACCTACTACCATAAACCTAGGCCAGCTACCCTATGCGCCCGTATCACCCACCCTATCACAAGTGACTTTCGGCATATTCTCTGCCGTCCAAGTACGTCGTGTAGGTTCTGTGATGCCTCCTTCTGGCGTGAAGAGGTTCCAGCGACGAGGGTAAATGGGGAGATTCGGATGCCTTGCTGCGGCAATGGTAAAGTACAGATCCCAGTACTACCTGAATATCCCCCCGTCTTACGCGAGCTTCTCTTACAGACACGACAGACTCGGAATAGTACTACTGTTTGGGACTACACGACAGAGAAGTTCCGACAGAGTATACGACACTATAACCAGTCAGTGTCATTTGTTTCTGCGAAGATCAACATTGAGAATGGCGCACTACAGGATGCTCTCCCAAGGAATAGCCATCAAGGCGTGTATACTCTGGTCGCAAAGGGTGAGCTTCTCCATTTTATAAGCAACCTACGACCAGACCACGACGACCCGAAGTATGCACAGCTATACATCTACGATAACCAGACTGAGCAGGGTAGGCTACGTCGTGCTGCGTTTCAGAATCTCCACGACGATATTTTACGACGCATTGAGGAGGTTCTCTACCGTATAAATCCGTTTATCCAGACATTTCGTATGAATGCGCAAACACTACGCGACCAGCCTGCCCTTGGTCTTAGTATTGGTATTATTGAAGACCACGACCACGACCCAAGGAGATGGAATACACCAAACTGCGACGAGATTGCAGGACTCCTCCCAGTTGGGCCGCAGGGTGAGCCAGTTGCGGAGCAGCGTGATGTTGTGCTCCGATACATAGATGGTACTCTACGCCAGATGAGTGACCTCCATGCGACATATCTCCCAATGCGCTTTCCACTACTCTTTCCGCATGGGTCGCTAGGGTGGAACTGGAACTACCCTGCGCACCAGAATCCCTATTATCCTCGAGGCGCAGGCCGCCGTGAGCAGGCTATAGCTATTCCAGAGAGAGGTCGTGGTCGAGGTCGTGGTCAAGGTCGTGGTCGTGGTCGTGGTGATCGTGGTCGTGGTCGTGGTAGTCGTGCTATCGAAGATGAGCAGGCTCCAGTCCAAAATATCGCTACTAGGCGTGGATCTCGGCTTGGCCGTCGTGGGCATGAGCAGGAGCGTGTTAGCCAGCAGATGTGGTGGAACTGCTTCCTACAGCGCCGACCTAATTCTCTTAACCCAGTACTCCATGCTGGACGCCTATTCCATGAGGTCGTAATAGACGCATGGGCGTCAATCCAGGGAAATCGCCTTGCCTGGTGGCAGTAAAACCAGAGTAAGGTCCGTCGTGCACACTTTACTGGGCTCCTAGAGGCGCTTGGAAACTCTGATGTAACTGGTCGTGAGCTGGGAAGTACTATCGTGCTTGGGAAGACTTTCCATGGCGGGCCTCGGTTTATGCGAGAGCTATATTTTAATGCAATGGCTATGGCGGCGTATAGTGGGCCGCCAGAGTTCTTTATTACCATGACATGTAACCCAGCCTGGCGTGAGGTAATAGATGAGCTGGCGCCAGGAGAATCAGCAACAGACCGAATTGACCTCTGCTGTCGCGTTTTCCATATAAAGCTGGCGCAGCTCCTACACGACCTAACGAAGAGCCATGTCCTTGGGAAGTGTGTCGCGTACTGCTACTCTGTTGAGTTTCAGAAGCGTGGACTACCACATGCCCATATTCTTATTATTACGACACCAGATGATCGCGCCACTTCTATCGAAAAGATTGACGCCGCTGTATGTGCGGAGCTCCCAGACCCAAGCTCTGATCCAGTACTATTTGGAATCGTCTGTCGTACTATGCTACATGGGCCTTGCGGCGACGTAAATCCGTTAAGCCCATGTATGACGACAAGTAAGAGACATCCTGGTCGCCGTAAGTGTCGCCATCGGTTCCCCTTTCCATATACGAATGAGACGTCGCTACCAGTCGGGAAAGAGCCATCCTACCGGCGTCGTGCTGGCGCATATACCTACCAGAAGAATGATAATCAGTACATCTACTCAAGTCGGGATGTCGTGCCATATAATCCTTACCTTTCAAAACGGTATAATGCGCATATCAATATCAAGTCGTGCCATGGTATGGACGTGTTTAAGTACGTATTCAAGTACGTATATAAGGGCCCAGATATGGCAAATGTCCTTATACAGCGCGACAACCTGAATCCTTCTAGGTCGCACCTAGACCTAGGGCAGCAGGTACATATAGGTGGTGTACGGCATCGCGGCCGTGGTAATAGTCGTGCTCGAGCTGGTCGTCAGCAGCAACAGAGTTATCGTAGTACTGGCGCAGAGTATCCTCCCCAGGATCAGATTCTTGATGAGACAAAGGTCTTTGTTAACGCACGCTATCTCTCTGGCTGCGAGGCTATCTGCGGCATTATGAGTCTACCATCCCACGGCCAGTTCCCCCCTGTACAGGTACTTGCCGTGCATGAGGAGGATCAGCAAATGGTTGTCTTCCAACACAGCGACAATGACTTACCAGGGAATATATCTATCCCGGCGCGGGCTGGGAATACAATGCTAACTGAGTTCTTTGTCGTAAACCAGCAGCGTGCTATCGCAGGGCTACCACGACTCTATTACATAGAGATTCCCCAGTATTACACCTGGATCCAGGATAAGGCATGGCGCGAGCGACGCGGCAAGTTCTCGATTGGTCGTCTACTCTGGGTGCCGTGGACAGCTGGGGAGGTATTCTATCTACGAACTCTGCTTCTCCATGTCCCTGGGCAGGTATCATTCGACGACATAAGGACATATAATAGTATAGTATATCCTACATACCGCGACGCATGTGCTGCACGAGGACTGCTTCATGATAATGGTGAATACCGGCTGGCGCTTGCAGAGATTATAGGTACTTGGCCTGCAGCAGGCCTACGACAGACATTTGCTATCATGGTACAAGCCAACGACCAAGGTAGTAATCGAGATCTCTGGGACCAGTTTAAGGATGCCCTTAGCGACGACTGTATCCACCAGCTCCGTGAGTACTTCCAGGTCCCTGAGCCAACAGTCGCACAGCGATATGAGCTAGCACTCTGCTATATTCGCGACTATCTCCAGCATATGGGAACGGATATGAACCGTGTCGCACTCCCTACGCCAGCCTTTGATTGGCTCTGCACGACTGCACCAGATGGAAATCGTATCCTTTATGAGCAGATAAACTGGCGTCGTGATGACCTGGCGCAGTTTATTACACAGTATCTCCCTGGTCTGAACCAGGAGCAGCGACATGCATACGACACCCTATTAGGCGCTGTAGAGGCTGGTCGTGGGGGGGTCTTCTTCCTTGATGGGCCTGGTGGAACAGGGAAGACACTGGTACAGAATCTGGTACTAGATACACTACGACTTTCTGGGAAAGTCGCACTAGCAACTGCCTCCTCTGGTATTGCTGCGATTCTTTTACATGGTGGCACGACAGCGCATTCCCGTTTTAAGATTCCCCTCCAGGTGGAGCGCGACACCAGCTGTAATATTAGCGCCAGTACCCATCTTGGCCGTACACTCTGCGCCGCAGATATGTGTTTCTGGGATGAGTGTGTGATGTCGCATCGATATTCTATTGAGGCAGTAGATCGAACAATGCGCGACATCCGTAATCAGGATACAGAGGCGTTTGGTGGTATGGTAATGTGCTTCTGCGGCGACTTTCGACAGACTCTCCCAATTGTCCCACGTGGTACTCGGTCGCAGATTGTCCAATCATGCCTAAAGAACTCATATCTCTGGCCCCAGGTCCATATACTGCGCCTTACTACAAATATGCGTCTTTGGGCGCCTGGGATGACAGAGCGTCGTCGTGATGAGGTAGGGCGATTTGCGGCAAAGGTTCTTGACGTTGGGAATCGCTCTGGCCGTAATGGGTATACCGCTTGGGGTACCCAGCACTTTATACCTGGTCGCAGCCTAGATGTATTAGCAAGCCGAATCTTTCCTACTATACGACAGCCTGGGGGTCTTACCTTAGAGGCCCTCCAATCATCTGCTATTCTTGCCGCACATAACCAGAAAGTAGATGTGCTAAATGAATATCTACTGTCGCAGATACCAGGAGAAGTTACAACCCGATACTCGGTTGACGAACCAAAGGATAATAATAGTGCTAGCTTTACGACACTCGAGCAGATGAACGCATTTAAGGCACCAGGAATCCCACCACATGAGCTGCGACTCAAGATTGGATGTGTCGTGATATTACTACGAAATATCAATCCAAGTGATTGTCTCTGTAATGGTACACGACTTCGAGTACTGGTATTAATACTAGAACTATCACGGCGCAGATCCTCGGTACACGACGACATGGAGAGATAGTCCAACTCCCACGGATACCATTCGTCGCAGAGAAGCTAAAGGATGGGATGGACTTCAAGCGACGCCAATTTCCAGTCAAGCTAGCATTTGCTATGACAATTAATAAGTCGCAGGGCCAGAGTCTTCAGAATGTAGGCCTTCTCTTAGACCCAGAGGTATTTGCCCATGGCCAGCTATATGTCGCTGTTAGCCGCGTTACCAACCCTGAGGGTATCCATATTATCCCACCTGATAATAATAAGTATATGCCAGATGGTATGCTAAGGAACGTCGTATACCCTGAAGTCCTTTCTACCTAGCTACGACGCTGGTCTTGCTCAAACTGCTCTACGATAGTCTTAAGCATTTCCTCCTCTTCTGGTGCTATATTATCCCAGTCGTCCTGTCGCTCTTCACGTAGGCATTGTAGAAACCATCGCCTATATCCGCGACACGAATCATCTTGATCCCCACTCATATTTGAATTCTGTCGCGCTTCCAGTATTTTAATTAGACGTTTTCCTGGGTGCCGCACCTTCCATTTATGTGATATTCTCTTACACCTGTCGCAAAATGTGCTTGCCAGTATATTCATGTGTTTACCACGGTAGTCGAGTCGCGTATCGATTGGTAGGGTTATAATAAGCTCAGGTACTCTACGACGGTCGTAGATGCGGCGATATGCGTAGAGCTACTGAAATCGAGATCGCTGTTGTTTGCGCCAGCGGTAGGGCCAAATAATTGCCATACCTATGTTATAGGATGTCGTAGATTAAGGAAGTTTCTTTTAATTTTAGGTGTTACACGTCGCCGTATAGTGGTAAGATTAATACCCTAAACTATTCTCCTTTAGGTTAGCGCTATATCTCCTAGACTTCACGACTATATAGCTAAAAATTTTAAAATCACGACACTTATCATATACATCTAGACAGAATAGATATTAGAGAAAGAGCTTAGTATTCATCTATGTAGAAGTACAGTCGCAATATAGAGTAGTACCGCCACCACCCCAACCAACCAGCCATGTGGCGACAGTACTATCTACTCAGAGAAACCCTCAAAGTCAGTATCAGCCTCAGCGTCGTTAGCACGTTCCTCCATCTCCTTTGCAAGGTCGCGAAGTTCACGGGCGCGGCGGCGCATGGCCTCAGCATCCTCAGAGTCAACAGCCCAGGCGACAGTCTGAAGATCAGACTTCTTTGCAAGACGGCGCGGCGCAACTGGCCCAGAGGTCATCTTTGCGGCAGACGACTGGCGTGAGTGGGAGGGTCCACCGGCGTGCATAGAAGCAGCAGAAGACTGACGAGAGTGCGAGGCTTTACCGGCGCGGGCAGAGGTCTCAGCTGGCTTTTCTAATTATTGGTTAGAGATCTTTGTCGTAGTATAACCAAAAGAGATATAACTTACTTTCATCAGCTACGAAGGAACAGCGCGACCACTTGCCACCCATACCACAATTAGTACACCCACCACGACCAAATGATGCCTGGAGGCCGGAGGGGGGAATGCGGCAGGACTTGAAGTGGCGTTTGTTCTTACGACAGGTCACACATGCCTTTACGGCAACCTTGGAGCGGACATGGATGAGAGCCGGGTGCCTGAAGTGAGGGCGGCTGAGATCGACCTTATGACGCCTGGTAGATGCGACATCAAGCTGCGCCATCATTGGGATGAACTTCTTGATCTTAGCGTCATTCCCGGCGCGGAAACGCTCCAGATTTTCAACAGTGAGGCGCGCCTTAAAGTTCTTGCGGCCATCAGCTACATAGAGTTAGATAGTCTTCTTACTACGACGGTAGGTTGACTTACGAAGGATCTCTTCATCGTACTCACTATCAATACCTTCATGGGAGCTCTCTGTCTCAGGTGAGACACAGTAGTCGTCGTCGTGGGATTTTGGTGGCTGCTTTGGAGGGCCACGACCACCACTACCGCCACTTCCACTACGACCAGGAGTGCCAGTCGCGTGGCTACCAGGTGCATAGTCAACTGTTGCCATTGTCGTAGTAGGGATTGCTTGGTATAAGGGCCTATAACTTGATATTAGCCGTGTAAGAGTAGAGGAGAAGTTGCTTTAAGGTTGAGAAAATCAGAGGTGAAGATTTTTCACTGCGCCGAGCTATAGCTTCGCTGCGCCGAGCTATAGCTTTACTACGCCAAGCTATAGTAAGAGAGTAGAGTAGGGTATAGAAGGTATAGGAATGAAGTCGTGATAGAAGGGGTAACTTACTTCGTTATTTTAATGATAAGGGCCTTCCTGGCGTAAAGTGGTGATAGTAGTAGCTAAAGGTGAGGTCGTAGAGAGATACCTTTATACTATGTAATATGAGCCCCGGATCAATACCGGCGCCACCTTTAGTCGTAGTGAATAGGATACATTTCTATTATCACTCTATTGTTCTACTAGCAATGACATCATATAGTGTTCTACCGACGGCAGAGAATTTTCTTATTGGCTACTATTCCCTCCCTGCGACGGATAAAGACCATCTATTGGCTATCTACTTATATGTAAGGGATGAGGTTTTAGATATGTCGCCAAGAACTCACGATACTCCAGTTTAGTTATGGCCTAAGGCCGTATATATATCACGTGATATAGTCTCTTTCTAAGACTCCACTCCACGACACCACACTCTATAAGACTCCACTCCACGACACTAATACCTTTAGAACCCTAGGAAAGTAGCCTTGAATTTAAGGCTGCTTGCAGCCTGCCGGCCGCAGGCCACCCTAGTTCCAAAGGAATCATAAAAAGATGCAATGTTTTATCTAGCGCCCGCTAGCGCCCTCACCAAAATCACGTCTAAAAACTCACCTTTTGCCACATATTAAATTAACCAGGCCCTAATTCAAAAATCTGGTCCCCAGTTTTGTAGCCCTGCCTACGACGAGTATTTTCATATACTTTTTATCCTCTGCAGGGCTATACTCACGGACGAGATAGGTTTATAAGCCTCTGGTATCGCGTTTGGTAGCAGCTTGAAAATTCGCACGTCTTAGCCGTGGATTTTCCGGCGTGCCTTAGTGCCTTAGTGCCTTAAATTGAGACTGCACGCAGTCTGCCGGCCGCAGGCCACCCTAGTATATATATATATATATACAAGTCGTACACATGTACATGTATGTACACGCCACAACCAAACGCAGCGACGTCCACACACAATGCATCCTTTTTCTTTCTCAATCTATAACTATCCCTGAGACAATCTTACAGCACTTCTCCTATATATACATACACACACACACACATCCGCCTCCATACACACACACATACAGACAGCCAGAAGATCTAAGCCCCGCCCCCCTTCTACCGCCGCCGCAAGTACCAATTAAACGCAAGCTGACTAGTCTCCATGTTAAACGGGGTGGGCACCTCCGCAATGCCGGCCCGCGCGACCGGATGGCGCAGATAGACGGCCGCGCAGACATTCTGGTTGACCTCGAGGTAGCGCGGGATGAAGGCGAAGGGGCTCATGTAGCGGCGGGGCTGCCAGGGGGTCTTGTAGGGCTTTGATTTATCGGCTGCCTGCTGCTCCTCGTGCGCGTCCTGGATGGCTTCTTGGATGGCTTGCTGGAGGTCTTGCTCTTCGGCTTCGGAGATGACGAGGTTTTGGTCGGTGGTGGTGGTGGAGGAGGTTGATTGATTGTCTGAGTTGGCGGTGGCGGAGTTGCGCGCTTTTGCGGGGGACATTTTGAGCTTGAGGGCTTCCATTTGGGCGACTAGGTCGTTGATTGTGGTGACTTGTTGGTGTTCTGCGGTCTTGCTGCTGCGGGAGAGGGTGCGGGAGACGAGTTTCTTGAAGGCGCGGATTTCTTGCTTGGTTTTGCCGGAGAGCTCTCTGGTTCGTGGGCTGGAGGCGATTTCCTTGGCGGCTGCGAGGATGGCTTTTAGGCGTTTGTGTGTGTCGGCGGGCGTGTCTGCTTCTTCTTCGTCTGCGTTCTCGGATTCGGGCTGGGTTGCGGCGGATTCAGAGGTTGTGGTTTCTGGTGATTCCTCTGCTGCTGCTTCTGCTTCGGCTCCTTCGTCTTGTTCGGTCTTTGTGGCGTTCTTGCTTCCCCGGGTCTTGAATGCTGTGACTTTTCTGCTTTTCATTCGCTGTCGTGTCCGGTGGTTGTTGACTTTCTTCGCGCCGGTCGCGAACATGACGCGGTCTGGTTCCACCTGGAACATGTCGCCCGGGTTGAGCAGGTAGCTGGGATGCCTGAACTGTGGCAGGCGTCAGTAGAATCGATGACTACGACGAATATCCACTTACGGGTTTGCCATTTACTTTAACATAGCCATGTACCACAAACTGTCTCGCTTGTCTGACACTGCTTGCAAACAACGCTCTCCAAATTGCCATATCCAGACGTCTTTCGATGGGGAAATAAGTCATCTGCATGTAAGGCGTCGTCGAATCTAGTATTTTATTGTCCTTCCGGGAATCTGAGCTTAGACCAGAGCCACGACCCATTGCTAGCTCGGAGCCGTCGTGTTTGGCCATGTATTTCGGATCCATGCTGACCACGGCCGGAAGCTTCTTGCTGAACATGCGTTGCCATTTCTTCTCGCGAATCACCTCCCCGTGGTACGCTCGCGTCGCCTTCTTCGCAGCCCATTTCTGCTGGAAGTAGGTCCTAGAAGCTTCGTTCGCCCGTCGATTGCGGTCAAGATTGAAGAGTGTATATTTGTTCCAATCCGCTCGGATTTTCTGTTTGCAGATAATAGAGTCAGCCTTGCCAATTGAACATGAAGACAAAGAAAAGAAAACAAGAAGAACAGAGCTAGCATACCGCCGCTTTCAGGCTTCGAAACTTCTGCCGGGACATTATTGACGGTGTTGGGGATGTGGTCGCATGGGGGCATGGGTCACGGCCAAAGGAGATGTTCTTGACAAAATCCGTAAATCAGGAAAGGCGTCCGTGCACTTTCTAGTCCACGCCAAGCTTACCGCCCGCCCGCAATTTCTTTGCGCGCGCATGCGATGGAGCGGAGCTACCTGTGCAATTATTTCTTGCGGTTTTCACTTTTGCAATCTTCGTTCACTGCATTCTCGCACACCTGTGTTCACGACACAATAGCTGCGATTCGGACCTCTTGCTATTGAGGATCAACCATCGCCATATATATAGATTGCATGCGCCTCGCATATCTCGCAAGATTTTCGCCTCATCTGCACCCCCACCTGCATCCAATCCAAGCCTTCTTAGACCTTTCTTGACGATCAACAGCTTTCGCGACCTCCTACACCTTAACGTGCACTTTCCTACCTCCAACTGAACGTTTCGAACAGCAAATCCCCACGTCAATCGTCGCTGCTGCTGTCGCAATGGCTGATATTAAAGCTCAAGAGGCACCCCTCGCGCACACTGCAGCGGAGGCTCCTGCAAGCACGGAAAAGCCTGAGTCAACCAGTGTTGAGTCTGGCACGCAAGAGAAGGCATCAGAGGCCGCTACTGTAAAGTCGGATACGAACGGCACTACCGATGTCAAGAGTGAGCTGTCTGAGTCATCAAAGTCATGAGTCGTCATTAACACGCTACAGCCACCTCAAACGAGGCTTCCAAACCCATTGAGGAATCAAAGAATGGCAGTGCCCCCGAAGACTCTGCTACCAATCCAGATGACGCGGATAAGCCCCAGAAGTCGGTTGAGCCTGCTGAGAACAAGGATTCCAGCAACGGCAAGCGAAAAGGTCGGCCCAACGGCAGCAAGGCAGACTTCAGCCAGCTTCCCCAATCCAGCGACCCTGACGAGATTCGCCGACAGGTCGAATTCTACTTTTCCGATTCAAACCTTCCGCAGGACAGGTTTCTCTTCAACCGAATTGAGGGCTATAAAAACAAGCCCATCGACATCAAGGTCGTCGCAGATTTCGGCCGTATGAAGCGCTTCCAACCTTATACTGCCGTTGTCGACGCTCTGAAGGAAAGCAAGGTACTCGAGGTCATCGAAGGCGAAAAGATCCGTCGCCGGGAACCTATTGATGAAGCCTACGGAACCGAACTTTCAACCACCAACCCTGAGGGTGGTCCTGCTGGAAAGGCTGCGCAGATTTGGAGTGATAAAACTATGCCACGCAGCGTCTATGTAAAGGGCTTTGGCTCTCGGAATGAGAATGCCACGACCCAGATCGACCTTGAGAAGTTCTTCGATACATGGGGCCCGATTAGGTCCGTTCGCCTTCGTCGTGGTGGAGACAGGGGCTTCAAGGGCAGCGTCTTCGTCGAATTCGAGGATGAGAAGGCTCAGCAGGCCTTCCTTGCCCTCGACCCAAAACCGAAGTACAACGGCGCTGATCTTCTGATCAAGTCGAAGAAGCAGTACTGTGACGAGAAGGTCGAAGAGAAGATTGCGAATGGCGAGCTGGACCGGGACGACGTCAACAAGCAGAACAAGGGCGGCAACAGAGGTGGCAGGGGTGGTAACAGAGGAGGTAACAGGGGCGGTAACAACCGCAATTCGCGAGGCAACGGGCGGGGCAATCGAGGATCCGGACGTCATGGCCGAGGCGGGGGCAGAGGCCGCGACGACAACAGGGGCTCAGGCCGAGATGGAAATGATGGCACGTCGAAGGGAAGTGAGAAGATGAATGTTGATCAGAAGGCGGCTGAGGCCAAGAGCACCACTGAGAATGGCCAGCAAAATGCTGTGGAAAAGGACACAACCAGCAAGAAGCGCTCTGCCGAGGATGACGCCGGGCCTGACGGTGAAGCCAAGAAGACAAAGAGTTCATGAGCCGTTCTACACATTCACAGAGCAATTCTTTCTCTGGGGCTTTGTAAGCATATGTTGCCATACCTGAATGCATTTACGGCGCTGGCGTTATTGGAATGTTGTGCGGGTCGGCGGTATGGATATTCCAAACCAAAAAAGTTGTTGCTCTGCGATATTGTATTGTATATAGTGTCCACCATCATAGCTCCCACTGTTGTCCAGTGGCAATCACTTACAGTATATTTGGGACATGACCACTTCCTCCAATGTCCCGTATTTTTAAGTGATGTTCGTCTTGGTCCTAGTGGAACAGTGTGAAGCGCATCTCGTTGTAATCAAGTGAGCCTACTAAATTCTATGATCCGAGACTACGTACTACATAAATCTCATCTAAGCCACGCAGGAATCTGTATACCTGCCTCTGCGTCCGATTAACCCAAGGGTCAACTAGCGCTAGATGGTTATTCTAGCTCCGTGAATGCAGCTTGATACGTCAGACCTCTCGACTGCTGCAGCAGGAGTCCACATCGATTGAAGACAACTTGAGCCACAAGCAGCACGTAGCCTCTCTCGTAAGTGTCCATATTTCTATATCTCAGACGCAAAAAATGCCGTCAACAACGTCGCAAAGCCAACGGACAGGGGTCTTACTGGCTGACGGACAAATCGGTCGACCAGTCAGAGCGCACCCCCGGTTCAACGTTCATCCGCGCCGTCCAACGACAACCACTAAGGTCCATGCTTTTGCCCATGTTTCCCAAGCCTGTGTGACCGCTCATCGCAACACGTATGGTGCCAGAGAGATCTTCATGTATGGCAGACGGACATGGAGACATGGTTTCTGTATGTGTAAACTAGATGACAGTATAATGCATGATGCCTGGTGCGGCTTGTGTGTACTGGTTGACATCTTAACGCGTTCTTGTTGTTGCTGTTGTGACACGCCTCGGATTGTATAACAGGACAGGTTAAGATTTCGTCTGGGTAGGAGGTAGGTCTTGCGATCGCAGGTAGGTCTTGGGTGAGTGTCATTATGACCTTTTAGACTTGGTGCTAATGTTTCTTTCAGGTCCTTGATGATCATTTGTTGACATGATGGTTGATCTGTATCCCGGTCACGACGTCGAAGGTATGTACCGTTGGCGGACTGTCCCATGGTGTCTGACTACGGCATATGTCGTGCTTTGGTACGGGCTGCATTTTATGTCGAAGGTCATGCATGGAGTAAAGTAAGAGCAGTGTATGAGATGGCGAATTGGAAAGGGGTTATGACGGTGTCTGGAGCGCAACCTATCCGTCTGGAGTTGATGTACTCCCACGAACTGGTGCGTTCATCTGGAGGACCTCGATCGTGGCAGCCGCCTCTATGGACGACTGCCCCCGATCGAGTAGAGCACTTAGGGGGCATAGCCCAGCTAAAAAGGTCTCTCGGGGGGCTCAGTCAGCGCATTGCTGCCCCCTCGCCAGTCAGAGCAGTTGGACTCGAGATGGCCAGCCGAGACATTTGTGGCACCCGCGAAACATGGCTGCCTCAGACCGGATCTACGCCCATGACCGGGCCTTACGCAGGCACTCGACACAATGCCCTTCTCGATACACAATTGTCTACATGGTCTCCATAGCACCTGAGGCCTTTCGTCAATCGGCTGAACTTGGTGCTGTGGTGCATATCTGGCAAGATCATCTGTATGGTTTGGTGGTAGGCTACAGAGATATAAGTGGTTCCTCCTCTCTTTGCGGCCGACCCACTGCCTATCTATCGTAAGATATGATGACTGAGCGCGCTCACTGCACATGTGACTTTCCTGCGGCTTCCGGCAGGCCAGAGTTTACCCGATCGTAGCTACTTCACTCCAGCGCTCGCTCTTTCACATCATCACACTCTCATCAACCATCCAGACAATCAGCTAAGTACCCAACAACACTTTTAAAAGCTTTAAGATGTCTAACAGGATGGAAGACATCGAGATGATGGCAGGTGCAGGTTATCCTGCCCTGGAGCGTCCTGCTGCGGCGGTGACGCGCCCCCAAAAATCGGTGACCTGGGGGGTCATCGAGACAAATTTTGTCGATGAGTGGGACGAGGAGGTAAGTTCCTGCTCCTTTGAGACATCATATTCTCGATAGCCATTAGAGCTTTCTACGGTTTCTACTGCACTAGCTAACGCAATATTACAGAGGTGGGAGAGGTTGGAGTGGCAGGAGGAGGTGGTGAGTCACACCTAACGCGTACCCACGTCAACAAACAACAGTTCAGCTAACCTCAACAACAGTACGGGTATGCTCTGAGGAGAGCATTCTGGGGTTGGTTGTGTTGTGGGTGGATGTCGTGTTTGAAGTGCTGGTAAGGAGTGAGACTGGCAGGATTTCCTTTGTTTAACTGCATTTCCTTTGTTCACTGCATTTCCTTTGTTTACTGCATTTCCTTTGTTCAACTGCATTTCCTTTGTCAATACCCGCTGGCCGGGTCGGATATCTTTTTGTCATATAGCTGTACATAGCGGAGTCTCAAGTCCTCTGCGCGGCCTCCTCGTGGCGACTCTGGAGACTCCAGTGACCTTTAAAGGTCCTGGTGAGCTGACAGCGCAAGAGGCATCTGTACATAGTGAGGTCATGATCACGTAGATAGAGAGAAACGTGACTTTCCCGCGTATCGCAACGCAGTTTCTTCGGTCTTAACATTCCATATCTTACCTTGTCTCTTGAAGTGAGAGAATATTAGAGTTGAGACCATGATCCAATATTACATACCCATTGTGCTCCCCGGCTGATCTCTCTTTTGGGTAGCGACGATATGCGTGCTTGTTGTCGTCACCTTCGAAGCTATGCAGACGGCATAACACAACATCTTGTGTTCATCTCCAGCTTTCTCGCAGTTCTTCTACCTGCCAATACCTACTTACTATGTACCCGGTACGTGGTTTCCAAGTTCTCTTCACGCCTCTCATGAAAATCTATCGCCTCCCAACACACCGCAACTTGAATTCACAAGTTAGCAATACCATACCTTCTCCTTCCAATCACACTACCATCTGATTTCGCAGGAAATGCTAACCATGCTTATACCTAGCCATCAGACCTTCACGCTGCTTCGTCTATCGCACACATCTAACTCCCTCCTTCCGATCGTACTATACTACTATCCCGCTCGCAGATCGTCCTTTATAATCTCTCTCTTACTGTAAGTTTATAATGTTGTTCTACCTGGGGTAGTAGGATAATATTTTGTCTCTGTCGACCTCATACTGTTTTGGGTACTTTACATTTGGGATATGTTTGTCATTAGTATACTACGGCTCGGTTTCTAGAGCTGGGTATAGTTAATATGTATGTTGCTGGAGTGATACACGCCTGTTTTGCTTGCTGGGTATGGTAGAAATATACTGTGGTAGTATATCATGGGCTTGTTGTGCTAGGTAGGTATACTGAATATACACGCTGCTAGTACAATTTCGACCTGTGTTGCCAGCTTAATATACTACATCTATGCCTTGCTAGTACACTCTAGCTCTATTTTATCCACTAAATACATCGAAAACACACGCTGCCAGTATAGCCTTACTCTTTTTCTCCAGCTTCAAATATCGAATACACGCTCTGCAAACACATCGTCAAGCTGTTTCGTCCGCTCGATACGTCAACTTTGCACTCTTGAAACATGAAGTTAAGCTGTTTCATTCGTCCGATACATCGAAAACACACGCTTCCAATCCACTACGTCGTCCTTTCACCTCTTTACAATATCCCCTCACCCTGTTTGTTACCAGACCATAAATCTCACTCAGTGCGACAACTACCGCCCAAATGTCAGCATTGTCGATACTGACAAAAAGCCAGATCTAGCCACTCAACGCGACGATCATATGCACAACTTAGAAACCACCTCCACGCCCGACTAGCTCACCGACTGAATATCTCCCGGGCCATCCTCACGAATCCCCAAAAATCCTAAGCAAGCCACCACCAAGCACCACTCCGATAAGACGCTCGCTGGTAGTCTGATCAGACGCTCCATCTCATTCACAAATACATGAACGCGTGTAGCCAAGACAGTAGCTATGTCGAAGAGAGCTAGGAAACCATAGAGATGCTGCAGGACAGTACCCCCTCGAGGCTGTCGGTCTTTCTACTTCTCCTGGGCTGCTTCTCTATGAAGCAACCGACTAAAATAGAGAATATGACCTTGGTTACTATGCTATATTAATGAGTCGGTAGGATCGAATGTATATCCTTTTAGGAGATTATGCTTCCATTCTATCAGCTTAATACGTTAATATCTTATGTCTCTAACAACAGACCGTGCCCCTCTTTCGCGGTTAGGTTGGCCTTGATACAACGTTTAGCATTATACTGCCATTCGATCTATAGACCGAGTGAGATTTCGCGTACAATCTGCTACGTCCTACGTATCAACATAACTTCTCTACTTCCAATTAGATCCATCTATATGACTCCGCTAGACAGAACAACGTTTCCTGAGAATCAGTGTATTCTTTTTCTGCGATAAGACATACATACGAAGGTATCGTGTAGAACTTTCAAATATCGTAATTGGCCATGTCTCTTATTTCTCCCATGCTAGAATTCCCGGTCTATTGCCGGCGCCTTCTTATTATGTGGCTAATTCTAAGTCTCTAGAATAATCTTTTCTGGTCGATATCGTGACCGCTACTTATGACTGGCTCTTTAGAGATATTAAAAGTGTAAGGAACTACCTCTCTTCTATCTAAGAATATCATAGAGAGTTAGAGATGAATGAGATATATCGAGAAAGATTCATGTATCGTATTGTAAGCAGGTATAAGAAGACATGTATATATATTATAGCTATAAGTATAGGTACATAGATATATATCTTACTATCTACTCTACTCTACTACTAATAATTTGATATTATATGACTCTACTTCATCTGATTTGCTTCTTACTTAGATCCATATTCTCTAGATAGCGCTAGATGATAATTCAAGCCTGCTAGGTCTATCGAACTTTCATATCCGACTCAATTCATCTCAACTCGATGAAGTCTCTTTATTTGAATTCTCTGAATCTAGCTCATTGCCGCTATGAAACAGAATCTAACAGGTACCATATATGCTATGAAAAAGCGAAGTGACGTGAGCAAGACGTAGCATCTATCCACCATCTAATCGTTATAATCTATCGACCTTAAAAACCTGGTACCCAATGTTTCATCCATGAATTATCTATTCGTGATTTATTCACAACCTTTCTTCTCGATATCCTTCGTCTCTATATTCGTCTATCCAACTCTTTCCGCCTATACGTATATAGATTCCTCCGACATTTCATCCTACGTGACTAGAGAGACTCTCATTTCTCTCTATAACGAAGGTGATTACACCAAGAATAGGACCTAGTAAAGGGTCATATATCACGCACTACGACGACGACGAACGTGAGGATGATAAGAACGGTATTGATTGATAGCTAAGTACGAAAGTAGTCAAGACCCTTCCATCTATACATGACATTAACTGCATAGAAGCATAGCTACGCACACATCTATCATACCTTCCAACGATACTCTTGTACCTCGTCTTTATTTGTTCTAGTTTTATTGTCTTTGGTTTTTTTAATTTCGACTGTCCGAGTACCTAAGAACTACTACCATTGACTAACACCAACATCACCACAACAACACCCACTACCAACCGTCCCCATGTTCGCGCACATATTCCCAATAGACATCATCAATCCCTCATCCCTACTCTCGCAAATCTTAACTCAACGGCCGAATGCAGGCATACCCACCTACACTCATTCACTCTCTCACGCAACATACATCCATGTCAGCCAAAAAGCCAAGAAAGTCATTCTTCCACAACGCCTCAGCCCATCCTCGCACAGAGGGGTCCAGGTTCCTTCCTCTCTCTGCCCCAAAGCGCTACCAAAGCTCTACCAAAGCTCTACCGCACCGTACCGTACCGTGATCTCTCTACGTGCGTACGCACGTACACACACAAACGCCTCGTACCACTAATACACGCCGCCACAAGCCCGTACAGGACAGTGCAACTATTCTGGTCATTTCGCCATGCCGCCATAATAAGCCATGCAGCCTTTTCAGCCACCCGCACCACTACTACTAGTAAGTAGCACCACCAGCGCTAGCACAAACCGTCCAGCCACGTGGCTAGAGTCTATAATAAGCATGCCCGTGTGTGCATCATCATCACTAAGGGCACGGCCACGGCCACGGGGGCGCGTGTGGTCAGTAAGCTCTTGCGTGTTTTGGCCTTTTAGCTTTCTTGGGCTTGGTCGAGGTAGATGGACAGATATGTAAATAAATAAACAAACAAATAAACAGAGAACAAACTGAAGGGTAGAAGGAGGGAAGGTAGAGGGGAATGAACGGATGAATTAAACAAAGGAATGAATAAATAAGTAAGTAAATAAGTAATACAGAGCGAATGAACGAATGAAGAAAAAAGCGATAATAGTGATAATATTCTATTCGCCAAAGTCCTCCGCAAGCAAGTCCCTTCCTACAACCACACATACACCCAAGGCAACGCACATAGCATAGTTACAGTTACATTCTCAAATTCACCTAGTACATGCCTTTCATCTTTTCATCCATCCATCCATCCATCCCATGCCACCACCTAGCTATCAATCGATCCATCCCACCCACATACATACCTCCCTACCCCACCTACACACCCCCAAGAAAGTCTAATTAACAACCAGAAGCCCTTAATCATCACCACCATCAACCCAGCACCCTCCATTAATCTGACTCTAACATGATTAGATACAAAGCCAAGACGAAAAGTAAGACAAAGCGGGGGCGCGGGGAGGGGTAGGTAGGCAGGCGTGTGGGCGGGCGCGCATTCACATCAAACCCACACATAGACCCCCCCCAAAAATGTGGAAATTAAACACCACCGTAGAATACTACACACATACCACAGAACAACGAACAAACGAACAGAGAACAACCCTGTTCTTTTAATAGCCAGAAACCAAACTATCAGCCAGACCAGCCAAACCAGCCAGCCAAGCAAAACTAATCTAACGGCCGAGAAACAAAAAACAGCCCTTTTCCCCTCAAGCCTCAAGGGTCTGTCTGTCCGTCTCGCTCAACGTCTTGTAACTAATTAATTAACTAACCAACTAGCGGGAAAGGTTATCTGCCCACGTCCTCCCTTCATCCTTCATACATACACAGTCTTCCATACATCCCTTCCCTTCCATCCCAACTAAATTACCTACACTAATTACATGCAAACACACCAACACGCTCAACATTAAACCTCCCAACGTAGAAGAAACATGGAACCGTAAATACCAAGCGTCCCAAGACCTTCTAGAACGTACGTACCTTTGGGCGCCCGAGTTTTTGTCGCGGCTGTGGTGGTACTTGCTCTGTTCTACTTGCCCTACGTACTTACCTACCCACCAACTCTGTTATACTAGATCAACACACTGCACTGCACTGCACTGCACCGCAATGATGACAAGTATATTTATAAACTGAGAGTTTGATAAGAGTGGATGGAGTGGTGGATCCATGGCACGTGAGACTTGCTGGCACGTGAGGCCGGAGCGCTGCCCGGTAAGGTAGGTACAGTACAGTACGGTGCAGTAGGTAGTAAAATTACGCACCTGCCCGCCAAGCCAAGCCAGCCACAACACTCTCTGCCTAAGGCAGCAAAAACCGCGTTCTAGCGTGTCCTCCTATAACCGCGAGTAGGCTGTGACGGTCGATATCGGAGAGGGAGGGAGAGAGGAAGGGGGACACAATGTAGGAAGTGCATGATGATCACGGCTACTTTAGCTAGCTAGCTAATCAGCGACAGTCCAAAGCGACACACCCTCCTTCCTCCTCCCTCTCTAGCAATATCGTCCAAAGAAGGGCGTTACAGTAGCATTTTGATAGCATTTCGCAGCAGCAAGGAGAGAGAGAGAGAGGGGGGGGGGGAAGAGCCTGGAGAGGTAAGCAAGGAGGTTTTGCGGCGGCGACGGTAGAGACTAGAGATTAGAATTGGGGGGGAGAAAAGCTACCCTACCCTACCCTATCCTACTCATCACATTCATTCATGAAGAGGAGAATGAGGAGCGACAACAAACCAAGTCAAGCCAAGCCAAGCTCCAGCCACGACATTTCCAACCACCTACAACATAGCGGCAGCAAAGAAGCAAAAAAAACAAAAACAAAAGCAAATAAACACCAAGAAAAAGCAAAACACCATCCGACAGAAGGAGTTTCGCTATCACAAAGCACGGTGTTCCAATAAGGTAATCATCATATCATCAATTCATCATCACAAAACAAACACTACGAAACCCAAGTGAAGACTAAACCAAATCTGTCTTAATTACGACCTATCCTATTCCTACCGATGTTTGTTGTAATAGCAACAAAAGTTGCCAAGGTAAATAATAAGTGCCAGCAAGCCAGCCAGGGCCCCCGGCCAGCAACGGCAGGTTCCGAGTCTTGGCATGTTTTGAGCAGAGAGCCAGACAGACAGACAGATGAGAGCACTGTTGTGAAAAAAAAGTGTGTATGAGAGAGTACGTGCGTATGTTTGTGCGTGCGTGTGCTCTGTGTGCGTGCGTGCCTGTGTGCGTGCGTCCTGTGTTACTAGCTATACTAAATATGTACTGTGCATGTGCGAGAGAACTGTGTTATCCGTTTTGGGCATACCTTACGCGCACGTTGCGCCAAGGAGCAAGGCTCTTACGCGCCGCCCCTCTGCACCCCTGGCCCGCTGGAGCAGATCACAGGATGGTACAAGGGGGGGAAGAGAGGAAAACGCGGCTCGCTGGTATGGGGTCGACGAGAGCGGGAGCGAGGGAGGGGGGGGTGTTGACCACGGTGACATTCATAGCCAAACTGGAAGAAAAAATAAACCGCACCGCACAGTGCACATTAGTGTTATTGTTGTCGATATTTCGCAACAATGTCCCAAATAGAGGAATGCATTTGGGCTGGGCCGGGCCGTATTGGGGCCAGACAAAAGGGGCTAACTATGGAACTGCAGTGCGTGTGTATGTGTGTGTATTTTGGGCGAGAAGAGTGATACAGATGATGCATCTGATAGGAGAGAGAGGGAGAGAGGGAGTCGAGAGAGTGTGTCGTATTCCCCGTTTATTGAATTGTCCGGTTTATCAGCGTCGTCACCAACGGAGCCAGCTCCTTGGGGCTAATTAGTTTTGCAAGCCCTTTGTCTGCCCCCGAGTAATGAAAGAAAGATCTGCGGCGGCGGGTCACGGAGCCCGCTCCTTGGATTGTGTACGTACTATGTAAGAAGACTCGAGTCAAAGGCGCGGCATGGCTACCCGCTGTCGACTAAGAGCCCTGTGCATGGCCATGCAGGAGGGAGGCTAAGCTGCATCATAGCCCATGGCTTGGACCGACGGCAACAAGACTCCCTGTTTTAATAAAGTTAGTTGATCGTTGATCTGGGGAGGGCACTACGATAATGGGCAATACAGTAGACTGCACACACATTCCACCTTGTCTGCTGCTGCCCCCGTGCGGGGGACAGCGGGTGGGAGAGGAGCCAGGAGGGTGACAGGATCAGCTGGTATTGCTACCCTGGCCGTCCATGGACTGACTCATGGGGCGTGCGGGCCGAGTAGGCGAAGAAACATGGAGCCAAATAGGCCTGCTTCTTTACTACTGTCCGTCCCTGATTCCTAGAACATGCCTGAGATCTACGGCGCAGCTATGATGCATCATGCAATTGTGGATGGAACTGTTTCACACTGGTCGGCACTGGGCACTGGACATCGTAGTCGCAGACTGTGCACGTTTCGCAGTGGCGAGCGACCATTGCATATGTTCATGCAATGGATCTGAAAAGACACGAAAGAGATGTGAGGTGTGCTCCTCCAGAATGAGCCATTGTTGTTAGGCAGGATGATCGCCAAAGAGGTTGCCATGTCTTGTGGAGTCAGTTGGCATTAAGGTTTTGACATACGCAACGGTTGCTGGGCAAAAGCCACGAGTCCGCGAAGCTTGGTACAACTGTTGAGATGATGATGTAAACTATCGACGGATATCACTGCCGCGTAGACCATGCAAACACAACGTGATGCTGGCTGGGCATCCATCCAAGGAGTCTAATAATTTCGCGGTTAATCAACATACCCATGACCACTTACCGTAATGGCAGCCCAAAGCTCTCACTGATCCTTTCTAGCTTTCTCAACAACGCACGCCCCTTTTTGGATATCGGATCGTGTCTTGGACCTGGTTCCTGAGTCAATTTTCCGATGAAATAGGGGAGCGCTGGAAGCTAAGGATGGATCACAATGCCAATGCCAATGCCAATACCAATACTAATGCCAATACCATTAGTTGCCAGACGGTTCGGCGAGTCGGCACGATGGTCCGGATTGAGCGGATGGTGAGACTGCATGATGCCTGTCTATAAGGCAGCTTGCCTTCACATGGAGCGAGGACCAGCGCATGCAAGTCTCTTGGGAGTCGGGCTCACAGCACCTTGGAAGACAATCCAGATCATTGTCCCAAGCTATGTCAATCTGAAGCACTGGAAGTGAGAATAGATAGCCCAAGCAGAAAACGCGGCAGATCCCATATGGCAAGTGTGGCGGGTCTGAAAGCTAATGCTAGAGGCGGTCTTGAATTCTAGTGACTCTGGTCTGGCAGAAGAGAGGTACGAGCAGAGCCGAAGAGGGGAAAGGACCGTTAAAGGATGCAGACGGGCCGTTTGAAGGAGGAGTTTTTGAAGATAGCGTAGGAGGGACTGCTCGATAGGTCGGCGACGGGCCACACATAGTAAGCGTGCCGGAGTTTGTTGGATGCATTGTCTCTCTGAAAGATGCAGGGTGGATGAGTCCGGCAATTCTTGAGGTCGTTTTGTAGGGGACACCCTTGTGAATGGTACTGCGATGAACCCGGTCGAGGAGGCAGCTTGGCGGATGCGCGTCATGGAAGTCGATGAAGAATCTGCTGGTGATAGACCGTGCGCGCTATGAGAAAGTTTGCACGTACATGAGCGAGCGCATTATTGAATCCGCGAGAAAATCGAGACTAGCGACAGAAGACGAGAGATGGGCGCGTAGCTTAGTTTGCAAGGGATACGAGTCGAGTGAGGACGAGTAGGAGGATGAGGATGAGAATGAGGATGTACAGGTGAGAGAGTTGAGGATGAGGATGAGAAAGAGGAAGACGGACGTGGTTGCAACAGGGAGGGAAATGCCAAGGCCGGGTTAAGACCTCCGACGGGGCCAAACGGGAGTCCGTGATCAGGACTGCGGAGGTGGGGCCTGCCCCATGACTGAGCATACGCAGCTTTTCCAGCGAGCTATGCGCCGCCGGACAGCCTGTTTTGCGGCTGCGTCTGCCTCGCCCCCCTTACGCCCCCAGCAATAGCATACACTTCACTGTTTACCTATCATTTTGCCTGTCCGCCCCCGCCTCCACGCCGTCTCGTGTCTCCCGTCTCTTGTCTCTGCGCCCCTCAGTAGTCAAGGACCAGGCTTGCGATGATAACTGTTGCACGTTGTAGAGCCACTGACGATGCTTGTAATGCCACCCATCATACAGTATTACTATACACTTACCACCATCTGCTGCCGTGGTTCGCTGCTGAAACGCGACATCTGCCTTGCTTGCATTTGCCGTCTTCGTCATGGTGCAGATGAAACAGAATCGAAGTTTCGAAGCCTTGATGGCGCAGCACCGATCCTCACTTCTCACCCACCGCCTGTGGCCACGGTATGTCTTCCTGAGGCGGGATGAAGGGGCACCGTGCGTGGCCAGCTACGTACGAATGCGAGCGAATGAGTAGATACAAGGACAAGAGAGACAACTAAAGAGAGTGAAAGCGAGACAGAGAGAGAGTCAGAGCACGGGCTATTAAAAGAACAAGCCATCTGGTATAAGCTTTGAGCCTTGAGCTATGGCCTAAAACATCTACATACACTCTACAATGTATACCAACCAGTCCCCTTCCAGACAAACACAAACCAACCGCGAAACATTATGTAGCAGCCTCGATACAGCATAGACGTACAACTTTTTGAAGTCGAACAGCGAGGCCAGTGTAGAATATTAGTATAGTGACAACATGCCAGAGCGAGAGCCCCCCCTCCCGAAAAAACACCCTCCAGTACCCACAAGTGTCCTAGCGTCGCACTGCCCCTGCCGGAAGCCCCGGAGACGGATCGGTGCGCAAGACGACGTTCGCACACCGCGTTCGTCGACATGCATGCATTGGTGAAACAGTTCAGAGAGGAACAAAAAAAACGGCTCTTGATGCTTGTCCGGCATCTTCTCCCCCCCAGAGCCCCAGAAGAAGAGTCTGCAGCGGCATCGTCATCGTCGGACCGCTGCTCGTTTGCCCAGAACTGCCGATGCACCCATCATCGCCGCCTGCTTCCTCAGTTCCGAGTTTTCCTCTTTGAGTAGGTCCCGTTCCGACTCAAGACCTTGGATGTACTTGATGGCGCTGGCAAGTACTGTTGCTTTGCTGGGCTTTGGTGCCGAACTGCCCTCCTCCGGGCTAGGCTGTGGTAGAATCGGAATTGCTAGCCGTAGCCGGTCGAGTTCGGCGTTCAGCCCTTGTCGGTACTTCCTCTCCACTTGGTTGTGTGGGAGACGAGCACGACGAGGCCTGGAGCTGGTTGGGTCAAAGTTCTCGTCGTCTGGGGAAGGGAGCCGTGGGCGCCCTCGGCGGCGAAGGAGGCGCTTTGCCGGTGGTGATTCACTGGGAGAGTCTGATGATTTGAGGATAGATGCTGTAGGAACCGTTGAGAGCAGATCCTGAGAGCCGCTGGACAGGCTGCTGGATCCTGCACATGAACTGAGTGTTGGTGATGGTGACGTCGGCCTGTTGAAGTTGAACGTCGGGGTCGTAGGGTCTGACTTGATGATGGGCACTTTTGCTGCTGTCGGTTCACTTGGGTAGGTATAGGCCGCTGGTGCTTCAAAAGTAGGCTTGTGGATAGGGTTCGGATAGTTCATCGGCGTAAAGGGGATATCTGACTTGAACATGGGGCTTTTTCCGTCTGTGGATTCTTGGAGGTAGTCCATCGGCTGGACCTCCAATTCCCCGTATTGTTGATTGTATACACCATATGAGTTCCAGGGATACCCGAATGAGCTGCTGTAATAAGTCCACTCAGGACTCATCGTGAAGTAGGTCTCGAAAATCTCGAGTGATTGCCTCCCTTTGTGGTGGATGAGAGCAAACTCTAGGGTGATAGGATGAAGGACCGAAGTAGTACTGTGCAAGTGCCTGGAGTGGATAGAAACTTTTTCAAAAGTGTCGGAGTGGATGAGATAGACAACAGAGTGAGTATATACTCGAGTGAAGGTAAACAAGTTCTTCGGAGGTTTGACTGTAAAAAACGGGGAAACTAATGACAAACGAGTGCGATCTCCGCTCCTATATACTTCCAAGAGCAGACGGGAGATCCGCTCGTGCGTATTGAGCAGTAGACTTGCATGGATCCGAGGGCTTGTGGGAATGGTGAGCCCCGGCTCTCTCACAACTCACGTTACGGTTCAAAGATGATCCCGGACTTCTGCAACTCACCAGGCCCGGATTCTTGGGAAATGAGGTAGACTCATTAGCACTGAACGTGTTTATCCGCAAAGACTGCTAAGACCATCATCGCTTGGGGCGCAACACTCGCAGGCCTGGCAAGTACCCCAAAGGCAGTTGTTCCCTCATGGCGGATGCGGACGCTGCTCGTGTTGACGTGTTCCTCGTCGCTCCGCCCTCGATCTGCACGGTGATGGCAGGTCCAGGTCGAGATCTCGAGCGTCAAGTTCGAGCACCTATCCCTGCGCGCAAAGGTTTGCCGTTGCTTGGGGCCCAATTAGCAATTGGCAACTGGCAATGCACAGGTTGCGCAACGGACCGAAAGCAAACAGCGCGAGCCCCCATTTGGAGCAACAGGGCTTGCAAGGAGCAGCATGGCCAACTTTCTCGCAGCACACTCCGCCTCATTGGTGCCCAAGATACAGCAACCTTGCCAAACGTCCTGTCTCTCTACCTAGCAGGGAGAACAGGCCAGGAGCCAGGACCGGGTGAGGACTAGACAAAACGGACAAGGTTACGACCACGAGCGAGAGCAGAAGAAGAGTAGTAGTAGAGTGGTGGAGCAGTGGAGCAAAGTAGTCCAGGACCCAGAAATAGGGGCGCACAGACTGGTGCAAGTCAAAAGATGGGCGGCCTACCATGACACCCATGCAGCCGTTGAGAAGTGACAGTGATGTTTGGAGTACAGTGCAGACACTAGAACATCCTACTGACTCTGCAGAAAGTCCGGGGGAGAGATATTGGAGGCGTGCGGTCAAATTAGAGACGCAAGTTGAACGTTGTTGTCTCCTCCACTTGGGCTCAACGGCTGGACCGCCGCGCACTACCGGCAGGAGACCAACCTTTCCCCCTTGGGTTCGTCGATGCGTTAAGCTATATGCCGAACATTCAAGCATTTTCCTGTCGTGAATGCATGCATCAGCTGCATTGTTGCAGGCTGTCGTCCTTTGTTGTTTGATGCACGTATTGGCATGCCTCCTTCTCTGCGCACTGCATCCGATGGTTGATTATAGTCGGCATCCCGGTCTAGCAATGCTTGGCCTCGTATTCTCTCCTGGTCTTCCCTCCACGCCCCCTTGACTACCCCCCTACCCCCCCTACCCCCCCCTTCAATCATCCATCATCCCGCCAGAATCGACTGCCCTAGACTCCTGTGCCTTGAGCAAGGAGGAAAAGATTGCCGTCTTTCCATACAGCTTGTCTGCTGCGGTCGAATACGCGGCTCTCTGGCGCCAAACAGCCAAGCCCTTGTATACACGCACGTGGTGGCTTCGTACTTCGTTCGCATCCAAGAGCGAGTCTGCCGCCAAGATGCCTCTCACTGGACGACGATCCCAAGGCCTCCTCGTCATCACGCCAAGCTCGACTCACTAGATAGTAGATAGCCGTTGGCTTTGTTGACTGACTGTGCGAGAACGACGCGCTACCAAGCCATCGCGAGTCTCTGTTCCTGTCACTGTCACAAGACTAGCATCTGCTGTGTGCGAGGCCATTATTCGGACCGTCATGGTGTTAGCCGAAGGGCGGACAGCGCATCAAGTAATTATACGACGATTCACGACACGATCGCCGCTCATGGATATCGACAGGGTCTACGCAAGTGCGGCGGCATGGCCATCTCCTAATGACTTCTTGCTCGTCAATGCTCCGTCACAACGAGGTCTTTGCCAGTGTCCGGCCGACTTCGGAGTGCGCAACGTGCGGTGATCTTCACAGTTCATCGATGTAAACAAGAATATATTGATCTGGTGCAAGGAGCATGCTTGAACCTGCGCTGCCAACATTTTCACTGCTTCCGGCGCTTGGAAGGGCCTGCGCCTTCATCTTCTGCGCCGACCTCCTCACCATCCCGTGTCCTTTCCGCACTACGCCAATTGCTCACGGCCTGTTGTGTGGCTTCAAACATGTCTCGAGCATCCTGTACTACACCATCCTCCCCAGTATTGAACATGACCGCATTGGCAAACATCCGCATCAATTCGCGTTCAAGTTGCGCTGAATTGACTATCGCTTTCGGGGGCATCACTTCTGCGCTCACCGGGAGGAGCACGTTCCCACCACCGCCTCCGGGACTGCCAACTGATGGCGTATCCATCGATGCTGCCGCTGCTGCAACAACCTTTGAACCAACGTTGATCGCGGTTCGGATAGACTTCAAATCCTGAGGCCGCTTGATCATGTCCTTATATCCCGCTGCGTCCTTTTCCTTGACCGGTGCACTGAATAGCGATGCGTACTTGTGAGATGTAATGTCATTCAACAGTGGCTGACTCATCTTGTGAAAATATCGCGGAGCCACAATTTGACGCGACCCAGGAGAGCCGGGCTCCTCAGACTCTGCGGCCTCCGATTCTTCTTGAGCCTCACGCTTTCTTTTGGTTGATTTGGCTGATGTTGCCACGTTCCGATTTCGTCTCACCAGCCCACTGGCCGCACTCTCTATTCCAGGCATGACGTCCTCTAACATCCCCGGAGTACTCGGTTCGTGCTTCACTGCGTGTCCAATGTGACTCTCATCCACGGACATTGCATCCACGTGTGACACTGCTGACTGACTCCGTGTCCGACCTCGTACAGAACTCTCAACCGCAGATGAGGTCACACTTGCACCTCTTGGACGCCGACCGCGTCGTCGCGTACTCCGAATCGAGCGTGAGTCATCTTCTACTGTAGTTTCCACTGCTTTCGGTTTCACTTTTCGTGGCCGTCCCCGCGGCCTGGAACCAGGTACTGGGAATGCAGGTGGTGGAGCGAGGTCGTTGATGGGACTTACGCTCGGTGATCGAAGCGTTGCGACAGTAGGTAGATCCTTCTTCCACTTCGTCTCGCTACTGGGCGTATTCACCGCTGTCAACGGGCTTGGTCTTGCAGCGTTGGGACGCCACGTTTTCGAGCCTAGTATTCGAATGACTTCAGTGTAGTCCACTGTCTGGGTCGGCAAGCGACTAGGAACAGTCGAAGGCGTTCGGGGAAGCGTTTGTCTTGGTGGAAGAGGGCTCGCGGTAGTATCTTGTCGTTGCTGCTGTTGGAGCGGTGTTTGGGGGGTGACTTGGAATGGAGGGAGCATAACCCCTCCTTTCGATCCGGGTGGTTGACGTTGCTGGGTCGACGGTTGTGATGGATAAGCAGGAGGATGGTATTGAGGTGTACGCTGAGTTCCAGGTGGCTGCGTCACGGATGATGGTCCTCCAGCAGAGTGCCCAGCAGATCCTTGCGGTCCAGCATGTTGGGACGGCAGTGGGTAGATATATCGTGATGGTGAGGGAGAGAACGGTCGTTGTCCTTCGCCTGAATATGATGAAGGTTGGAGATTATGCAGAGATTGTGCACTATGTGGTGGAGTTTGCGCGCTGAGACCTGGGGCATTGGCCAACTGTGTGCGTGTATTCTGAGAAATTCCTGACGGAGGTACTGGTGTAACATAGGGTGATTGGTGCGTGACAGGAGGAGAGTATTGAGAGACAGGAGTCCTTGCAACAGGAGGGGAGCCCGCGGGAGCAATGTTCTGTGACGTGGGGCGGCTTTGCGCAGCCTGGGCTGGGGCAGGACTTGAAGAGGCCTTTGTGTGAGGTGATATGTCTAAATTTCCAGCTGCTCGTCCGTTGTATTGAACTGGTTGAGATCCATTACTGGACTGCAGTGGTCGAATGTAAGGAGGTGCACTTGAAGCGACTGGAGAATGCAATTTCAGAGCATTCGGTCGTTCACGCGCTGCCGACGGCTTCGTGGCAGATGAACTAGCCTCAGCCTTTGGTTTCGACGGTAGGCCATTCGTCGCTTCGATCTTCAGCTTGTGATCCCATTTCCCACTCTCAATCTCTTCCACCTCCTGCTTCAGCGTGCTCCATTTGCGCTCTTCGCGTCCGACCTCTTCTGCGATGCTCGAGCGATACCGATAGTAAAGCTTCTCGACCAGTTTAGGTATCAGATCTGGATTTTGTGCGGCGTCTACTGCGGAAGGAAGACTTGGTATTGGAACTTTACGTTTCCTCGAATTCGGATGGTCGCCGTTCGTTACTCCTATGTCTGATGTATGGCCTTCATCGGCATTGATCGCTCCCTCATCTTCAACAAGCGTCTGATAAAGGTCCCGTAGTGCGTCTGGGCTAAGTCGAGCTTCGTCATACTCCTTTGCGCTGCGGACGTAACGGTTCTTCTTCAGCAAGTCCGAGATCTTGCCAAAGACCGATCCTTCTACACCATGGATTCTCAGTGATTGGAATAGAAGCAAAGTTTCTAACGACGTGTAGGCTGAAAGACTGATATTCATTCCCCAATGTACGTCCAGCAAGCCAAGGGGACGATGGGAGAATATGGTGGGCTGGATGGGAGCCAGCACGTCCAGCAGCTCACGTCGCGTTCACTTTGGAGAGGTCTGAGCATCAGACTGGTCGTAGATGTCGATATAGAGATGGGCGGCCGACGGTGGAGATGAGCTCGCGTGAGAGTTGTGTGTTCGGTGATGAACAAGCTTGGTGTTGTGGTTTGCTTTGCGACTGTAGAACGAAGGAGCCAATGAGCGACAGAAGGGACGGCGAAATATCGGGGCTTGCAGCTGAGCATGTGACACAGGCCGATACGTCCTTAGCTCACTCCTTATCTGTTGTTTGGGCCAGGCAGGGCAAGAGGGATAGGGAGGCGCGACCACCCTAGTGCAGTTCGCGATTGCCCCAAGATTCAACAAAATAGTTGTTGTTAAGCCCGCTCCTGCCGCCCTTGTAAGTGTCAACATGAGATTGTTGTTGTCACAACAATGATAGAGATGTCATTAGGTAGAGATATCTAATTCGTATGGAAGGCCTGTCACATTATGTTATGTCAGGCTGCACCTGTTCTAGCCCACAGTATTAGTGTCCCTGTCCGCTGTGTCATTCCATTCGACGACTGAGCATTCGACCCATGGAATGGATCTATAGCTTCCCCGCCAGAGGGCCGATCGCATTCTTGCCTGTCCGAACCGAGCATACTAACCACCACCACATGTCCAACAGGCACAGGATACCTCCTTTTCATTTCATACAGCCCACTACTGCCCAATCAGTTACCACTACCTTTCCCCTCTGTGCCAATCAACACGCTCCCGAGCGGGAGGATGCTCCCGTTCAGCTCTCCTGCCCCGAGTTCACTATAGCCATCATACCTATACACGCTGTGACCAAGACCTCCATCCCTCCTTAAAGTACTTGCATCGCCATCACAATTAGGGTGTCACTGTTCGACAATTGTGTATTTTCCGAAGTTACCTTCACGATGCAAGACAACGAGGCTGTTCATGATCCCGACGCCGGGTGGAAGTCGAAGAACCGCCCTCAGTCGTAAGTCGGGTACTCAGACATGCATGAAAGCTTGCTGATCATCTAGGACTGTCGCCCGCAACTTTTCTGCTGCCCTCGACGATCTTTTTAAGATGGATAATGACCTCGACAGTCTATCCAAGAACGTCCATCAGAAGTTCGCGCCCCTCTCGCACCCCTCCTGTTTAACCATCAATTGACAATCACAGGAAGCAAGCAGTCACATCACAATCAGCTGAGCTGGAGGCCCTGGAGGCGCGGCTCAAGGCAGCAGAAGAACGCCTGAAGAATGCTGGCAAAAATCCCGCACCTTTTCCCAACTCGCGGAAGAACAGCCAGCGACGTACACCAGTGAAGGGAGCATTTGGAGAGGATGGCGACGGCTCGAATGGCGCTCCCTCAAGTCCTCTAGCCCAGCAGTCGAACGACGACTCGAGGCAGCAAACAAACGGTCATCCGGATTAGACTTGATCATCTTCTATAACATCACAAGTAAGAGCTCTTCAGAGCCAAACCCCGAGTCTAGGGTGGTAGGGATATAAAGTCAGCACTACATCAGGGACGTGGTGCGGCAGCATATTTTTGGCGCAGTGCTGTGTCACAAGAGGGACCTGCACCTTCGGGGGTTTGTATACATAATAACTATTTGACGTCAGTTTTACGCATCGACCAATACGAGTCTCAGCATTATCTATTAGGCGCTTACTTCCAAATATACAATAGTCAATAAGGCTGGCTACCTGTTCTCGGTCCATAGACTTCAATCTCTAAAAGTGACCAACAACAAATACTGGGTATCCCGGACTAAGAGTTTCAACATCCCTGCAACAGCCTGTATAGTGTATGCCAATGGCCTGTATGCAAATGGCTATTAGCTGCATGGCGAAGTGTCCAGATTTGGATTCACTACAGGGTCTCATCATGCTTGAGTAAGTATCTGCTTAGGTAGGTAGCACTCAATCGAAATACAAGACCACCCTGCACAGAAGGTAAGACTGTAGAAACACGTCACTGATCCTGAAATTATGGTGGGGTACGTGCTTTCATCCTGCATGCATCCATCCGCGTTCCCCAGATCTAGCGTCATGAGTCACTCGGCTGCTTGAGTTTAATCAACCCCCAGGCCAAAGGTGGCATACACAAGTTGCCATATAATTCGGCATACACAACATCTTCCGATTGCTACCAAGAGATTTACTACTGGAAAGCTACGATCAAATCCCAAACACTGGACTCTTCCATTCATGTCGAGCAACATGGCTCTTCAGACATATGCACCAACGACTCCCTCTCCAGTCTGAAAATGCTCACCTTCCTAGACCTGCCGAAAAACGTTCGGATGCAAACATACAGTCTGCTCTGCCCTACGATACCAGTACCGCCTGGTCTCAAAGGCGTTCAGACACTTCGTCATGATGGCGTGCGGTGCAGCGTCACATTCCTTCGGTCTAATCGCGCCATCTATAAAGAAGCCGGTCACTTTCTGTACACCTCCACGGCATACACTCTGCGCTACAACAACGCAACCTGTCTGTTCTACTTCATTAACAGCATTTACGACGCCTCGGAGCTCCACAGTTTAATGTCTCGACTGCGCAAAGTCCGCAAGTTGATCTTCGAAATCCGTTTGGGCGATGACATGTCACGTGCTGAGACAAGGCAAGGACTGAGCATTCTATATGGTTTCGCAGCCTTGTTTGGGGAATGTGAAAGAGAATTACAGGCCTTGCAGTTGAAGGTTTTCCCTGTCGAAGATGTAATGAGGAAGGACGAGATCATTCTACCCAGTTTTTCCTTTGCCGAACTTGCGCTGGCGTGTCTGGTGGAGATGGGGCAGGTCAACGAGGTAACAATTGAAGCTTTTTGCGTGAAGAAGTGGATGAGACCAGAGATTCAGCCTGCAAACTGGGGCGAAAAGAGGTTGAAATGGGAGAGATTGGTCAGCGATATGAGTACTACTTTGATGGAGGGCAGTATCTTGCGGGGCACCAAAGACTGGCTAGAGCGTATAAATGGTGGCCAGGTTGAATACCTCGAAGGAGAAGTCGACAGCGATAATGAATAAGAGGCCGGCAGCATCTCTATGTCCCATATCACGAGTCCAGGCCATATCGAGTTATGTTCCGGGTGTTGTGGCGTGAATGGCTCTACAGTTACTGTGTCGTCTATCTGAGAGTGGCTTGAGCTGGCCGTACTATGAATTCAATACACATACTTGTTCCCGACACACATCATATTTTGCAAAATTGGTGGAAAGTTTCATGGCTTTTTTATATATATTACAAGCTATGACAAATGTCATCTGCCCATTGGCACTGGTTTCAAGTGACCTTGCTTGTCGTACTTCGCCTCTGAACAGTAGTCAGTACAACATCCGCCGTGCGTGGGACGAACTTACTGAAGAATGTATAACTCAGTGTTATCGTCTCAATGCCTCTCATATTGAGATCCTTGCTAAACTCAGGATCAATGTAGAAAAAGACTGGCATATCTACTGTCTCACCGGCCAATAGCCGTTGTTCTTCAAAGCAGAAACACTGTATCTTGCTGAAATATGGTGCGACCTGACCAGGGGTAACACTATACGTTGCGACGCCAATTATATCTTCATCACTCTTGTTTGTTGCCGTGTAGAATGCCAGGGCTGTTTCACCCGGCAACACACGCACCTCACGCTGCTGTGGCGTGAATTTCCAAGGCATTATATCGGACACAGTCCCGCTGAACGTTATGCGCAGCCGTTTGGCCGACGTATCGGGTCGTAATCGCACAGATGGATCTTCCGAAGACGTGCCTGCGTGGGCGGCACTTTTGATGGGCTGCCCTCCCCAGCCAGTGGTCTGACAGATCATTTTATACATTGGTACAGAGCCGTATGAGAGTGCCACGGTACCAAGGATTATGGAAAGTGTGTAGTATCTATAGTTGAAATCAGAATTGCCATTGGCAAAATTTGTGGCTAGGAGCAGCTGCGCTTGATTATGAGACGTACAGTACAGATTGGTTTCGAATCTTGTGGTGGTCGCGAACTTGGTCCATGGTCGGACTGGTGTGCTGTCTGCGGTCATGGCTGGAGTTGATGAATCGTCGCGAGATAGCCCGGCGGAGGGTCCATGCCGTCAGCTTCGACTGGGAGCTTTGCAGGCATGAGTTGCATATCCAGAACTCAGGACCGGTACCGTGTCTGAGGATGGACCTCGTGATAGGTCTTGACATAATTATAGAAGTATGCTGGTCAGGAAGCTATTCCTGTTCTGCGGCGTTTCTGGAAGAGGTTGCGGAGCTCGGTAGAGACTAAACCTAATTCGAAAAATATGGATTCAAACTTTCGACGTCACGACAATGTCTCACCACAAACCTGTTGAGTACATTCTACTTGACCTGGACGATACCTTGACTCAAACATGCCTTCTAACTGTGGCATTTGTGAAAAAGAGGTATCGAAGTATAAATGCCCGACCTGTGCCATTCCATAGTAAGTATAGTCCATCCTAGACGCGAATGTTCGCTAATGTACGAAGTTGTTCTTTGACGTGCTATAAACCTCACAAAGCTGCACATGCTACAGATACTATACCTGAGCTGCAACATGAAGACCAGGAAGAAGCGCAGCCTGATCACGACACTCCAGCACCCCAAGGCTACGCGTCCTGGCCACCCGACTTTTCTGCCTTGCCGGTCAATCCCAAGCTAGAAAATCTGCTGAGTCAGTATCCGAATCTAAAGGATCAGCTTCGATCAATATTTCTCAAGACTTTTGAGCCACCAACACAAGACCAGAACGACTCCAGTAGCTTCCGTGGGCGAGGGAGAGGTGGTCGTTATCGTAACGGACGGGGCACATTCCGCGGTCGCGGTCGTGGTGGACACGGGCATGGACCGTGGACGAAAGAAAAGGGAGATAAAGCTGCTCTATACCATATGCAGCAGATTGAGAATTCGAACAGTGAAGGCAGTGAAAGTTTGCAAGCTTTTGTGGAGACTGTCTCTGAGCTTTACGAAAAAGAAAAGATTGCCTTCACTTGATTTGCGCATCACGACCATGCACCAACAAATAAGCTCCGCAAACCATCGTTGACTGCTGAACGGTAAGCTAAGGCTCTCATCATTCGTGGGTTGGAACAGGCGCCAATACTGTGCCATGTCGAGTCTCATTCGAAAGCATTGATCTGTTCGCTTACTATCTTGCAAGCGAGCGGGGCAACCGCTCTACGCACAAGCGTTGTGGTGCAGTTTCTACCTCCATGTCTCAACGAGCAGACAAGCATCGGAAGACGGGCGACTCATGCGGAAAATCAGCTGCTCGGCAGCGATGTAGCTGCATTTTACAACATTCATGCTTCTATGAATCAACATGGTATCATGAAAAGTTTGTACAGTTTTTGAGAAAGGATCGAACTACAGATCGCTCCTTAATTCTCTTATAGACGCACTGTAAACCAGATATCGATCCTAAAGCCTTTCCTTGGCTGCCGACAATACCAGACGACGCAAACACCACCACCCCTGTTAGAACGTAAGTCGCTGTTATATAAAGATCCGACCCATGTGGAGATGACTGATATCAGCGTAAGGCTACCGCAAGGCGGCTGTGGCGCCGAAGAAAGAAAAGTCGAGAAGAATACAGGCTGATTCGTTTAACATGACTCAGGCTACTGTCACTTGCTGTACCAACAAATCAGAAAGCTTTTCTAACGTCCAAGACAAGCATATACCAAGTAAAGATCTAGTCATGCGAGTTCTTTCGGTCTTCGTTATCGTAATTACTGGCGACTCCTCGATGAAGGGCATTTCTATCCCGGGTCACTTTTGAAGAATGCCATCAAGTTAGGCATATGTGTTGGAGATCACTTCCGGTGTTACTGAGACTCTCACCCCATGAGTATGGCATCCCCTGCCGATGATGAGCCACGGAACGTCAAAAGTACCTTGTCTTGCCCTCCCATCTCCTCATCGTGATCTTTCCGTTCCACTCGTCGGTACGTATCGAGCATTCACAGCCTCAGTTTCAGCCATCCACTACATTGGAAGACCAACAAGAAAGCTTGGTCGGAAGCAGTATGAATGACGGTGTTGGACCTGATGAGACTGGTGTATCGTTCGCGAAGAAGAACGCTAATATAACATATGGTCTTATCGGTATTTCTCTCATTCTGCAAATTACTTGCGTCACGACAAGACTCTATGGGAGGTTGAAGCTGCGAGGCCATTTACGGAGTGATGATTACATCATGGTAGTAGGCTCGGTCAGTTTATAACACTATCAATGCTGCAATTATGCTAAACCTTCGCAGTTGGCAGTGTTGGCGGTCAGTATCATTGGGATACTTGGGCCGAAATGGGGAGCCGGTTATCATTCAGAGGATTTCGAGCCATCCTGGAGAGAACATTTCGCGAGAGTAAGTTCAGAGAGATCGAAAGCGTCCAACTGCAGCACCTACTCACAAACATAGCTTACATTCGCCTTCAACATTGCACACCCACTTGCTTGCTCGTTACCAAAGACTGCGATATGCATCACATACCTCCAGCTGTTCCCCTCTCCCAAAAACAGACTCTTTTGCCATATCTTTTTGGTCTTCACTATCAGTTGGTGTATAGCAGCAATAACTGTTAATATCTTCCAATGCATGTAAGCTTTCATTCTTTCCTATAACTTAATCAGTCTAGTAAAGCTAAATTGCGTTCAAGTCCCGTGAATGGCATGTGGGAGTTACTCCCTAGTTTATCAACGCGTAAATGCATCAATGTAAAGGTCGCGCTGGTCATATCTGCGTCGTTCAACAGGTATGCCGCCCTTCTAGATTACGAGTCAAGTTGTAACGTAGCACAGTCTGTCCGATCTGTGCATCTACTTGTGGCCTACGCGGATGATTTGGCGTATCCAAATCCCTCTCCGGCAACGACTCGGCTTGATTGCAGTCTTTTGCACGGGAATTTTGATATGTGTTACAGGTGCAGTGCGGATGTGGTACCTTGCGCGCTTCTTCGATTCAAATGACCAACTCGGTATGCCTTGTCCCGGTCTGCCCCTTGCAGCGTAGCCTCCCTTCCTTCGCCGTATTCTGCTTGTGGTCGCCCGTTCCCCGCCCATATGGGCCTATGCGCTGTAAAGCTGACCTTTCCACATAGCACTCGCTGCCATTGTCTGGGCCGTATCTGTCGTCGAGGTAAATATGGGCGTTATATGCGGCTGTCTGCATGGCGTCCGCGCCGTTGTCTCGCTGTCTCCGGGTATATTCTCGTCGGAATACCGCGAAAACCATCACCCTCAGCATCATTACACAAATGGCGGCGCAGCATTCGAAACCATCGATCTGCGCAACAGGTGTGGCAGCTCTACACTAAGGCGAACAGACCAGGCGTGGATACACGACGTTCTCGGTAGTAAACCGAGACATGGAGCGTCGAACATTGTCGCGATGGAATTGAACGACCGCGCAACCCTAAAGCGGAGTGGATCCTCTCGCAGTGACTGTATGGGTGTCAATACGTGGATCACGACTGGATCTCGGGACTCACAGCTACCGAAGACTGGCATCGAGCTCACGACCGAGGTGATGACGGAATATGGATGTGGCCCGTCTATGACCTCGAGAAGCCTCAGCCTCAAGGCACGCAACTCGGCTGATGAGTTGATCGTATCATCATCCCGTGAATCACGGTGAAATTTATAAACAGTGAGAGGCAAACATAATCACAATGAAGTAGCGGGTGGCAGAGTAATGAAGGTTCCCATCCCAGTCGACCGAATTCCTCTCATTCTTCCTCACACTGTACATAGAGTGTCCTCCACACGCACCTCTGGTCTTCACCCAAACGCATCTTCTCTCCACCATGCGTGAAGCCCACTACGCAGTCACTCGACCAGCACATCGACACTACATATCCCCAGCCGCTCTCTTCCCATTACTTCCTTACTTCCTTCCCTCTCCCTTTTCCCCCCTGGATACAAAACCCAATATACGTAGACCGTATACCATGCCCTGTACACATACAACCCTAACCCTCCCAATCCCATGCCCCGCCCCATCACCACACTCACAATCCTCATCCCCACCCTCGCTATCGCCATCACCGGCACCATCCTCGGCATCACAGCCCTCCTGATCGACGTCCGCCGCCGCCGTCGATCCAAATCCCGCCTCTCCAAGACATCATCATGTTCTAGCACCGCCACACTCGTCGGTAATGAGCGCGCCCAGGCGGCGAAGGACCGGTGGCCGCCGCCTCCACGTGTGGATTCTGCGCTTGTGTGCCATAGTGCGTTTCGCCCTTTTTCGGCGCTCGAGCGGGCGGTGGCGTTTTTTACGTCGTCGTCGTCGTCTGCGGGGTCTAGGCGGAGTAGTAGGAGTACGACACGGACGCAGGCTTCACTGCCTGATAATCCTCCTCCACCTCCTCCTCCTCCTCCTCCTCCTCCTCCATCACAAGCAGAGCAACACCCCGCCCGCCGCACATCAAGTATATACTCGCCCGGCCCGGCCACCGCATGGCCCTTCCAGCGGACACAAAATGCGCACTTCTCAGACGGATTCGAAAGCGGCAGCATTACATCCTCATCCTCATCATCAACATGGCAAACAACCAACACAGCGACAGAAACCGGGTATTCGTGTGCGAAGCTGGGGCCACGGCATCAGTGTCCGGGGTGTTGTGAGGATGCGGGGATGATGCCGGGGGCGTGGTGGAAGAGGGGGACGATTGATAGGAATGGAGAGGGGGATATGTATGAGGTGGTGTTGGAGATGGAGAAGGGGAGGGATGATGCGGCGAGGATGACGGTGTGGCCGGCGGGTTGGCTGGACCGGGGGTCGGAGCGGAATGTCGAGGTTGTGGAGAGGGAGTGGCCGCGGACGCCGCGGTTTGAGAGGGCGTATCTGGGGGAGGGGAGGGATGTGGAGGGATTGCCGTGGCGGGCGGAGGGGTGGGTGTGATGAGAGGGATTGGGAAAGGGGGGAGATTATGTATAGAGAGAAAGGAGCGATCATGCGATATACTGATTGTGGAATATTGGATATGTGTTTGGTATCATTAGTTTATGATATTAAGATTCTACCTTACTTTAAGCTGCGGGGGCTCGCCCAGGGAGCTTTTCGTTGTATTTGGAGCCGTCGGAGCTGGAGCTCGCGTTGCTGAGTGTGCTCGCGCGTTTGCTGAGGGTTTGTGGTGGTGGCTGGTCTGTCGGCGTCGTGGGCCGTGAGTTTGTCGGCGTCAGTCTGGATGGCCGCGTGCTGTTGGATAGGCCTGATGCGCCGCTGACTGCGCGTTTGCGCCGCCTGCCTTCTGTGCTTCCGGCGGTGCTGTTGCTCCATCTCCGTTCTCGTGCTTCCTGGCGTCCGGGTCGGTCAGGTCGGTCGTCGTCAAAGGCGGCTACCGAACTGCGTGAAGAGGAGCGCGAGTGGGAGACATCCCGTTCGCGTTCTCGTATGACGCTTGGTCTTCGCTTCTTGTCCTTGAGGTGCGACAGACTGTGGATGTTTGTGGGGACAAAGGACTTTTCGTAGTTTGGCTTCTTGGCTCTGTGCCATCCTCTCCACCCTGTCCACCAGAGCCATCCGCCTTCTTGTTTCGCGAGTTCACGGTCGCGCTGCTTGACCACCTTGCGCAACTCGGCGCGTCGTTCGTTCTCTCGTTCCCAGAATTCGAGCCGATAAAGCTCCCAATTCTCTCGGAATTCGGGCGAGAATGGTTTTGGTAGGAGGATCAGACGGATGTGGTCGCCGCCGGGAGCGATATCCTCCTCTATGTATTGGTGTCCGTGGTCGCGAAAGGTGTGTCGCGCGATGCCTTCGTGTTTCTGGCTTTCGGCGTGGTCGATGAGATGGTAGGAGGAGCCCGGCGAGGGGAAGAATAGATGAACGGGAACGATGAAGGATATGTAGGATAAAGCTTCCCTCCACCAAGGCCCTTTCATGACTACGATCTTGCAGTTCATGCCTCTGAGGCCCCGATTTGTGACTCCCACCCAGCGTCGCGGCCAGCGCACGCCTCTTTCCCATTGTCCGGCTCCCCAGAACAGCACGCCCAGGACCACTCCGCCTATCCACGCTACTTTTTCAGCCATGTCTACAACCCAGTATACCGAACCTCCAACGCCCTGGCCGTCTTCGCGGGGTCGGAGGAAGAGCAGATAGGAGAAGCCAGTGATCCATAGCATCAACAGTATGAGAACGAACGTGTTGATCCTCCGCCGTGCGCGAAGACTGAGATATTGCGAGCGTAAGGACGCCTCAAGAATGAGGAGATTGAGGTAGATTTGCGAAGGCGCGGAGGGTAGTAACGATGTGGGATCAGACACGGGATTTCTGGGAGTCTTTATGGCAGCGAGACGCTCATTCTGGGAGGCAGCGAGGTTGGCATGGTGTACGGGACTGTTGCTTGGTGGTGGTGCTCCTTTGACGACCTGGTCCAGTGTAGCATCTGACATTTTGGATGCGGCGAAAGGGGAGTTGGGCCAGTGAGTTCCCGGTGGCACACGATGTTACGAAGCCATGCAGCAGCTCGGACGGAACGAGCAGAGCATTCTCCCTGGCAGCGATATGAGTTTGTGAGTGGGAAACGGGGAGAGACAATATAAAAGATAAAAGACGGCGGTGTGGCTTTCGACGGTGTTGCATGTGCTCGCCAGCAGACAACCAGATAGTGCGCTAACCGCTTCCAGCCGAGACATGGAACAATCAAAACACGGGATACACAGTACAAATACAATAGAAACAATCACAACAGCACTTCCATTTGCGAATAACAATAGATGGTTAGTAGAACGTGTCTACTATTCCTGATGTCGGGCGAATATTATATATGCCTTGATGCCTTGGTGCCTGGCACGGACGATATTTGGCCCGAGGCTCGCTAGGCCGCACGGTTTCTGCGGACGTGGAGCATTCATTCCACCTAAACTCCGGCCCGCCACCGTCTTCTGCTTTCGGTGACGCGTTTTGTGCATCTTCTCTCTTTTGTAGCGCTTGTGTGATATATATAGGAATACATTCTCCTCCTTTGGCTGCGGCAGGCAATCTGGTCTGCTGCCTTCTCTTATATCAGCGTGTTCCCGCTCATAGATTCGCCGCTGCTGGCGATCGTCATTTGCATCTCCAGGACCCGGCCGGCGCTGCCTTATACATCCCTATATCCTACCTCACCCCTGCAACATATCCATAATCCTAGAAGATATCTTTCCGCCATGGCGACTCAAAGTGGTTCAGACGACATCAACACGCGGACGCAGCACAGTCCCCTTGCATCGCAACGGGGCAACTACCAGCCTCCTACTGTCCCCAGCGGACATCCTCCAGCAACTCGAGGATGGTTTCCCTTGGGATACAAGGAGGCAGCCAGTCAATGGGTAAGATCCGTATATGATTTACCGGAATCAGTTGTGCTGATGGGTAGTAGTGGGCTGGACTGGCGCCAGCAAGTACAGAGCACTCCGTCCTCTCATTCGTACCCTATCTCCAGAAACCACCTACACACACCATAACTGGCTCAGCTCCCGGATCCGCTACCGCTTCCTCAGCAAACCTGCAGTCGAGCAACAATACGAGCCCTGTCACAACGACAAGCTCAATCACTGATCCATATGGACCGCGCAGATGGGTATCGCAGATGGTGAACCTCAGTGGCAAGGATCGTGCGCTGAACGAATTCTCGGTAGAGAGAGTCGGAGAAGATGTGGAGCACAATCTGGTCATGCTGCATGGGTACGGCGCTGGTTTGGGCTTCTTTTACAAAAACTTCGAGGGGCTAAGTCGAGCGCCTGGCTGGAAGCTGTACGCTCTCGACATGTTGGGAATGGGCAGGAGTAGTAGACCCCCGTTCAGGATTTGCGCCAAGACCCGGGAAGAAAAGATTACAGAAGCAGAGAACTGGTTCATCGACGCCCTGGAAGAGTGGCGGATCAAGAAGAACATCAACAAGTTCACCCTGCTCGGGCACAGCCTGGGGGGATACATGGCCGTGGCATATGCTCTCAAGTATCCAGGACACCTCAACAAGCTCATACTAGCCTCTCCTGTTGGTATCCCCGAAGATCCATTCGCGGTGAACGCAGAGATGCCCGAGCCCAGCCAATCCACGATAGACAACGAATTCACCCAAGACCAGAACTCGACCGCAAACTCCTCTTCTAGCAAAACCCAAGACAAGCCCCCTCGCAAACCCATGCCTAAGTGGCTCACCACCCTCTGGGATGCAAACATCTCACCTTTTAGCTTTGTCCGCTGGGCCGGTCCAATTGGCCCGCGTCTTGTCTCTGGCTGGACGTCTCGCCGCTTCTCCCACCTCCCCGAAGACGAAGCTCGCGCACTCCACGACTACGCATACTCCCTCTTCCGCCAGCGCGGCAGCGGCGAGTACGCGCTCGCATACATTCTCGCACCAGGCGCATTCGCTCGCAGTCCGCTGATACGACGGATCCAGGGCGTGGGACGACAGTATCTAGGCGTTCACGCCGCGCCTCTTCCAGACAGCAGCGCATCGTCGTCTATACAGTCACCAGGATCATCCACAAACCCTCAAAATAACACACTCTCAGCCTCCTCGTCGCCTCGTGAGACAGGTCTTCCTGTCGTGCTAATGTACGGCGAACATGACTGGATGGACGTGGCCGGCGGCTTCGCAGCCGAGATGAAGCTGAACGCAGAAACATCAAAGGTGCTTGCGACAGCGGACCCAGAGACGCGAAAGTCAGATAATGGGAGCGCAAAGGTGGTGGTGATTCGCAAGGCGGGGCATCACGTCTATCTGGATGGCTGGGAGCAGTTCAACGAAGTGATGCGCGAGGAGATGGCCGACGTAGAGAAGCGGGAGAAGGGCTGGAGGCCATGAGAGTCAGACGCAGCCAGATGGATTGACTGGATGGGTGTGTGTGCAAGCAGATGTGTGCACTTGGCGGTGATCTTGCGGCGTTGGTATATACCATTTTCTTTCACTCTTGCATATATAATATAGATGAGCGACGAGCGGTATGAATAGACCATTGCATCTTCAGGGACCTGTCTTGATCTGACTAGACGCCCTATGCTTGTCTCCTACTTTCCTATGACAGACGGTCGAATCAAAAAGACCCAGATATTGTACGCGGCTTTTCCACACAGTCACGTGTATCTACATACATACATAATACTCCTAGCGCACATACGTCGTCATCAACCAGCATGCACGACGCAGGAGACAACATCTCACCACCCACTAACTAACTCCCTAACACAACATCACCCATCATAATGAGTATCCCTCCGATCAGGACACTTCTCTCAATCACGGTGGGTTTCCATTTAATGATATAATTACCCCCCAACCCGTGTCGCAGCCGCAGGGGAAAGTCGATTATAATCTTCCAAGATTTGCTTGGATCTCAATCTCCTTTGGGGGAATGATGGTGGTGGTGGTGATGATGGTGGTGATAATGGTGATGGTGATCGACTTCGTGTTTGCACTGTAGGTGTAGGCACACCGATTATGATGTGCGATGCTCGGTTATTGAGGAATTTTGGATCTACGCCTGCTTCTGCGGTTCTGCGAGGGGGAGGTAGGCAGGTAGGTGAGGTGGTGAGGTGGGTAAACGAGTCCAATGATCTCGATTATTCCTTTCTTATCGATTCTTCCATCCTTCAAAGGTTCTAGTTCTGTTCCGCTCAGCTCAGCTCAGCTCTACTTACTACCCCTGAGCCTAATCAGATATCATGCACTATGAGTTGTCCATTCTTCTCCCCGACATGAGTATGAGTATGCTCGATAAAATGACTATCCTATGAAAATTTCTACTACGTTCTCCTGCACATTCGCCACCACCACCGCTAATGAATGCAATGCACGCAACGCTGTACCTAATCGGAGTATTTATCTACACACATATTCTCCTACACACGTACGGGACGGTACTTTATGGGATGCGGCAGAACGCTCGGTCTTGGTCCGTGGTATGGACGGTAGGTAGGTAGGCGTATGTATGTATGTATGCGTGCTGTCATTCTCCCATATATACCTCGTCCTGCCTGCTTCGTTCTCTCTCTCATCTAGACAGACAGACACACAGACACACAAACAGTCAGACATTCGTTACCCATCGAACCACCAACCGCCAACCAGCATTTCACTTTTTACTTTTCAACCAAAAACCACACCAACGCAACCAAACAACCAACCAAACCCCCACCACCAAAAATGCACCCCTCAACCCTCCTCGCCCTCCTCCCCATCCTCGCCACCACAACAACAGCCTCCTTCCCCGGCGGCACAAACTACTACCACGACGACACCCCCTACCACTCCGAGGTCCACGCCCCATCCTACATCCACTCCCTCAGCCCAGGCACGACCCCTCTCCCCAGCGCCCCGTCATCCATTGCACACTCCTTCCTCCCCAGCGCCCCTTCATCCGCCGCATCCATTGCCGTAAACACCACATCCATCACCCCATCCATCATCCCATCTCCACCCTCCTCGTTCGTCCCCGGTATCCCGTCCTTTACTCCTCCAACCCCGGCGCAATCCTCCTTCGTCCCGGCTGGGAATACGACGGTGTCGATTATCCCTACGCCGCCTGCGACTGGGTCGTCTGGGTTTGTGGTGGTTGGGAGTAGTACGCCGACGAGCGCTGGTAGTGGGTCTAGGTCTGCGACTCGTACTACTGGTGCGGCGATGGCGAGTGCGACGAGTCCTAGTGCTGCTGCGGCGGGAGCGGCGGGGTTGAGTGTGGGTGTTGTTGCGTGGGGATTGGTTTCTGGGGTGGTGGTTTTTGTGGGGGGGTTTTAAGGGGGGTTATGAGGGGATAGAAAGGGGTGAGGGATGAGGGGATCGATGGGGCATGAATGGGGATGGGACGAGGTTGTGGAGGGGATGGATAGTAGAGAGAGTGAGGGATGGAATAACGTGGTGGATTGGAAGATTTTTATTTTGTTTGTGGGAATGTTTAATTGCAAGAAGGGTGTTTTGGAGTGTGGGATAGATTTTTGGGATGGGTTTGTTCAGGGCTTGCGTGAAGTGGGGGGGCGAATTGTACATACGCGCAGGCATGAATGACAGGGATTTCTCTTATGATATGTGGGTTATGTGTGTTTGTGACATGTTGAGTATAAGAAGATCTCTTTGCCGTTGATTGTCATGTCATGGATTTCATGAGCTAGAAGGAGACTAAGGTCCAGCCGCTCCGACCTCCCTCCCTACCTACCATCTACGTATACCACGTCGGCTCCGGCACCTCATCCAGCAGCACGAACCGGCCCAACTCGTGATTCTTGTACGCCACAGGATCATGCAGCGTATGCGTGCGCACATCGCGAAAGAAGCGATCCAGCCCAACCTTGGCCGCCGTGGCGCGCGCACCCGTAGTCTCAAACACGCCCGCCGTGACGCGCAGCCCGGTATCCGTCGTCACGACCTTGACGGCTGCAACGGCCTCGGCCAGCACGCCGCGCTCGCGGGCGCTAAGCTGGGAGCGGGCCTTGAGATCCGCGGACGGGTAGCGGGCGTAGAGCGCTGCGATGTCAGCGGCAGCGGAGTCTGCGAGGGCTTCGGCGGCGCGGGCGTGGGCGTAGAAGTTGCCGTAGGCGGCGAGGATGTAGAATTCGTCTGTGGCGGCGGGATTTGGGTCTGGGGTGTAGGGCCAGGGGCGGGTGTGTTTTGCGGTGTAGCGGGCGGCGAAGGTGAGGGCGCCCAGGGTGATGCCGAGGTAGAAGTTGCTGAAGACGAGCTGGATGGTGGGCAGGAGGAGGGAGGCGTAGGGGATGCCGAGGACGGCAGGGTCAGGTTTCTGCCATTGCGGGTTCCAGCCGAGGGCGTCGGACCAGGGGGCGCGGACGTTGGAGATCTTGACGCTGCCGGATTCAGTGAGGCGGAGGCCGATGTTGTTCCAGTTGTAGGCGAACTGGATGCCCGGTTGGGCAGTGGGGACGAGGGCGAAGATGTGGTCTTCCGTGCCGGCGTAGACGCCCTCGAGCACCGTCAAGTCGGAGATGACGCCGCCGGTGTTGAAGTTCTTGACGCCGTTGAAGACAATCTCGTCGCCTTCCGAGGTGATGGTGAGGTCGGAGTCGCGGGGGTTGACCGCTCCGCCGACGAAGTAGTTGTTGCTCGTGATGAGGTTTGCCACGCGCTCCGCTTGTTCAGGAGTGCCGACGACGTTCGCGGTCGTGGACCAGAGGAGATGGTATCCCAAGAGCATACCGAGTGAGCTAGGGCTTCTATCAGTCCCCTTCGTTCTGGACAATGTGAACTCGTTTCTCTACTCACCCGTCTCCCTTGGCAACCTCACGAATGACCTTGTAACCAACGCTCCAAGAATGTCCACCACCACCGTACTTCTTTGGCCCCATCACCTTCAGTAGACCAGAGTATTTGAGCAAAGCCACCTCAGCCCGCGGAGACTTGTTCTCTCGATCACGAACAGCTGCATCAGCTGCAAGCACCTCTGCAACCTCCGCAGCTCGCTGCACCCATTGTGCTTCGGTGGAAGGTAGCTTGCCAGCCCACTTCTTCTCAAAGTCGGCATATACGGCCGGGTCAGTTTGCGGTATAGACGCTCCTTCGCCGTTCGGCTTGAACGTCAATCCGTTTGAAGCTCCATTGGTCGCCATTTCCTTCTCGGAAGTCTTGACGGAAGTGTATCAAGACGAAGAAGTCGGCGGTGCAGAAGTATATATCTACGTGCCCAATTGCATGGCTCGCAGTCCTGGCATTTTATCCCCAGTCACAACAATCCTTGGATGTAGAGCTGCCAGTAGTCTCGTCAAGCGACCTATCATAGTCACCAGTTCCCACTGATGTTGATGGGTGTTGCTATGGCGTGCTGAGACATCGGAAATGGGGACGCGCTAATGCTGTGACTGTAGAGTGAAGATCCGAGAACGCGGAGAGGACAATAGAGGGTATTGGCAACTTTTGTTTTGTATTTTCGTTACGGCAGCGTCTCCTTGGTGAGGCGGGATGTGTCAGAGTGAATGCCGGTCGGATGATCTACTCATGGGCTGGATTGCGTGCTCAAGTAGCTGGATGAGAGAAGCGATGTCGCTTATCGCTCTCCTATCGGTCAAACGATTAACCAATCTGTACCCAGACTGCGATATCATATGGCGCAGCTAAACAAGCCCCTGTCATGTCGCGGCTTTCGCTGCGGGATGATGTAAGTAGTCGACGGATTCGTTGCTGTTGTTGCAATCTACTCTACCAATAGACATCCCTACGCCTTCGAATATCGCCGTCTGGCTATTGCATCGGCACCATGACAGCGACCGTATCAGTCACCGCACAGAAACGTGCCTTTGATGAAATAGACGATGACAGAACGTTGAAGCACCGCAGGGTGGGCAATGTTCCGAATCTGCAGCATCAGCTTCTTCTACACAAGAAGGCTCAGCCATTTGAACTGCATCGGGCTGGAGATGTTCCCGTCGCAAAGCCTGGCGAAGTCCTTATAGAAATACAAGCAGTTGGACTGAATCCCATAGATTGGAAGAGCGCGTAGGTCCTCTCCATGAAGCTTTGTTTGGTAGACCACTGACGACTGGAAAGGTTATATGGTTTCGCGATACCCGCATTCCCCTGTATCAGTGGACGCGAGTTTGCAGGGACCGTGGTATACGCAAATGGCAAGAATGATTCTGGAATAGTAGTTGGAGACCGTGTAAGTAATGCACTGCAACCTGTAACAAAAGCTGATGGTGCTGGCATATCAGGTGCTGTCAATAGCCACCGACTATCGCGACTTTCGAAAGTCTGCCTTCCAGCAATACGCAGTCTCGACTGCATTCAACGCTGTCAAGATCCCAAGACATGTCGACCTCGCACATACCACATCTCTCGGCGTCGCATTCGTCGCAGCTGCACTCGCGCTTGGGGTATGCCTCGGTGTTAACTTCGCAGGCCCAGTGACTGAGAGGTCCCTCTTGAAGACAGCCCAGAATCAAGATCCTGAGACTTTGCCCAAAGACGTACGAGACGAAGTTCTGAACGCAATTTCCCCTAGCCACACGCCATATGCAGGAGATTGGATTCTGATATACGGAGGTGAGAACAACCACTGATGACAAGACCTCGTGGGACTGACTTCCGCCATTCAGCTTCCTCGATCACAGGGCAGATCTGCATACAGCTATGCAAACTAAGCAACCTAAGAGTCATCGCCGTAGCAAACGAGTCTCGTCATGGCGAGAGACTCCGGGCTCTAGGGGCCGGTACGTCACGAGGCTGGCGAATACCAGTAGACATGCTGACATTACAGATCTAATCGTGGACCGCGAAGACTTGGACAAGGCAGCAACGCAAATCCGCGAGTCCGTACCAGGCTCCTTACGCTTTGCGATAGACTGCGTAGGCAAAGAGACAGCTGCGTGGTGTCAAGACCTTCTGGCGGGTCAAAGTGCTCTCCCAGCAGCAGAGCTTCGCCGTAGATCGGAGGACCGTGGCAGCGATCCAAGCAACCAAGGCTATTTAATGTGCCATCTGGTCGGCCTGACAGGTTTGCCGAAGGAACAGGCGGCTAGTGTCAGACAACACCAGGTGCCCATCAAGCTCTTCCATGAGAATCACGCCCTGGGACGGGAAATGAGCTCATGGTTGACCGAGCTACTGGGACAAGGCCTCTTACAACTACCGGAGGTCGAATTGTTGAAGGGAGGACTTGGGTCCATTAATGCGGGGTTGGACAGATTGAAGAGCGGCGCCTTGTCGGGAAAGCGATTAGTTGTGGAGCTCGACCACATGCTCGAGAGCAAGTTGGCTGTTTGGCCTCCAGAAGACGGCGGCTTCTGTTGGTGTTGAAGCTTGCAGTCGAAGTGTCCTGGACAAATGATGTCGTCGTCTTCGTCGTCGTCGTCGTAGAGGTTCGCACTAGCATAGCGTATTAGACAGTTTCAGGGAGACTTGGGCTTACCAAGATCCAACCAATGAGATTGGCATCCAGCAAAGTTACACGTCTAGCGCGAGTCAACGGACCTGATCGCGCCATACACATGACAATTGCAACACTGCTCTGGTGTTTGAATGGTGCTGGCGATCAGCTGTGGGATAGAAGCTTGATCCTGGGTGATGTGATCGTTTGAGGGGTAGTACGTGATCTATCGGGTAGCCATCGACATGAGATGTGAAAGAGAACCATTGCGTAGGAGAGGAGCAGAGTAGAAGCTACGACGAAATGGAGATGGTGTCCTTGTAGTGGTGCTGCATTTCAGGTCATAATCGAATATTGAACCACTTTCCTTGTGGTCGTGGAATAATTGTCGTGTTGCGTTCTGCGACAGTTTGCTATATCCTGATATCCTGAGCACTCTTTTATCTCTTCCGTTCGCTCCCGTGCAACCATCATGGCCAATTCCAACATCAATTCAGATCCAGAACGAGTCAAGTTTGCGTAAGTAGCCGAAGCAAAGCTAATTGCATAACGTTGGAAGCTCACATCGCCAGGTACTGGGTACCTAATGTCTCTGGAGGCTTAGTGATATCAAAAATCCCACAAAAGACAAGCTGGGACCTGAAGTCAAACATCAGCTACGGACGAACTGCCGAGGACGTCGGTTTTGAGTACGCACTCACTCAGATTCGGTTCACGGCCGGGTACGGCGCTGCAAATCAGCACGAATCAGTCAGCTTCAGTCAAGCTATCCTGCAGGGTACGGAGAAGCTGAAGCTCATTGCCGCGCTTCTGCCTGGACCGTGGAATCCAGCCGTCGCAGCAAAGCAGATTGCATCCATCGACAACTATTCAGAAGGCCGAATTGCAGTCAATGTCGTGAGCGGATGGTTCAAAGGCGAGTTCACGTCCATTGGGCAATGGTGGCTCGACCACGCAGAGAGGTATCGTCGAAGCAGAGAGTTCATGGAGTGTCTACGAGGCATCTGGACAGCAGGCGAAGACGGATTCACTTACAAGGGAGACTTCTATCAGTTCCACAACTACAACCTCAGCCCTAAGCCGATCCAGAAGCCGCATCCCGAGATATTCCAGGGTGGTAACAGCGACGACGCACGAGACAACGGTGCTGAAGTGGCTGATTGGTATTTCATGAATGGCAACACACTCAAGGGCTTCCGTGATCAGATCCAAGACGTCAAGGCACGTGCCCGCAAAGTTGGTCGCGAAGAGCACGTCAGATTCGCCGTCAACTCGTTCGTCATCCTGAGACCGACCGAAGCTGAGGCTGTTCTACAGCTTCAGGAAATCCAGGGCAAGGCCGACAAGGAGGCCGTAGAAGCATTCGGTGAGGCTGTCAAGTCTGCTGGAAGCTCGACCAGCAACAAGAAGGGCATGTGGGCGGATAGCAAGTTTGACGACCTTGTACAATATAACGATGGCTTCAAGACGAAGCTCATTGGCACCGCAGAGCAGATTGCAGACCGAATTCTACTGCTCAAGAGTCTCGGCGTCAATCTGGTGCTGACGGCATTCCTTCACTACGAGACAGAAATTGCGGCATTCGGAGCAGAGGTCCTGCCATTAGTGCGTAAGCTCGAAGCTGAAGGCCGTGGAAAGGATGCAGAGTTTGAGATTGCGAAGACTGGAGCAGTGTATGAAGACAAGAGAGTCGTGAATGGCGACGCGAATGGAGACGCGCGACCGGCGAAGCGCGCGAAGAAGGCCTGAGGCAGTACTTGCAGCCTGGGGCAGTAATTGTAGCCTGAGGCACCGAGTTTCATCGTCGGCGAGATCACCTCTCTATTTCTGTCTTCTCTAAAATCTACTGTACAAATCAGCATATACCTAATACTAGTCTAGTAGTCGTGCAAGTATGGTAATGATCCAAGCGCCTGAATGGCGGAATGAAGTATTGTTGTTACATATTGCTACAACCCCAAATTCTCCATACTAGATAATCTTCTACAAAACCACTCGCATGGATGTGTTGTAGCAAAACCATGATACAGCACAGCCAACCTCCCACCTCCCCACAAAACCCCAGCACAAAGCCCCACAAAGAACAAGGTATATCCAAACCAAACCGACAAAGCGCCGTGCCGTGTCTTGGACGCCCCTTTCAACGACAGGCGCACAGAGACACCCAGTAATTAAAGTCAAGTCAGGGGATGGATAGCACCGGGTAGGAAATCGAGAACGTCATAGTGCAGACGGATAGACAGATATTAGGAATGGCATGTCCTCCTCATCGTGAAGCATCAATCCACAGGCACGACTTTCGATCTACTTCTATATCACAAGCCCGATGTCTGGACGGAACCGTGGCCGTAATTCATTGTTTTCTTCATTCATTCGTTATACTGTATACCGCGTACATTTGAACAACACATAGAGACGCCGATTAATTCGACCGTAGTAGACACGCCAATCCCTCGCGCCGCGCCATGCCATGAATGCCATGCCCATAAGTGTTCACCCAAGAACAACTCCCGAGCCCAACACCGGCACTTTCAAAAAAACGCCCGAGAACACCATGCATCATCGCAACAACAGCAACGAAGAAGAAAAACACCACAGCCACCCAACATCACACGAACTTGCAAAAGCGTTTCACCAGACCTAGATGCACCCACCAACTCTCGCCCCGGCTGCAGGCCAGGCACTCAGAAGCCTCAAAAAGAGGTTGTCGATCCCCCCTCCCCTCCCTCAGCCCCCCGAATCCCAATCCGATCACTCCCCGAAAAACGCCAAGCCCGAACCCCAGTGTTGTGCATCCAATCCCAAAACACACACCAACACCCCCTTCGATCATGCGAGCAATTCACCCAGCAAATCAAAACCACACGCGCATCTTAATAAGAGAACAAGAAAAAGGAATAGCCATGTCAGACCAAACGTGATTCGCTGCCAACCCCAGATTTTCGCCCATTTGCAGGCGCCACTGCCGGCCGGGTGGCGAATTCATGGGGTTGAATGATGTGCATCGCGGATACGTCGGGAGGAAAGAATAAGGTGGTGGTGGCGAGTGTGTATTGTGACTCGTGGGTTTCCAACTGGGCGCACGCGTTTTTGACAGGGCGGGCCTGGCCGTTGTCAGATCAGCGGGCCGTTTTCTGGAATACCAAGGGGGGTTTCGCTGGGGGAAGTATAAAGCAACGACTGGGCCCCGTCCAGGTATTAAGGCGCAGCACACACACACATTGCACATGACGGAGCCTTGTCTCGTCATTCCGATCGAAGACCCTCGGCACAACTACTTTGGACATTCAGACCTTTGGGTTCGTGAATTCACGACATCTTCGCTCGTGGGGATTTTTATATCACGGTCGGTCTTGCTCCACAAAGAAGCGTGCGCCGTTGTCGACGGCTATCCGCATCAGATTCGTCATTGTTGCGGTGCAGGGCTGCTTCAGTGTCATGGACACGCGCACGCTCTGCTGGCCGGGGATGTTGTACTGCGCCGCGTAGAGATTCGTGTCTTCGGTGGTGGCAGTCATGCTCATATCCGCGTCCATGGATCCAGTCGGATACCCGTAGCCCGCGGACACGGAGTAGCTGCCCATCGCCGGACTTGTGGAAGCAAACGTCGGCGATGTGGTCAGTGTGTTGCTGAAATACGTGCCGACGTAGCCGTCTGCGGAGCCCTTGTGTAAAAGAGCTGGATCTACAGAGCTGTCTGCGTTTACTTGGGACTGGTTCCACCACGTCTGTGGTGTTGGCGTGGGAAGATCGGCATAGGCCGCAGTATCGTATGACGCGGTGGGCATGCTATATCCGCCGTAGTAGGTGGAGGAGTTGTATGAAGGGGAGCTGACTTGTGGAAATACAGAGTCTTCGGCTCCCCAGGAGGTACCGAAGTCGCTGTTGCTATAACTAACGGACCCGCGGGTGCTATCTGAGTAGGTAGGGGAGTTTCCTGTTCTTGCACTGTCGATTCCAGAGTCATTCTCGTAACTACACGAGAAATCGTGGTCTGTCTCGGACTGGTATTCACTTTGTTCGTCGTCGTCATCGTCATCATCGTCATTGTTGTAGTAATTGGCATATGCATCAACGCTTCCTCCCTGGTTTTGGATCTTCCGCGTCAGGACTGTATATCTGGTCGAGAGTTAGCTGTGGTCTGACAAGGATGCATCAAAGTCTTACCTATTCTTGATGCAATTCTTCGATCTTCCGGGAAAATACAGCTTTTGAATCTCCTTCCAGTGTCGGCCGATTTTGGAGACTGCATAGAGAAGTTGCTGGTTCTGGACATTTGTCAACAATGAAATCCTGTACGAAGCAACAGACCAGACGTACCTCTTGCTCGGACCATTCACTTCTATCAAGTTCTGGATCCAAAGACTGCTGCCATCTTTTCGCGCATTCTATACGGAATGTCAATATGTTTGTTATACAGGGAACGGATAGCAGGGGTACTGACGGTCTGCACTCCTGGTCCTTACTTCCTCAGCAACCAAAGTCCATCTACTATGACGTCAGTCTACGTTCTAAATATGACTTCCATGGAAAAGAGCAATGGTACGACAGGGTGGAATAAGGGACCTCACCTCTGGCCATGACGTTCAACGCCTCGTCGTAGCAGAGCGTCTTCAGACTTGGCCCATTGACCTTTCTTGAGGCCTCCTGCAACAGCGTTGTGCCAACGCTTCCGGCAGTCTTTATTTGTGCGTCCAGGGAGTTTCGAGGCAATCCGGCACCAATCCTTTGCTTCCCCTTCGGCAACTATAGGAGGCACAATCAACACTACTGTACTGGGTGCTGGCAGTGACCGGGGGCGTCAAAGGGTCCACTCACGTTGTGCAAGGACCTCATTTCTTAGAGCTTTGTCCTCCTCAGCCGTCCATTTCCTAGGCATGCGAGGCATGATGTAATGTTGTTGATGCACAATGATATATGGTGGGTATGGGCAAGTATGTATGGACCGGGATGTGATATCGCTACGTGGAAGTTAATCTTGACTTTGGGTCTGTGACGGAAGAGAAGCTGTTGATGATGTGGAAAGGGGCAACAGGCTGAAGTATAAATCCCAAGCTGTCGAGGCTGACGATGAGTAGGTAAGAATGTCGAGCGTTGGATGAACACACCAAGCCGATCAAGTGCGACAGAAGGATCATGTCCAGGACATCATCTCGATCTTTTCAACAACCGGATAAACACCTAACAAGCGAAGACGTGTGTTAGACATGCGGCATATGGACCATGCATGTCCCACGTTCGAGCTTGATGGCCGCCTCTGACTTCATCTGGGGCACAAATGTCAGACTATTTCATCACCACGAGGCAGGCATGGGTCGGCCATAGCGTTGGTGGCGGAGTCAGAACAGAGGCGTGCTACATGTTCATGATAAGCTGGATAGGTACGAGTTCTGAGGCAGCCATGCCGGAGTCTAGTAGATCAACTACCAAGCTATGGATCCAACGAACAGGCGAAGAATTACGACGTCTGAAGGATTCCTGTCTGCACGTTAGAGACAATGGTTGTCTTCTCTCTGCACAGATCTATTCGCCTTGCCATGCAACATTGGAACGCCCCATAAACCGTTTGTTGTATGGACTCCACTGGGACCCGAGTACTGCGCTGGGTTTTGCGGCTGATTTCGAGGTTCTGGCCCCTGTCTTCAAAGACGCGTCAGGCAGAGGATAGAGGGAGATGCAAGGAGGGAAGCCAAGCCTGAAGCGGACTGGCTCTCGTATACGAGCTTTATGTGATGGCACAAGCAGTATGACAGCCGAGAGCTGCATCACACAGAACCAGAGGTATGGTTTTCCGAAGGTCGGATACGGCGTGCTATGGCGATGAGAAGCAAGACCAGTTTCAATGGAAGAGTTGTCCTGCATAATGCTAGCACTGCTACTCGATAATCAGGGTCTCCGGACGAATTTGGCGATGCCAATGAAGCATTATCTGGGCCAAGCGGATGGCCGGGCCACATGTCTGACATGCATATCCTCGTCGGTTGAGACGAATGGTAAATACTGGGCTTGCATCCGACAGGAACGGTACCGCGCTAGGGTCCCCTGCTCCCGGTATCTCAGTATTCGCTGATCGCATTCCCATGTGCTTTCGCGATGCAGATGATGTTACGGTTAAGCCCATTTTCCCCCGCGCGTTTGCTCTTGTCAGTTATCCTTGCAATGAAGCATGGAGTAGCAGTAAGATTATGTCTAGCTCAAGAGATCCTCTGGGTGATACTGTGCACAGTAACAGGGTGACATTCGGTATTAGAAGAATCGGTGAGGACCCGGTGCAACCAGATTGGATCAAGTTGAAGATAGAGCTGTCTTAGCAAGCTTAGGGTACGTTATCAGTTAGCTGATGATGTGGTGACCAAGCTGGAGAATGCTCGTCAGCGTCGTTATACTGCTCATTCATGCTCAGTATTGTCGAACCAGCGATTCTACCATTCCAACCTCCAACAAACTCGGCATAAGCAAGGTCAGGTCCTGTAGCATCCTGTTGGAGGAAATGTAACTGTCCAAGTAAGTACTGTACAAGATAGTGGCTCAGCAGCTGCTCAATTGACGGGAGTAACAAGGTGCGGGCCGCGATCGACAGTTGAAATCCCATCCGGTCAACGTACAAGCGTCAGGTGTAGCACTATGTTATGGAGTATTGCACGGTTTGAGTATTGGTCAAGACATCTTTGACGATCATGTTGGCGTGTGGGGTTTGCGTAGCGTGGGAGGCTTATCGATAAATCGACCCTAATCAAGTCATAAAGTGATGAAAAACATTCTTTTTTTGGCTGAAGCTACGTTAAGATGCACGAGCTAGCTGTGGCTGGTGAGAAAGTTTGTTCGTGCCCCCAGAAAAATGTCTTGTTTATTACTCAATCACTCTATGATCATCGTCTAGCGCAAGTTTCTGATAGGAGAATTACGCTGGTCAGGCATGCGTCATCATCAAATCACCCCAAGAAAAAATAGTCCCATCATGTCAGGCTCACGGCCACGCTCGACAGCATAGCCAACGCGTCGTGCGGTCTCGCATTCTCCCCATATCAATATCTTCCGAGCCTACCGTGCCCGTCCTCCCGAATACCATTTGCCGTGTAGGAAGTAGTTCTTACACCAACCGGTCCCGCGTTGACAAAGACGAACAGCCAGTAGAACCCATACCAACATTTGAGTTCTTTCGCTACTAGCCAGGTTGGTGATTTTTCGTATTCCGTGCGTCTCTGCATATCGCAACCGTGAAGTGAGTTGTGCTGCGGAAGGAGTACATAGTCTGATATCTTGCAAAAGGCATCATCCAATGACTAAAAGCTGCCGTGGCTCTATCGATCCTGTATCTTGGCTCGTGTTAGATCCACCCTCGATTTCTGCCTTACCTTGTCTCAGCACACCCGCTTAGTCGGCATCGCTCGCCGGACTATCGTGGGCTTCGTCGCTCCTATTGCTGTACCCCACGATACGAAGGTGGCTTTTGCGAGGCCGGTAGACCCTAAGGCAGCAGGGGAAATGCGACAGTCTGAGGCGAGTGCACGTGAGGTAAGGAACCTGGCTTGCATTCTTTTGTTGACCCACTCCTTCTAAACGTCTAGATGGTGCAGATCTTCTGTGCCCTGCAGCGAATAGCAAGATACGTGCGTGACGTGGGCCGTGGACTCGTGGACCCATTCAGTGACCTGCTATCTTTGGCCCGTCAGGTACCATCAAGATGACTATTCGTAGAACAACCGCAAACCCGATAGCGCAATTGCGATGTTCACAGCTTAAGATCTGTTTCAGGTGTACTGGATGGTGGCCCTCGCATGGGATCTGATACATCATGGAGTGGTGTGTTATGATTTAGGCATGTCATCTGTACTCGGGTCCGCTAATACAGTAGACACTCCAAGAACCCCAAGAAGTTAGGCAAGCGAGCCAAACCCACTATCACAGCCAGACAGACACCAGCTGAAACTCTCGACCGCTGTATGTCGGACCAAGCTTTCGGGTTTTGGGGGCGTCTCTCTCGGAATGCTTGCCGTTGACGCGAAAAGATCGGCCAGCAGCACCCTGCTGTTCTGCCCTCACGAAGCCACAAGCGCGGACAGTTTGTATTTTACTGCATGCTGATCGGTAAGGAACATGTTCGTCCGGTAACGGTTCCTTTGATGATAACGACGCTATCAACGCTTCTTTGGCTGGGAGTGAGCCATGCAGTGCCTCAACGGGACATTGCTGTGAACGTCGCGTGAAGCAACAGGAATGCGCGGCTTATTCCGGGGGGTTACGCATATTCCATTCTTGCATTCCCGTTTCCGCGTCGCAAAGCTTGCCCGGCCTGGATGCATCCATAGATTCAAGCAGCACTGCCTGCACCTGTTCGTATAGTGTGACAAGGCCAGCTCTTTGTGGTGACAGCGCCCTTGCTGCCATTATCTCACCGTCGAATACGGTTCACAGCCCGATCTTGACGGCCAATAGGAGGCCGGACCCGAGTACAGAGGTCATCCTGGGGCGCACGCCTCGCTTGGTGGCCGTGTAGCTGTAACCTGGTTCAGCTTGGCGTTGAGGCCTGCCGGCTCCGAAGAACAACATCAACAAGACAGCATGGAGGCTTCGGAGACCCGTACAGTCGGACTGATCGGTCAAGGGATACATTTGCGCAGCAGAAGGGTTTCAGAAGGAATACGAGGGCGTCGAGCCAGGTGTGACGAGATTGATGAGCTGACAAGAGGTGTATGGGCGGTGTTCTGTCGGTCGACGTTTTCGGCAGCTCCGAGGTATGAGCAAGCTCAACGTCAAGGTTCGAATGCAGCGGTGAACGTGGTTGCGTGGATCGAAAGTACAATCAACATCGGGAGGTGTGAGCATAAACTGTTGCTCCACAGATCGCAGTCAGTACAGGGCAGTCCATTGATAAACAAATGCATACCTGGCGCATCGTGTGATGAGATGCGACGCTGACCCGTCCATCTCATAGACTTCCAAGGCATGTGCAGTTACTCTGGAAATCCTGCCAGTACCAGATGAAAAAGACCAGAGATGAAAAACGATTCCAACTTTCAATGAGAGAGGCGTGAGGGGTCTGGTCTATGATAACGTCGACAATCGACGTTGGGATAGAGCTGGTGGCACTAGAGCCGTCGTGACGAGGATGATGCCAGAACAGGAACCAACCCTCAGTTTCATCCACATCTGCCAATCCTTTTCGCTCATGGTGGTCAAGTGCCTCCGCGTACTCGGGACTTCTTCCAGCGGCATCGTGCACTGGAAAGCTTTTCAAGGGTCCAGAGTCCGGAGAGGCCTGCCTGGAGCCGGCAAAGGGGACAAGTCGGCAAGTCCACGAGTCAGAGGGAGCTTCGACGGACTTGTTGTACGCCAGAACTCACTAGAGCTCCGTGGTGGTGGCGAAAGACCGGGGAAACACCCAGCCTTAATACGGGTAAGTGAACGTTCGAATAGCGTTAACTCCGGAGGCATGCGGCATAGTCGGTCATAACTTCTCAAATCAGTCCTATGAGAGGTCATTAATTCGATGAAGCACGGAAGCATCTTGTCTTCTGACCGTGTTATAATATTGCACAGAGTATATGTACTCAGGTCTGACCTACAGCGCAAATATCAAGAGCAAGTATATATATAGAGTGTGAGAAGGCAGATAACTGCGCCGCATTGTCAGACCCAACATGATAGTGTTCGTTACAAGTCTATCAACGGTCCAGAACATGATGTTCGTCTATTCACACGAACCTCACAATCCCAAACAGACGCCACATCCGAGACTCCAACACGTTCTACAGCATTAGTAAACCGACAAGGGAACGGAGATGAGTATATTCTTGTAGATGCTATACAAGACTGGGCCATATGTATAAAAGAACCCTTCAAGTCTCACCGCCGGTCATGAATGGGACTTCGATCCTTTATAGAGATGCTGTAGGCCAAGTATGAACGGACACAACTCTATAAAAGTCGTTCAGGGCTTGATATACCCAATGTATCACAATGTGCCACACCAACACCAACGATCTCCAGATATAGCCTGTCCAGTAAGATGTTGCATTATAACATGAAGCGCCCGGTTTATTCGTGCCACTACTGCTAGTCACGATGTTGGGAACGTCACTGGCCAATCCTCCACTTCTTCTCTCCTTGTATGCAGTATACGCCTCTTTATGAACAACGAATTACTCAATAGGCTCTCAGATAATGTATAGCTTCGCGTGTGTGGCGAGACGTGACTAACAATGCCCTCACATGAAGGTAGGTGTATTGAGCGAGTACACATCCAATAATTAGTTAGCGGATTCCAACAGCCAAAAACTGGTCTAGAGCGAAAGAGAATCAAATGGCACCATCTGACTCCTGTGGCCAGGCATCATGCGCTAAACTTGGCTCCGGGGACCCGAGTACAGGTACAAGGAGATACCTAGTACCCTCAGATCTCTGGCGGAGTATCTCCGACATTCGACGAGCCCTTGCTCAAGGAGATGCGTCACTCGCTCAGGTATACATGTAGTAGCCAGCATGAGAATTACAAGGGAAATTTGCGCAATTGGTAGGGCGTTCTGTGATATACATGATCAAAGGATAGAGGAAAAGGTTGTGGCTACCGGGCTTGTAAGGAATAAGAGGAAGCTAATCATGGTCATTAAAATCATTTGAATCATCATTTTTACATCAACTGGGAAAAAGAAATCTATCCATCAGCATTGACAGGATCCCTCACACGAACATAGCCGGATCAAGGGAAAGTTCAGTCTGGACCTTAAACAAGCAACGCTAATAGGTCATGTCCCCACATAGCCCATGCATAGAGCAGGGCTCGAAGGAGAACTTTCTAACATTGATACACCAACAAGAGCCTCAGGGTTCAGGCCTGGACCCCGTTACAACCTGACAGCCACCTACCATAAGAACGATGACGTCCCGTCACCCAGATCGCCAGATCACAGCCCACCATCCTCGATCGCCAATCCCCATCACGTGCAATGACTTACTGGAACACACCGTGCTTCCTCCAGGATGCCAAGTACTTGTCAAGCAGGTCCAAACCCACCGGGCCGAACTCGCGTAGGTTACTAGAGACGGCCTGAGTCTCCTTTGAATGCAGAACAAGGCCGCCACCAGACAGCTTCTCGAACTCGCCACTGAAGAACTCCTCAAGGTTCGACACCGAGCCGTTGGCTAAGACCTGCTCAAGCCAATCACCAAAAGGAATAGGAGTCTTGGAGGGGAGGCCGAGTCGTTGGGCCAGCTCAGGCACGAGTTCTTCCCATGATTGACGGACCGGGTTTTCCACGTGGTAAATGACGGTAGGAGATGTTTCATCTAGGGTGATGTCGATGATAGTGCGGGCGGCGACATCCATCGGGAGCCAGGAATAGGTCTGCGAAAGATGTCAGTCAAGAGACCTTAGGTGCCGGAAGGGAGACAGAAAGGGGGGCCCAGATGACTTACACCATGGAGAGCCGGCATTCGACCAATAATCTGCGAGGCCTTCAGAAGCTGCGGGAAATGTTCGTCCTTGGCCCAGTGGCCAGCAGTCGTTGTGCCACTCATCTGGCCAAGACGCAGAATTGCAGGCTGGAAGCTCTGTCCGTGGGTCTTCACGGCATGCTCGAGCATCCTTTCACATACCCATTTGCCTTCGCCATATCCCATTGGCGCCGTGTAGGAAGGATCTTCAATCGAGATCTCTGGAAGGACGTTGCCGGGATATCGCGCGCAAACAGCGATGGTGGAGGTGAAGATGAGCTTAGGACGAACAGCTGGTCGGACTGTGTGAATCTTGACCGCAAATTCGATAAAGTTATACACAGCACGAATCTGAGACTCCATGGACTCCAGGGCCCGCTGGAAGTCCATAGGCCAAGCACTGTGGATAATGTGAGTTACGCTGCTCACGAGACGGGTGTAGTCCTGCTCAGGAAGTCCAAGGTGGTCCTTCCCAGTCTCGGCTTGCATGATCTCTACTTTGTTCCAGGATTCTTTGGGCATATCCATACCACGATACTCGAAAGCCTTATACTGACGGTCGATAGCATTTGCGATGGAGCCCTTAGGATCGCGCCTGTTGAGGCAGACAACGCGCGAAATGGTAGGGTTGCGACATAGCTGCTCAAGAAGATTTGTGCCAAGATTACCAGTCGAGCCAGTGATGAGAACAACAGCACCACTGCTGCTTGGGATAGCGTCGATTTCGTTGTTGAATCGACTGAGAGCAGCGTTCATACGCTCTTCGCGGGATAATGCCTGTCCAGCTCCAGCGGTAAGTGCTTTGGCCAGTTTGCTGACTGTAGGATTGCGGTAGATCGTATCTGGCTTCGCAGGAGTGGTAAGGCCAGCAAATTGCTCCTTATTGACAGCACCATTCAACAAGCGAGCTACGCGCGTCGCTTCCAATGAGTCCATACCTGCCTCGAAGAAGTCTACGTCGGCGTCAAGGGACTCTTTAGAGAGCCTTCCTTCCCATGCAATGTGGATGACGTCTTTGACGCTCTGCTCCAGATTGCTGGCATCAAGGCTGAAGGAAGTGACGGAAGATCCTTCGTTCTCAAGTCTTTCATAGACTTCATTGATTTCGTTTTCAAAGACTCTCAAGACTTCGTTTCGCATGACTGAGCCTTTGTCGGAGCGTGGAATGACTTTGTCCTCAGGCTTAAGAAATATTGCACTGCGACTTGTGATACGGGCGTGTCGGTCCATAACCAGGTTGGTCTTCTCGACGATCGGCCAAATAGTGTTGATAAATTCTTCACGGCCGCTCTCGGGGACAGCTGATAGCGGCTCGATCATGATCCCAATTTCCTCTCGGTGCTGTCCGAAGACGACAGCCGTTTTGACTTGATCACAGGAGTTTAGAGCTTGTTCGAGAAGCTGTGGCGACACTTTCTCTCCCGTAGCAAGAACAATCATGTCGTCCTTCCTACCAAGCACTTTGACCTCTACCTCCTCTCCCTTCGCATTTGGATTTTTGATCAGAAGATCTTGGATCTCAAACTCATCAGGCCAGCCGAATGGCTGCCCAACAAGCTTCCAGAACTCTCCTTCTTCACCCTCGGCATCTGCACGCTTGAGTTCAAGGCCTAGATCCTTCCGGATTTTGATATAGTGCCAATCGTATGACGAATCTGGTACGAACAAAGGCGCGATCGCTCCGAGCTCTGTGGTACCATAGTGGTTCAGAACACTGATCCCCATGTCTGTGAGAAAATCGCCAACGTGAGCTTTTATAGCTCCACCACCAACAGCTACGAAGTCCAGGGGTACAAGAGCTTCGTACATCCCTTCGGAATTCTGTGAGATCTCCTCCAGAATGTTGGGAACTGTCATAAGGGCATTCGCCTTGGTACGACTTAATAATTCGACAGTTGAGCTTGCCGATGGAATGATTGACGCCGATGGGAAGCAGCATGTCTTGCCGGTTGATAGACTGACAGTTGGTGCGAGTTGGCCAAAGCCCTGTATGCTATTAGTATTCACGGCTCTTGATCTAGTCTTGGGGACTTACATGGTACAATGGAAGAGTAGAGAGCATGACGCCTTCACATTCACTGGGCTTGAGAGTGTGGCAGGCAGCAAAGCCGAGAAGCCATCGCTGAGTAAGTCCGATAGGCTTGGGTAGACCAGTGGTACCAGACGAATGGAAGTAGATGGCGTGTCTGTTGTCCTCTCTGAGAGTTTTGCTAGGACCCCAAGACTCCCTGCGCTCGTTCACAGAGAGTGCTGCAGCCTCCAAGAAGAACTGATAGGGTGCAGCTGTGAGAGTCTCAAGTGTTTCATGAGATTCCATAGCTGCAATACCCTCTTCAGCAACCTTGCTGGTACGACTGGAAGTGATGATCGCTTGTGCGTTCGTCTTTGTAAGTAGGTGTCCCACAGCTGCTGGTGAAAGCCTGGCAGACAGAACAACGACCTGATACAATTTAGCAAATGAGAGAAAAGTTGAGGGTATGTCACAATTCTCAGTAGGAGCTAAACTTACAGGGACCTCTAATCGTAGTAGAGCAGACAGGTAAATGAACAGTGTAAGATCACTTCCTAGGAACAGTGCGATTGGCCGGCTATCCGTTATGGAGCCATCTGAGTTCGTCCGTGGAGACTGAGCGCCAGGGACATGTTGTTGTATCCAGTGGACGCCTTCATCAACAAGGTTCCTCAATGTGCGAAATGTGATTTCTGCGAATTTCTCATGTTTACCATTTGAGCGCTCCTCTTGGAGTGCAAAGACGTGGTCCGGATTGAATCTTGAATTGAAATCAATCAGGTCTGGTAGTGATCGTATGTCATTCTTTGTGGGATTGACGGGAGGGCGGAGTAAATCAAACTTCGGCCTTTGGAACACTTGGGATCCGTTGATGTTGTCCGATTCTTCGTATATAGCTGATGGTGCCATCGTGTGTTCGACGTGTGGTTAGGATTGGGAGACCGCGAATGCTTACAATTCAAGTGTTATATATCCCAGACATCACATTGAAAACGCCTCTGACGAACTTCTCTAGTATGTTCATTTTTGGAAACACGGGGGACGCCCTTAGACGATTTACACATGGCGTAATGCACTGAGACTGCCAGCAGGTGGGTCCAACAGGAGTGCTGTGGCCTCAGCTTCCACGAAACTGAGTTACAATGTCTCAGGAGCCCAGGGTCCTAGGAGCCGAGTTAGGCTGATTCATAAAATGACCTCATGGCTGAGTCCTTGTGTTATGTGTGGTGCCCATAAGCATACGCGGGTCTTCGTACTCCATAGGTTGAACTTACGAAAGCGGTCAACTGTATGGCATTGATTCAGGGCTAGGAATGGCGAGGGTCCGGCAAAGGTCTCTGAAGAACGTAAGCAATGAACACGATAGTGGTGAGATCCACGGTAGGCATTGTTATTGTCAGTGACTGTGACGCAGGCGGCGGGCCTGACTGTCCGTGCTACCCTGAATATACACCGCTTAAATAACTTTGTCGACTCACCCTGGCTGGTTGAGTATATGCCAGCCTTTGTTTGACAACAGTTTACTTTTTCATACTTCTCTTGACGTTGTGTCGTTGTTCAGTAACATCATCGAGCGTACAAATTCGAGCAGATCCCTTCAGAAAAGGCAAACGGGACGATCAGACCCGGAACCAAGAATTCTGCAGCGTTTATCTTGCAATATCAGACGTACAACATCCCACAGCCCATTCTAAATCTCGGAGATAGTCTCTGCGAACCCCATTCTAGCAGTCAGATCGATGTCCGGGGCACGGAGAGTAGCTTTCTTCGGAGGCCAGGGCAGTCGTTCTTTGTTCAGTCCGGAGCTGTGTGCCTTCGCACAGGCAAATGCGAAGTCATCAGCTGCTGCTGCGCATCTTCTTTCAGCATGTCACACAGCCTTTCTAGATGAGCTGTACAACTCTATCTCAGATGAGCCTATCGGCTTTAGGGATGAGTTGAGAGAGCTCAGAACAGCAGAAGATCTGCTGAACCCGCCATCAAACACTCACAACAACCCTATCATACAAGGCGTCACCCTTTGCCTGCATCAGCTACTAGGCTATCTTGCCAACACGCAGTACACGGCATCGACTGGACTATCTCTCGACCCGAAGCAGGGCGAGCTTAGCGAAACGGTGGGCTTCTGCTCGGGGGTCCTTCCAGCTATTGTCGTCGCTTCATCGAAGAATATTGCGGAGTACATCGAGACAAGTACAGCGGCTGTTCGAGTCGCTTTTTGGATTGGGTTCCGGGCGGCGAGCTTCAGCGAACAATCCGAAGACCACTGGCGAGATTTTCCGTGGAGTTTAGCCCTAAACGGGTATGGTCCAGAAGTTGTCGAAGACTACAATAGTGATGTGAGTCACCTGATCTGTTCTCATCATCAAGCAAAAGCTGAACTTAACCCGTCTAGCATCAAGATTCACCTGATCTTCAATTATGTATATCAGCAAAATCGAGCGAAACGTCATTCAGCGTTGCTGGCCCGAGCTTGGCACTGCGCAAATTCCGATCCGAGTATCTTGATTCAAGACATGATCGGAGCAGCGACCTAGTCCATGTGCACGCCTTGTATCATGGAGGACATCGAATGGAGGATGTCCTACGTCATGTGATTGATGATACACGCCGAAGAAGTATCAATTTTCCCTCGAGCGAGGACTTGAAAAGGATATCACTGCGCTCCTCCATTGATGGTCAGGTGATCAAAGCAGATGCAGAGAGTCGTTCTCTTCTTGAGACCGCAATCAGAAGTATTCTGGTAGATCAAGTCGATTGGAGCAGTACGTGGAAACAAATCAGCCAAGCTGCACCAAAGACTGAAGTTCTGGCGTTTGGCCCGCACTCGCGTTCACTACTGTCTACAACCACTAGCGATGGCCCAGCGAAGGAGATCAAGACTGAAGACCTTTCGGGACGGGGAGATAGTTCTCTCCCTGCATATGCGAACGAAGCCATTGCTATTGTCGGTATGGCCTGTCAATTCCCTCAAGGTAGCAACAAGGACATGTTGTGGGAGACATTAGAAAAGGGCCTGAACACTGTGGAAGAGGTAAGTCTGACCATTATAGTGCATCCACTTTCTTCTGACAATGTTAAAGATCCCCGAATCGCGCTTTGAGGTATCTCAATTCAAGGTAGATCCAGAAAACGAGAAAGGGGCTGGCAGAAAGATGGCTGCTAAGCATGGAAATTTCCTTGATAAGCCTTGGGCATTCGATCACAAGTTCTTTAATATATCGCCTCGGGAAGCCAAGTCGATGGATCCCCAAGTATGTGATTGAGTATCTGTCCCATCACTATGACTAACAAGCCTTAGCAACGACTACTCCTGCAAGGAGCTCTAAATGCACTTAATGACTCAGGGTATATCCCGGATGCAACACCTACATTTCAGAAAGAGACCATGGGATGCTATGTAGGGGTTGCCACTGGTGATTACACAGACAACCTGAAAGACGAGATTGATGTCTACTACAGTACTGGGACTCTCCGAGCTTTCCTCAGTGGGAAGATATCTTATCACTTCAAATGGAGTGGTCCTTCCGTTGTCATTGATACAGCTTGCTCGGCCTCGAGTGTGGCTTTGTACCAGGCTTGCAGAGCTCTAAACAATGGAGACTGCACATCAGCGGTCGCTGGAGGCGTCAATGTCATTAGCAGTCCTGACATGTATATTGGGCTGTCAAGAGCACACTTCCTTAGCAAGACTGGGCAGTGTAAAGCGTTCGACGTCACAGCTGATGGATATTGCCGATCTGAGGGCTGCGGCTTGTTCGTCCTCAAGAAGCTGAAGGATGCTGTTGCAGAGAACGACCGGATTTATGGAGTGATTCGTGGCATTGAGGTCAACCAATGTGGAAATGCTCACTCGATCACGCATCCTCATTCCGAGACCCAACAAGCGCTTTTCAGGCAAGTTGTGGAGAGAAGTGGGGTAGATCCGACTTCTATCGGAGTCGTCGAGGCTCACGGCACTGGGACACAGGTGTGTATATCGTGGCCTTAAGTGAGGGTCCTACTGACTGTCCATGCAGGCTGGAGATGCAGCAGAAGTTTCTAGTATCCAGAGCGTGTTTGGGAACAGGCCGACCAATCAACCTCTACACTTGACCTCGATAAAGGGGAACATCGGCCATGCTGAGGCTGCTTCGGGGGCTGCAGGATTAACCAAAATCCTCTTGATGATGAACAAGAAGAAGTTGCTTCCACAAGCTGGGTTCAAGAATCTCAATCCCAAGTTGGCAAGCATCAATTCACACAACATCAAGATCCCAACATCGGTAGAGGAATGGCGCTCAAGACGTGGTGTGCCACGACGAGCTCTGTTGAACAACTTTGGCGCTGCAGGCTCCAATGCTGCTATCATCGTCGAGGAAGCGCCCGACGGTGCAAAGCCAAAGGAACTTGTTCAGCGTTCAGCCTATCCTTTTGTCATCTCAGCAAGGACCGTCAAAGCTGTAAAATCGTACTGCCAAGGATGGCTACAACAGCTTGATCAGAATCCTGATTTGCATATCAAAGACATCACTTACACCGCGACTGCCAGAAGACAGCCATACGAACAACGATTGGCATTTGCGGTGACATCTGTCGAGGACCTCAAGCAAAAGCTGCAGACAGATACCGAGCCAAATGCAGTCAATTCAATGCATCGCAAGCCAATTGGCTTCGTCTTCTCCGGCCAGGGTGCTGTTTATCCTGGTATGGGCAAAGAATTGTTGCAAACCTGTACAGCCTTCAGCAACACTGTCACACAATGTGACCATCTTCTGAACAACATGGGTTTCCCGAAAGTCTCGCCTCTTCTTGAGGATGCCCATAACGCTATATCACCAAGTGAATATGTCATTGTATCACAATGCGCATGCTTCGTTCTTGAGGTTGCTCTTGCAAGAACATGGATTTCATTCAATGTGGTACCGGATGTCGTTATGGGTCACAGGTAAGATTTAAGATCATGGAAGTATTGACTTCGTGGCTAACGCGATCTAGCTTGGGAGAATACGCAGCCATGGTGATTGCCGGCGTCCTCAGCCTCCCAGATGCCCTGAAATTTGTTGCCACCCGAGCGAAGCTCATGGTAGACCTGTGTGAAGTGAAGGCCACCAGTATGCTTGCCTGCAACATGTCAAGTGATGAGGCCGAGAAACAAATTGCATCGAAACCCGAAAGCTTCCAGGGTTTGACTATCGCCTGTCAAAACAGCAGAGGAGACTGTGTGGTGTCAGGTCCCGTGTCCGCATTGGATCAGTTCAGTCATCACATCAAATCTGCCGGGGCTAAATGTAAACGTCTTGACGTTCCCTACGGTTTCCACTCAGGGGCATTGGATCCAATCATCGAACCACTATCCAAGGTCGCAGCCGAGATGAAGATCTCGGCACCAAAAGTTGCTTTTGGCTCGACAGTCTCCGGCAAGCTTCTTGACGAGACAGCCATCACACCAGAATACTTCACCAATCAGACAAGGAACACGGTGCTTTTTGCAGACCTCATGGAGTCCCTAGCTTCCCGATCCGAATTCAACTCTGCAACGTACCTGGAGATCGGCCCAGCTCCCATCACCCTTCCCATGATCAAGAGCGGACTAGCTGATGGGGACAGCCAGTTCCTCCCTTCACTAAAGAAGAACGAAAACCCCTGGACCACATTGGTCAGTGGTATCACCAAATTGGCACTGGCGAATTACACGATGCATTGGCGTAACGTCTTTGATGGATCTCAAGGTAATGTCATCGACGGCCCAGACTACCCATTGGACAAGAGTGAAATGTTTGTCCCTTACAAGGAGCCCACACGACAAGAGTTGTCCTCGGTTCAGAGCACAGAAATGCAGGATGCAGCTGGCCCCTTGGTGCCCAGAGAGCTTAAAAGCAATGAAGAGGGTTCAGAGTTGTTTGAAAGTGATACCGATGTTCTGGGGAAGTTCATCCAAGGACACATCGTTGGTGGTGTAGTAAGTGCCTTCCTCCTGATTTTGTTCTCCAAAAGTTTCTACTTCACGGACAAACGCTAATCATCCCAAGGCACTATGCCCAGCAAGTGTATACCATGAGATGGTTCTCGAAGCTGCAACACGCAATGATAACAGTAACACCTCGACCGGCGAAACTCTGACTGTCAACGAGATCACCTTTGACAAGCCTCTGATATACGATCCCAAAGGCGACAAGAGAATCGTTCAGCTCACATTGCACAAGAAGTCTGCAGACGGCACAAGGGGTTTCACATTCTCCTCTTTCGTTGAAGGCCATGACGAGAAAGAAAAGGTTGACCATTGTTTCGGCATGATTCAGCCCCAGAAGACTTCCAAACTACAAAGCAGCTTCAAAAAGATGGCGGCCATCGCGAAAAGGCAAAAGTCACACCTTGATGGAGTCGCCAAAGACACCTTCCACACGCGCATGCTATATGAGACAGTGTTCCCTAGGGTTGTCGACTACGGCAAGGAGTATCAAAGTATCAAGAATCTGACCGTTACGGAATCCGGCTCTGAGGGACATGGTCAATTCCAGCTACCAGATCCGCCTGTGGACGAGCCATTCGTTCTGTCGCCCACTTTCGTGGATACACTCCTACACGCAGCCGGATTCATTGCCAACAGTCATGTTGACGCGCACGAGGCGTGCATTTGTACCCGCGTGGAGCAGATCAACATTCTGTACGACAACCTGGATCAGAGTCAAGAGTTCAAGGTCTACTGCAGTCTGATGGATTACATTGAGGGCACGCTCCTCGGTGATGCTTATGCGGTAGATCAGAGAGGACAGGTTGTGGCTGCGGTGGAGGGCATGCACTTCAAGAAGCTGTCACTCAGGGCGTTCCAAAACCACTTGGCCCGTGCCAGTGGACGTGGCAGAACTACTATCCAGCAGCCTGCTCCTGTCACCAAAGCCCCTATCAGAAATCCCACCACGCCTCCTCCCCAAAAAGCTGCACCCAAAGCTGCTGGTGGCGTTGGGAAAGACGAAATCATCGCCACAGTCGCGGAGACCGTATCGAAAGTATGCGAAGCACCTCCGGCAAGCATCACGGCGCAGTCAGAACTGTCTGATCTAGGCATGGATTCATTGATGCAGATTGAGCTTGCAGATGCACTCAAGAAACGCTTCCCAAGCCTTGCCATCGACAAAAATGCTCTCCTGAACAGCACCACTGTCAAAGACATCCAAGACCACATTATCGCAGTAAGCCCCGCTCCATCACAACAAAAGAGCAGCAACATTCAAAGACCCAAGTCCTTGAACTTGGAAGACACGAACGCGCGTCTGCAGCAAGCCAAGAGTAGCGAGCTCAAATACACTCCACCCGAGGCACCAGTCAACAAGGTCAAGGACCTGATTGCAGAAGTATGTGGCATCTCCGGGGGGGAAATCGACGCTGAAAGCACGATGGAAAGCCTGGGAATGGACTCGCTGATGACCATTGAACTGAAGACCGAGTTCAAGAAGCAACTCGGCGTTGAAATGCCCGAGATTCATGGCGACTTCACCCTCGACACGCTTCTCAGCTTCATCGACAGCTCGAACAGCTCGGAGACCAGCGCTACGCTGTCCACGAACACGGATAGTGGGTTCATCTCTCCACCCTCGACAGTGACTTCCACCATCTCTTCGCCAACCCGAGAGTCCAAGCCGGCCATTCCAACGCTCATCCAGTCTGGACCCAAAGACAAGCCTTCGATGTACCTGTTCCACGACGGAAGTGGTACCGTCGGTATGTACAAGGGACTCAGTGATCTTGGGTGCACCCTGTACGGTATCTCCAACCCTGGATTCGGCGACCGTGATCACTGGGCCAAATCGATCTCAGACATGGCCACCAGCTACGCATCCGCGATCTCGGCATCCTCAGAGAAGCCTGTCGTCTTAGGAGGTAAGGTCGCACAATGATACATTTGTCCATCACGTACTTACACTCTATAGGCTGGTCATTCGGTGGTGTCGTCGCCTTCGAGACCGCACAACACCTCGCACGACTCGGCAAGCAGGTCAAGGGCGTCATACTGATCGACTCACCATGTCCGAAAGACCACACTCCGCTCCCCGAAGAAGTGGTCAAGCATGTCCTCAAGCCCATGACGGACTCCAAAGCAGGGAGGTCTGCTGCCACGGTTGCAAATCAATTCAAATGGCATGCGGCAATGCTGGGCAAGTATAACCCTCCCGCAGATGCGTCCGAGGTTCCATACATCATGCTCCAGAGTGCCGAGACGTTCGATACGTCTGGCCAGTGCGGTGTCAAGTATCCATGGCTCGAGGACCAGCGGGAGCGTGCTCGTGCTATCGACGGATGGCAGGAAGTCCTGGGCCGGAAGGTCAAGACGCTGCAGATTCCGGGCGATCACTTCCAGCCGTTTACGAAGGAGTGTGTGGGGAAAGTATCGGAGCAGTTGAGGGAAGCATACAATATTGTTACGAAGTAAGTAGTTTAAGGATGGCAACAGACTGCATGAGCGTTTTGTTTTCGAGCGATTTGAGTTTTGGCGTTTTTAGTTAGGGGTCGGCCATAAAGAATGTACACTGCAAGCATAGCCAATGATAGTTACGACATTTTCCATATTTTCCGCATCAGAGCCGGATTCATGACTTGAAGAGTGCACACTCGGTTACAGGGTACCTTTCGCAGATTGAACTTATGTTTCCTAAATCAGGTTCGACAAGATGCCCTAGTCCAGACTGATACGCATCAAGCCCGTCGCTTTGTTATGTACGACCTTCACTCACTGTGCCATCATGATTCTGGAGAACATAGTCATCCGACACGATACGAGGTGCATTCACTTCAGGGTATCATGTTTACTTTAGCTGAAGCAAGACAGAGTCCCAGATCATATATCTAGGTTCATGACAGTGTCCCCTTGAACAGTACCACTCCGTCACGTAGCTGCAAGAATATGTGAATAATCTCGCGATTCGCTATGGAGAAGGCATTGTACATAAGACGTACACTACGAGCTACGTCACTGCAACCTATCGCTGCTTCATCCACACCATACCATACCATTTCACATAACATAATACCATGCAATACAAGATGAAACAATAGCATGAAGAACGGCACACGACATCCCTCCTACATATACACACCCGTCCTCCATCCCATCCCGCCCGATCTCATCCCCTTCACTTGGGTATACACGGTGCGTGTCATAGCTCTGAGCTCTGAGTTGTGGTCACTATGTTATGATAGAGTGGCTACTAAATGTATATGATAGAATCTAGATATAGTCTTCGTCCCTCTTCATCCCCTTGCTTCACTTAGACGTACTACATACTACATCTAAATCGCACATGACATCTGACACGCTACTTCTACGTCCCCATATCTCACATACAACACACTTGATGATGCCCAGCGACATCACCGTTCCTCATATCATGCCCTCACTCATACTATACACAACACACTGCCTGCGCACTACGTGAACCAACCACTTTGCCACCCCATAGATACCCAATGAACACTGCAGCAAAACACAACACCACCAATCCACGACAGCACAACAAAACACAACACAACACAGAACCCCCATCCCTTCACCGCACCCAGCCATCTACGCGCGTACTTAAAACCCCCAGTTCCAGTTCCTTCCTACAGCACACACTCTCCCTACTCTACCCACCCGATACCATCCGCACCACACAGTACACAGTCCACACTATACACCCACCCAGCCAGCCAACCAGCAAACAACAAACCTCCAAAAGCCGCATCCACAAACAAACCACACCAAAAGATGCAGCCCTTCAACTACAACAACACACAACACGACCCCTTCGCCGCCGGCGCAAGCGTGGGCATGCAGCAACAGCAAGGTAACCACTTTCTCCCTCGCCCCTTTCTCCCTCGCCCCTTTCTCCCCCGCCCCTTTCTCCTCTCATAACCCCCTATTCCCCCTTTTCTCCCCTCCTCTCGTAAACCCCCTTTACCTCCAAAGCACACTAGACTAACCCCGCCCCTTCAAACCAGCGAACTACTCAATGGGCAATGGCATGGGAGGCATGGGCAACGGCATGGGAGGCATGAGAGGCATGGGAGGCATGGGCAATATGGACAACATGGGAAACATGGGCAACATGCCCAACAGCATCCCCCCAACCCCCAACACACCCCACGCCCAACCCCACAACATGATAGGCACAGACAGCGACCCAGGCTTCAACGGCGAAAACATGTACGCCGGCCCAGCAGCACACCACCAACACCAACGCATCCCCCAAGCCCTCGTCCCACACGCCTACGCAGGACAACAAGCCCAGCAGCACCAGGCAGGCATGAACGCCGGCATGATGCACAACGACATGCACAACGACATGCACCCCAGCACAAACACAACCCCCCACCCCCCAACAGGCACGCACTCCCAAATCCGCACCCTACGAGCCCACTCTCGCGCAGGACGACAAATCACCGATTCCTTCCTGCGGATGTACCCGGAGTTCCAGCGGATGCAGAAGCAGCGGGCGCGGGCGCAGGCACCACGGGGGGGCCGCGGCGGGTGGACGCGCGGAGACGAGGTGGTGTATGGGAATACGGAGAGTCAGTTGCGGAGTATGCAGCGGGAGGCGGAGCGGATGATTCCGGGGTATAAGCTTGATGTTGCGGCGTGGCGGTATTTGGTTGGGAGGAGGGTGAGGGTTTGAGAGGGGGGGGGGGGAATAAGGGGCTGGGTGATATGGCGAGGAGATTGGCAATGTAGAGATGGTGGTAGAGGTGATGGGAATTGTTGCGTTTGTAGCGATCATGCTATAGCATACATACATGCGAGTCTAGCCTACGAGTGCAGCTTTGCCGCCGCCGTATTTACCCTGTGGCCCGTCGAGATGCGCATCTAGCACAGCTGTCGTGCCGTTTAAAACGCTCTGAATCGCTTCGGCCAGCTTCACCTCCAGCTCCTCGGCCGTGCTAGCATGCGCAGCCCAGATCTCCCCACCAGACGCAGCCTTTGCGATACCAGCATAGTCCGGTGTCGGCGCAAAGCTGATGTTGAGGTCCTCGTTCGACACCTTCGAGCCTTCGCCGTCGGGGTGGACGAGAAGAAGCGATCTACGAGGCGCGTTCCAGCCCTTGTTGTTGAGGACGATAGTGAGGATGGGGATGTTGTAGCGTTGCGAGATCCAGTATACCGAGCCGGGGACGGAGAAGAGATATGTGCCGTCGCCCACGATCTGGCAGACGAATCGCTTCTTGCCGTAGTAGTCTGTAGCTAGTTTTATGCCCAACGCGCCGCCGCCGCTCCATCCGAGACCGCCTCCGCCGCAGTTGATCCATGATCCGGGCAGCGAGCATTGCAGTTGATCTGCGACAAAAGCACCATTCGTCACGGCTTCGATGGCAAAAATGGTATCCTGGGGAAGAAGTGCGCGGAGGCGAGATGTTAGGTACGAAGTTCCATACGACCCGTCCTCTCCAGGCACAGCCTGACTCGCTATTGTCTGAAGTTTTTTTGTGTACGATGACAGTCGCTTTGCTTCCAGTTCAAGTTGATGTGGCAAGCCAGTCATCTGGAACAGTTCCGGGTTAGAGCAGATGAAGCCAACCAGCTGCGAAATGGCCGTGAAACTATCGACCCGGTAGCGCTTCATGGCATTAATGTAGAACACGGGCATCTGCTGTTTGAGCGGATCCCCATCGATGTGGAAGACGATTGCGCCGTCTTTCGGCTTGCATTGTGTGTTTATCCAGGGTACATCGCAGTCTAACACGATGATGACGTCTGCTGTCGTGATACTGTCGTCTACACCATATCGCATGCCAAGCCATGCAGGATGGTTGGCAGGAAAGCACATGTCGCAACCTCCAGTGTCAAGCACTCGTAGCCCCTTGACAATATTGGCAAGCTGGACGAGCTCTCCGGGACAGTCATGATTGCGTCCGCTGTAACCACAGATGACCAGGGGCTCCTTTGCATTCACCAGCGAGCCTGCAATGGTCTCTACTGCTGACAGAGGTAGCGCAGCTGGCTCGACTGGAGTCCAAAAACTTTGGTCCAGAGCGTACGGCTCGATGACCTGTTCCATGGGCTCCCTGGCGCCGTACAAATATACCGGTCCTTTTGGATCACTCGTGGCAAACGACAGCGCCCTGTTCACCATCTGCTTGATATTCTTGCCTGTCTTGATCTCTCCCGTATAACGGCAGTACTGCGCCACGATCTGCTTCTGATCCGGGACGTCTTGTATCCAATGGATATACTCTGTCCGGGACCCACGCTCTTCTCCTTCGATGGTATATGGCGACAACCCGGCAAAGATCAGCACTGGCGCGCGTCCACACGCGGCATTGTGTACCGCTGCACCGAGACCCTGCGTTCCCACGTCGACATGAACGATGACGCACTGTGGTTTGTTCGTGAGGCGCGCAAACCCGTCGGCCATGGAGAGTGCTACCATCTGAGGCATGACCGTCAGCCATCATGTTCGAGGACACACATGCTACAAAGGTAATGGAAATGCGTACAGACCTCGTTCGGACATGTTATGATGCGCGGAAACTCGCCATCCTTCTCTTTCTTGCCCTTGACCATAGCCTCAATGATGCTTGGGTGGTCGCTCCCCAGGTTTACAAAGCAGTGCGTGACACCGGCTTCCCATAATGCCTCGAAGAATGCAAATGATGTTGTATATAGGCCTGCACCACGCACGTCGCTCGGACGAAGACGTTTGCTAGGAACGGCATTAGAACCACTCATCGTGGCAGCAATTGAGATGAGAGACGTCGTGTGAAGCTCAGTAGGACGACACCAAGGCGCTGGTGAATGCTACCAACGCTGAAGTGTGAATGAGACATATCAGACATGATTAGCTGTGACATGATGTGGAGCAAATCCTTTGATCATTGATGCTTCCCCTCATGTTCGGTAGTGAAGTGCGGGTACCTGGACCTGATTGTTCTCGTGACGCGTACATTTCAGAATGAATATCTCATCTGAGGTTAGCACATTGATGGCTTGCATTCATATCGTAATCTGTTCTTTCGCAACAACGCTATCTCGCGCGTCGCTATGTAAAATGTTCATATATGCTGCGTTAAGCTATGTCCGTTGGTATCATGCAACCGTAATATCATGCCCCATGAGCCAAATCCGCTCAGATCATAAAAGAAACGCCCATATGCTCCGCGCCAGAAAAAGTCATATCAATCGTCACAGGACTGATGCGTCAAACAGGTATCATGTCGCACGTCGCATGCAAAACAATATGTACAGAAAAGATTTTGGGTGCCGCGGCTAGGAGATGGAGAGCAGCAGTAGGTCCGGTCGAGGGGTCAGGAGAGTTGGTGAGTGTGAAGGCTTTGAAGACGCGGGAATCTATCCCTCGTGCTTGCGAACCATTCCCGTCACAGGCTCGAGCCTGACAGCAACGGCCTCTCGCATGGAGTACCGTCTGAAATGGTGCGGACTCTCGACTGTCGGCTCAGGGGTCGCAGGTGCGTGGTCCAAGGTCATGACGGTTTCGTCTGACGCCATTCGACTCGGAAGCATGGTCTCGTGGTAGGTCATGAAGTCGACCGGCTTCTCCTTTTCCTTCATGATGGAGTCGCTGCTAAACCGTGAGGCGAGCGTTACGCCGCTGAGAGTTGCCGAGTCGTCGAAGGGCTCGGCGGCATGGCCACAACCCTTTGTTGGCTTGAAATAGAAGTACAGCCAGATACCGAGGGCGGCGAAGAAGATGACCAAGAACGTAGCGATGCCGGCGATGAGGCCGATGATGGTCTTTTCGGGGAAGTTGACCGACTGTCGGCGCATGAGCTGTGCTCGCGTCTCGTCCAGGAGGTCGATTGGTATCGGTGCCATGATGTCTGAGGTGTGTCGACTGCTTGGAGGAGTATCGGATACGTAGGGTGAGTACTGGAGGCAGGCTCAGCACACTCGAAGCGACAAGCAGTATATCCAAACGAGGGACCTTGACAAAGGTACAATGACTGCTTCAAGCGAGGGAATGAATCAGCCTTGCAGGTCGACGGACAACACGAGCACCAGGAACAAGGACCAAGGACAGCACACACGCAAGGTACGGAGCCATGAACAGGCCTTTAAGCAGCATATACAGCAGCGGCATGCAGCGGAAGTGCAGTACTGCTACTGCACACGATGACCACGCGGCAGAAGTGAATGACGTGCGGCTCAACTTGGCAGCATATTGGCGTGCAAGTAGTTCTAGTTACAAGGCCGTGTGCAGCAGTAGCATGACAGCATAGTCTGGCTGGACCACAGTCGACCAGTAGAAGATACTGAGACGAATGGACATGAGTAGTTTAGTAGCAGTAGTAGTAAGAAGCATATGGCAGCGATACCTGTGCCTGTATCAAGAGCGACGATCGCGGGATCCGCGTATTGCCCACGTTCTACCATGTATCCAAGCATAAGATAGCCTCATGATTCATTTAGACTCTTTGGTCTAACCGTTTGCGGTAGGAGGGGAATACGGGCATGGATACGATGCATTCACTTCCAAGATACAGTCTGTCACTCTCCGGCTGGCAATGCATCAATCCGAGATGCCAATCCGAGATGAAATAGTCCACGACCTCGTCCTCTATTGCCGCCGCATATCTCGTATCAATTGCTACACACATACACATCCGCCCTCCACGCCTCTTTACTCCGTCCGCATCAGATGCTCGTACTCGCACCCGGCACCCATCCATGCATGACGTACACGACGCTCAGTTCGCGCCTCGGCACGAGTAAGCACAACGAAGCGTGATCGCGGCATCGACAGCACATCGAGTCCTCCTCACCGCTCGCCGCATCGTCTTGGTGTCTTGGTGTCTTGCCCGTGGCTTGGTGTGGGCGCTTGTCAGAATAGCCCCGGGACCCGCCAGAACCGTGACAATCGGCATGACTGACTGGCTGGCTGGCTGGTGGAGCGGGCGTCGGGAGAATGCCAAATGCCATGAGGATCGAAGAGGTGGCTGGGACAGACATGCGGCGCCGTGTCGTCGCAGAGCCTGTCCATCATTCTTCGCTTTCTGGGTTGAATGAAAGCATTGATGGGATGTTTGTTGGGTGCCAGCATCACTAATCACTCCAAAGAACGAGGGTTGTCAACCTGTGGGACGGCCGACACCTGTCAATCCAAACTACCACAATTCAATCCTGACCGACAAAACCTCGATGCCAGGGGAAAATTACTCCAGCGACTATGATGTCGTCACTCCCCACAGCTGTACCGCGCTGGCTGCTGATGAAGCCCGCATACTCTCAGTGAAGCATCCACAGCGCATCCGCGTCATACACACGCACACACACATCGCCGCGCCCAGAACACCTCCGACTAAAATGAAGAGGCTGGAGGATCCATGACGCTAGGCCCCGGAGCGAACCTCTTCATCCATCGCGCCGGATCCTTTGACATCCATATATGTATACTCCACTTGTGCGTCGTGCCCACAGATTTTAGAAGTCCCGTTGTCTTCTACGCGTGTACTTAATCAAGCTGTGTCGCGTCATTGGTATACGATCGATCCCGCAAATATTCCTGTAACTGTATCAAAGATGTCGGAAAGAGCGTCGTGGCAAAGCCAAATGTGTCGCTGGAACTTCTGTTTGTGTGGTGGTGTTGCGACCGAATGCCTGGATTCCATGAGTCTGTTGACTTTGAGGGTGGAGTATCGATCGTTAAAGGAGGTATAGCAATGTTTATCCATTCGGCATAGAAATGGTAGGTGATATATATATGTACACCTTTGCTATCCTGTATTCTATTGATACGAAGCACGCAACTCGCGTACGCTCATCTCATAATTCTCAATAATATCATATCCAAAGTCTCATATTCACATCATATCCACCACACCCAAACCACCCGCCGCGCAACCCCCTACCGCTCCACCGTCTTCGCATGCCCCTTCTCCTCATCCGAACTGCCCTGCTCACCAACCCCCTCACCAACCTCAGACCCCATCCGCCGCCCGCCCGTCGCCTCAACCATATCCCCATCATGCCGCACATCCATACTCGCCCCCTTCCGCTCAGGCCCCAACAGCGTCAACACAACCACATACGCATACACACAGCCCATGAAAATGCAAATCACCTTCCCGTACTCAAACCTGCTCACCCGCGCCCCGCTCGCCTCCACCTTATCCGGCAACGGGAACCGCTCCCCAATCGTACTCTCAATCGTACTCGACGCCGACGACACAAGATTACCCAGCTGATACGCCGTGCCCACGACGAACGTCCGGAATGAGCCAGGCGACAGCTCCATCAGGTGGATCGGAATCACGCCCCACGCGCCCTGCACGCAAAACTGCTCGAAGAACGCCGGGGCAATGACCCGTGTGTCCGTGACGAAGGTATACGGGTACAACAACGCCGCACCCACAATCGACATGACGATAATGCTGAACCGCCGGCCTAGCGCCTGGCTCGCGTACCCGACGCATGCGCCGCCCGTCATGGCGCCCAGGTTAGCGACGACCTGAGTGACAGTCACGGCGTCGGCGCTGAAGCCGTACTGGTTGGTTAGTAGCGTCGGGTACAGGTCCTGGCTGCCGTGGCTCATGAAGTTGAAGCCGGCCATGAGTAGGACGAGATATCCGAGCAGCGGCCAGTGGTTGCGCAGCGCGACGCGGCCCTCTGCCACGAACGTCTTGCCTGCGCTCGCGCCGGACTCTGCGCCTGCCGCACGCACGCGCTGGCGCTCCTGGTATGCCTGTGTCTCCGGCAGACAGAGGCGGAAGGCGATGATGAGCACGGGGGGTCCGGCGGCAAACCAGAACAGCGGGCGCCATTCATGGCCGACGGTGTTTACAAAGGCGCGGGCGAAGACGGTGGCGAGCAGGTAGCCGAAGGCGTAGCCCTGCTGCAGGAGGCCGGAGACGAGGCCGCGGGCGCGTTCGGGGCAGTCTTCGAGGGCGGTGGCGGCGGCGTTGCCGTAGAGGCCGCCCATGGCGATGCCGAAGAGGGCGCGCACGGCGAGGAACTGGTTGTAGGTTTGGACGAAGCCGGTGCCGAGCTCGAGGATGATGAAGAGGATGTTGTTGATGATGAAGGGCCATTTGCGGCCGTAGCGGTCGGCGGCGATGCCGAAGATGACGGAGCCGACGGAGCGGAGCATGAGCACGAGGGTGATGCCCCAGGTGATGTCCTTGTTGGACTTGCCGAATGTCTTTGCGAGCGGGCCGACGGTGAGGGAGACGGTGAAGAAGTCGAGGGCGTCCCAGGACCTGGGGGTGGAGTGTTTGGTTAGCAGTCGGACACGAGATGTTGTTTGTGGATGGATTGGGGGAATGTTACCATGCGAAAAAGGCAACGGCGAAGAACATCCATTGCTGCTTGTTGAGTAGACGTAGGAGCGTGATGGGATTCTCGAGTTTGTCCATCGGGGGCTTCAGCGTGGGAATACGTGTAGCAAGGTATCTGCCGACGGACTTGCGCTCATGGCGGCCGTCGCCGGAGTACTCTGCTTGATCGTGCTTCTCCGACATGGTGACGGACGATGTTATGCTTGCGGTGGTGTATGGAATGTCCAGAGAGTTCTGCAAAGCGTCAGTGATCAGCCATGTATATAGGTATACACATGCCATGGAGCGCCAATGACGTACCAGGCAAATATCCACACCAACACGTCTCCAACAGCCCAGCCCAATCCAGTCTTATCTTGTAATCAATCTCAAGCAGCCGTCCCTTGTTCAATGAATCACTTTCCCACACAAGGACAGACAGACGGCCAAAACAAACCCCTCAGCAGGAGAAAAAGCACTCAAGCAGCCAGCACCACACACGCAATATATGTATTTATTCCCTCTCCCCGCGGCCGGACAGACCACTCTATATAGCACAAAAGCCACCATGTCCACCAGCGGCCGACGTGCCGCGTCCTACCTGATGATAACCCCCCAGATCCATCCCCCATGACCCCCCCGGCCCCTCGTCCGAACACAAACCCCGCCTTTCTCCTATTCACCCAATCGCATCCCTCCTCCCCCCGGGCAGATCCACTACGCCCGCACGAGCAAATGGACCCCCGGAACCGGCTAGTTGCGGTACTTGAGTAGCTTATCTGCGCTTGGCCGGGGCGCTGTGTGGTGTGCTTGGTTGCTTGGCGACAGTGCTTGAGATGCTTGATATGCTTGGAAGGCTTGAGATGCGGTGTAAGCTTTCTTCGGCCCCCGGCCCCCCCTAAGACAGGGTGGCGGGTCCGCTTTTTGGACACAGTATCTTTGTGATGGCATGGATGGTGGATGTTGAGGGGAAGGGTTCGGAACTGTTGAGGTGGAGGAGATGACGGGGGACGTGATAGAGGTTGAGGAATTTTACTAGGTATTGACCAGAGTTTTCCAGTGTGGATTGTCCTTCTTCAGGACCTGGCCTGCCCTCTCCACAACCGCAACCCCATCCTGCAACGCAAATGCAAACGCAAACGCAAACGCAAATACAGACGCAACGCGGCGTCCTGGCCTGCTCGTGCGGGGACATGTGCGTGCGTGTGCTAACTCAACACATACCAATCAACCAACCAACCAACCAACAGCGGCCCATCGGCAATCCATCCATTGTCAGCCAGCCAGACTATCTAGGTACAAATTCAATCCAGGGCATTGTGGCGTGCTTACTAACCCCCTAGCCTCCTTGATCGTTGAGAAATACCTAGTTATCCATCTCGCAACCTCCGCTGCGTCGCGTCTTACTAAGATCCATGCGCACTGTGACGCAGTGTGGGATGGTCCCTGCGGTTGGATATTTGGTGTGTGGTGTTTGGTATTGGATAGGGGGTAGGGAATAGTTTTATCGATGTCGGTATGTTGCCGTGTCTTGTCGTGTCGTGTGGAGTAGGACTTTGCATCTACCCGCGCAGTCTTTTAATCATTGGGTTTTCATTGATGATATGTCCTATTTCTAATCTCATTTCAACTTGTCTTCCAGGCACATTATATCAGCAAACAACTTATATTCCCCCTCATCTCCCCTAACAATACCCAACATCCCTAACAATACAGATATCCATTCCCCAGCCCAGTCACCCCATATCATGACTATTCACACACCCAACCAACTAACCAGCCATCTTGCCGTTCTTATTGATATTCCATATCCTACGTATAATACTACATGCCTACTACGTGCCCGTCCTTCTAGATCGCATCGGATCAAATCAACCCACCGGAGCACCGACTCTGCGCTATACACACTACCCTCTTCCGACAAAAATACCCCAGGTACCATACCATCAAACCTCCCTGAACCCTCGATTCTATAATCCGCAGTTCAGTAGTCGCGACTGTCCAGTCTAGATTCGCGGAGAAACGGAGAAACGCAGTAAATATTCTGATAGTGATTTGGTGAAGTTGGCGTATTGAGTGAGATAGACTGGCTAGCTAGCTGGCTGGTTGGGTGGGTAGGCTTGGTTTATGTCATGCTGGTGATGGTCGTCATGCTCCCTGCAATGTGCAGAGAGAGGTAAGTAGAAGTAGACTTCGAATTCACGCACACAGCTTGGGCGTATTCAGATGCGTGGATGGGTGGGTGGGTGATGCTCGATGCATGCCTGATCTCGCCTTGTAAGGCTGAACATCCATAGCAAGTGACACTTGCAATCAGCAAGAGACATTACATATTCACATCTATCCGTTCGACACCACACGCTTCTTACTTCATCTCCTACACGCCCATCTATGCAACGCTCTGGACCGCACACTACAAGCAGCACAGCAAGTAACACCAAGCCTGCGTTCCGTACAAGTCCCATGCAGACAGACAAACCCACCCAGCGCCGAAACATGCATGTCCTGAACACAACAACCCTCTGCCCAACAAACCCCACAGCCTCACCTCGCAGCACCCAGCTCCTGCGTCAGACTCTCAATCTCCGTCATCCGCAACGCCGCCTGCACACTATTGACAAAATGCCTCTCGCCACCACACAGCTCCACGATCCCACTCGCCTCAAACAGCGCCTTCACCCCCCTGCCCTTGCCCGTCGGCACACGACAGAAGAAGACGCGCACGCCGCGCTCGACATAGCTGCTCACAATCTCATACAGCACCTGTGCGCCCGCGCCGTCCAGACTCGTGACGCCGTGCATGTCGAAGATGACGTTCTGGTTGTGCTCTTTGTTGCGCACCCGGGGCAGGGCCGGATGTGCGGCGCCCGTGCCGTGGTCTTCCAGTCGCTTCAGTCGGTTGCGCAGGTCGCCTGTGTTGGCAAAGTGGAGGGGTTCGGGCACCTTGACGATCAGGCAGCCCTCGATGAACTCGACGAGGCTGGGCTCGACTTCGGCGTTTTCGAATCGGTCTGAGGTGCCTGGCACGCGGCCGAGGATCTGGATGCGGGGGCGCGTGCTATGGCGGACGACGCGAAGGAGCGAGAGGCCGATACCGATTGCGATGCCACGCTTGATGTCCCAAACGATCGTTGCGACAAAGATGAGGAGCATGAGTCCTAGCTCGGACCAACCTCGAATGCGCCAGAAGAACGCGATATCGTGGGGTGCTTCCTCAATCAGCGAGTACGCGACCACGGATATCATGGCAGACAAGACGCCTTTCGGAAGAAAGTAGAAATACGGTGTTAGGAATAGGGCGGAGAGTAAGGAGAAGATGCTGAGAAAGACGCTGCTCATCGGTGTACGTCCTCCCGTCGAGGCATTCACCTTGCTCCTGCCATATCCACCAAACGCAGGCAACGCCATGAACAAGCCGCCTGTAACATTGGCCACACCAAGCGCGACGAGCTCGCGATTCGCACTGATGTGAATGTTCTGTAGTCCTTCACCTGTTGGGTCGTGTGGGTTTCCTAAGCTCTTTGCTGCTACAGAGGATTCAAAGAATCCCAGGAGCGCAATAATGAATGCTGTGTTGACAGCATCAGATGCGTATTTCAAGTGTGACCACTCAAAAGGCCAATGCACTGCAAAGATGGCTCCGTCGGCTTGGACTTTACCCAAGATCTCGAGACCATGCTCGTCCCAGCTAAACTTCCATGCGAGGATGGCCGACAAGACCACTACAAGGAATCGGTCTGGTATGAAGACCACAGCTGGATAACGAGGCTGTAACCGCTTTTTCATCTCCCTACAACCTCTTCAGTACTGCTAATGTTTGCGTGCGAAACGACTTACCGTAGGACCATGATGATGGCAAAAGCCCCAAGAGATACACCAGCCGTCAAAGCATGTGACTTTCCAAGATTCCTGACCAGAAAGACAATCTGCTCCACACAGCTTCCATGAGACACGTGACCCGCCTGCGAAGCAACTGCTGTCAGGCCGAGCTCTGGAATAAGCTGAGATACGAAGATGACAACTCCTATAGCACTGATGAATCCGCGTAGGAACGGCTTGCTCAGGACAGAGTCTAGGAATCCGAGTCGGAACAGACCAGATATCAAGATTATCCCTCCAGCCATGAACGTGACTATCCCAGCAATCTCTGCATTGATCTGGCCGTTTTCATCGTCTGCCGTTCCTTTCTTGATGTTCTCCCGTACGACCTCACCCGTCAGTAGCGAGCCGGGGGCTTCGGGACCTACTACCATCTGCGGACACGTGCCAAGCACCGCATATATTATGGGATTCAGGACAAAGCTGTAGAGACCATTTATTGGAGGCATGTGTCCAAGATTTGACGCGTATGATAGCGACATTGGTATATAGAATGAGGCCATAGTCAGTGCAGATATGAAGTCGCCGCGCAGGTACGACCATTTGTATTGTGGTAACCAGTTGACAATAGGGATGTAGTATGCGAGATACCTGTGTGTAGCACGTTAGCAGAGCATTCCTAGGCAAGACGTACGATGTAAGAACGTACATGAATCTTCGATTCCTGATGCCATGCCTCCTCGCAAGATAATTTGTTGTGGACGTCTTCATTCCCGCAGGGGCTCCCAGAACGCCATCGACAATGGCATCACCTAGTAGAGCTGATGTTTCCGACTGATTGTCCCCAGCTCCATCACCCATTCCTCCAGGATACTTTCCTCCAAACCCATCTCGTATTATACCGGAATGGAAACTTCCGTAGCTTCTGCTGGTCTCTGGTCGCGGCGAGAATGTTCCATGTTGACTCCCTTCTGTTTCGGCACCTCTCCCATGATCTGAATCTTTCTGGTGTACTAATCGCGCCCGCACAGCCTGTTCGAACGATGAAGACAGTGTCCCTTCCACAGAGCGACCTTCCTGCGTTGTGGATGTCTCAGCTGGTTTAGCTGCGCCAGGTGAAGCTCTACCCTCGCCAGTCTCAAAGTCTCGAGCAGAAGAAGTTTCGCCTCTCTCAGCAGCTGTGCCAGGTATTGTCATTCGAGATTCGGGGGAGGTGGAGGGAAGACGAGATTCGCGTAGGTTGCTTGGATTCAGTGGTGCGTGATGTCGCTCCTTGCCGCTAGATATAGAGGAATCTCGTGAGTGTCCAGGTGTTTCAATTGGCGACGTTGGTCGGGAACCTTTTGCTGATTTGGGATGCATCGTATGGTCTCAATGACCTCGGCTGCGTACTGCCTCACGCCAGGACTCTGTCGTATGACGCAGCAATATCCGAGAACTTTACAATTCATACACTGCGAACAGCAGTTTCAATGAGCGTATATGTGATGCTGGAGCCTCTATGGCCTTTGTGCAACGGAGACGTGAACACAAAAAACCTTCCGATACGTTGAGCTGGGGTTGAGAGTCGGCTTATAAAGACTCTTTTGAATTTACCGGCTTTCTAGCTAACGTCGGAAAATTAGCTGGAAGCCACTGCAGATCCCGCGCCATCTCCAAGGCTAACTTGACGAGCTTATCTAGCTATCTAGACGGCCTCTTTTTAGATATATAGTTTAGTATATATATGCTCTTTAAATGTTGTACTATAACGTATAGTACATACTATGTTCTTATATAGCTGCTACACGAGTAAGCGGTGCTGACGAGGTACTAACCAAGACACACACCTAAGGCCCCTACCCGAGGAACAAGCCTCTCACCCTTTGCAGATCCCTCTTATCAAAATTACAAGGGCGAATGCATGAGATACATGACCATAGACACCTTCTCTTACTTCGCTTCCGTACGACTCCGTGTTCTTCTCCCAATTCTCTCCTGACTATAAAACCTACGCATTGGACAGACTATGTAAGGAGCGAGAGGACTGCACGAGCTGCTCCAGCTGCTACAGGACTCCACTGTCTGCGAGGCCAGGCTTTCGTCCAGTCGTATGTGATATTATACCATCGCATTTCGGAACTCGCGTAAAGGTAGACTGTGGATCATGCCTAGTATTTGAGTGGATGGACTATGATCTACGATCCGTGTACACATCCTAGAGCTGTTTCAAAGACTGCTCTGTCAGCTCTCCACCCGTTGAGTAGACTCGACGTTGTTCGTATAGGTAGTGATCCTATCTCTGTTTTTTTTCTCGTGGTACTAATGCTGTGAATTTTACAGGCATATAACCTGGATTTGCTAGACTGAATTGTACCTCTATACCTTTTAGCCATCGAGGATAACACAACGCGTCGACTCGCCTGGTCACTCGGGGTCACAGTCAGTATTTGCATCTATATCCTGATGCAGCGGATGGGTGCACGTCACGGATCAGGATGTATGTTCATTAATTGGGTGGGTCACTAGTAGGTCCACTGGCTTAAAGTAGTGGAACGTATACGTCGTATACCAAGACAATTTGACAGGAGCTTGGAGTGGAGCACAAATTCGGGATAGCTCTCGACTACATATTCATTCATCTGCTGTCAAACTGTCAGTAGTAGCATGACGGCCTGATCCACTGTCGTACGACATAGAGGCGACTCCGAGACGCAAGATCGATTCTGTGACAAGTCTTCGTGCTCGATTGACACGTGTATTATGGTGTATAGATCCAGAAGGGATGTGCTCTGAAACAGGGCCAGTTGTGGGAGCGCCACGGATTGTTTCATGTGCACTGTGTGCGTCACAGTGACGGGGTCGACAATAAGATTGCTTGCCATCAGGCGATATCAGTTGCTCCAAGCCTGAATGAGTGTTGTATGCATGTTATTTTGGACTTTCCAAGAATGGTAGACGCGAAAGCTATGAGCACGGAGGCGGAGTTCGTGGGATAATGGAGTTCGGGTTCGTGGATAGAGGTCGTCTTGTCGTCGTCTGTAGGCGGTTTTCCAATGTCGATGGCAATTAGGTGGTTATAGGGTAAGATAGTAGCATTAGATGGCCAACAAAAGCTAGCAGGGGCGTGGCGTGGCCGGAACATTTCGTTGCTGGGCTGCCCCTCTCTCAATCTGTTTGCTGCAGCAAGGCTGTCCCAGATGTCCATCATCTGCGCCTCTCACGGCTAGGATGTACTAATGTAGCATGGCGAATCGGTGGTGACTCTAAAGTAAGTAATAAGTCGACGTGGTGTGCAGGTCGCTGTAATGCTGACTGACATCTTGAAGCACCACAGTGACCACACCACGATCGATTACGTCGTCCACGGGTAGGACGATGCCTCAATGCACAGCGCACAACGCACAGAACCCAGATTCTGGACCCAAACAGCCTCGAGCGCGGCAGTGATAGGGCCATCTCCCGAACCACGGCATTACGCTCGGTTCAGGGGCACGATTTCACGAATCGTGAGGATCGTCAATACAGAAATAGCGAGGTTTGGCATGTATCGACTATGTTTCGAGAGGCGCGTTTACGGTAGCACCAACATCGGTTTCAAACAGCGCCTAACTCGCTCCGAGGTTCACGCACATTGCTTGTTATTTCCAGGTGCACTCCTCTGTACTGTCATCTAGCGGTATTATGGAAAGCCTACGTATACCAAAATAAAAGACTCCTTTTCGCTAAGCCGCCGGCGTTCAGGGGCAGCCAACAGCCGTTCTCATATGGGGCCGGGTCCCACAGTCTACCGAGTTCAAGAACGCAAGAATCGGCGTGCGACTCGTGAATAGGCGCCGATGCCTCTCCAGCATCGCCAGTGGCTGACATCGTGATCCTTTAGAGAGAGAGAAAGAGAGCCAAAAAGCCATAGAGGGACTCGGCACTCCCAATACAACCAGGCGCAAAGCGATTAATCGTGCAATTGCAGTGGGACCTGCCCCTCTCTTGCATGTACATCCCTCGCATTCAACTCATGGATCCATGGATGCCAGTGGGTGCTGATTGGTAAGACGCGGTTAAGGCGCAGGGCCTGCAGGGCGTAGACCAGACTGCTGAACATGTTGCAACATTTTGGTCGAGGAAGGACTAAGCACGTTTTATAGCATCTTAAAATGCGAATTATTTTGATCGTCGAGGGATGCATTTATGGATATTTTGGTATAGCCTCAGCCTCCTTGTGGGAGATGAAGCACTGCCCAGGGATGCTGTTGTTGTATTACCATGTAATTATGCGGTAAATCGTTAATAACCGGAAAATAACTGGCTGTATAGTCTAGTGCAAGCCTCCCCAACCCAAAAACTGGCTATTCAGCCCCATAGTGCTCGCCCTCGCCCTCCCTGCTCACCCTCCTTTGCCATCTCTATTCACTAAAACACTAAAACGTAGCTGTGGGCTCCTCCAAATGGTGGTGGTGGGCATTGGAGGCTAACCCTTGCCTGTCTGCGACCCTTCTCCGCTCAATTGCTTCGAACGAACCTCAACCCTGACTGCCTGAGCCGCCTTCAGCTCTACCTCTCCATCTTCATCTTCCACCGCGCCCACGGTCGCCTACACCCACCCGCTGCCTTCGTTCATTAATCTGTCCGGCATCATTGCCTCGTTCGTTTCTGCTACAAACGGTCTGGCACTATTCATACGGATTTCTGGAGGGCACTTCGAATGAGCAAGGGCTGCCCGTCTGTCCGCCTTATCACCGTTCGTCTATCTGCCAGTACAACATCCTAGCCATATACCTCGTCCACCGGCATTCACGTCATTCTCAAACAATAATAGCAGCCTGCCACTGCAAGTCGCTGAGATTTGCCATTTCTCTCCATCTTCGCTGTGAACTCGTAGCCGTGACCGGTTCTTCGGCTAACGATCGTCGCTATCCCTCCCCGACCGTCACCGCGCAGCGCATATTCATAAGAGACATCTTCAAGGAAACAAGGGCACTGAGTTTGCGAAAATAGCGGCAACAGGAATACTCATAGACAATGGAGTCGCCAAATGGATTCCCCGAGTCGCCTCTGGACCAGGAGGAGGTGTTTCCTTGCAGAGGTTGTGGAGAGGTGAGCATCTTCTATCTTGGCTGTTCCGCCCTCGTCACTGACGAATACTTTTTGCAGATTCTAGAAGAATGCAAAGCCTTTGAACTCGGTACGTACGACAACGAGGACGAGCAATGCTTCCAGTCGTACCTCTAGTCTACAGTCATTACAGGTATCGCCTTATGGTCTCGTTGGATTCAACTGACTTTGTACCAGCTGGCAACCGATGGCATATCGAATGCTTCAAATGCAACACTTGCGGCGATCCACTCGACTCCGATGCCAACCTGCTTCTCCTTGGCGATGGCACCCTCATATGCAACAAGTGCACTTATTCTTGCAATGCGTGTAATCAGAAGATTGAAGATCTGGCGATTCTCACCGGCGACCAAGCCTTTTGTGCGAATTGCTTTCGATGCCGGAATTGCAAGAGAAAGATTGAGAACCTACGGTACGCCCGCACATCTCAAGGCATTTTCTGTATGTCTTGCCACGAGTCAGTGATGGCGCGCAAGCGGAAGAGGTCAAGACAAAAGCAGCAAGCTGCTGCGAACGGCAGCACGCACTATGAAAAATCTCTCCCTGCGCTTCCACCCAAAGATGCCCCACCAGAGAGTTACAACGGGTCAAGAGATATGTCTTCGAATGCACATAGGTCAATTGACAGGACCGAGCGTTCGCCGTCAAATATGTACAGAGACACTTCTCCCACGTCTCATAACGATCAAAGAGGTACTGTTACTCATATCTCAATGTCTCCACCACTTCTAACGTCATCAGGAGACAATCTTATTCTACCCGCTAGCACTTACCGCCCCTCTGTAGAAACACAGCAAGATGATGAAGTTGAGGGTCCTGATGAATTCTTCATCCCACTGGCGTTCGACCCTACACCTGCGCCTGGACCTTCCCCACATGCTCAAGGTCGCGCCTACAATGAGGACACGAGTGCAGGAGCGATGGAACCTCAGCCGTCGAGAGACTACTTCAACAGTGTCAGACCGTCACAACAGTCCCACAGAGACCATCTGGGAGATGAACGCGGACCTCCTTCAAGATCGCCTTCCGCCGACCGCGACCGTCCACAGAAGAACAGTCCTCATATAGCTTATCAAGAGAAAGGACGTCATCCCTCAGATAACCTTGTGGATACTCTACGTAGGAAGAAGGACGTGAACATGACGACGGGTGCATCGCCGAGCGTTGCTCCAGACCGTTCAAGACCACCGAATACCGCACAACACTCCGCTTCACCATCCAGTGGTCGCAGTGAGCCAGTGCCTAGTGATGGATTCAGGTTGCAAGAGCCCCCTAGAACCAAGAGGTCGGACTCGAGGAGAAACTCAAAAAACGACTCATGGTCGTCTAATCAGGCACCGACCAACGATACTGCCGCGCGCACCAAGAGTTCACCAGTTGAGCTGCCCACAAACTTCAACACGCAGGAGCTGCCGACGTCATATAACCAGACGCGGGAAGACACGGTGACAAATCAGCAGCCCCAGCGGTCCAAACGTGAGGACGGAGTAAGTAGAAGCATCACAGCTAGACTCTCCACGGACGGAAGGCCCTCTCCGTCTACCCCAACACCCCGCGCACATGAGCGAAAGACGTCGACATCATCAGTGCGCAACAGTCGCGACCCAACATCTGCTGTACAGACTAATGTAGGTCTAAACATCTCAAGCCCGATCGAGTCTCCAGTATCCAAGAGTATCCACGATATGTCCATACCGCCCCGCGCGCCCAGTCGGCCAACGCATTCAGGCCATATCGCGTCAAAAGATTCCTACACCACCCCTCGTGCTCCACCCGCGCCTCCTGGTCCACCAAGCTCATCTCATAATGCGAACGAGTCCGTCAGCTCTGCCCAGAGCGACGGTTCGCAAGCGCAAGGCTCATCGCCAGCCATCTTGAGATACAGTGGTGGTCCGGAATTCTCTCTCGAAGCCGATGTCGCGCGCATCATGGGAGATGCTGAATCGAACGAGAAGGAATCGTCTGTCCTACGCCGAGTGTCCAACGCCGTTTCGAAGCACGGGCGCAGCTTCAGCGATCGCGGTAGCTCGCGTGCATCGACAGGTAACAAGCATAGACACGGAGCGAACGGTTCTGTTGATATCGGCAGCCCTACGACTGCATCGCCTGACACCAAGGACGAGCTGATCGAGCTTAGGAACAACCTCCGGCGTGCAAATCAGAAGATTGCCGAGCTCGAGGCAGACAGAATGAGTTGGCAAGACAAGATGAACAGTCACGCCGATATCAAACAAGCAAATACTGAGCTGAAAGAGAAACGGTCAACAATGGCTGTGCTAGATACCCAACGGGAGATGATCATTCGCGAGCTTGAGATCATCACAGATCGCCTCGCCAAGGCCAAGGATTCCAACAGGCCGATTGACACTTCTTCTTTGAGAAGCGACATCTATGGCGAATTCTCTCGCTCTCTCGAGAAGCTGAAGGACAATCTTGGTCACCAGATTGAGTCTTTGATGCAGAACAGACAAGAGCTGACGACTGAGATCTCAAACTTGATTCAGATGAAAGACAAAGGCTTTCAAGAGTACGAAAGCTTGACATCCAAGAATCAACAACTAATTGAGATGAACAATCAATTGGTACAGAATATTCAAGGAATGTACAAAGCAAACAAAGTAGCCCAGCCAAAGACGTCGTTCGAAAGCCCACGGCCTAATAACGCAGATGCGCTTGGGATATATCGCATGCCCGCAGAAGAGAAGTCGAAGCAGTCGATGGAGAGTCGGACTATGAGCACCGATACTTCCGGTCAAAATCTGCTCAACGACGTAGACCCAGACCAGACCGTCATATCCAAGCCTCAAATTGTGGACGTCAAGAAAGCAAAGGCAAACAAGTTTGGGAATTGGAAGAAGGGTGGAGGAGCCGCAGCCAAAGCTTTGGGCAAGAACATTAAGGGTGCATTTGCATCTACCAACCAACAGCCAACGACACGGGGCGACGAGCCTTACCAGCTGATCAGCAGCCCTTACAACTCTACAGCGCCAACGGACCAGTTCAATGGGCCTGCCGTACCGTCTCCCTCGACGACCAAGCCAGGCGACCCCCAGAGAAGTGGCAGCGGGTTCGGTTTCTTCGGTGGCCAGCAAAAGGGTGTCGTCCCGGGCAAGCCATCCCAGTTGAAGAATGCTACAAATAACGACAGCAATCCCAGAGAGGACGCCGTGTCGCCGTCGACACTGTTTGGATCTGATCTAGTGCAGCGATGCAATTATGAGAAGCGCATCATCCCGAACATTGTCATCCGCTGCATCCAAGAAGTTCAGATGCGTGGTATGGATCTCGAAGGTATCTACCGAAAGAGTGGCAGCCAAAGCGCAGTCAACGCTATCCGCGACGGGTTCAATTCGAACGACGACTATGATATTTCCGACCCAGACATGGACATTACTGCCGTGACATCAGTTCTCAAACAGTACTTCCGAAAGTTACCCAACCCTCTGATAACTGTTGACATCTACGATCGGTTTCTGGCCGCTGGAGGTGAGCAGATAGTCGAGCTTGGACATGAGAGAAGCAGCTAACAGTGTGGCAGCCATCCAGGAACGGGAGAAGCGGATCGTGGAGATTCGCAACGTGCTGAACGACCTTCCAAAACCGCATTTCGAATGCCTACAGTTCCTGATCTTTCATCTCGCTCAGGTGACTACCAAACCAGAGACCAAGGTAAGGCATACAGAACGTTCTTGACTTGGCGGTGCTGACTGTCCTAGATGAGCGCGTTGAACCTGGCAGTAGTGTTCGGCCCGACCATCATGCGCCCTGATTCGATCGAACGAGAGATGACCGATACGAACCATGTAAAGAACTCTGTTATTGCTCTCATTGAGGGCGTGAAGGACATTTTTGGCACGGAAGCAGCCTGAGCAGCCGGCGTTATTTCTGGTGATGGAATTTGGCTTTGCACGTAATCTTCGCACGCACCTTGCGGCATCCCTTTCGTTCAGAGCGATTACTCCAAGGAAGGATCTCACGGATCCCCCGGGCGCGCTAAAGGTCACAGTCACGGTTCTGACAACTAGTCTGTTCTGAATTTGCTCGACCTGCCCGCGCTCCCCTTTCTGCACTCATTGTTTCGAGCGTTCCTCATAATCCTTCACGATCACGACTGCTTTTGTACAGCTTTGCTTTAGTCGTTCATACCGCGTTCATACCCCAGGCAGACGGTCGAGCCACCCGAGGCTCTGCCCTTTGGATGATGTTTGTTGTGATTCTACGGTTCGGGCTAGGTCCAGGAGGGTGTCGCTCTGGGTGGATCATATCGAGCGCGACTGTACATTAGTGACTTGGCGACTATGTAGAAAGAAGACTACATGGATTGGATGCATGAAGCATCACTGTTCTACAATGCGTGCCGGATACTCTTCCAAGTTTTGCTAGAGGGCCTCCTGACCGTGAATGCTGCTTGCAAAGAGCAGAGTATAGATTCAGGGGCGGTGTTAAGACGGTAGCGAGGCGTGAGTTGAACCCGTCCATCCATTCCGTAGAGAGCCGACCGAAGCGCAACCTTCCGGCATATAAATAAGGCCCTACTCTCCTCTTCAGTCTGACTTTTTTTTTCTTCTTCTTACAACTCTGTCCCACAATTACCCTGTCAAATACGCTTACACTTCCGCTTATACCCACATTTTCATTTTACATTCACAACCAAACAACCTCACACTCACACTCAACCATCCTCTACTACAACAAGAACATGTCGTCCTCAAACATTTCTCCCGACAACATATCCTACCTACGCCTCCCGTCACCCATCATGTCGTTTTCAAACATCTCTACCGACAACATATCCTACTTGGACATGTCCCTCTCAGGCATGTCGCCTTCAAGCATGTCCTCACCCATCATGTCCCCATCGAACCCATCCTACATGGTCCCGGACATATCCTACTTGGACATGTCATCTCCACACATGTACCCTTCAAACATGTACCCCTCGAACATGTACCCCTCAAACATGTCTCTCTCAAGCATGTCCCCCGCAAGCATGTACCCCTCAAGCATGTCCCCCTCAGGCATGTCTCCCGCAAGCATGTACCCCTCAGACATGTACCCGTCCCCCGCAAGCATGTCCCCCGCAAGCATGTACCCCTCAAGCATGTCTCTCTCGAGCATGTCCCTTTCAAACATGTACCCCTCAAACATGTCCCCCTCAAACATGTCCCCCTCAGGCATGTACCCGTCCCCGATAAGCATTTCACCCTCAAGCATGTACCCCTCAGGCATGTATCCCTCAAACATGTCCCTCTCGAGCATGTCCTCACCCATCATATCCCCATCGAACATGCCCCCAACAAACCTGTCCTCACCCATCATGTTCTCCTCAAACATGTCCTACTTGAGCATGTCTCCCGCAAGCATGTCTCCCTCAAACATGTCCTACCTGAGCATGTCCCCCTCAAGCATGTCCTTCTCAAGCACCCCCTCGCCCAGGACACCTCCCCAAATCACCTCACCCAGGACACCTCCCCCAACAACAAGACCCTCCTCCCGCACCCCACCGCCCCTCGCCCCTCGAACCCGCAACCCTCGAGCCCGCAACCTCTGGACCCCCCCCTCCTCACCCCCCCCCCAGCCAACAACAACAACAATAACAACAACAACCACCACTCCCCAACACCCCCACAACCCCTTCTCAATCGACGTCTACTACTCACGCCTCGCCTCTCTTAACGCCGCCCTCGCTGCTCAGACTCCTCCGTCCCCTCCGCTCACTCCTCCCACCACCAACACCAGGAACACCAGAAACACCAGAACCCGCAATCCCCCCAACGAAGCATCCCGTCGTCGCCAGCAGAACTTGGAGCGCTCGCGCGCCACACTCGCGATGCTGCGCCGGGGCCGCGAGACGGCGGCTGTGGTGTTTGGCTATGTGGACTAGGAGGGGCTTGGAAACTTGGAATTGAAAAGGGGAGAGACTTTTGGGGCAATTTGAATTTTTGGGGATTTTTGGAAGGGGGGTTTTTTTTTTTGGCTTCCTCCTGGGAGGGGAAGTTTTTTTTTGGGGGAAGGGGAGGAGAGGGGGGGGTTGGTACGGCATGGCGCGGATGTACAAGTTGACCACAGAACGGCATGGCGCGGGAATGCGCGGAATGGGGTATGGTGACGGGATATGATGAACGGCATCAGTGGCATCAGCGGCATCAGCGGCATACATCAGCACATCACGAAATCCAACGAACGGCATACAACGAGCGACATCCATCAGCATACATCAGCATCAAACGAAACGAAATCCAACGATCGGCATAGCATCCATCAGCATACATCAGCATCCATCAGCATCAAACGAAACGAAATCCAACGATCGGCATAGCATCCATCAGCATAGCACGGCAAACATCAGCATTCATCAGCATACGGCAAACATCAGCATAGCACGGCATTCATCAGCATTCATCAGCATACGGCATACACCAGCATACACCAGCATACAACGGAGCACAGCATAGCATAGCACGGAACAGCATCGTAGTAGTTAATTCAAAAATCTTCTTGTTTTCCATTCTTACAATGACAAACACCATTCTTCCTACCTACGTGACTTGTTGCTTGAGTGACTGTTTGCTTGACTGGGTGAGTGGGTGAGTGAAAGCCCAAGCAAGTAATAAGGGTACCCGCCTGGTACCGCCCGCCGTGGTCCGGGGCTTGGGAGGGGAGAAATAGGGGTAAAGGGGGCGTAGGCCGGGAGAGGAAAGTGCGTCTTCGAGGGAAAGAGGGTGGGTGGTGGTGGTGCTGTTGATGATGATGTTGCTGTTGATGTTGCTGTTGATGTCGCTGTTGATGTCGCTGTTGATGTCGCTGTTGATGTCGCTGTTGATGTCGCTGTAGCTGTTGATTTCGATGTCAATATTCATGTCGCCGTCTGTTGATATCGCTGTAGTCTCTATTACCATCCATATACCACATGCCACATACCTCCCACCACCTACTATTCCACATACGACATACGACATACCACTATATACCACATAATACTATATACCTCCCACCACCTACTATTCCACATACCACATGCCACATACCACATGCCACATACCACATGCCACATACCACAT